AAGTGGAAAGCTATTTAAAAACCTATTACTGCCTCTGCACACACGTAAACACACACCCTCTCTCCCACACAGACACACATATATATCTGAGGTTTATGTTGAGGCTGTCTGGCTGGCTGAGGCTCGCGTGCCATCTCCCAGCTGCCTGAACCTTGATGTATGTGAGGAAAAGATATGGCCCGGGGTTATTAGCCAGAGCACAAGTCACCTCAGCAGTTGATTGTTGCCGTACTTCAGCTGAGTCGCCCTTCCTTTCTACTCCCAGACACACATGTCATCAAACCCTCAGGGCCAGATGAGAAAAATCAAAGACATGTGACCCTCAAAGGGATGGTAGAAGGGCTAGGATGGTGTGTGTGTGTGTGTGTGTGTGTGTGTGTGTGTGTGTGTGTGTGTGTGTGTGTGTGTGTGTGTGTGTGTGTGTGTTTGTGTGTAAGTTTTAAAACTAAAAGGAACATTCAGGAAGACCTCGAGGTCATAAAAACAGTTTGCTTCCACAACAGAGACACAGCAGATCAATTCTTTAGAAATACCAGCTGACATTTGTCTTCCATCTCTGACATTTACATGTTCACCCTTTAGGTATGACCTACTTTTTTAATTTCTTTGACACAGGACTGACACATAGGGCCTGTGTCTTTTGTTTCTTTTTTTGTACCCTCAACCTTAATCTCAGCGTGCTTCATAATAGTGCTTGTAATCCAGCATAACGTTATCACATCGGCCTCTGGGTTAAGTGTATTATCTGTGCACTGAATCAAAACAGTGTTCAGGTACTCACTACGCAGTAGTCTAATTCATGCTTTTCGTTGAAACATTCAGCTGGAGAAACTGATTGAATGATACTGAAGTCAGATATAATGCAACGTGGCTATGGATAAAAGATCTCAACACTGTAAAGGTCCTTTCACACAGGGACCGTTTTTTTACGTGGGATTATTTCAGACGTCAATATTTTTTTTCGAACCCGTATCCTGTCAAAACAAGCGTTCACATCAGCAATGTTTTCCCGTCCTGCAATATTCCGGCATTTATTTTTTGGATCACGGTCAATCTTTCTAAATCTGACCAATCAGATTGCGTGTTGTTGTGACATCTGATTCACCGGTATATCCAACATGGCCGATTGGGTAATTGTTTACGTGTTGGAGAACAGAGTGCTTTCTGATAAAAAAACACAAATATTACAAAGATAACAACCTGAAGGACAACTTGTGGAGAGTCATATCTGATTTCTCATATGACGATGGCTTGTGTGCTTTAATTTTTTGTTAAACGTCTTTGTTTTAACTTTCATCTGTGCTAAGTAACTTTAGCTCGTAAGCTAACCTGTTCAGATACAACATACCATATGTATTTTCACTGTCTCAAACTCAATCTCGTTGCTGTCACAGCACCATTAGGTCTCCATTGTTACCTTTTGTTTATGGATTATAAACGTGCTTATCTGCTACTGGCCCCGACTCAGTAAATGCTATCTATAGTCCTGCAGAATAGTATGCTACATGCTACAGACAGCCATGTCAACACTAGTGTCTCATCAGAACTGAAAAACACTCAGTCTGCTGTTTCGTCGGTCTTCTCGCTTCCACCCAGGACGCGTCTTTTTCCTCCCGAAAAGTCAGAAAATCGCATCGGGCTTGATGTGCAAAGTCAGGTGCATCAGAATCCTCCTCCGAATATTTCGTAATTTCGCGTTCTAATCCTGAATGACTGACGAAAACAAAACACCACAAAAAAAAGCAAAGTGCAGAGTTTGTGTTTCTTCACAGCTAGTTTGGCCTAAATGAAACAATGATCATGTTTTTACCCTGCAGAACTCGCCAAAGTCTGGAAAGCTGCACAGGTTATGCAATGTAGCACACAGTTCTTTAGAAAATGGTGCTTTCACAAAAGAAAAAAACAAGATTTAATGTTTAAGAGGCATAACAAACTTGTGTCTGTAAACTCTTCACAAAGTTAAAACCTAAACTTGTTCTTATGTTAATCTCAGGGTCTTTTTAGCAGTCAGTGTCTGCTCTCTGTATAGCCTCCAGCAAAGCGTCTGCTATATGGGCAGACTGGTGTAATGCCAAGGTAAGACTGCAGGTTTGTAAGCACAGTTATAGCCCCGTCAGAGTTTGTGACCCCTCAGCCTTTATCACACAGGATAATACTGTATCATAGTAAGAGACAATCAAGGACAGCCAAGGTGGGTTCAGTCACAGGCGTGATATTGACCAATGAGAGCAAAGACCACACTGTGAAGCTAAAGAAGAAGGGTGAAGTTGGTGCTGTGAGATTGTACTATGAAACAGAGGACAGCTTTTATGAGGGACAACCATGGGCAACCACAACACACAAACTGGACTTTCCAAATCATGTAAAGACATTAGTCTGACTGTAATTGCACTAAATCAAATTTCTCATGGCCAGACTGACATAGCTGGATAAGGTGTTTGGGGTTCTGTGTTCTCTGTCATGTTTACAGCTCAATCAGACTCAAACTGACCTCAGTGTTCTGAGTGTGTTCCAGAGTTTGCACACTGGGCATGGATGAGCTGCTATGACACCTGGTAGTAAACAAAATTTAAAAAACGTAATAATCAAAGTGGATCCGAATCTTTGTCAACTTAAAGTCCCACTTCGATCGTTTTTTATTTTTGGTGCTGTTACATAACAGTTCAAACTCCTGATCTGCACAGACATCTTCTGTTACACTTGTTTATGAAATACAGTGCACATTAACTTCATCTATTCCACTGTATCAAAGGACAACTGTATGCATGAGTAGAGAAAACAGCAGGCCAGCACCATCTTTGTGACCTCTGCTGCAGGGCAAACTGCACGCTGCAGTTCTGAAGCAGCAGGCCAGTCTGCATGTGAGGCCCCACAGCCCGGCTGCATGAGTCACACAGTCCAAAATGTGTAAAAACTTCACATTGGCAGATTAGTTTGTTTACATCCTGCACTGGACGTGATTTGGCCGGGCTGCAGCACAACACAGCCAAAAAGCCTGCTCTCTCTTTCCTCCCTTAAGCTCAATCATTCTCTTCCCTCTTCTTTCTTTTCCCCTTCCTTCCTTTTTTTCTTTCTTCCCTCCTATCTCCACTTCATCGCTCCCTCTCCCACTGCTGCCAAGAGCACATGATCATGAGGCAGAGTGAAGTGGAAAAATAGTGCTGCCCTGCCCTTGTAAAAAATTTGAATGAAGTTTTAAAAAAAAAAGGAGACAAATTAATAACAACACGAAACAGATGGGAAGTTGTATTTCCAGTATAAAACAAGACATTCGTAAAAGAAAAAAAAAAGTGAACAACACTCCTTTCCCCCTGCAGAGCCTGCCAGGTTATGAGCTCATTCTTTGTAGGCCCTCTGCTGAATATCTATTCATAGCGTCATCTCCGAGATGTCAGACTTTTATGACCCATTTCTCCTCTCGTTATCTGCAGCGGCAATTAGGGGCCTGTGAATTTAACGCAGGAAATATGGAAGTGTTTTCCTTCCTTGGACCAAACTCTGGATGGCTCACAATAAATCGGTGTGTACAGGGGCTGATTAAACCCTCCTTAGTTCCGAAAACACAGAAGAGACTGGTGAACGAGGCTGCGGCCTGGTGTGCATGGGTGTGTGGTTGTCTTTTTCTCACCAAGCAAGAGCATAATGATGAACAGGGTCAGCCTGGGGTAACACACACGCACACACACACACACACACACCAACACATGCACACACTCACACACACATACACGTACACATCAACACATGCACACATACACCATGTACTCGCTGTGGTCTGAGGTCATGCCTGGCACAGCTCTCTGAAATCATAAAGAGCTGATGTCATAACAGCATCATGGGCAGACTGCTGGAGCTCCTGCCTCTCTCTCTCTCTCTCTCTCTCTCTCTCTCTCTCTCTCTCTCTCTCTCTCTCTCTCTCTCTCTGTCTCTCTCTCTCCCTCTCGCTCTCTCTCTCTCTCTCTCTCTGTACTACCTTGACTTTTATGACTTTTGTGTCCTATTTAAAATGTTCTCGGCTGTTTTGTTCTCATTAATAGATTTCTTCCTCTCTATATTAAGAGCTGAATTCTAGTGGTTTGAGACCATTTGGTCCTCATAATTTATCACTCACTCTGGAAAGTTTGAGCTGAGATGTGTGATAAGGTTAGCAGTATTTAACAGTAATCTATTTAACGGTGCATCTAACTCAGTAAATCAGACGCTGTCTTGGTAATGAAATCAGTTAGAGCCATTCAGATTTCTTCATTTTACCCAATGTACCGAACACCATGTGGCAAAGTTCTAGTACATGAATCCAGGACTTTGAGTCCGACTTGAGTTCTATTTTCCAACACTTGCACATAGATTGCAAAAAGACTCAGACAATAAGAAGACTCTGACTTAAAGGTGGGGTAGGCAGGCTCTGAGGAAGTGACAATTTTTGGGAGAAATCTTGAATGTAAACTCTACCCCTCCCAACCAGTTTTCCCCTCAGCTCCTCCTCTCCCCTCACTGCTCCAGGAAGCCCCGCCCACAAACGGACACTCCTGCTCGCTCGCATCGTATCAATTAAATTCAGATTTAATGCAGATAAATACTTCAGATGATTAAAATGGGGCCCAGTCAACGTGACAGTAAAAAGCATTGGTGCTACTGTAGATGCCAACAGACTACCAGCAAACACAATGTTTGCAGGACTTCTACAACTAGGATAAAGTGACATAGTCCAGGACCTGAGCTAAACAGTTTAGCGGCGCTACAACATGCAGCAGGTCCCGTTTGACAAGAAAGACTTCTATTACAGACACTTGGCGTACTTTGTTAAAGCGGTTTACCTGTCCAGCAGAAAGGTTACAGGGTCTGTAAGATCCCAAAGCATCCCTCATTGTTGACCCGGCTTCTTAGCTCTTGTCCAGTCTACCTCCGTTTTTAAGCGCCCGTTATTCCACCAGAGTCTCCAGTATTTACTTCTTTTTCTTGCTTGTGTTGGCAGCTATGGTCAAAGGAGGATTCAGACAATTTTCTGTACTTTCTGGTAGGCCTGCACGATATATCGTTTGACTATCGTCATCGCGATGTACGTGCCTGCGATAGTCACATCGCAGAGCCTGCGATATTGGAGGTGAATGAACTCATTTAATTTCAAGGGTAACTGACTGAGATACACTGCATGTGACTCTGCATGTGCTTTGCAGGGATCCACCAATCACATTCGTCCTTAACTCAGTTGCCAATCAGACTCACTTCTCAGTTGCCAATCAGACTACCCTGCCAGCTGTCAATCAAAATCAGAGAGGAGGAAACCCACCCCTGCACATGTTCTGCACATGGAGGGAGACGTGTGTCCGCTGAGAATTACTTTCCGAACTTTACTCATGACTGTTTAGCCCAACAAATAAGAACTGTATGGGTTTTAAATTGTACATTTCCGTGGACCACTCTACTATAAGCGGTGCGCGTTTTGCGAGGTGCATGCAATTCTCGGAGGACATGCGTTTCTCGGCACAACACCGCTAACAACAACAACAACAACGATCGCAAAATGAACAACGAACAAGCGAAAACCACCGGAAATGAAGATTTGTTGCCTAAAAGAAAAGGAAATTCAGTTATCTGGAATTATTTCGGTTAAAAGAAGGACCAAAACACGTGTTCTGTGTTAATCTGTTGCCACAATAACGTCCCAGCACAATAAAAGCTAAAAATATCTCTGAGACAGACAGAAGCCATTCTAACATTCACAAAAAGAGGTAAGATCAGTGCAGGGTAACTGTCCTCAAGATTTCAGCAGTGCAGCATAACATTAAATGCTATTCAGGTCATCTGGTGAAAATTCCTGTATTTTTAATGTCGCAATATATATCGCAGGGTTGAAAAAATCGCAATATTATTTTTTTCCAATATCGTGCAGCCTTACTTTCTGGATGGTTTCTACTGTCTGATATTGTAGCACGCTAACTTTGTTTGGGCTTATGAACAACACAGGGGAGCAGCGTCTGCCTCACAACCAATCAGCACTAAGGAGCAGCTTCCGCCTCACAACCAATCAGGATGGGGGAGGCGGGGAAGGGGTAAAGACTTTTTCATCTTTTCACAAGATGTCAGGAAGACAACAGCGGGCACATGAGTGAGCAACACCAGGAGTTTTTTTTAAACGTGTGAATATTTATGCCCACTGTCTTCCTGCAACAAGTGAGATCTCACCATGTTAACCAGACAAGTGATGATAGCTCAAGAATCAATGAGCAAACTACATATGTAGGTACACAAAAGGGTGTGTTGGATGTTCTTTTTTCAAGTTACATCAAGAACAAAAATTCATTAGAGATCTCTCTCAGAAGTTTGGTATTCTGACGTACAACTTTTTGTGTATCTGAAAATTCTTACACTCTCAGGCCATGAAAACAGGATTGTAGTCATTTAAAAAAAGGCTAAATTTACCCATTCCCTTTCTTACATAGATTCAAATGCTAGGATGAATGTAATACATTTCCTGGAAAAATCATGTCTGATGTGATCTGGGGTCAGCATATTTGTGGCCGTTGCCCATGCAACCCAGACCCTTTCAGCCCGGCAGCCACCATCCATGGATCAGCCCTGATCCAATGCCATCTGGATGCTTTCCCTGCAGCTTGTTCCCATGGCACTGCCAGTTCCATGATGATCAGCTGTTTTGATGCCTCGGAGAAGATGACTGTGTCTAGATGAAGTGCTACTGCTGCAAGGTGTGGGAAAGAAAGTCTCTCCTTCTTGTCTTCAGTGAGGAGGTTGATTAGACTTGATGTAGCAGTGAAGACAGTTTAGACACAATTGAACACAGCAGAGGTCTGCTGGTATCATGTTTAAGCAGGTAATCTTTGCTGCGCAGCACCCGCTGTGAGCGACTGCTTGACTGATTTCAGAGAACAGCTCCTCAACATAAGATTGATAAGACCGTGTGAGTTTTATCATCTACAATACACACATGGCTGTTATCATCAGGCCCTCCGGTGGCACTGTATTAAAATCAGGCATGACTCTGTAGTGGAAATCACTGCATGGGCTTTGAACACTAACAATTTTCTGTCTCAACATTTGAGATGTAATCTTTTTACTGTTTTTAGTTCTATATAAGGTTAGAAAATCATCAAATTCTGTTTTTTTTTTTAACAATGTAACATCCCAGCATTCATGGAATTGGGGTTGTTTGACAAAATAATCATGTAGTGTTGACATGAACAACATTCCCTGCATATAACTTCATATTTCACTTTGTGTTTTATTCTCAAATGTGTGTTTTTTTCTCTTAAAAGTGTCCTAAAATAAATTTACCCTGTAAATGTGAGAGCCCTTGGCTGTTGAAACAGATAAAGTATAGTTTGGGTATTAATGACACTCCTTTACTGTACATCTGCAGCCATTTAAAGTCACATTCTACTATCAATGTAACCCAGAGTAGGTTTGAATGTGCACAAAGTCAGTGTTGTTTAACTGAGCTGACCATAAAGCTTAAACTGGAATTTCAATGGATCCTATCCTGAAATGTACAGATCTATAAAGACTTAAGAGAATACTGATTGATTCCCACTGAATCTTTTTTTTTTTTTTTTTTTTTTTTGATAAAAACTGTACTTGTGTCTTCCCTACTGGATTCAGAGAGCAAACATTAGGTACAAAACCCAATTCCATTGAAGTTGGGAAATTGTGATAATTCATGGATGCCCCTGCTTATTTCAGCAAGACAATGTCAAGCCACATTCTGCACATGTTACAACAGTGTGGCTTTATGGTAAAAGAGTGTGGGTACACGACTGGCCTGCCTGCAGTCCAGACCTGTCTCCTTTTGAAAATGTGTGGAGCATTATGAAGTGTAAAATATGACAACGGAGACCCCGGACTGTTGAACAACTGAAGCTGTACATCAAGCAAGAATGGGAAAGAATTCCACCTTCAAAGCTTCAACAATTAGTCTCCTCAGTTCCCAAATGTTTATTGAGTGTTGTGAAAAGGAAAGGTGATGTAACACAGTGGTAAACATGCCCCTGTCCCAACTACTTTGTCACATGTTGCAGCCATCAAATTCTAAAGCTAATTATTACTTGCAAAAAAATAAAGTTTATGAGTTTGAACATTAAATATCTTGTCTTTGTAGTGTATTCAATTGAATATAGGTTGAAAAGGATTTGCAAATCATTGTATTCTGTTTTTATTTACGTTTATCACAATTTCCCAACTTCAATGGAATTGGGTTTTGTACTTAAGTAAATGCTGCATGTTGACCTCATTATATCTGAACAAGAACATGAAAAGCATACATTTTTATGAAACTGGATTATGGTCTGCTTGTCAGTGCAGAAAATGAAATTAAAGAGTTTTGACACAGAAACAAATGAGACAGAAAAATTGAAGAGAAAAAAAATGATGTGTTTTCTTTGTGGAGACATATCTGCATGACTTTCCATTACAAAGTTACATTACTGCTGGTTCACTGATCAGAATGCTGTCATTTCACATGTTTGTGTTCAAAGATACCTGATGAGTTGAAAAAGTGTTGCAATCCTCTCAGAGTTTACAGAAAGGCCGTGAGCTCACTGGAAATGACTGCAGAGGTAGTCACAGTCAGAATGACAGGCTGAAGGAAAACCTCTCTCTCTCTCTCTTTCTCTCTCTCTCTCTCTCTCTCTCTCTCTGACTCCTACATGCTGGTATCAACAGGAAAGAGGCAGCCAATGAAACTAATTGGGTGGTGTGTGTTTTATGAAAAGAACAGCCTGTGCTGCTCCAAGCTTCCTCCCACAGCTCTGTGACTGGCTGATCCTAAGTGGTCTGCTTTTCTTTAGTCTGCTCTGATTGGAGCAGGAGGATGTCAGTAAGTGAAACCTTTTTTTCCCTCTTTTTCCTCAGGACCTACCCTTGTTGTTTTCAACTTCTAGAGCAGTGCTGGGTTGAAACGATTCAGCGCAGTCAGTCTGCACTCTGGCGTAGACTGTGCCTGAACTGTATTCGCCTCAAGAAGAACACTCTAGTCTTTACTTTTTTACACATTTTATCAATTCACTGCGCCAAATATCACTTATAAATAAAGAATTCTTCAATGAAGTACATTTTCCATGAGTAAGGTGTGACAAAGTTGCAGAGAAGATTTGGAGGTTAGGTTCCTACAAACCTACAGAGATAGATTCATGGCTGAAGACTTCATATGTCAAAAGGTCAAAAGAGCTTTGTGTCAAAGCATGATGAACTTGAGTAAATCGCTTTTTTTGACTTAAAGAGTTGGGACAGAAGTGCTGCTTCCACTGTTGCTGTGTCATTCCCTTTACTGTCTGGAGAGCACACCAGAGCTCAGATTTGAGGAGAAAACTTTCCATTTACCACGAGCCTGCTTCTTTAGCTGAGTGGGTTTAAAACATGGTAGATTTGAGCACTTTGCAATCACAAAGAGAAGCAAATGCTTTAAATACACCAGTAGCGCTTTTTTAATAAATCAAAGTGCAAACTGAAGGAGAGAAAAATCACAAAAACACACAGTCATAAAATCCATTATTGGGCTCAGTTTTGCAACAGTTTATTTATCTTAGGAACAATGATGAAAATATATATATACAAAAACGTTGCTTTGGGAAGCTTTACATACACCCACAACAAAAGCACAACATAAATAAGTTAGTATAATTTTCAGTGTTTTCAAAGAAAAAAAAAGGCACACAGGTACTCTTCAAAGTTTTACACCAAATGAGGCAGTGTCACTTTGTTTTTCTGCCCTAAAAAATGAGAAATTAACAATAGTGCAATTACATGTTCCACATGAATTCCACACCACAAAGACAAATCTTTGATTCACATATTTGCATAAGTAGCCCAGTGGTTTTTAACATATCTTCTCTATGCTAGCCTGGACCACACCATTTATCACAAAGGGGCGGGATGTGTGACAGAGAATAAAAGTCACGAAAATATCAGCTCTTCTAATTTTTTAAAATAAAAGCTAACTCTTAGGATTATTAGCAAATACTGTCAAAATTTGGTTGGATATTGCTCAGCAGTTAAGCTACCCTCCCTCCCCACCCCTCTGCCCAGAAAAAAAGGCACAAACTTTGGCAGAAAAAAAAAAGAACAAGAAGAACAATGGGGAACAAGGAGATAAAGATTTGCATGTAAACTTTGTCTGTCGTGGCTGTTCCCAGTAAGATGGACCCTCAACTTACAGTGTGGGCATCTGGGCCTTCAAAAAATTAAAATTTAAAAATTTAAAACAAAAAAAGCAAGATTTATAACACTGGGTATAATAAAGCCATAGAAAAAGAAAGACAAAAAAATTTCCACATAACCCTGACTTTTGAAATCTGCATTTTTAACTTACATCAATTACCTGAATAAGGATACAATATGACCACTTAAACAAAACAATAGTTCTCTTTTGGAAATTGCACTGCAACCTCCCGAGTCAAATTCACACATTTATTCAAAGACATTAAACAAAAAGGTATGAAAAGCATAATATGCTTCTTTTTTTATGTGCTACATCTGAAACATAGGTAGTAGATACAAAAATGAGCAAAAATCCATTTGCACACTGCTACATTGTCTGCTGCTTCTGAGGCAATTTAACTGAAATGAGTGCCAAAACTTGATAGTGTACATATTCAGTGCTTGTGCAGCCTCTCCTTCTCCTCCTCCCTCCTTTAGGAAAAGGCTGCTTTATGTTTTTTCTCTCCCATCTGTCAGATGACGAGGAAGGCTACAGTATTCCACCAGCAACAGGTCTCCTCGCTCTGTGGGACACGAAGAGGAAGAGGAAGAGGCCGTTTAAAAGGCAGTTGCGTTTGCTTTTATCCCTCATGCAGGCACAAACATACACACACACACAATACAGAAAAAGCACAAACAAACACACACAGTGAACAGTCATAGCCTGAACAGTTGTGAGACAGAAGTGAGTGTGTAAAATTTGCACGGCTGGTGACGTGTGAGTGCAGCCTGCAGAAGAAAAAGAAAAAGTGCATGCGTTTACAGCTGATATCCAAGTTTTCTGAAGCTCAAAATGAACAAAGAAGATGTAAAAACCATCTCAGACAGCCTCAAAGTAAAGTTAATATGCTCATTTAAAAAGTGAGTCAAAGTCCCAGTGCTTCTAACCTTGCACTGTTTTTCACTGGACTTCGGCGCCGTTCACCGGCCTGCTCGGTCTCTCCTCGGCGACTCTGACCGCCTGACGCGCCGCACCGCTCGCCTGGTCATCATCATCATCCTCTTCTTCATCGGAATGCGACCTTTTACTCTGACTCTCGCCGTTACAGGGACCTGGCAAACAGGGGGAAAAAAAGTTGTGAGGGTTTGTTGGGCGTGTGGTGTCGCACGTTCACTTTAAAACAGGCACCTGACAGCTTCAGCGAGATCCCCACGACGCGAGAAAATGTGCAAACTACAACAGTGTAATAAGCGCATCGAACCGCGTTAATCGGTGTGAATTCGATCGTAATCCTCATCTGAAACACGTGATCGGATGATTTTTACATCTGTAAAGAGGGTTACTGGTGTGTATTTCTCCTGCACATTCCTGTTTACGTGCAAAGACAGACAAACGTATCGTAGCCTGTAGTTGAACCCGGACACAACTGTTGCTTTTCTCCTCATTGCGTATCGTACAACTAGTCTGTAACTGCGTGACAGCATGAGAAGTCAAATCACCTGAAGATCCTGAACGCCTCTTCTTCGAACCGTTTCTGCCCGACTGCCTCCCGTCTCTCTCCTCGGCTTCCCGTCGGTCGTTTTCGCCGAGGCACTCCGCCTCACTTTGGGGCTGCTGTCTCCGGTGAGGCGCTCTGCGGAAAAACTCCGGTGCGTCGTTTTCCTCCTGCCAGTCGTAACTACGCGGGGTGAGCGGTCTCTCGTTGACGGGATCGAAATCATACTCCTCCATAAAAGACTGCACACTTTCCTGTATCGAAGCCTCAAAAAGCCTCCGTGTCTCCCCACGGTCAGGTGTGCCAAAAAGATTTCTGCGGGTCGGGGGTCTTACGTTGTCCTGCAGCCGCGCATCCACCCGTTCCACCGTCGGGCTCGCATTAGACAGGCGCACATCTGACATTTTGTTGCACATATGACAGGCAAAAACACTCCCACAAATAAGCGAAACCTTTTTAAACTTCTATTTCCGAGTGTAATTCCTTTCAAATGCAAAGTCACAAGAGTGATGCGTGCATGTTCCGCGCGTATCATCCAAAACGCGTACGCGCAAAAGTGGAATAAAGCGTCTCCAAGAGGCGCAGGGGGGTGTAAGAAAGCCACTCCTGTCAAGTCCGTAGTAAGGCAAGATGAAAACAACAAGTCAAGTCATAACAGCCAACATGGCGTTAGAGGGAGCTGTGAGTGAAGAAGAAAAGTTGACATCAAGGACTATTTAAACAGAGCAGGCGATTCATTGGTCTGCGCACTAGGACCGCCCATACAGCTCTTAAAGTCGAACAGGGGCAACAACAACACAGAGCTGGATTGGATTAACTCTACGCATGAATATGGCCTAATTTCTTTGTTTGATCAGTCAGATAAACGAGAAAGAGCAAAAGGAAGGGAGTCTGCAGTTACAGAGGAGTGTAGTCAAGCTTTAGCTTATCCATTAGTACCCAATCTATCACAGCAGAAATCTGGTCTGACATTTAACTGAACAGCCAAAAGGTCAAAGATATCACTTGATCTCATTTAGTGTCATATGTATGCTGTGATCATACCTCGTTAGATAACTAGGGAACTTGTCTTAGATGTGCTACCTGAGAAGAAAACATCTCTGCAGGAGTGTGAGGTCCATTTCGCAGCTACTAATGCTATCACAGGAATACATCATTAAATGATTGCTGAAGTCCTCAGAGATATCACTGCTAGATCTAATTTAGCATCAAATCAACAGTTTAGGCACACTTGATTCAATCAGTGTGAAGCTATTCAGTCACGGCCTTGAGTTATTGGGGGACAATTAGACACTTAATATGAGGTTTTATGCAGGAAAAACAACAAAGAACCCACAAATCTGCCTTCTGGTATCTGATGACATCAGCTCTGGAGCAGAAAGCCTTCGTAATGGTTGGCACGCTGCCTATCACTATCAGACTCTCCCACTGGTGCCACAGGGCGGGTTTGTGTGCTTCAATGGTTGTAATTGCTTATGTGTGCTTAGAATTTAAACACTAAAGGAAGAAAAAAGTTGTGCAACTTAAAAAAAGTCCTCCTGAAATTATTCCTCCATTGCCCGTCCTCAGTTTGCATGATTCAAAAAATGTCCCGAGTTAAGTTACCGGTGTTCTGAAGACCCGCGTTATTGAATATATTTCCTGAACAAGAGTTGCAAAGGTGATCTGCACTAATTTAGTGAATGCATCAGTAAGTGTAAGCGCTCCTTGTGTGCAGAGTTCACAATGTCCCAACTTAAACTTTACAGCGGGTGTCACTTTGCATTCCTCTGCTGAGTTTGCCAGAGGAAAAAAAAGTCACCGGGGCCTCCCTTCAAGGCCATGCTGTTTCAATTAACCCTTGAAAAGAGTGAAACATCTCATGATGAATTCAGAGAGGCCATCTGTTTTATCAGTGTTATCGCCGAGATCACACTTAATCCGTAATGTGTTTATGCTGCTGCAAACTGTGCACACTGTTGTACAGAGTGATCCCTGAGATGGAAACAGAGTTTGATCAAACTGATTAGACCGGTATGTGAGAAACCAGGCCAGGGAACATTTTGTTTGGGTCACACATTTATAAGCAATGCTTAATAGGTAATACTTGTGTTTATTTTCTTCTGGTTCTCAAATATTTGGGCCCAGTCCTTGAGCTTTGGAGAAAACACACGCTAAATAAAACTGCATAAGATGATGCAACTGCAGCTGACTCTGTCATCAAAAGGAACGTTGGTTACTCATTTATGAAGATCCGCAGACGTTTAAAAATAACAGAGAAAGGTCACTGTAGTGTCTTTATAGTTTAAGATTATAACGGGAAAAGGATGATTTCACAGGAGTCAAAGAGGCATACAATTTACAACTGTCAACACACACATCCACATACAGTCGAAATTATTATTTTAATACAGGCATGACCATAAACATGTTTCTGAAAAAGTAAACAAAGGTGTTTTCACATAAATCATAGTACAGCAGGCATAATTCAATGAGTAAAGAGAAGATGAGTACAGGTATCTGATTTTGAATCTGCCCTGAAACTCGTCTTGAAGGATGTCAGTACTTCTGCAGGGCTGATCATGAGCCCACAACTATAACCAACAAAGTCCCCATGAATCCAAGAAAACACACTTGTTGCTTGTTTTTTTAAACACTCTCTCAAAGAGTTTTAAATGTTGAGTTAAAATGTTGGATGTCAGTACTATACCTGAGCAAAGTTTCTGAGTCAAGGTTAATGTGTGCTAAATTAATTCCCAGATGGGACGACAGGTTGCCCTTGATGGCCTGTTCAAATAGTCATATAAGAACAACAAAAATATATAAATATCCTGACTGTTCAAAAAGGCTGCAAGTAGTATCCTGTCTTTTTTGATGAGAAGTAATGTTAAAAATTAGTGTTTTTAAATCAAATCCTGATAAAACAAACTTATGATAGCCGGCTACCAGTGGTTTGATTTTAGCTGCAGTTTCTGTTGAGTTGTGGCTGTGTATAGATTTGATAAAGGAGTGCTAATGTAGGTGGCATGTGTGAGTCTCCATCTAAGCATTCACATGTGCCTCCTATGTGAGACAGCCAGTTAAAGACCCCTACTCTGATGTCACGAGACAGCAGCTCTAGAGCCAGGCTTCTTCTTGGCCAGCTCGGCCTGGATCTGATGAGGAAACTGGTCCAAGTGCTTGTTCACACACTGCATGCAGAATCTCTTGGTGTAGAAGAGGCTGCATTCCTGACAGAAGAGAACACAAGAGCTAAGCATCAATTCTCCAGTTTCACTTCACTACATGATTTGCCTGGTCACACAAATTTTATATGTTCCAATACCTGTATGTGAAACTGAATAAATGGATTTCAAAAGCGTAACAGTCATGAAGCTCACTCAGCACATACAAGGCACATGATTACAAAGTCACCTGGGAAAAACATGTCAACTGTATGTTATCTCATCTGATCTACAAGGTCAACTTAAAGCCAGGAGGGAGCTCTCTTCTGTTGTACCTTTTTTTTTATAATACAAAGATTCATGTTTGTGTCTCCATAAAATATATGATTTCAGAGTTGTTTGCAGAAGCTGAACAGTACGAGCACACATATTTAAAACTCTTACCAATAGAAGTGGGAGAAAAAATCGATCCACATAAATATTGCGATTTTTTCTTTTACAACTTTTTTTAAATTGATTTTTATGTTCAAAAATTTTTCCAAATTAAGAATAAATCTCAAAAACATGTGATGTGTATTTTTTGGGGAAATATGGTTCCTGGAATAGTCAGTAGACAACCATTATCATTCAACTGTCTCACTGCTGTTAAAAATGCAGATTAAAAATCGAGAAAATTGACAATATCGTAGAATCGCAATTTATAAATCGAATCAGCATCCAAAATATCGTAGAAGAAGCGAATGTGGAGAAAAGCACATCGTCCTAGCCCGACTTACTGATGCATTTATTTATGTATTCTAACCTGTATCTACTCTATAGCAAATTAATAGTTAGATATCTTACCGATGCAACACAGACACACATGCCGCACAGACTGCAGTTTGAGCCCAGAACCAGGAACTTTTCCCGGTCCGGACTGAAGGGGTCCTTGGTCACATAACACTCTTCAAGCAACCTTAGGGAACGGGAAAGCAAACCGAGGTCAGATTATGACTCAAAATACAAAGTAAACGGGGATGTGTGTATTATTACAGAAATGTGTGTGTTACTACAGAGAGAAAAAGCCTCTCAGACTTCAGTAGTGTGTTCACTGTGATCTGCTTCAGCTCTTAGACGGAGACACAGCAGCAGCTAACCCATCTTTAGCTTTAGCAGACTGAGCTCGGGGGAAGGCGGGACACGTATTTTAACGCTGACTTACACAATAGCTCGGGTGTTTGGTGGTTTCTGGCCGTAGTAGGTAAACGGGCTGCTTAAACCACACAACTGGCAATTAAACGTCTTTTGAGGAGGCTCACTTGTAGATTGTTCCATCGTGCAGAGCACTGAGGCAAAAAGGAGTACTTCCTGGTTTTCATATTCATTTCAGCCATGTTAGTCTGTGTAGTTTTACCGCCACCTACTGGACAAGGAGCAGAACATCCGGAAGTGTGTATGTATGACAGTGAGTGTGTGAGTGAAGGTGCGTGTTGTAGGGAAGAGTGGGGTAAGATGAGCCATTTTTCACATTTTGGATCACTACATCAAGGCACTCATAGTTTTGTCTCGAACAACTAGTGAATCTGCATGTATTTCAAGATGTTGTACATCCCTGCAAACCAACAGAATGAATGTAAACAGAACTGTCTTGATGATATAGCATGCCAAAAAAGTGGTCTCCTGGTCAACTTACCCCAAGTTTGGGTTAAGTTGACCTTCTCTTTCCCTAAATAACAGTCACTTCTTCACATTTAAATTCACTTTCAAGAGTGAAAAATGGTTTTTTTGGAAATAAATGTCTAACCCCTTCACCCATGTGCTCCATGAATTGATGCCCATCTCCTAAATATTTGGTCACATGATCAATTTCTTTTACCATTTCCAAGCAACAGGGGGTGGCTTAAATTACCCCACTCTCCCCTGCACAAAAAATGACAATTTTGTTGTTGTTCCAGATGTATAAAGATGTATAACACAAATGGGCAATCTAATGGGAGTGAAAGCAACAGCTCTAGCACCAAGTCTGCTCTCTGGAAGACTCTAAATATTCAGATTAGGTGGTGCAGGTGGTGGTGCTCTGGACTGGGTTATATTGAAAGATACTCCTTAAAATTTGTTCACTTCATCATCCAGTATCTAGGATGTAAAATATATTTTAATTCAATCCACGCCACCGTAAACAATTTATTTAACAAAAAGTTACTCCCTGTCTGACCATGTAAGTAGAAACTTAGTAAAACTAGAATTATAGTAGAGTGCTTCTATTGGTTTGCTTTGGAGAGTTTGCTTTGTTTTAATATTATGAGTGCGTCTTAAAATTTATTTTCACATAAATAAAACAAAAGGCTTATGTAAAAGTATTACAAAAAGCTCAAATTATAGGATTTAACAGCGGATACCTTATCGTTTAGCACAGGTGTAGGCAAATGATTAGGGCTATCACAGAGACATAAACAAAGAAAAGCTAACATAATAAATGGTAATAATAAATGGTCAGGTTTAAACAGTTTTCTGGTTGTTCATTTGAACTGTGGGGTTCATATTTCATTAAACAGCAACACTTGCATCATTAGGAAGGTGAATAAAACTGAGAATTATCACCGAAACTTAGTTAAATATATTAGTTTATTTGAGGCTACCACATGTCATAATTCCTTTAATTGAATCAACAAATGCACAATCTAATGTGCACTGACAAACATGATAAAAATATAGAGGGTTGAATTATAACAACGACTTACACTTCATCAGGAGGTGAGTTTTGGCAGAGAAAAGAAGGCTTTTGGCCCTTATCTCTGAGGCCTGTCTAATGTCTATATACACACATCCCTTTCACTGAGGCCACCACATTCCTGTTGTATTTACAAAATAAAACATAAAGCAGCTTAACAGATCATTGTGTTTGTAGTCAAAACTGGCCAACACGGATTTTTCCGAAAACAATGTTCCTCAAAGAGAAGAAAAATTCTTTCAATACTTTTATGGAAAAAAACAAACAAAAACATCAGGTAAGATGAGCTATCTTATTGCATTGCTTCTAAGCAGTGAGATTAATGATTTTAATAAATACATGACAATTAAAATAACAGTATTCAAAAGTGATGTTAGCTGGAAGTCAAAGTAAAGCTCTTTTGTAATTCATTTGCTGCCTAAAATGAACAAGACTTGTGACTTTATACTATATAAAGACATTCCCCGGTCCGAGACTAACCAATAACACTTACTTAATACCACTAACTGATCAGTAAAGGCCCAGACAAGCTGTACTGTAGTGAGTCTTATGAATGATATTAGGTTTGCAGTCAGCAGCAGAGAAGATTTGAGGTCTTTCTGGATAACAATACAGAAGATTCTTTAAACATGAGTTTCACATTTTTTAGGAAGATAGATCTTAGTCTATAAGGCACTGGTACAAAACACAAGGGCATCAGCAGAAAACAATGTTTGCCCAATCCAAATGGAAACATCATATACATTTTAATACCCAAAGGTTTAGGTTAAGGTTACTGTATTTGTTCTGGTAGGTAGATTTGTTAATAGTAATATAACTAGGTATTAAGTTGTATTGCCTTTTTTTGTACAATAAACAATTCAATTAAAACATTAAAAAGCTTAAAAATATCTCTGCGTCTTCTTAACAAAACTGATATATACAGTGCATATGTCACTATAGCTATCATGCCCTGGAATCTATACAAGTGCACCCACTTTAAATGCTATGCAAATTTGTTTATCCTGCTACCTGTATGTCTTTGTCTGATATTTGAGTCTGTAGAGTAAAAGCTGGTGTCAGATCCAAAAATGAGAACATTGAATTCTCCATGAGTCAAGAATTAACTTTAAAATGTTTGTTTCCTCCTTGATGGAAACACGCATATCACCTTCAAGAGCTGCTTTTCCCACATTTTTTTTGTTTTGTTGAAGTTTTCACAGAGCACAGCAGTGTGCACAGCCTGAAGCTGCACCATGACTGCTCGCAGTACACTGATAACTGTGTCTTAGTATAGATACACCAACCACTTATGTCCATCTGGTTATGGATGGTGTTTAGCCATATTTTAAAGTCTTTTCTTTTCAGTACATGTCCCTGTATATCTCCTGCAGAAGTGGGTGCAATGATGCGTCCTCTGTTGTCTTGATTTCCTGCACCAACTGAGCATGCTCAGTGACCAGCTCCCGGAGGTCTGCTAGTTTTTGCAGCAGTCTTGGGAAGAGGAAGTTGTCGTCTGGGTGGTTGGCCAGCAGGTGGAGCCGTAGTGCTTGGACGATGCTTTCCTGCAGCTGCTCCACTAAAGGAACATCCACCAGGCCTGGGCGATCTAGAGGAAAAATCAGAAATCAGAGGGATATGAAGAGGTTGCTTGTAGCAGATTTCGGTCTTTGTGAATGTCAGTAATGTCTAAAGTGTTGGTCACCTCCACAGCAGATAATTGCAGCCACAAAAAGGGCCAAGTCACTGTCGTCCAGCTCCAATGAATTGAAACGTGTAGCAAACTGGAATTTGGGCTCCATCATATCACTAAATGGTCGCCGCAGGCTTTTGAGAAACTCTCTGGTGATGAAGCCTCCACCACGGGCCACAAGGAGGCCATCTTTGTTCATACAGGAGGCCAGGAGGGTAAAAAGAGCTTCATAAACGCCGTACTTCAAGAGAGTCACCTGAACAGAAAGGTAAGACACAACAATAGCTTCTAATTCCCAGACAGACCAATAAAGAACAAATGACAGATAAAGCATCCTTAATCCCACCTGATCATTCAGATCCAGGCTCTGGAAACCCGGTACTGCCTTGGCAAACTCTGTCAGCTCTGTGACAGTCTCCACAGAGGTACTCTGGCAGCAGTGAAAGAGCCGGGTTTCAGCCTCCCTCTGCTGGAGCTCCCCACTCCCCACAACTGGAACCATGTCCCCAGCTTGTGAGCAGATCTCAGTCTCTGGACTGTCACCATTTAACATATGAGCGGCTAACGTCCTCTCCGCCAGCTGGAATGTCTCCATGTCATGAATGATGAAAGGCTGCTGGGAAAAAGAAAGAAAAAAAACAGAGAAAAGGATGTCAGGATAAAGACAACTGAATACTCTCAAACTTCTGTCCTTGGCACATTTTCTTACCGTCTTGCTTGTCTTTCCAGTGAGTATTAGCCGAGCTTTGGCCTTGTTCATGTTGAAGTTCTTCATGTAGGCTTCGTGGATCTGCCTGACCAGAATCTTATGGTCGGCCAGCATGTGGCTCGCTACCTCTTTCTCCACCATTTTGCTTTCTGCCTTTAGCTTTTGCTTCTCTGCCTGAGGCATCCGACCAAACCGGATAGCTGGAGCACAGACACATCAATCATTAGCAACAGCTCTGAGAGTTTGCAAATGGTGTTTCATTCTGCAGGTTTATACATACAATGCATCCAACATACAGTAAAGCATACATGCTCGCTCGCACACACGCACACATATACAGAAACATTCATTCACAGATCTAGTGCATTCTGTTCTCTCTCCTCTCCTCTTAGGACAACATGTCGTCCTCCACTCAGATTTCTGCCACTGCTCAGCCTGCAGTGGGAGGCCATCCTAATAAACTCAATGACCCCTCTGCAAGCGGTGCAGCTGACAGGCCAGATGTGGAGCTATATGGAGCCTGTGTTTTCTCAATGTCAAGCAGACTCCGGCGGGACATTGTTCTATATAAACCCACTCATTGTAAAACACAGAAGACACAGACATATCTCGCTGTAAGTAGTAAATCATCCTCAAGCTGACGACTGCAAAGATTTTTATGCAGCTGTCCCCCTTCTGCTCACTTTACATCTGATCTACTTTGGAGAAAATGATTTATATATTTTCTTTATTACTACTATTTTTTTCACTTACCAAAAATAACTAGTATTTGAATAAGTAAGCACGGAAAAAAAACACACTGTTGTTCAAATTGAACTCAATGCTTTTGCTACCACAGTTAATGGTAACTGGTCCAGCCAGCCCAGTAACTAATGTGACTGCTAACTGGTTTTATGGCTTTTCTTAGCCTACTGTTTCACAGTGTTTATATTTACCTTTATCATTTTAACCGTTCATTTTAGTCTGTATTAACAACTCCTGCTTCAGAAGTATTCAGAGTAACATCATAGAAAGGGAAAAAGCAGTCAGCTTTTCCCCTGAGTATTTACGTACAGAAAAGCTGCTTTTTATTAAACATTTCACTGTTTGAAATGCTTTTGAAGGTTTAAGGCTTTACCATTATGGGACATGCCCACAGAGAGGCACTTGTGGAATCGGCAATATTGGCACTTGTTCCTGTTCTTCTTCTGTATTTTGCAGTTGCGTTCGCACTTGTCGTACTCCAGCTTCAGCCTGATGGTCCTTCTGAAAAAACCCTGGGGGAGACAAAATTAAGCATACTATTAGCTGTCAAGTTTTTGTACGACTTACTTTATAGATCACATGAAAATAATTAGATTTTTTTTAAACCACAAACCTAACTAAAATACACATCTAGAACTTTCACCCCACACACACTTTCTGTAAAGAAGCCTACATGAGTGAATTTTTTCAGACATTAAGTTTGAAGAGTTTTAAGGGACTGTTCTAAATGTCCATCATGTTTCCATCGCAGTGTTGTTTTCGTTGACAATGACGAGAACAGCACTGGTTGTTTTCGCCCTTTTTTTTCCACGACAACGACGTGACGTTGACGAGCTAAACATAAGTCTTAGATGACTAAATGTGACGAGATGAATGTGCGTTTACGTTGACGAGACGAGACTAGATGAAAAGGTTAGTGGTGGACGACGAACAGAGTTGCAAAATTCATGAGCATTTCGTCAGTCAAACGCTAAACATATATTCTGCAGTGTTGTTTTCATTGACGAAGACGTTGAAAATATTACTTCAACGTCATCGTAAACAACACTGTTTCATTAAAAGTGTGAAAGTTAAAGCATTTTAAACAGAGCTTTTCGATCTCACTGTTTTACGGAGTCATCAATGTTGTAAGTCACACCAATAAAATCCTCATTTTAATGATTTTACTTATTTGTCTTCTGATTATGATTTAGTCTGAGTCTGCTAAATAAAAGGGGACCCCAGGACTACTTCCTGTACCCCAGGTGAGGACGGTACATATTATGAGCAGATGCTGTAAATCTGCAGCACTTGTTGATACTGCACGTGTCTTAAGCACATTTTAAACCCTGGCAACCAAAGTGTTATATGACATTTTGTGTTGGACTGTACAGTGGAATCTATATTTAAATAGAGGTGTGCTTCAAGGTGTACTGTAAGCGCTGACCTTCTGAGGGTGAACTCTGATTGGACAAGACAACACACAGCCCTCCGACACACTTAGATACAGGGCAGTGGGCCAACACACACTGACAGGTGCTGCACATGTGCCAGTACATATGATTCTATGACGTGCACTCACACCTTTGAACATCACTCAAATGCCAGTCAGGACATTCCTTATCCTTCATCGTCAAGAGGGGAAACAGATTTTCTAACAACATTTCTGGAGCGCCATGCACATGCAAACTGTCAGCAGCCATCTCACAAAAAGTCTTTTTTACAACTCACATTGTTTCAGAGTAATTTGGACTCTCTTTTTGTGTTTTTCTATCTGCAAAAGTTGTGGCTGTGTTGTGAACAAACTGAGAAGACGCAGAGACATCTGAGTCATTAATGAAACCCATTATACAAAACAATATAACAGCGCCACAGGAGAAAAACAGATGTGTGTTTACAACAGGCATGTCTCTGCACGTATGGGGGCCCAGTCACAACCAGAGAGGCAGGTGCGTTGTGATGATATACAGCCATGAGGGGTGACTAACAAGAATACTGACGTAAGCAAAGAGAAGCATTGTGTAAGTTATCCCCAAGGCCAATCCCCTTCTAGAGAAACTACAGACGCATTTTAACAAACACATCTCTTGACTTCCTCTTCTTGAGCAGGTAGTTGTGGTTAAACGGACTGTCCTGCTGAACACACGTCATAGCATCATTACCACAGACTTAAACCCTGGCACCACAGCAGATTCCATCCACATTCCCCCCTACGAAGCACACCTCTCCTGAAGCGAGGTGTTGAAAACGATCTGCAGCACATGGAAACCGTGGGCAGCGACCACTACATATCACAAGCCAGAGTTTTCCATGATGAAGCAACATCATCAGCCAGAGCATCAAAGAACAAAGTGTGGTCAGAATGAAACATTCGATCACGTGTGCAGCGTCTGACTGATCAGTGTCATCATGTTCCCTCTTTAGAGCAGCAGTGCTCTGACGCATGGCCGGGCGAGAGCAGCGGCCTGGTGTCCACTCTGATGGACCTCATGTAGAAGAACAGAGACACAGAGCTCCACTTCACGGCCTTGAAAACAAACAGATGTGCATTGCACAACTGACAGTGCATTCCTTCAAACTTGGACAGAAAATGAACATTGCAACATGTTTGCCTCCTGCTTATGTAAACAATGTCTCTTATAGACACCTTGCCCGTCCCGAGTAGTTGAAACAGACTGTGCAACCACAGAACAAAACTCGTTTTTTTTGTCGTGAACACAGTTTCAAGGTGGAGCTGATAGAATTTCTTGGACGAGGTTAAAAAAATCAAGCAAAACAGGAAACAAAGGCCGGATTAGTGGTAACAACCTGCCGCAGGCTTGCAGAGGTTTGACTTGAAGACAAGCTTGCATTACTCCACAAACAATGAAGTGATGACCCTTAATGGTTTTAACACACACAGAACTGATCTCTAATCTGATACTGAACTCAACAGTCTCTGTTACTGAATGTTCTGGATGTCACTGTTGATTCTAATTGACATTTTTGTGCAAAATAAAATCTCAAGAATGTCAAGAATTTCAGCTCAAAAGTGTCCTGTGGAGCTCGTCTGCTTCAAGTCTGAAGAATCAACTGTTAGTTTCATGAGAACCTTTAAAATATGAATGCAAACAGGATTTTTTTATGATAAAGAAGTCTACATATGAAGGTATTTTTAGGTATTAAACACAACGGAGCTTTATGCCAGCAGCAGCTCCATGTGTGCCCATGTGTGTGTGTGTGTGTGTGTGTGTGTGTGTGGGTGTGTGTAAAGTCTCTTTGTTAGGCTCTGTGCCAAGCGGGATAGAGGTGACGAGGCAACCAGGGCCACTCTGTCCCCCACCTCACATGACCCGGCGGCGTGCTTCAGAAACTTTCCACTGGCCTCTGGGTCAGGCGCTCCAGCATGCCAAGCTTTGTATGTGTTATGTTGTACATGTGGGCGCTTATGCAGGCATGTATGTGCACTTTAACACATGTGTGAGTGAGTGTGGGGGGGGTTTAGCTCTGTTAAAGCTCAACACCCACATGCAAGAACACAAAACAAATCATGTGACTTTGTAGCACACTAACCTCAGCTAGATTTGATCAGTCTTTATGTTTATACAAATATCTGTGCACGTTTTTTATGTCCTGTCTCACCTTGATACGTGCATTATGTCAGCAAATGCGTGCATTATACACTCCAGCTGGCCTCACTTTGCCTGTTACAGTCTCTCCAGTTCTCACCTTGCAGCCCTCACAGGCATGCACCCCATAGTGGAAGCCAGAAGCCTTGTCCGAGCAGACTCTGCACTCCAGATTGAGGGGGGCGAAGTTTTCCTCTGGACTTGGCGCTCCCCCGCACACTCCTGAAGACGGACTAGAAGCTGGAGTCAAGGTATCTGGAAATATAAACCCAGCACAACAGACAAAGAGGGGCATTATGAAGAAGCGTTTTTGTTTTTTTCTTAATCTGTTATAACCTTTGTCCTCTGGATGAGCTCGCTGAGAGTTTAGCGTCATGTTTAGCAAACAAGAGTAGTATCAAGTTTCCTAACTCTGACTCTAATAGCTTTGTCTTTTCTATGCTAAAAGGTCAGATAACATTTTTAGAAAATTAAAAGAATAAAGGCTTTTTTGGGGGGAATAATGGATTAATAATTTACTTTGACTTTATGATGAATTTTATATTTGTCACTCATAAAATACAAACAAAAAAGTTGTCTATACAGTAAATGTGTCATAAATATATCAGTGGTATCCAATAGACTACTGTAGAGCCAAAAAACTAACCGATGAAAAGCTGCACCAACCAGTTACAACAAAAGGAAAAACTGACCCTGGTTCTGTCCTGCATACATTGTTATATCATGTCCTGTTTTGATGATAGAAATAAACATAAAGGTAAACTGTTCAAAAGAGCAGGTTTAGCTCATTTTCATTTGAGTGTTTGTCACGTCATACACTGAGGATCTCTGTGGGAAAGGCTGCTTCCTTTGTCTGCTAGAGTCCCTTAATTATGTGTCTCCTGCAGACTCGGGGAATTGTAGTTGATGTGTCTCCATAAAATTACAGAGGACATGGGTCATTGGTTCAAGTGCTGCTCAAGAATTTGGGGACGAGATCATGGAGGAGGCACAGGGGGAGAGGAGCTGAGTTGAATTTAATCTTTCATAATCAGACACAAAGTGCTCTACGTAGGCGTCTTGACTTGAACTGGAACAGTGGAGCCTTAAGGTCAAGAGGTCAGGGTTGTTAGGGCATTATCTGTCTGCAGCAAAGATAAACTCTGACATGTTTGGAACAGCTTCACAGCAGCGAGGGACCATCAGGTTGATCATTTGTAGCTTATTAACTGTTTTCCTGTTTTTTTTTCTTTTTAAACCTGTGGTCCATCTGCCTACTTGGTACCTACCCAGTGCAATGGAGCTCTCAGATCCAGAACCAGTGCTGTGCTGCTCCAGGAAATCAAACCCCAGTGTGTCATCCCCGATGGACTGGGAGATGTCACGAAGATCCTCCATCAGGTCTCCACACAGTGGACTGTCCAGCAGAGAATCCCCCAGAGGAGATGGGGGGCTGAACAGATCTCCTGCCATGGTGTAGATCAAACCAAAGCTCGGAGTAAGAGGTCCTCACTTTCCGTACTGTAGTCAGCGGGGAGAGAGAAAATAATGAAGATAAAAGGGGAATGGTGAGACTGAAAGAGAGGTGGAGTAGTTCAGGTGGAGCTTAATTTCAGGCTTTGGGCTTTTTAAAACTGCTTAACAGCAGAGGTGGATCTAACAACCCAATCAACAGTGGATTTTGTTTTTAAAAGTGGATATACATATGTAAGGACAACACAAATGTGTGTCTCTATATTGTGCTACCTTCCGGACCAGTAAATGGACTGGGTTTATATGGCACTTTCTCCAGTCTTCTGACCACTTGCATCACATCTTGTATCCACCCATTACCCCACATCCACACACTGATGGAAAGGTCTGCTATGTATAGAGTCCCTAACTGATTCCATTCACACATCCCCAGACATAGCCAGAGGGGGCAGGCTGGGGTCAAATGTCTTAATGAAACTATCAGTCTACATATCTCAACATTTCTGTAGAGATGGAAAACAAATAGTGTGTAATTTTTTTAAAGTGAACTAAAGACCTACCTTTGTAGTCTACCTTTTAGCTGAATTTTGTCTTAATCTTTTAATCTGCATTACGTGATTTTACGCTATTTAAGTCCTAGAGTAATAATTTTGAGTTTTATTACCTCTTTTTTTTTTTTAATTTACTTTCTTTTATTGTTTGATTTTAAGACTTTTATTTGATTAACTTTTAACGTTTTATCACCTTTATCAAGGTTTTAACATTTTAGTCCTAGATCCAGGGTTTCGTCATCTTTTTTAACTCAAGATAGCGTTTCCTCAGTCATCTGTGGCAAGTTAAAGAGTCCCGGTCTTTTGTGTGTGAGTGTGTGAGTGTTGTATGTGTTGATGGGGGTTGGGGGGTGGATTGGGTTTGGTATTTGTATTTTTATTCATTTTATTTCATTGTTTTTTAATATCCAGCGTGAATGGACAGTGAAAATTACTTTAAAAATAAAGTCTGATTGATTGATTGGTAATCAAAAGATATTATTCTGATTTCAGTTTTATTTATAAACTGCTGCTTCCTGAGTGAGTTTTTTTCCACATGCTTCTGTTGTCCCTTTTATCTAAGGAGGATTAGCTCCTGAATGAACACCTCAAAGAGCTTTTTAAGGTGGCATTTTCTCATCTCACTGCTCAAATTTTGACATTTTTACAAAAGTGATTCATGACAGACTCCTCTTTTCTAAAGCCTTGCATACTTGAGCCTTTCTCTGCATAAATACCTCAAGTTTGCACTTTTGCACCTGTTAGAAAATCTCAACCAGAAGTAAGCACATTCCAGGAGTTACAAAGAGAGCCTGCAACTATCTGTTTTGGCAGCACAGAGGCATCTTTTCCACTCACGTTTGGGATTTTAATACCAAAGAAAGCAAGATAAGTGGGTGTCAGGTTTACGGTGCTTCAGATAAAACATTTAACCTTGATGAAACTTTAAAGTTTAGAACAGAGATGAGTGCTGTACAGAGATTTAGTGTGAGAGGAGATGCACTGAAGGCAAGGGTGGTATATCCCTGAAACCATGGCTCACCATTTCTCAAACAACCGTGACGCTCCAGAGACTCAAAAGACCCCCAGTGAGTACATACTGTCCATCAGAGTGTTTACATTTAACAATAGCCTTTTTTCCACTGTACAGGCACGCAACTTCAATCACTTTCCCTGCCCTTGTCTTTATCTGTCTCTCCCTTTAAAGTGAATCTTAAAGAGTGTGTGGGAGGTGTGTGTTAGAGCCCACAGCTGCTCACAGTAGGGTGGAGGACAACTGTTTAAACCATCACACAACATCACACAGCACCATGGCTAATGCTCAAGTTCTATAATGCTGCGTCCAACTTCCAGTAATTCAAGGCAGCAGATGTTAGTGTTGTTTTTCCACGGACTGCAGGCTGATTGACTTGTCAGATAGCAAATTGCTAAGAATGCTGTTCCTATTTACTGTTATTGTGAACAATCTTGGAATTCAAGCAGAAAAAAACAAGAATGTAACTGATATTTCCCCATCATGATGAAAAAAAGAGGAGATTTTATGGGTAATGAAATGCTGTTACAATATTGTAGAAACAGATCAAAAACATTCCTTTGATGGGATATAAAGAGAGATCAGGCTGTGAAGTCATAACAGAACGAATGTTTGCTCATAGTAAAGTCTAAGCTTACACAGCTGCACACCTACATCTGGAGGACAAGCATGCATGTAAAATTAGCCAATAACTGTGTGTGTTTGTGTCTCAGAAATCCTAAATTGTCAACTCAGTCTTGAACATAACAAAGAGGTAAAATGATCCCTTCTTTTAAATGTGTTTTCTGTTTTCCTGAGGCCAGACAGTGAGGACGTGATTGATCATAGCCCGCTCTGTCTTGTTTATCTCGTCTCCAGGTCGTGGCATGTCAGTGGACAGGTCCTGACAGAACGCCAAAGCTGTGTGAGAGTGTGTAAAAACACAGAGGCGTGCGCTGACATATTGTTCACAGTGGAAAACGTGGAGGGCATGGCTGTTGACTTACTGTTGTCTAACTGGTCTGTTCGGCTGCTTTGACGCACATGTATGCTCTTACAATATGATTATGGTCCCGGTAGCTGACAGTTGACTGGGTCAAAGCATTCAGACTTTAGTGCATCAGCCTATAAGCTGCTCAATAAACTCTTAAAGTTTGTTTTGGGTCGTACCCAAAATATGGAGGATCCCATTACAACACAAGCTCAACCGTTTTCACATCTGGTTTTGATGATATATTACATTATGGGTTTGTATGTTATGTCCTTAGCTGCACTCTGGCATAACTTTATGTCTGACTACGATGGTCTGTTAGTTTACTATTCAATAATAGCTATTTGGACATTTACAGTGATTTAACTGCAAAATAATGGTGAAATTTGACAGTAAAATGTGAGAAATAAAGAATATTTTCATTAAGTATGACATGATTGTGAATATTTGTGAATTTAATGAGAATCAATCATGAGATAGACTGTGAATAGTAAGGTCAGTCAGCAGTGCCAAATCTGACAGCCAAATGAACTGATTGAAATCTGGTTCATAGCTTGAGTATTGTGTTGGTCAAAACAATCTTTGTGGGTTAATATGTTGAAACTAGGTCAACAGGTACATCTTTACTTTGTTAATCAGACTTCCCTTTTCACGGATGACCCTGACCGAGCCCATGTTTCCCTGTCACCTCAAAGCACATTGTGTTTTAAGTCCCAGAGGAACAACAGTCCCAGACAGAGGGCTCTATCTTTAGGTTGCAGGATAAGAGGAAACAGGAGCCGTCAGCTGCGTTCAACAACACATGTTAATTCACCACAATGAGGAAACGACTGACCTACAAGTTCACCAAGTTTGCAAGACTTGCATATCGGCTGTTAGATGTGCATTCTGCTGAATTAGGATTTCATTATTGCAACAAGGTCATCCAAAAGCAAAACAGACCAATAACTTAGTTGCAGGGGGAAAACCTACATACCTACTTCCAGTCTAACATAAAAGTTCTGCATTTATTCACAGTCATGTGTTACCCTGCAGCTCACTGTCTGCTGATATATCTGAAATAAAATGATACTCCTGAAAGGGAAGTTCCAGCCTATAATAAACATTATCTTTCCCCCCACATGGAGGCTTTTCTTGGTGTTTGTGGGTTTATTAGAAAAACAGGTGAAGACTTGAACAGTCAGGAAGTTCACTTTGGTTTCAGTTCACACACAGAGATAGCCTACTGAGACACTGAGAACACTTGCATGCATTCTTCTTACTGCTGCAGCATTAAGACAACAGTCTTAGTTAAACCACTGTGTTTTAAGATGGACTAATGCTGGCTTTCTTTTTCACACTCTGTTAGATCAGACATTTTCACTGTTGGCATATCTGATCATTTCAAGTTGGATTAGTGCATCCAAACAAAGTTTATAACCGCAAATAAATGACAGAAATCCTGAATGAAGATCATTCATACCTCAGAGGCTGACTTCCACACCATTTTCAGAAGCTGGGGTTCTTGTAGTCGGAGGATGGATGAATGGAGGTGTTCGGGTCCCGGGACACTCCGTCACTCTGATACTCCGAGCTCCTCTGCTTGAAAACTTCACGCGCTGCCTGCCTCCCTCCGTGCTGTCACAACCTCCGCTCATCCCCGGCAGGAAGTAGCGTAACGGCGGACGGCGGCGACATGGCTCACACACCCCCTGACACACCTATGGTTCCAACCAATGCACAGGCAGGGACCACCTCACTGGATTCAGGCAGGACCTGACTACTTCCTGGTGGCTCGGAACGTCATGGATCAGTCTGAACGTCTTCAAATTATTATTTGAACACAAATTAATATTCATGTTCACTGCCTTTTACACAGGAAAAGGCAGTAAACACAACACTCCCATCAGTTTAACGAGCTCTATCGTCTCGTGCATCATTTACAATGGCGCCAAGAAAGGCTGATGTAATGTCTGGAGTCTATGGGTTCCTGTAGATATTTATTTAACCAAACACAGGCTTTTATCAGCTGTAATTTACTGATAACACGACCGTTTTCTCTTTGAAATGCCGTATAACATGTTGAAAATATCCTATGACAGGACCTTAGACCTTTTCCTGCCCATAGGTCTGTTGAAGTAACACAGAAGAAAGGAAATGGTGAAACAGTACATTTACTCACGTTAGTTCATGTTATTATTTAGTGATTAACCATAACAATTTAGAATCAAATGTAGTACTTTGTTGATAAGTAGGAAATTGGCCTGGCTTAATTTAGCTACTGTGTCTTAGCCTAAACCATGATAAAATGAAGCATTTTAACCACCTGGAATTGTCACATTTTTGGGAAATTTGGACATGGTACAAAAAAAGGGTAATTTTTGTGAATAACGAACATTCATCTACCACATACCTTTACCGTAAGTGACATTGTTTATGCTTGACATTACTTAAATATTATGCTTTTCCTGCATAAGTCATAGACGCCTAACATATTGCTTCTCATTTACTTAGACTGAAAGTCACTTAATGGCAGGCCACTAAAAATACACAGTATATGTATAGTCTACGTCCCATTGATTCTACAAAGTGGGTTAAACATGCACATTTAAAACAAATGTATTCAGCAAAATAAAGCTATTAAAGGTAATGTATGAGTTAGCCTACTGTAAGCCTGAACAGTGAAGTCAATTCATATATTTCTGTTAACAATTGCAGTTTTAAGTTAAGCTAAAAATTGTGTTTACAGAATTCCAATAGAGGACTATTCAAAAAGTTTTGATAGGTTCATATTTACAAGTTTCTCAGCAGCTGTTTGTTAGGGTTAGCAGATTATGCAGAATGTGTTTCTGAGGTTCATTGACATTTATTTTGAGATCCTAGCCTCTGATTGGTAAATGCTGTGACATGTGATCAGGGTTGTCCAGGATGTTAGGTTTTGGGGGTTATGTTGTGGGGATGATAAGATGGCTGAAGAGTAAAAGTGCTGTGAACAAAGTTATCCGTCTCCATCCTGCTATTTCTCATCATTAGAATTATCCAGCCACCTTACATTGAATTGTCACGTCACACTACTATAAATGAATAACCATATAGTTTCCATTGTTGGTGGCTTACATGGTTGTGATACAGTAAAATAATAATGCCTGTCTTGTGGGTCATTTACAGCATTTTTTGTGGTGAATTTTGACCATCAGTTGCACAGGTGCTTTCTTCACTGTGTATTACTAACAGCTGAAGTGAAGCACGGCATGTCATACTGGCGCCATCTACTGTGTATCTGCATAGTAACCTCTAAAGGTGTCTTCACCTTGATTTGAGAAACCGTCTGAGGGTCTGGTCTCCATCTTTACCTTTTTCTTTGCCTCTGTAATAGATGACCCACACCACCTAAAGCTGTCACACATGTTTTCTTACAGGGGTAGGAGTTTGATTATGTGTATCTTTAGTGGGTAGCTACCTGGTCTTTAAAATCTGTGAGGAAAACCAACATGCTTGGCTTTCATGAATTGGACATTTTGAAGCTCGTTTTAGACTGAAATACATGAACAGTTTGGTCTCAAAAAGGAAGATTAAAGCCTCAGGAACATATGGCTCAGATAAGACTAGTTGGCTTACACTGAGAGTTGTGGATTTTAAGTGTTGACGAGAATCATCTTTTCCTGTAATCATCTGTTTTATAATCTTACAGGGAAAACAAACAAGGTATTTTCTTACAAAGTACTTAAAGATGAACTCCTGCAACAACAATGATCAGATCTACAGGTGAAAACTTATCAGCTTTTCCATGATCTGTTTTTTAAAATATCATAAGCTCCTTTTGAGGATTATCAAAGTAATAACTATTCCAACAACCTATTTTTTCCACACACAAAGGATCAGACTCGGTTTATTTTAGTTTTCTCATCTAGTCTTTATTTATTCATAAAAAACAATGCAAAGTACAGCACCAATCACAGCAAAAAAAGCATTTACAAAGCCATACATACCCAACCTATTCTGTCTGATAAAACTATTATTAAAGTCGCATGCAATATAATAATAATAAAACTCAATGATACCTTTGACATCAAACTCCAGTCCTTTGTCTTGCTTAGTTCAGAGAGCGTCAGTGTTGGCCAACAAAGACATGTGCTCCTGTGATGTATTGCTGCCCTCCAGGGAAGGCAGTAGGTTGTATAGTTAGCTCCTGATGGGGTAAAATCACAACCCTGAAACCACACAACCTACTACCTCACCCTGTACGAACATCATAAGTCACCCAGGTGGGGAGGAGGAGGAGGCGGATCACATCTGGTGTAGAAATCACATCTGTTGGCTTATAATTTCAGACTCAGGATGTTACATTTCAATACAAGCAAAAACAGACCTCACTTAAATGCCAGCCACTGGGATTTAATCGGAGCTTCTACTACTGTGACAAGCATGTAAAGAGGAACATTTGTAGAAAATAAACTTCATAAGCAAAATATGATTCCAGTAAAAATATTTCATCGTAAAAGCTGAACAGTTGAAGCTTGAAAACCGTTGAGATCAGGATTTGGAGCGAGGAGGTTTATTTTCTTCTGTGATGATGACGACGACGATGATGATGATGATGCCATCACAGTCGCTTCAGGAAAGACAGTAAGTTGTATAGTCATCTGACAGCTTGGGAATGACCCTAAAACTATACAACCTACTACCTCACCCCAAAGGACAGTTTTTCTCCAGCATGTTGTTGACGGTCCACCTGCTGTAAGAAAAACTAAAAACACACTTTAAATGTGCGAAATTTCATATTTCAGTTGTTTCAAGTCCAAATAAAATCCTTTGGACATGAGATAATCAAACTTTTTAATGAAGTACTGATGTGTCAAATGAATCTGCACAAGGAACTAAAGGTTACCATTGCTTTAGCATGCTAATGCTAATGTATCCACTGTATTTCAATTGTTTGAATTGTAATTCAATAATTTACGTTTTTACAAACACACACTCAGGTGTAAAGGACTTTAATACTATTTAGAGAGGATAGAAAATAGAGTCTAAACTTGTTTTAACTTGTGAGGATGTATCGTATCCATGCTAACATACAGATGAATTTCACTGCTTTACTGTTTTTCTGTGTTTTGATTGTTTGTTCTTTGATTTAAGATCAATATCTGATGTGAGACAGAGCAGGATAAGCTAGCTAAATGTGTGTCAAAGACGATCATACCTTTATGCTTGAATTTTTTGTAAATCCAAAAATGCCCTTTCTTTACTTACTGGTCATTCATGTCTATTAAGTCAGCTCCTCTCAGCAGGTCTGTGCCATGTAACAGCTCTCGTCCTCTCAGGTTTCCTCATCCTGATGGAGACAAACGAGAAGAAGGAGTGAGCTGCGACTTCAAGTCAAAAGGTCACACTTTCACCTCTTGTCCTACACATACTGACAGTGCTCCCCTGTGCACATAAAACTGCACATAAGTGTAGCAGAAAGTAAAGCACGAAAAGTCGAATCTGTGCCTGTTTGTTTTCAACACCTGCATATAAATGCAGGAGTTTGTATGCATGCACATGAACACAGAGAGAGTGAGAGCGTCTTCTATCTAGATTATTTATGAGGATCTTGTTTGGCAATCAGCAGGGGGGACTGTGCTGTTACCTGCTGGCTTAGGTAACAAGTGATAAACTGCACCATTAACCTAAAACTATTCTGTTTAATTTTCACCCTCAATCTTCGCCCGCAGCTTATTTGTGTGTCACAGGAAATCTTTATGCAAATGCGCATACATTTCGCTACGTGTGTGGCTGAGAGGTCAAACAAGACAGGTTGTGGTTGTTTCAGGGAGTTTCCTGAGTCAGACAGGAGAGGCTGCGGTTTCCCCTTAAGCTGGGGAGCGACAGGGAGGACCTGAGGTTGAGAGGTGAGGTCCGACTTATAAAAGTGAGTCACAGCTTTAGCTCCTCACACGCAGGAACGCACCAGTTTGCGGCTATTTTATTGCCGGCTGGTTTTCCCATAAATGCCACACAAATCTTCACAGGAGCTATTTAATGTCCAGGCCTGTGAGGTATACAGCAGAGCACTCTTTGCTTACACTGCTGATGTGTGTACAGCCGGTTATCAGGTTTACACAGGAGCAGCTCTTTTACTTGAAGGGCAGATTTAGGCCATTTGGAGAGGATATATTTTACTGTTACCTCTGCTGGTCTCTGAGATTTCTGTCAGCGTCATAACAGGATGTGAGTGACGCAAGTATCAATTTTAATACAGACAAAACTGAAAATGTTGTGGTCTGACAAATTCAGAGACCTCAACATGAACTTTTTCAATTCTTTCTGAAAAACACTCTCTAAAAGTCGCTGGCTTAATGTCTGGGTCATCCACAAGGAACCCGTTTATGGACATTTATTTATTTAAATTAAATACATTAAAAATAATATAAATGTGAAAGTAATTTGTCATCACTGTGATTGTTGTGATACAACATTATGTCCTAAAAGAGGCAGAAATATCAGAGGGGAAATTTGTTTTTGCAATTTGCTGTTTTTAAAGCCTAAACAACAGCACAGAATTGAAAATACCCAAGTGTTGAATTCATATTTAGACTGCAGACTGATGAATAAACCTTGTGTCTTTAGTTGCATATCTCTGTTTTTTTCTACAGCAGTTACCTGAAAAGATTGTCGTCTTCAGTCTGTCAAACACGTCATAGTAGTTTTTTTTTTTTTAAATAGAAGTAAAACACCCTGCAGCAAAACTTTCCAAGAACATTTTTGACACACAACTCAACAAACCCTTAAACTGTGTTAAACTATCAGGAGCAAAACTTTAAGTTATTTGACAATAACCACTGTAGTGAGTGAGGAGAGCGGACCCTATATGCCTGTTGGAGTGGACTACGGCTGCTGAATCAGGATCAGTACGATAAAAGGCATGTACTTTTCTTTCTACTTTCTTTTAATCATTTGAATGGAATCACACTCTTTTTTTGTTGTCCAGTATTTGTCTCTACTGCATTGTAATGCATCTAAAATTATGAGGGACAGTTGGGGGTTTAGGAATTCTTTTAAATCAAAATAAAGGCTTTAGAGGCGTCAGGTCACTTCTCCTGCAGTTGACCAAAGTCACCAACAGGTGTCATGACTCCCCACGAACACTAGGAGAGTGTGAGGAGAGCCCAGGGCTCCTGCCACAATGAGGCCTTTGTGCAGTTCCGGGTGCCAGCCGGTGTGCCCTCGTGTACTGTTTCCCTCTAATCTTCATTTGACCTTTAGGCTGATGGCTTTTCTTTTCCCATTTTTCCCCGACTAATTTTCTTTGAGGAGATTATCAGTGAGCCGCACCGCAGACTTACTGATTCAGATGACATGACACACACAATGCTCCAGAGTGGGTTTTGATGGGACACAACGCTCACTGCTACAGTCACTGCTGTGTGCTGGGAACAATGTGGGCCGGACTGTGTTCAATAAACTCATGACAAACTGTATAAATTGCGTTGTGTGTACGCAGGCTGCAGGGGAGGAAACCGGAGGATTCATAATCCCTGCAGCAGACCTGCCCGAAATCACAGTGTGGTGGCATTCTTTCACACAAACACACACGCAAACACACACAGGATCCCGCACACACAGAGTGAAGTAAATATGTAAGACAAGAACATTTTAAAAGACAGAATATTGCACTTTACCTTGACTTCCAGGCTTGAGCTGAACTGAAAACAACGAGCCCTGCAAATAAGAGAGGAAAAAAGCATGTCACTGTAGTTGTAGATACACACACACAGTCAGGTCTTCATAAAAAAATGCTGTGCAAATATATAATCACAAAACAATCACACACACTCACACTCACACACACACACACACACACACACACACACACACACACACACACACACACACACACACACACACACACCAATGTATCCATGTAGCCTTAAGGTCATAAACCTGCCAGGCAGCAGTTCCTTGAGTGAATCATTAGGGCTGATAGGACACGTGACAGAGGGATCACAGCTCCAAACACTGCAGCTGATTTTAGACCCCAATAACTTCATCACCAAAATCACTCGTGTGTGTGGATGAAGCTGAGGAAAACAGCTTCATAAATTACCAGAGGGAATAAATTACTGTGCTTCATTAGAATAATAAATTCAGTTAGCTTTTTGTTCAACATTTTTGTAGATTTTTTATTTTTAATTAATGTTTTTTGAATGTGACATAATTCTAGTTTCTAAAAATAAAATGTAAAAGCTTCACAATGGTTGCAGATTAAAAACATCAAAGCATTAAAGAAAAAAAATCATATCTGTTTTTAAAATAAAATCAATGATTTTAACCAAAATACATTTTCCTCTTTTCATTTTGAATTACATACACCAACACAAAATATAAATAAATATTTAACCACATTACCACACACACATATACACTCACACATGCACACACACACCGAAACACACACATACACACACACACACACACACTTGCTCAGAAGTCAAAGTGAGTCATTCTAGTCAAAGTACCGTCCTCTATTAGAGAGTGTAATTGAAGTTTTGTCCAATTTAATAAACTACATTTTCAGAGTTCAAAGTGAGACTCCTGCATAAATTTAAAAATGAGGAAAAAAGCTGAAAAATAACCTTCAATCATATTTTAAAAATATTATTACAAAACCTAAAATTACGGATTTAAGGTTGTATATGATATTTGCCATTTCTAGTGAATTAACCACATTTTTAAATTTAAAAGCTTAATTTATGTCAAGGAATTTTGTAAAAAATTAAAAAAAAACACACTTACACTCACACACACACTTTGTGGTTTTCTCTCTTGGAGACTTCATGTTGCTGAATCTTTTGAAAATAAAATGCTAAATATCGAACAAGCTTTTCTTTTTGCTTCATTTTATTTCTCTTTACAAAACAAACCTCAAACCGACAAATTCTCACACTCAATCTTACACACTCTCACAATGAGACACAAACACACACACAGTACCACTAAAACCGGAGGAGGTGTAACTTGAATGCAGCTCAAAGTCAAACAACACAAACTCATCTAATACCTCAGACCCCTTCCTGTCTACAGATTTACAGATTTAACCCTTCACTGAAATGACGGCGGGTCACTGCAGGGCTTCCATACAGAAATCTAAGTCCGGCTGTGTTTTTTTTTAACTGCTCATCCAGGCAGTGAATACTCTGAAACACAATCAATATTTTAAGTGTGTCTGTTTTGTGTGTCTATTAAAATGTGTCCTTGTGCCTTTTCACTGCAAGAGTGTGTGCTTGTGTTGTACTCAAATGCACCTGTGTATGGCCATCTGTAGTAGGTGCATTGTGTGTGTGTGTGTGTGTGTGTGTGTGTGTGTGTGTGTGTGTGTGTGTGTGTGTGTGTGTGTGTGCTCAAAAGGGGAGGCTGTGCCCTGCAATCCTTGGAAGAGGCGTGGGAACCCCATTCATCTCAGGAACCAGGGTTCATTGTGGGGTACATAGCATCAAATGTGTCTGGGTGTTTGCCTGCGTGTGTGTGTCTGAGGGTGCGTTTGTGCATGCAGGAGTCCTGTGTGTAGTTTACGATGTGGTGCCGCAGTCTTTTTGTTAGCTTTCAAAGTCAAGCAATCTTTAATCTGTCTTTGAGGATTTGATGTGTCGGCAAAATCTGCAATTTTTATCAACATCACTTTTTTAGCATTAGAAACACTGCTGGTGATTCTGGGCTCCTTGTGTCTGATGTAGAGGTAACAGATTCTGATATTACAGCAATCCAAATTTTTTTTTTTTAATCACTCTTAAAAATCAGCATTTTTTTATAGACTCTAAGTTGTTTTTCGTCATCGTCTCTTGCTTTTTTAACTCTTAACTCACATTCAGAGAGCTAATATTTTAATATTTCATTTCGATTTATACGAAACGAAGACGTAAGTACACAGAGGATGTTTTAGATCGTTTTACATCAAAAACGAACGTAAAAGTGAATTTGGTTGGTGTTTAAAATAGTATTCCTCTCTGTATTCAACGCCGTCATTTGGTGGTAAAAAGCGTCACGAGTCTGCGCAAACATTAGCGTTCGTTTGTCACGATAGAAAACGGTAGAAAAGGAGAAAATCGAAGAGAAGAGAGCAGAATCAAAAAAATACGATCTCATTTGATTCTGCTGCATTTTTTTGGCTGCACCGTGGGAGCTGATTGGTGTTCGGCAGTGACGCATGCTGACGTACTCGCTCGTAATCGCACCAAGCTTAGGGTCTCAGAAAAGGGGGTCCGGACACACCTAATAAGAGAAGCAGAGGTAGGGTTCCCTGCCAGGGGGGGGTGGGTGTGTGGGGAGCAGGGGAGGGGGTGATGGTGGAGCCCACATAAGGCCCTGTAGTGCGTAACGTGGGACGTAGGTGGGATGACTAGAGCTATCAGTGATGATTCACACTGCCTACACTCCTACCTACTGGTCATGGTACTGTCTGATGTGCTGTGGTATTGAACACAAAGCCACAGCGACAGGCAAAGTCCATTTAAGTGTAAGCTTCTTCAATTAGCGCCTGTTCATGAAACTGATTTATGAATAATAATTAAGAGATGGGATTCCTGAGGCATCGAAGGGGGTGTGGCTTATATCTTTTTTTTATTTTGTGAAAATACGATGCAGTGAAGACGATATTAGAGGTGTTATTCTGTCTAGAGAATGAAGCAGGTGTGTGATTTATGTCCATTTACCTTAAAATTAATTCTTCAATTGGGTTTATAAAAATTACGAAGGTCCAGTCGCTCCGTAGAGAAACATCGGATCCAATGACTGCCTTGTAGTTTTTTAATTGCTTATGCATGTAGAGAAAATTCGAGAAAATGAGAATAACGTGTGTGTGAACCACATTCGTAAAAAAAAAAAAACTTAATAAGCGGTCGGTCCAAAAGGCCTGTTTGTGCTTCATCAACGCTGTGTGTGGCCACGTGTCAGCGATGACCCATTTTCAAACGTTAAACCTTTTAATATGGACTAAAAACCTTGATTGTATTCGTGAGGACGAGGTTTTCGTGTATCGAGGCGTTTAAAGCGGAGCGGGTTGTAGTTTTTCTGATAGCTGACCAGGACTGAAAAGGGAGAGAGACTCAGAGAGTGCCTGAGAGAGAAAGAGACAGAGCATTGTGGTGGGGCTTGGCCTTGTGTAGCAGGCCTAGTCTGGCCCTAAGCCCAACATTACAGCACTCGCCCCTCTGCTCCCTCCAAAACTGTCCTTCTGTCTCACACAAAAGACTGACCTGGAGAGCGAACAGCAGGTAAAAACGTAGGAGAGGAGAGATTAGATCAGTTCCGTCCAAAATTCAAAGGCCTTGCCACGTTTCCCTCGTTGGTTCGTCCATAGTCAGTTAGCCTCCCCTCTCTGGGTCGTCATGTCGTCCTCGAGAATCAACACCCAGACTTAACGTTTTCAATACATGAACATGGAGATCGGGGCAAAGCAAAACCCGCACTGAGGCGCTTGTCTCATCCTTTCTCAGACGTAAAACCTCTGCATTTGAGTCTTTTTTTCACACAAAAACACTTGCACAGGCATACATGCACAAACACACTTACCTCCACACCCACACACACTCTCTGACTTACCCACTGAGACTTTGAGGGGAACTGGCACACACACTACAGTCATCAGCTATCCGGAATAAAGCGTCGAAATCTCCGCCGTTTGTGGTGCTTGATCCCTCTGTGGCTGCTCCCAGCATGTCCACATATCCTGTCTGTAGAGAAGGGCAGAGAAGGAGCCCGAATTCAGTCACACAGCTCTGCACTCCCTGCAAGGAGTAGGCGGGCACACCAACGAGAGACCCATTCAGAGTCCCAGAAAGTACCAGCCTCCTGTCTGCCTAAACGCCATGTCTGTATGTCTGTCTGCCCATCTGTCTGGGTTTTACCCTGTCAATCCAGCCGCCTTGGCTAGAACTGGTCTCTAAGCCTCGGGTAACCTGCAAAACCTCAGCTAACTGCTCTCTACCATCTACAACCTGACTCCCCTCGCTCTCCCGTGTCTGCCACCCCCTAGTCTGCAACTGTCAGGGCCCGCCACAATAAGGAGGCCATGTGGGTCTCCCATGGAGTCGCGTGTTCCTCCCGTCTGGCAGTTAACAAGGCTTTGAATGAGGAATGTTAGCAAACAGAGCTGCTGAATGTCGGCTGAATGCTAAGCCAGGCAGCCAGTCAGATTGCAGCACTGGCCCGGGCATATGAATAATGCAGAAGACTCGACAGGGAGGAGAGTAGGCATGACCCCGCCTTCCACTGCCCCTTCCCAACTCCACCCACCCCTCCTTCTATTCCCCCCTGCTCGAAACTCAAATGCCTTCACGGGAGCAAGAGAGCGGAGGGTGGGGGGGAGAGAGAGGTTTCAAGATCTCTGCAGTTACTCACTTTAAGCCAAACTAAAACTTCAAGTCCTGCAACAGGAGAGCAGTTTACCAATGCTCACATGTCTACCCTGCAAATAAGTTCTTGAAACATGCCACTTTTTGCCAGTAGTCAGGAACTATCTCACTCTTTTTTGGCTTTTTGTGTCTTTTGTTTGGAATTGGCACCTGTCCCAGAAAAAGCCCTGTCGTCGCCCCGCCCTCCTGCTCCCCTTTCACTGGAGACTGCCCACGAGAGTGAGAGAGATAGGGAGTGAGTGAGAGAGAGAGAGAAAAAGAGAGAGAGAGAGAAGGAGAGAGGGAGAAGGGGAGAGCGTGAGGAAGAGAGGGTGGGGCAAAAATCCAAAAAGAAGGAGAGGTTTGGAGATGGAAGGGTGAAGGAAGGAAGGGCAGAAGAGATAAGAGAACAGGGAAAATGCATGAGAAATCATCTGTAGAAATCCGGACACATGCACAGGTAGTACGAAAAAATGAAGCAACTGCTGAAGGAACGCACTGGAAACAAGCTGCTGTCTTCTTCCTCGGGGACGGCTCACGAGTAAAAAGAAGCATGGCGAGAAATCGAGAAGCACGTGCTCGAAAAAAGGCCCTTGCATCACAGGAGGGCACGAATCAAAAAAACCCAGATTCCACCCTGTCCAGTTTAACTCTACTGACCACGACCTAGAGGCGGCGAAAACTGGCAAAATGTATTTGATCGGAGTCGGCCTGCGAAGTCAACGCTGCTCCTCCGAAATGTCTCAAACATGGCGCAGTTATGTCGAAGTAGGAGTAAAGCGAAGCCACTTGTTGCATGATATTGAGGAGAAGATCTTGCAGAGAGAAGCAAGAGCAGGCAGAGGGTTAAAATCCTGGGACTGGGAGTAGTAAAAATCCCTCCCTCTTTTGGCACAGACTAGCTAAAGGGGAGGGCCTGCCTGTAGAAATAGCAGCAGAGCGTTTTTCCCCTCTTTTTTTTTTCAGAGCTGCAGCGTCCTAGTCTACCCTCTCGCATGTGGCCGGGACCCAGGGAGAGAGGAGGAGGAGAGCGATGGATAGAAAAAGAAGCAAGAGCCGAGAGGGGAGGGGGCACGAGAGGGAGGGGAGAAGAGCTGTGAGTGGAGGAGAAAGAGCTCAGCTGATGATGAAACAGGGGACGTGTAGGAGTGCGTGCGCACTACGCGTTGTCATCACTGGCACGATGCGAACGTGCGCGTGCACAAGGTGGGTTGGGGAGGGAGCTGGGGTGGAGGTGGAGGGGGGGGGGGGGTACGGTGCACTTTCCTGAGGAAGGGAGTCACAGCAAACACACACACACTCACAAATGATTAAAAAGATTCTGGGGCAACTCGCAACTCCTAACTTTAAGATTTATGGAGGAGATAAATCATTCATCTGTACATTTGGGAGTTTCATCTAACTTTGACCTAAATGTCGATGGAAACTTTCAAGGGGGCAGAGGAAGCCACTTGGAAGTAAAGGCGTCCTCCTAACAGAGGCCGAAAAAAGAAATTCTGGCGTGATCGCGATTGAATTCGCTCTTCGTTGCTGCTTCTTCTTCTTCTTCTTCTTCTCTCCCACAGACACCTTAATGAGTTGAAAAGATACCACGACTGTTTTGGCATGTAATCAAAGCCTGATAAGCACCTGGGAGCGACCGCCCCGCCATGATTGCAACACTGGACCACGCAGTAAAATCCTGTAATATTTACCGCAGTGTGCCCGCCCTGTGCCATTATCAGGGCCACGTTTGCCTTACTGTGATATGCGGCCGGTCTGAGCGCCAATATGGAGAGGAGAAATGTCGGGCAGTAACTGCACGATAAAATGGACTCTGCTGATGATTCTGCTCGTGTCCTGCGCCCTCCTTCCCCCTCCGCCTCCCCCCTTCAGTGTCCAGCCTATTCTGTCTCCCACCCTTTCTTGTCCTTCCAGTAGCACAATTCTAGCCTACAGTAATAAACAGCCCGGTTCAGAGAAGCTAGTGTTAATTTGAGCCTGCTCGAGGAGGATCTTTTTAAGTGTTTAGTGCCAGATACCAGCCCTGCTGTCTCTCTCTCTCTCTCGCTCTCTGTCTCCCTCCCCTCTGCTTCATGCACACCTACCAACTCCTGCATCAGCCTGCTGAAGGTTATTCACACCCGTCCGGTTTCTGTATAATACCCCGACACCCCCTTCGCCTCCCCTCTATGACCAAAGTGCTGTAATGCCCCTTAGCTGTTTGCAACACATTCCCCCATGGCAAAAGAACAACTTCCTCTCTTTTGGACGCCATTCCCCTCCCTTCTAGGCTCCTCTTTCCCAAAGAAACTCAACACAGGCGTATGTTTCCCCCTCTTTTACCAAAAGTCGCAGTCGTCCGTTTCTTTGCGCAAAGAAACGGACGAATCTCGCATCACGGCCCGATAACTAGCTGGTTTCTCACACAGAGTCAAAAGGGAAGCTGAACACGCTGAAAAAAATGCGGGGCGGGAAAACACTACGCCTTATCTTTCTTCCTTTTTAATACTGGAGAAACCGAAGCGAGCATTCGAGATTTTTAGCCAAACCAATATGACCGCTTGGCTAGTTGTAGTCTTTTCTACCTCCTCACTCTTAGTGCTGGAAACTGAAAGAGAAGGCATTACTCTGCTGTGTGTGTGAGAGAGTGAAGGAGAGAGAGCAGGGGAGAGATAGAGAGGGAGTGCACTTGTTTTGCCTAACTCTGCTCACCCTCAGATATAACTCAGAATCTCCATGTTGTGTGTACTGCTGCACTGTCTGCGTATCACAAACACACGGGGAACAAAACGCGGTCACTTCTCATTGTGAGGACGAAGCAAAACGGGAGTCTCTGAGCAGGTAAACACGGGTCAATTTCAGCGCATTTTATCAGGACATAAACCAACTTGATGAGAAAAACAGATGGAGCACCAAACAGTTATTAGGTTGAACCACGTGACGTCACATCTCGCCATGTCTTTTAACCAATTGCAATCACTCCGTGTGCAAAACGCCGCTCGCATGCATGAATTTTAATGGAACGATTGTGAAGACAAATTTGTGTCTCATCAGCACTTTGAAGAGTCCCTCAGCCCTCCTCGTCTATCTAAGACACTGTTCCTGCTAGTCAGTTGTTTACCATCCAACATGTGGCAGGAATTCAAAAAACTTGGCAGAGCCTGTTGCACCGTACGTCGTGGAGAGTTCATCTGAGGATACGACTCTGGTTTTGGCTCAGCTGCCAACTTCTGACACTGTAGCCCTCTGCGCGGCCTCGCCCCTGCAGGAGCGGCCTGCGTAATGCTGCCATTGATGAAACTCCAATATTAACAAGCTCATTTATGACACCACCAAAAGTCCACAAACATTATTTTCTAAGCGAGCCCCTTCACATCCAGGTGACACTGAAGCCGTGCTCTGCTGCAGCGCACACGTATCCGCGCTGTGAGAGGTCAGACTGCATTGTTGATCATTGATAAGAATATCAGCCATAACTCTGATATCGGCATATTTCAGCGGACACACACACACGGAAAGTCAGGCAGACAAAGAGCTGCAGAAACCCCCGACGAGTTTAATCAAACTTCTCAATCTTTTAAAAAATTCAAAGAAGAGAGGAATGAAATCAAAAGTCATAAAGTGATCGCAGTAAACATGTCACACATGCACAACTCATGTGACAGCACGGTCATAAATGTCTAGCAGCTAAAATGAGTTAGAGTTCACCGAGGAGCTGGAACAATCACGTTGTTGATCCGGTGGTCTTATCAGACCACTGGCACCTTCACATCCTCATGAATCATCCCACAAATCCACAGAAACAAACACAACAAATTTACGGACACAAACACGCTAATGCAAGAAGACACGCCGCACATTATCGAGACCTCACTTCCAAATATCTTTGTATTAAAACAGCAAAACTTCAACCTGAAACTGTGAAATAATACAATGAAATTAAAGATTCACTTGGTTTTTATCAGCTTTTTCTTAGAGGACATTTATTATATGTGGATTAAATATAAAATACATATATATAAATTAATTAATGAGGTTAGCAGCTACATTTTTTTTCTGTTAGTCATGTAAGTTGGCGCTTGGAGCTGTGAATCGATTGTCCTGAAGTAAGTTGAACCAACAAGGAGAACTTTTTAAAAAGAGATGTGACTCTTTAAAATAAATCTGTGTAAATCTCTTCTGTTTGATTTATTTTTATCCAAATAACTAAATTTGTTGTGTATTTTTTTAGGCTAAAACCTGAATCCAAAAAGGTGGAAGTTGCTCATTTTCCCCCCGTTGTTTTCCCGTCTTATAGGTTACAGCCGTCTATACATTCACACCCCAGTGCGCACACTCGCTCTCTTTCTTTGCTCTTTGGTGACCGGTGCGCCGCGCCCGCTCCCTCTACGAGGTGGTCTGCTGAGGGGCCCCTCAGCCGCACGCGCCACGACAACTTCTCTATTACAGCTGTGACCTCTAAGGTCATTCTCTAAAGGACTGTGAACAAAGGCCACGACCCCAGGGTCAGAAGTGTAACGCCGGGGGCAGGCCGGGGCCCCTCGTCTAAGAGTGCGTGCTGTTTGCTTTGAAAGGTAAGGATCACCAACACAGAGGCCTAATAAGGATTAAGGGGCCATCTCCTTTGGGATGTCACTCTGGGGCCTCATACATCAGTCTCTATTAACCTCCCTGACCCTCAGCGGCCATTATAGAGCTGTGGGTCATGGTCGCTCTCACTGCAGGGCTTTAAAACTTTACATCACACGCACCCTCTTGTGCGGCTTTAACTAATGGCATGAACAAACTGCTGTTAAGAGGTTAACGCCTTGTCAAACAGGACTCGGTCCTTTTCTCGGAGCTTCTGCCTTTCTATCCACCTTTTCACCTGTTGCACTCGTCCGCAGGTTTTCGTTTTTTAAGGAGCTTCTTAAAAATAAAAGTACCCAGCCACGATGTTAACTGGAAAATAACACGGGCAGGTCTTCTAGGAAAAATAGGGGATTGTGTGTGTGAAATTCCAGTTAAAGCAACATTTTTACTGTGAAAAAAAAGCTGGAGGAAGTGTGGTGAAACTTGGATAAAAGCAGGTGAACAATCGCTGAGAAAAAGGGTCACAAAATGGAGGACAGGAGGAGACAACATGGCGCCCTGATGATGCAGTCGCCTACAGATCTCGCGAAATCGCTCTGTCCGTTTGTCCTACGTCAAATAAACACAAACCTTAGTGAACAAAGAGTAAAGAGTTAATTAAAGAAATGCTGAAACAGGACTGGAGTGTTGTGGAAACAAACGTCTTCAGTCTCTCAGGGAGCAGACGGACACGCAGGCGGACACTGAGCAGCATGTGGAGGACGAGGAGCAAACCTGAAGACTGATGTTTTATTTTCATTTCAACCTTTACTTCCTTAACTCATAAGCAGCTGGAGAAAGCTGAAGTACGTCATTATTTTCAGCTTTTTTTGGTGTATCAAATGAAAGAAATTAATACCAGAATAAGACTCATAAAACACTTCTTCCTCCCTTGATATTTTTTCATTTCTTTGACAAACAGGGAAAAAGTCTGAAACCAGTCTGGGAAAAAAGTTATTTTCTGTGATGGATAAATATTCAAAAACTAATAAATCCAGTTTTTCATTGAGAGAGTTGAGGACTGAATTTAATAGACAAAATGTTGAAAATCTGATCCTTTTTTCTGTTTGTCCTTGTAGGATCCAAAAAAAAAATCAAGTTCGTTTTTTTCAATTCAGCAGATTTTCATTAAAAGTTTTGAAACCATCCAAATCTTACAATTGTAATTCAGTTCGAACTTGATCATGAATTTAACTTTGACCTTTTGACAGAAACTTGTCTCTCTAAAGTAACACAGTAAAGTTAGAAAATGTCCTGCCCTTCTTTTCAGTGAAGGACTTAATTATTCAAAATTAACTTGATTAATGTGACTGAAAGAAAATCAGGAAATATTATTTTTAATCTGTTTAATATTTTTTAAATTAAAATTATATTAATATGAATGAGAATATTTTCTTTGAGCTTTAGAAATGAGGGTGTAGTAAAGGGTTGTTGTTCAGGACGTTACAACACATTCTTATATAACTGTAAATCTTTCTAAAGGCCAAATACAAAAATAAAATGTCTGACATGAAATTAAATCACCATCCGCATGAATAACCATTTGAGTTCTGGATATTTGAGACTTTTTGAATGTAAAATTTAAAAATCACCATTTCAAATGCAGCATAAATACACAGATCGAATAGCTTTTTCATTCAAGTTTGTTTTAAACTCTTAAATTAAAGTTAAATTAAATTAAGATTTCATGAAACTTTAAAAAAAGGTTTTTTCACAGCTTTATAATTCAAACGCACATGAGGGTGAAGCAGCTGAGTGGGCTCTGAATAAACAAAGTGGCAGACGTCAGGAGGACAGAAAAAGAGAAGCATACGAGCGTTTTTTCTGAACACAGTTCTCAAAGAATAAACGAAGCGCTTTGATTCAAATGTGTTTCTCTGATAATCATTGAGCAACTCACCTCTGAAAGCCCAGCTCCTCTGTGTGGACGCAGCCCATTCGGCTGTGAGGCAGGGCAGAGCAAAGGTTGGAATAGAGGAGAGACAAAATAGACCTGTGCTCACTGCAGACAAGTGTCCTAAACAGCTTTTAAAACTGCCAAACAGACGATAAATCCCAAACAGGCAGCACTTTGACAGCTTTGCAGCTCGTCCTTTTTTTCCAGCTCCTCTCTCATTAAAGTAAGGGCAGTGCTTTGGGAGAATCATCGTCCTACTTTCTGTTAACCATGAGACTCTTCTCTCTAGGTCATTTTAAACTGCCAGGTTTATTAGAAAAGTTTGGTTTCTAATTTGCCTGATGGAAAACATTGCCCATCTCAAGGACATAAAAACCTAATCACAGGGAATTATTACAGCAGGAACAAATTGCGCCTCTCTGATCCTCTTCTTATAGAGTTTTTAATTTCTTAAAGTTAGAATAGAAATGTGAAAACTTGACATCGAATTTCAAACAAAAATCAAGCTACAGTATTCTATTTTATTCTGTTCTCATTGAAACATTTGCTTAAATTACAAGTTCAGTAAAATGCAGCTTTTTAGTTTCAAATTCAGCATCATTTTTTCTGCACAGTTACTTTGAAATAGTGAGACAATGACATTAAAAATACGACCCAAAAGCCACATTACAGACTGCAAAAGGACATGACAGGACACATTAGTTAAACGTTTTTTTTTTTTTTTTTTTCCAGATCTGAACTTACCCCTCCTCTCCCCTCCACCCGACGCTAACATACGCACCTCGTCTGATCCTGGCTCTTATTCTGGGTCCACCCTGCATCAGTTATATTGATCAAATAAATTATCTCTGTTTTTAGATCTTATCAAACGCTGGCTCGCATCGCGGGTCTGTGGCACTCTGAGGGAGTGGTACCACCTCTTAAAGGGTTCGGGCCTGCTGTTGGTTCTAGTTTAATGCCACGTCACAGAGCCTGGATGGGCCTGTGTGACCTGGCTCGGCCCAGATAGAGCCCTTCGCACCCCAGCCCCCATCGGGACCGAACAGCCACAGTTCATACAAGGAAGGCAGTTAAAAAAGAGGAGGGGTGGTGTGATGTGAAGCTATGTTTTATTCTAACTGGGACCCCTCTGTCTTTCCTGTGATTTCCTCTCTGTTCTCTTGCTGTTTTTAAAATAGCAGCCGTTTGTCTGAAGAAGGGACGGCCCGTTTGTCCGTCGCCTCCTTCCCATCCTGCTGACTAAGGGTTAGAGACGATTTCAAAGAGGACGCTGTTTGATTTCTCATTTCGAGCACAAGTCTGCACACACATGCTCCCTGATTCACACACGCGCTCGCACGCCAAGCAAACGTCTTGAAATTTGGAGACATGAAGCACACGAGTGTGTCCCCATGAAGCCTGCTGTATCGACGCAGAACTGAGGAAGGTCAAAAATTAAGGAAATAATTTCTATTTCTGTTTTAATAATAAGAAACACTTCTTATTAGTTATTGAGGCAAAGAAAAAGTGTGTGTTTAGGAGTATGTGACTTGATGATCCACTCCGTCCACGTAACACCCTCCGATTTAAAAAACCAAGAGTGCTAATGGGTCGAAGATTCTCCTATCTGCTGCAGCCATCGAGTCTTGATGGAAGAGATTTATCTTTAATTGGATTTTACAGAGGGGTCTCCCAGCGGGAGCCAGCAGTCCCATTTCTAAATTGTTCCTGCAACTTTTTTCAGAAATGTACGAACACACAAGCAAAGCTGGCCAGGCCTTAAAACCTGAAGTGATTCAAGTGGAAATCTGAAATGCACTTAACATTTGACCCGCATAAGTCCGATTTTTAAATCTACACAGCAGCAGAATAAAAGATTTTTCAGTTGAATATTTTCTGTATTTCACCCTCGACAATATTCTGTTTTATTCTCTAGTCTATTCTTGACTTAACCCTAAAACACTGTTTAAAATAATAAAGCCCTGATCCACTTTTTTTTAACACTGTTTAGCATTAACAGAATTTGACTGAATTTTGATTTAACTTGGACCAAAATGTCAATGAAATGAAAGTTTAACGTCTGCTATAATGCAAAAAAACTACTGACCAAAATCAAAATTTCGATTTTTAATAGATTTCTGGGGAAGTTTTATCGTGCCAAACGTCCTCAGATTCACCGCGCATCTAGAAAATCACTTAACAGCTGACTCAAAGTCTTATTTCTTCATGAAGTATTAACTCACTGCAGTTCCTGCCTCATGTGAAGTGTGGTGAGAGGGGAAAAGAGACGCTGGCTCTCAGGGGTTAAGATGCTAGCAGTCATGTGCCTGTCGGCTGCAACAAAAGCCTGCCTATGTAGGGTGCATACAGATGGAGCGAGCTCCTTTGTGTGCACTGTTTCACACGTCGCAGCCTCGAAGCTGCCAGGTCTGGCTCTCTGGGCCTGGCTACAGGCCTAGCTAGCAGCTTGTAGCACCTGACGCTGGTCTCTCTCTCTCTCTCTCTCTCTCTCTCTGCTTTTCTTTGCTCAGGGCCCGAGTGCAGAGAGTTTTAAAAGATAATAAAACAGAAGACCATACGGTGGGTCAGACAGCTAACCATGAACTATTCGACAAAACACAGCTTATCAGAATGTGCAGAAAGGTAGGCTCAGTTTAGCACGGCAAGAGCAAACAGGTAGGCATGCTTCGCACTCAGGTCCGTCACGAGGAAGTGACAATAACCTCCTCGACCGTCCGTCAAATACTCGCCAACATTAATGTGCTGATGTGAATACAGCCAGTGCATTTTCTGAGCACGTGTACAGCTGTGCAGTCGAACCCTTTTGGGTGTGCTGGGCAACAGAACACGATGTACCCTTAACGGTATCTTTGTTCAGACACAAGCTCCTCCGTGTTGTTTTAGGATAAAAACAAACGTGTGTTTTTTCTAATTCTTCATATGCTCAATTTCACAAAGAGTAAAAGGGTTTGTTTTATCATGCAGGATTACACAGACGATTACTCTGCTATTGATTCAAATCCACACGAATATAGATCAAATTACCTGTAAGGGAGGACAATCAAGAGTCCCTGTGTTTCTTCCTGACAAAGATGACCCTGAAAAGGGGATCAGGCTTTTTTAGCATCAGCACGATGTCCCTGCGGTAAATGAGGATGGGGTCTCAGTGTTTTCAGGGGTCACTACATGTTGATAAAGACTGTGACATATGAGGCTGAGGATAACAATCATATGACATCTCTAAATGTAAAGTGACTGTCACTAATGCTGCACAGTTTTCTCTCATGGTGAGCTCAGGTGAATACTCTTACCCAAAGTGAGAGAGCAGGCGGGGGGTTTGCTGTCCTGTCTGAGGACCCTTCAACAGCACATCTGGCTGTTAGAGCGACGAAACACCTAACATTTTAAACGCAGAACAACCTCTCTGAGCGTCAGGACAACCTGCTGCAGTGACTGCAATTAAAGCCCACATAGAGTGGATGGAAGCGTGGTGGTGGTAGTGGTGGTGGACCACCATTATCCTTGTATTTCAAGTGCATACCGCTTACATTTACTTATCTAACACTTTCTCAAAATAATATTACATAACTGATTTAACAATTAGTGGACACAAAACCTTGATCATTGGTGTTGGTTTAGCACCACAGGAGTGCACAGCCAGCCACTCGAGGCTGCACTCGAAAAGAAAATAGAGCCATAAAAAAGGGACTCTGCTATACTTCCAAAAATCACAATAAATCTTTAATGAGATTATACTCTGTTCCCTCCTGATATTCTCTCCAAATAGGCCTGCTGGCACAAAAACAGCACTTTTACAATGTTGGGACCAATAATGGTTGTAATGGTTTCATAAAAGCATTTCTACACCAATAAGCGAGCTAGTATTTTCCTTTGACATGAGACAGAGTCGTAATCTGACCTATTTGAAGCTTTTTGATCGCTCACTATGTTTATATTGAACAGATTTTACAGTTTTTTTCACTGTTGGAAAAGGTTCCTTCGGCAAAGTTAGATTCGCCCGTCCTCACCTAACGTCACATATTAAAGCTAAATAATTTGAGACGACTCTAGCTACAGACTTTATCTTCAACGTGTGAACTTACTGGAGGAGGAAACGAGAAAAGTGCAAGACTTTTCAGCAGCGTTGATTTTGATCTCATTGTAAGTGACACAATAGTCATTTATCCTGCCATCGCACTTGCACCGAAAACTAGTGGGGTGAAATTAGCTCCCACATATTGTCACTATGCAGAAGGCTTTATCCAAATATTCCTGGATCAGGAAATGAAACTCGGCAGGGGGCAGACACAAAATTGATGGTGGGTATGAGCCAAAGAAAGTGTCTGCCTTCTCCTTCTTTTTTCACACAGACACACAACAAACCCCGTCTGTCACTCAAACAAGCTGCTGCTATAAGTTGTGTGTTAATTAAACCTTTGTCAGCAATGGCTGGAGAGTATTAGCTCCTATTATCTGACCGTGCACTCTGCCGTCACCAATCATGGCCCTAAATGTATACACACACACACACACACATGCTCAACAGTCCTATATACAGCACAGTACAGAGTTACATACTACCAGGACAAGCCGGCCGGGTGTCTGACAACTAGAGCGATGGGGCAGACGGGAGGGTGGGAGTAAAAAAAGGTACCCTAGTGTGTTAGTTTTCTGCCAGGGAGTCCCTATTGACCTGTTAAACCTTTGTGACTGGAACAAATGCAAATGGCGCTGACTTGTTCACACAAAATACTAAAGGCCCATTCAAATGAGGCCCCGGGCCACAATGCAGCGGTGGCTGTGTGCTCTGTGGAGGCAGGGCAGCCTCCAGTCTGAGGGGGCAGAGAGAGAGAGGAAAGAGTTAGAGAGGGAGGGAGACAGATAGAAAGACAAAGAAAGAGAGAGAGAGAGAGAGAGAGAGAGAGAGGGAGTTTCAGTTTCAAAGTTCACTCTGTCTGTCTGGAGGAGAGTAACCACTGACTCTCATTACTTCTTCACTGGCACAGACACATGCACAAAGGTAAAGTTTCTTAACGCCTCTGTTGTCATTGTCGTTGTGCTCTCACTAAACTGTAAATGTTACTCTGGTCTGAACTTTACCCCATAATTACCTTCTATGTAATACTTTCTAATTGGACGCCAGTAGACCTGAACTTCTCCGGTTATCAAGCACGACACCAGCGGTCATGCTTGTAATCAAACACTGCTTAATCCACCTTAGCTGTACTTAATGTGTGCCACTGAAGCTTATATCGTAGCCTCGCTTCAATTTTGGGTAAACACTATGAGATGATGAGAAAAAACCCAGGAAGATGGGTATAAGTTACTTGTGATAAAGAAGAGGGCCCTCTGCAACCAGAGACTCAATATCAGATAAATCCATCATACATTTTAGATAACCAACTCTGTTCTATTTCATATAATTGAGTACAACAAAGTATATGTATTTTTTGTATTCATAGAGTGGTTTTTCCCCTTTTCTTCTCAATAAGAGACTGGTAGACAACCTTTACTACAAACCTGATCTGAGGCATGGTGCCAATCAGACATTGAATAAACCAAAATCTATCAAATAAAGCGTTTGATTCAAGTAGGGATAAATTGGAGGGTAAAAACAACCAAAAGTCACCATAAATTTCTTGAAACTAATAAACTTTGTATTTAACTTCATATTTTGTATAAATTCGCTCAAAATTATACCATGGAAAAACCTCAAAATGTTTTACTTGCCTTTACTAGCAACACCTATGGATATAAAGTAGTATTATCTATTACCAGTGGCTCTGGTATATCTGGTCTGATATTCTCTACCATGTCTTAATTTTCCTGCTCCAGATTTTGCCTCTCCTTCCTGCCAGCAGGAGCCCGTGTTCCCACCTTTGCCAACCACCTGACCTTTCACCTGCGTGTCTGCCTTTAAGCTTTTTTCCTCAGCCTGCCAGAGTTTTGGATGTTATGACCCCCTGAATGCCTTATGAAACCCTGCTCTTTAGTTTGGATAAGCTGGCTTCAGTCTCTAAAGAAGACTGGCCTTATTCTTTGATTTTACCTCAGAAACCCAGTTTGGGGTTGATTAGCTTGGCCTTTACAGAGACTCAACGAACTCTGATGCTGTGTATAAAAACTGGCAGTGCACACTAGTGATGGTTTGACCAGACAGGCAATTCCACTCTGACTGGCCCCAAAGAGATCCCTGTCTACCACGAGCATATCAATACATCAACAAGCAGATCTCACCCCGAGCCCATCTTTCCATCACTTCTGATTGACTTGCTCCAAGTTCAGACTCTACACCTCTGATTCAAGAATTTTGTTTGCCTCACTCGAAGCTTGTGCCCTTCCTGGCCTCAACTGTTGTCCTTACTAAGAGATACCGTGTGTTTACTATCGTCAGATTAGTAGGAGCCAAGGACTGGACTTTGCCTGAGAGGGGTTAAGAGGTCAACTGTACACTCTTCTGCAAAGAGGTGAACAACAAGCTGAAGAGGTTTTTAAGAGGTTTGAGGTAGCATGTATTGCGTGACATCCAAGTCAAGGTAGAAGTCAAGTTGTTGTTTATTTCATTGCTGAGAGAACCATCACCAGCTTGTCTTTTGTTCAAGTTATGACAGTATGCCTGATCTCATCGTACAGGTATGATCTATCAGGTGTTTTTATTCAGACTTGCACAACTTCTCTGATCCCATCATCCCTATCAGTCAGTCAGTCAGACAGTCAGTCATCCTGCTGCCAAGGACGGTTTCGTTACCTTGCTGCTGAGGGCTTTTCCTACCACTGGCCAGGCTTGTCCATGCAAGCAGGCACCTTCAATGAAACTACCTCTGTCTGCCTGAGCATAGCGAGAGATAACCACAAAACTTCTACCTGATCAAAGTACCGTAAAGGCATGTCTCCCTGTCTGTGCATCAACAACCAGGGTTTTCAACAACAACTTTTAAACCAAGTACCTGTTCCAGTCGTTTCCTCTCGGGGCCCTGATTTTTTTCTAAGATGGAGCTCAAGATTGCTTCTCATTTGGTTACATTAAGAGGAGTATGAGTGGAAGACTGTTTCCAACATGACACACAGCCAGTCAAATCATCTGCTGTTGTTATAAATATCAGTCCAAGTTTCCTGCAGTCAAGGACAACCCCAAAACATGGTGACCAGGTGTACGTTTTGTAAGAGGGGATAGCACTGATTTATTCCAGGACATGTGAAATATATGACATGTAGGTCTGATGTGTATTTCTCGAAGGCTGATGGAGAACCAGCAATAAATCCAGTCGAAGAACATCCTTGACTTACAAGGAGTGTCCAGGTAGACCCAACCAAGGAAGGTACCCACAGTCCTCGCCAGTCTGCACAAGTAATGGATCCAGAACTAAGCAGAGTTTTTGTGACGGCCTCCTCAACAGCTTTACAGCTCCCTGCCTCATAAACCCTGACTTCATCTGCAAATCTGTGATGCAGGTCAATGCCTATGATACAAGAGCGGGTGAGACTAAACCTTACCTCTGCAAAAACTATCAAAGAAATTCTCCTTTACACTCTATACCCAACTGAGAGGAACTGAGACTATGAGAATGGTGAAAAATTCTCTGTCAAGCAAGCACTGAGAGAGCACAGACACGGTTTGGACCATTGCGGACCAATCATAAGAAGCAGGAACAAAGAATAAACCCTGTAAAGCTTTGCACATGGATCACTTACCGGCTAGGTGAACTTCGTTTCTAAGACACTTTTCTTTTTTACACTGCTCATGTTGCATGAAAATAAGCTGTAACTTTGTCTAAGCATTAGGACTAACATGATAGTCCTAATCCTCACCTGGTCCCATGTCTCCTGATATTTTTTTGCCTTAACTGAAAATCTGCTGAAAGACTGAAGATCAGCCTCTTTAGAGACTCTGTGGATCAGCCTACTATAAAAACATGTTGGACTAACAACATCATCCTTGACCCTTGTCATCCAGTCTATTACTATCAAATCTGAAACACAGTCTCACGGTGTAATGAAGTCTGACTGAAGCGCTCTCATTTCTTTTTTCAAACACCTGTCAGTGTTAAAATTGAATATGTAGCTGAATCCCTGATCATAAGTATAACAAGGGCCTCTGAATGTCTGAAATGTTGTTTTTGAGTGTCTGTATTTTTGCACCATGTCTTCTATGTCTCAAAAGTTTTTGCTATGATACCAGACAAATTTAAACTCTGGAAATAAAGTCGATCACTGTGGACCTCTATTCATCTCTCATTCTGGGAAATAAGCTGCAATGTCTAAGTTGCCTAATGACTTAATTAAATCCAAAACTCAGTGGTGAGGCAGCATGTGTGAACCAGGAGATCAGCTCTCCTCCCACAACCCCTGTCCCTGGTCCCAGCAGCTGCTTTCAGTCGAGTTCACCCAAGACATCATTTTCCAGCCCTCTCCTACAGGTGTCCTCATTTCAATGCTCCTCCGCCCGCCAACTCACACTCCTCTCTCACAAAGGATAGGGGGGCCGGCATCTCCCCGGTCTCAGCCTTTGTACATCTCCCCGCGTTCATTTGTGGGACAGAGGTCTGGCAGACATGTAACCTACTTCTGAGAATAAAGTCCAGGAAATCGGCTCCTTCATCATAACCAGAGGGATCCATCCAGTTCTAGTCTGTCTTCAAATGTCCCACTGGACCCACCCTGGGTCAGGGATATCAGGGGAAGTCCACTCTGTTGTTTAGTTTGTTGTATTTGTTTCTACCAGGGATACCTGACCTGCATTAAGACCCAGCATTCTCAATGACCTTCCACACACGCCTCCGCACACCAGTGACCACTTCCCTTTTAGCTGGGTTGCATATGCGGCTCAATTTTCACTGACTGTCAGTCAGTTCTTCTGTTGTTCTTCGCTGTTGTTTTTAGGATATTTTCATCCTATCCTATCCGAATGTTGCTAATTAAACCCTTGCCCTCGGCTCTAAATGCCGATGTTAGGTAGTTTGCCTCTGCCATGCTCTCCCTATTTCTTCTGCCTGTCTTGAGTGATCAGAGTAAAATGCATCTAGTTTCAGGACTTCGATAAAATAACAAAGAGTTGCTTTCATAGCAAAGGTTAAAGCCTTCAGAAACTTTTTTTTCAACATAATTTTACCTTAATAAAAATATAATAAAAATAATGGAGTTGCTTACGCAGCAAAAGTGAACAAATTCTGATACGCTTCACCTTATCTTTATAAAAATAAAACCTGATACAGAGTTTTCTTGTTTTTAAAAGTATCAGCATATAAAAGTCAAAGGTGGCCACCTCAGCGCTGTCCTCCTGCTTCAGGCCCCCATCGATACCAACGGGTGTTTTCATTGGAAACAGCATTTCCAGGGATAGCTGTTGGTGAATTTTTATTATGAAAGGCTGTAACCTGGAACTAAAAACCATCATTTTACAGACATAATGGTGGTACTATTTCATAATTATTACCTATTACATAATTAATGACCTATAACTGTGTCCATAAATTAAAACAAGTCTGCACTTATATTCATATTCAGTTCAAACTTTGTCTGCTGCTCTTCTCCCCGCCTCTCTCCCTCCCTCGCTGGTTAAGTAAGGGTGTAAAATGTAATATGTCTAATTGTTACTTTATGTAAGCACCCCCACGAGCTTGTTATTGTGAAATTTTTAAGCTCCAACATGCACAAGTACTTCTGGAAAAATACATATTGATAATGAAAGGATAAAAAAAGTAAAAATTTGTTGGTGCCATGAATCTTGATGGAGGCAGAAGAGGGACAGAGTTCTTCACACTGATATTTTATTAGGCCATGGTCGGCTCCAGTAAAGTCTGACGGATCAATAACTGAATTCCAGACCTGGAGGTGGAATATCATAAGGCACCAGTTCATGGTGCATCAACAAACAAGAGATGTAATAAAAATATAGATGGTTCGTAATTCTGTAAGGTGAGAGTGTAAAGTTAAGGAGGTGATCCTCTCTGTCATTAATAAAATCATTAAACTAAAATTTCAATTCCTCTAGAATGTAAAATTAGGTAAACACAGGCATTTGTTAAGATTAAACACGTTTAGATTTTAATTACAGAGATTATTTCATGACAAGTTGGTGCATAATAATACACAAAAACGCAATAAATGTAGTATTTGATGCTCAAACTGATTTCCTTGAGGAGAACTCTCGGTCCCATTTTGAAGCAGGAAAAACCCTTTCACAGGCAGCTAACATATTTCTACATTTTAACGTGAAGCTGAGCTCAATTTAAACTGTTTGCCTTCATCTTTAGTGGTGGTCTTTGCAGGAAAATCAAGTCTGTCTGTTCAGCTGTATGTGGACTGAAACCTACAGATGTTAGGAATGAGATATTACTCGACAGGAAAACAGAGAGGGAGGAGAAAAAGAAGAAACAGATAAATAATCGACCAGATTTTAGACACTATTTTATGGTTTGTTAAATTGCTTTGTACGGTTGGGCACTTTTGTAATATATAACAATATATTATATAAAAAGCACAAATAAAAAAAGGATGATTCATAATTATAGCTTATTTCTAATAAAATGAAATTAATAAAATAGAGTTATGATCAGTCCTGTTTTATTTGGTGAGACACCCTGAGGGGACAGTCTGAACAGATCAAACTTGTCTATTTCAACTCCTGAAGGGACTTTATATACTTTATACTCCAAATAAGTCTAACTGTCTGGAATAATTCACTGCTAATTTTATTGCTGAGCTAATAAAAACTAAAAACTCCTCTGTCTCACTTCATCAGTGAAATGCAAATTCGGCTGCCAAGCATTGTTCAAACTCACACCCCACCCTATCCCAGTGAAGCAACTTGTGTTTCCACATTTACTAAAAAAGATCTGAATTATGGGACAATCATTTAACGTGACGAGGGCTGTGTGCCCTGATTCTTAGTGTTCTATAGAATTTAAGAAATCAATTCATACAGAGTGACACTGTATTTGATGTGAAGGAGGGTTATTTCTTATCAATGACAAACATGTCAGATTCAGCTTGAAAATTCACCCTGCAATTATTGGCACAAATGGACTGATCCTGTCAGGGAGAAACCATAAGTTAGAGCACCTGAATGTGAGATATTTTTCATTTTCCTACCTAAATACTTCTACAAAAGTGGGATTGTCTAATATTCCAGATTTAGCAATTTAAAAGCAATATTGGTCTCTACAAGTGCCAATTATTAGTAAAGCTAGTGTCGTCTTCATGACTGAGGCCAGTCATTGCTCAGTACCACAGCACCAGAGACACGATGATCAGATGAAAGTAGATTCAATCAGGGCAAGTTAGCCAACAACTGAAGCAAAAATATTGTAAAATAAAAGGTGATTAAAGCAAAAGAAAGTGTGGGCAGTGCAGGCCGAGCGATCTACACAGGTCCAAACATGGAAGTGATGCCTTAAGAGAGCAGCCAGGGTTTGATTCCAGCCTGTGGCTCTTTTGCTGCAAGTCACTCCCCCCCTATTTTATGCTCTGTTCACTGCCTCTAAATATAGGCAAGTATAACTCAAAGATATAAGATCAATAAATCAATAACACAAATGAAGCAGAGTCATGAAACAACCATCAAACAGCAGAGAAATGAAGGTCTCTCTATGTTTACTGTCCAAAGAGAGCAGGAGAGGACGAAGGACTAAAAAATGCAGATGTGTGTGACTGAAACAAGCACTGAGAGTACGGTCATGAGCGAAACGGTCAGCCCTCATAAAGACTGCAGTTTAACTGAATTCCTAAAGCAAAATGACAAAATATATACAACTACCATATGTGCTTTATGAAGACACAGGTCATATATTTAATCCCATTTTCACCTCACAATTTATTTTAAAAAGAAATTGAAGAGAAATTGAGTTTCTTTAAAAGGTGTTACAAACAACCATCTACTTTTTTTTAACTGTGTAAGTTTGATTTATTATCAATTACTAAATTTTCTCCATAAAAACAACATTTGGTCTTCAAAGAGTCTTCCTGCTATAAAAAAAATGTTTTTTTTTCGAGGGCAGTCTTATCATCAGGGTTATCTTATTTTCAGGTCAATTACGGTCACTAGGATTTAGTACTTACTTTTGATCTAACAGGAAAACAATTTTTTTTCTTTCCACACTTTTCCTCACAAAAATCCCACTTAACAAAACTTTCTTTCACACTGAGACAAAGGCAGGACTCTTTGCGATCAGTGTTCCTGGACAAACTCGAGCTCATCACTAGACTCTGTTTGAGTTTCTGTGGTCCGTTAAAAAAACTAAATTTGGCCACATTGATAAAATACACAGCAACTCTTCATTTGAGCAAATGTTCAAATCACATTTTTACATGAACTGAAAAAGGACAGTTTGTGCTGTAAGGTTCAAAGACTCCCAATACTGGATTCTCTCTCATATCCCCTTAACTCTGTAAGGTACTCCTTTTGATCATTTTTCACAGCTGCTTCACTGATAGAGAGTACGAGTTCAAATAAGGTAAGAGGCTACAACTTTAAATCAACAAATAAAAATAATATTTCCAACTCTGCAACATTTTAGGATCTGTTTTTCAAACATGAATCCTAAAGCTGAATTCAATCTGTTCATTTGTTAAAGCATGTTTTTCTTCATAGACTGAAAGAACATTTGTGTGTGTGTGTGTGTGTGTGTGTGTGTGTGTGTGTGTGTGTGTGTGTGTGTGTGTGTGTTATCATGGCGATGCACTTACCTCACATGCAGGATCTAAGGTCCTGTGCTTCCACCTGTGCTTGTGTCCTCACTTGCCCTGCACCAGATACACAACACAGAGAAAATGATTAAAACTACGAATAAATCTACAACATCACCACTTTGGTTTTTGATTCGGCAGAGGGAAAAATGATCAAGATCGGTGATTGATTAGGCATTTGGTCTGTCGCTTCGTAGCGTGTCGTTCTCCCACAGTGTTCCAGTACATGCTGAGCACAGTACATCCTTGCTGGAACATTTCTGCTGTCACATGTCAGCGCTGCTGGTCAGAGCACCAGCTGGTTTTTATTCATTTTTATATTCAAACACAAGATTTTTATTTTTTAGTGCTATAAAATTATATAATAAATTCATAAATCACATTGTAACAATATTTGTTCAACGTGTTCATTAACCAAAGACATATACCATATAATTTGTTTTATAAAATATCAGAGACAGTTATTCTAAATGGGAAAATTCATCAACAAAACCAAAGTCAGGACAACTAAAATAGGGCAGATTTATACCGACATAAACGGACATGAACAAACGGGGGGGGGGGGGGCATCTCTCTCTGAGACAACTGACATGAAGATTATTTTAAAAATTCACAGCATTTCAACATTGAACATTAATCTATTCTCCTTTTACATGAATAAAACACATAACGGACTTCTTTTAAATAAATCTATACGCTGTTTGAGAGGTGAGGAAAGGGTCACTGCATTATTTCATTATTTCACAGCACACTTCATTAAAAAAACAGGACTTATTTTGACTGCTCTGTGACAACAACGGCATATTCATGAATATTCCTGTTGTGCTGCAGCAGCACCGTATCCTCTCTACGCTGTGGCTTAGCCCTGCAGACATACTAATCAAACAGTTTATGATTTTGCAAGCGCATGAAAGAGGCTGAGGAGGTGGCTTTTGTCAGACTATCTCTTCTTATTCAATCCCTCAAAATCCCCCTTTACTGCTGCACATTCACAAAACCTCTACTGACATTTGTGAGAGTGGGGTCTAGGACGTGCTGTGACGCTGTTTTTAACATTTGCTTTTGTCCGTTGTTGATTTATAATCAGTGTCCCAGACGTATCTGACGTTTTCCTACACAAAAAATCACTGACCATCAAATAAATGTGACATTTATGACCCAAAAAAGAATCCAGTTGTATTAGCACAGTGATATTATAGGAAAAACATTTTTCGTGTATCATTTTTAATGCAGCGAGAAACCTAGTTAAAAATTTAAGCTGTTTATCTATTTATCTCTCACTAAAGGAGGGTTTATCAGCTACTCTAAGCTTTTTTCATACAATTAAAGCTTCAAGGAGTATATGGGGGTTCACAATCCCTCACAGTGCCTCTACACTTGCTTCAATAAAGCCCATGGTCCAGTTTGTGTAGGCGTTTTATGTTATTTCAGCCCCCAAGTACATAGAGTAGGCAGCCACATTTTGCTGTGGGTATCTAAAAACTGAACCGGAAGAACCTGCACTGCTCCCCATAGAGCCTTGCTTCATTTGCTTTTCGTCTTTCCTTTCCTCTTCCCCCCCTCCCCATCTTCTCACAGGACTCGTGAACTCTCCATAAACCCGCCGATTCCCTCCAGAACACTGCTGTCTATCCAACATCAGAAGAAATAGGAATAAGACAAAGGAGCGGGAGAGAGGAAAAAAAAAAAGCTGAAACAGACAATAAGGTAAAGAGAATGAAGAGGCAGAAAGGCAGGGAATAAGTGAGAGAGAGAGGAGAGAGAGGTGGGGGGGAGTAGGGGAGTAGAGAGGGAGAGAAGCGGGCCAGATTGCAGAGGGTTGAATCAATGCAGCGGCCTGGTCCTTTTTTTCCCCCCTTCTCTTTTTTTCATTTTTTTCTCTCTCTCTCTCTCTCTCTCTCAAATGATTCACAGTGGAAAGAAAGGGCCTTTTCCTTGTCCTCAGTTGAACTCCACATCAGCTTCCTGTTAGAAAGGCAAGAAGGAAACACCCAGAGCAACATGCGCGTGCGCACATGCACACACACACATATACACACACAGAGGAAGGCCTTCACTAGTGGATTCTTCGCTGCCAGAGAAATTAGGTCAAGCACTTAAATGCCCTGCACTGAGATGTGCAGAGATTTAAAACATGAAGTGTTTGGTGGGGACAGCAAAGGCATACCGGAGCAACAAACATGCACGCAGACAAGTGCTTGTTGAACTCAAAAACACACACTATCTGCACACTGTACTGACAGTTCGAGGCTTGCCACATTATTAATAGCAATATAAAAAAAATCTGTGACTGAGTCTCAGTGCTGGTACTTTTGAAACACCAAAGCTGTGAAGGGTAGAACATGAAAAGGTGGCAGAGACAGATCAGAAAACACGTGTAATGTTTAAAAATACGGCTGAGAAAACCCCTCAGATCCCTACACAAGCTGGAACTACAGCAAGTCTACTCGTGGACATTCTCAAAATGCCTGACGGCCCAATTAGGGAGTGACAAGAGTCTCGGAGCGTCTTGACAATAAATCTTAGGACCGAACGGTACGATATAACATGCCACACTGCAGTATCAGACGTGCAGGGCAACAAAATCCCCCCCGCCCATCCCGCCAATCCCACCGTCTTCCGCCCTCTGACCTGAAATGCCCTTAAAGACACGACACACCACATCACATTCAAATCCAATCCACTATTCATAGAAAGGCTTGATTGAGCTCAGCCTGATCTTGCCGTTTAGGGTTTCAATCAATTGCGTGAGATATGAGTGAGCTGGAGGGGGAGAAGGAGGGAGGATGAAGCTGTTCAGAAAGCAAATGAGAGAAAATTTGGGCAAATCCAAGCCTCTTCTCAGCTCTGTACTGGCCACTGCCAGAATGGCCCACTGTGAGGCTCTAAGCTGCAGGGTGGCAGGGTAAATCAGATGATAATCACGCCAATTTTCACTCTGCAGCCATGTGCTTTCTCCTGTCCCACTGACTCACAGTGGAAAAATGAGACCGAGTTCATTGTCTGAGGGCCACCTGTGTTTCTGCTCCTAATTCCCAAAGGCACAACAGCGATTTCCTGCACAAAAACTGTGCATTTATAAAAAACCAACATTAAATCATCTTATGACAAGGCATTTTTACAACTGAGAGCTGTGACCAAAAGGTCACACTGATCCCGCTCATCTTTTGGCCTCTGACAGAACTGTTCTGTTTTCCACTGAAAGAGTGAGACAAAGAGGGGGAGGAGAGACACCTTGTTTCTGTCAGTGGACACACAGCTTTTCTTGAGAATCTCTGCCGCTTTGCACTTTCAACTAACACTCCAGTATGAGCAAAATCTTACCTGTCCGGTCAGCCAGCCTGCAGACAAAGCCTGCACAAACACACATGCACATACGCATGCCGAGACAAAAACATGCTCAGGTGTGCACAATGCCACAGATGGTATGAAGGGCAAACTATCTATTAAGATTGACTTGATTGTAAATCGCAGATATGTGCGACGATACTTTGGGTAATAGGTTAACTTTGGCATGAAGATATATATGCCGCATGACAACCAAACTAAAACCTGACTGCCTGCAACACACAAACAAGCGGCGTGTTAAAATATGCTGTAAAGCAGGACACTCCGGATTCAAATCCTGCTTTTTTATGCATGCAGTGTAAAAAAAACCCAGTTTGATTCATTTGCAAATCAATATTGTGTAGATGATCTTAAATGCTTTGATGCTATTTTTGCTGTAGTTGCTGAGAAAAAAAGGTATTTTTTTAGGAAAATGTGCAGTCTTATTAATAATTAATCTACAGCCATGGGGAGATAAGGTTTGGGATATAAAATGAACTCTATTTGAACCTAAAAACTACTCATTTGTTTGGTACACTTGCCGACAAATCTTAACATCCCTCTTGATTACTATGCAGCTACTGTTATGAGTGTCTGAGCACACTTTTATATGTATCACCAAACAAATATGATTGCTCGCAACCCAATTTCATCTCTCAAAGGAATTTCAATTAAATTTTACACACCTTATGCTTTTAACTAAGCTTGCTGCACACCTGAGAGACAGACTGGAAGCCTATACAGGCCTGTTAACCATTTAAAATACATCCAGCTACTGCAGAAATAGCTCCTCTCACATTTCACTGAATTAATTTCATCAAAAACTTCACTGGGGGAAACCACAGTGACACATCAGGGAAACCGCACAGCTCTGCCATATGTTTTAATGTCTGACATACACTGATTATCTCTGGCTGACAGCTCCAGAGATGCTGCGTTTCTAATTAAAAGCATATTTTCCTGAAATCCTATGAATTGCTCATTTAGAAGAGTGGAGATGTTTCCGCTGGACTGACGGGATCTGCCCGGCTGCCTATCTATGTTTTGCACCGGGGGACAACAAAGGGGAAGATTATGCCTCTCTGCGAAGGGAAAGTAGGGCACGAAAAGGCGACCTCTTTTTCGTCTATTGCTATCCAGAATTTACTGTCTGGCGACCATTTCATCTTCACGTAAAAAACTAGAGGCTGCTTTAGTCTTTATTTTGCATTTATGTCGATTATTTTAAGCTGTGTCGTTGATATGAAGCTCTTTCTTGAAACTTCCCCGAGGACAGCGGACCGGTTTAGATGGAACAGTGTCAATATTCACCAGAGGAGATATACAGTTTCATTATTTAACACAAGTCTAGCTTCACTCGACAAAACGACCACTGCTTTGTTATTTTTTAGCACTTTCCGCTCAGATAAACCTCTCACAAACAGGCCTTTCAGCGAGGACAGAATAAAAGACTGCGCACTAACCTGTCTCAAGTTCAACTTGGGTCTCTCTCTTCCTCCGTGTGTCCAACAACCGTGTCTGCCGGCTTTACATCTGTCACTCGGTGGCTTGTCCTCCACAGTATGTCTGGTGTCCACAAAAAGCATCAAGTAGCGAACACGAAGCGACATTATTTGAAGGATGAGAGGTACAAAAAAGAAAAGAAAAAAAAAAGTCGTCACGTTGAATGTGCAGGAAGAGCTGTCTCCTTAAGCAACCGCGGATGAGTTGTGCTCTCTCTCCCCCCCTCCTCCGCGTTTCACTCCGCCGCCATCCAGCTCGGTTCAGCGGGGACACAGAGCTGCTGACTGCGCCGCGCGTCCTGCGCCGCCGATGAACCAGATGCGTCAAGTTCAGCTGAGGTGAAGCCCCGTTGTACAAGCAGCCTCGGTGTGCAGCAGCTCGCACTATTGCTCTGATTATTTAATGTCTCCTGAAGGGGAAAAAAAAGGGGGAAAGACACATCACATTGAAATATCTGCAAAAACAGCCTGTGTTGAGATGATTATTAAGGGCTGCCTCACACACCCCCTCCCCCCTTCTGCCCCCTCCGCGGGTGTAAAATGCACTATTTGCTGTGCTGAACTTACATGATGTCAGCCTTATAAAAAAAACATTTTCATTCTGTCACTCACTTTACCCAAGGCTGTGAAAAACCCTAAATTATCAGAGCTTAATCAGACACAGGACTGTCATGGAATAACACACATCTATTTCCAAAGAATAACAATGGTGCCTTCAGTATTGACACTTTATTACCACAATTTTCAACCTTGCAGGAAGACTTAAAGGTAGCTTTTGATTTTTTTTTTTTAAAGAAATACACCTCCTTTGTGTATGCTCACCCCCCTCCATCATGTTTACAAGGTAGTCACATGGTGTAGCCAAAAACTCTAAGCAGTAGGCCTATGAATATTAAGTCAACATCAGTGATTGTCAAATTAAAGAAAATAAGAAATTAAAATTAACAATCAGTACCTGAAGAGTGGTGTTCCATGCTCCAGCAGTGTTAAAGTAAAAGAAATAATAAACTCTACTTTAAGCTTGTACATCTTAGTGTTTATTTGAGCTTTACAGGTTACTTTCTGCTGATGCTGACAAATAAACAAAGCCAACTTAAAAAAAAAAAAAAGCTGCATTACTCACACCTGTTTGCTCGTGTTAATTAGACAACTCAGGTTTGTCCTCCACCCCAGGTAAATGAAGGTCCACTTCCACAGTTTGACACCACAGGTGACATGAAGACAAGCCCAGACTTGTTGAGTTTCCCGACATGCCTCACAGACACTTTATTGATAAATCAGCCATGAAAGACAGACAGAAGGAGCTGTTAAAGGGCCAGTCAGAAACTCTGTCCGAAACCTGTTTAAAATATGATAGTATGGGATCCTTTAGAGCTGTGGTTCTGTTTTTATAGCATATACTTCAAGAAGATATGACTAAAACAATAATAAATGCTTTTTATTTGTAATGTTTCTCAGTATTTTATTTGATTTACAACAGAGGAGAAAAATGGATGATTTGAAGTGTTCATGGTCATGAGCAAGGGTACAAAATAAGGAGATACGAGCATTTTATTTTAGATCTGCATGCTCCTGTTTTTCTTAATATCCATCCAGCCAAAAAAATCCCTTCGAAAATCATTAAGATAGATAGATAGATAGATAGATAGATAGATAGATAGATAGATAGATGGTCTTACTTTTATTAAGAAAAAGTCAGAGATTTAAGAAATGTTTGGTAAAGTTAAGAAAAAAAAAACAGTAATCAGTTTTTACTTTTGTTTCAGCCCTTTCAGTGAGAAGAATTATTTTATTAGGTATGGATGAAAAATATGAACCTCTTTCATGTGATTTTAATAAGAAATAAGTCGTAGGATAATTCAATAACTTAAAAAATACAAAACAAGGATTCTTTATCAATTATTGTACTCAAATTTGTTCAGAAACTTTTTTTTCTCTTTTGATAAAACTGACTTTCAGCACAAACTAAAATTCACTTTCTATGACAAATTGTAAATGTAAAAATGGGAATACTTTATCAAAATGCTCAAAATGAAAGAAGGTAGTGAAAATACAAAACTTTGCTGTTTACTGGAACTAGGATCCGTGAATGCCCGTATTTAGGTTTGTCCGTATGATTTTTTTTTTTCCACTCCATAGACATTTGCTGAAGCACCAGTCCTACTGTGAACCTGCACACATACACACTCACACACATACACACAGCTGGCATATTGAGTGTTAATGAATGCGTATTGACAGATTATATTACAGTTGCACTCGGTGACCGGGCTCTGTTTACTGTGCTCCTATATCCTTATGCAATGAAAGACATAGGATTAGTGTGTGTGTGTGTCAGAGTGTGTGTGTCAGAGTGTGTGTGTGTGTTCACAGCTTGGATAAGCATGTGAGCTATAGCTTACAGGATTATGAGGTGACATAAGTTCATATTGATTGAGATTCACCTGATGCTGCTTCAGACAAACAAACTCTACACACAGATTTTTCAATAAACACTCTCAGAGTAAAAATGAAAAGAGTGTTGTAGCTGCTAAAAACTGAGTGATGCTCCGGTCACCAATGCAGTTGTATTCATTCAAACCGAGTGTACAGTGACATTAATTTCAGACTTTTAAAATATATTTTTTTAGAGAAGTGTGAATAAAATCTAATGATTGTAATTAATTATTTATTTATGAATTAGTTAATTTAGTGCTTTATAAATTATTCATATATTCTTGTATACTTTAAAAAGACTGTGTGGTGTGTGATACATGACTTCAAGCAATTTTTTTTCAACTGGGGGATATTTTTAAAATATAAACCTATTCTCAAAGATTCTGATAGTCCCATAATATTATAGGTTATCTGTTATATATTATAATGAATATGGTTGGGTCTCGATTTAACATTTGCAAATTTGGTAAGCCTAGAAATCGAATCATGTTTGTTTAAATAACTTAAATTTCAAAACTGTGTTAACCAGGTAATTTGTTGTTCAAACTGTACTTTAAGTTTGACCACTTTTCTGATTTTAGACTTTTTTCTGCATTTTCTGTATTTATTGTTTTCTGTTTTAATTTATTTCTTTTGTTTTCATTTTTTTTCTTTTGCCAAAGCTGAAAATAAGACTTTAACTGAATTTTGACAGCTTTTCCTCCTACCTCCTACTTTGGGGAAGAAATAGTTTTGCCAAGTCCAAGTTTTAGTGGTGGGGAAAACAAACTGAGTGTTGAACTTCACCGAAAATATGCCCAAATGATAAAGAATAACTGTAAACAAGATTATAATATCAAATTGATGTTAACGTCTTACTAATACACATACTGCAGATTTAAAAATGAGCACTTATCATCTATATCATCCCACCAAGATAGAGTTTAGTGTTTAATACTTTTCAATCTTTTATTTTACACAACTTACAATCTAACCCATCACTTAAGAAGTTTTAAGAGGATAAGCACGGACATTTTATTTACATTCTTTGACATGATTTATTTTTATTCATAATTAAGCATTTTCATCACGATTCGATGTATGTCTTAGGAGGAGATGCAAGAAGAAGATGGGAGAGGAGGGAGAGAGAAAACAAGGGATAACCTAAATCCTGCAGAGGTGACATTGGGGCTCACTTTGGGCTGATTTGCAATCAGACACTCTTACTCAGCTCCTTCCTTGTCTCTAGACAGAGTGGATAGCAGCTCAGACAAAGCTAGTATTTTTGCCCATCCAAGGCCCCTTGGAGTTTTATTCTAGGCCACCGCTCTCAGACACAGACCATTCTGCGTAGAGCACCCAAAGACAACAGCTCGGAACAGGAGAGGAGGAACGTGCAAGTTCGAAAGAGGAAGAAGAAGGCGAGGGGAGGTGTGGTGTGGAAAAATGGGCGGAGGCTTCATCAAGGGCCAAACTGCTGCCTCTTCCCCACCGCCTTCACCTCCTACCCTCCTTTTTGGATGTTACCCTGGCCCTGTTCCCCTTCGACTTGCTGCAGTGCAGTGCCACGCCCCACCTCGCCCAATGGAAAGACTCGAGATCTGATCGATCACTGGCGAGCCGGTCATGACCTTAACCCTGTCCCCTCTCTTACAGTGCCAAATAAAACTATAGGACACTCGGGACATCACACGAAAAAAAGCACATTGAGGCCTTACTCTTTTTAATTTGTTTACAGAGACTCAACGAGGGACCACCATGAGCAAGCTCTTGGCAACAGCGACAGAGAAATATGCCCTTTTTACAGACAGAGACCTCAAGCAGAACCAGACTCAACGATGATCAGCCAGTCACTGGAGCTGGACAAGACCTGAAACTGGGCAAAAGGAAGAGGCAGAAAGATGTCAAAGTATTTATTCAAGTAAGAATGATAACAATCAGAGCAAATTCATGAAAGCTTTCTGCAAATGCACACGCTCCAAATGTCGATTGTACTTTAAGTTATAATGTGCTGAGCAGTATCTGATCTTGATATGATTAAGCCATCCATAGTTTCTTTAAAAATGTCAGGAGGAATTAGAACCACATAGAGCCAGTCTGTTGCACAGACAGGGTCCTAAGTCCCCTCTCTTACAGAAGTAAATAATTTAAAAAACAAAAGCCCATGGCTGGTCCTATTGGCAGATGTCAACTAGGAGGTGCCAGTAGCAGCAGAAATATTCTGATCATCAATGCACCCATGAAACCACCAACATTTGAGCTTCTTCAAGCCTTGTTTTCATACAGCTCCTACTCTGTGGTTGGTATGTGCTCAATATTTTTTATTAACGCTTTGTTTGTACAGTGTTGGTTGGCAGAGCATGCATGTTTTTACAGCAACGCCCTGTTTAATAAAATGCTGAAAACGCATGAAGGATAATAGCTTGTCCTGAAGCGTACATGCCAATAATGGCCCATTTATCTAATTTATTATTTTAGGCATCAACTCAAAGTGTGACCACAAAAGTGTTCAAAGCAGTCTGAAAGTGTCAGTGCACCTGCATTATCAGCAGCTAGTAGTATGTTGTGGCTTTGTTGCTACAGGTAACAGGTCAATGATTACCTAGAGTGCCTAGAGTGTCCTCATGCTCAGGTCACGAAGGATGGTGACAACAGTAACCCGGAGCTTGTGCGTCTATCGGTGCCTTATCTGCTTGAAAAGCTGCATTGTGTTCACACTGTGAGTGCAGGCTGTGCGATGGGCAGGGCCACGGTGCAGGAGACGATGCGGAATTTCGTGATGAGATGAATCTTGTACTCATAGTCATTTTTCTCATGGTTTTTACCTCTCTTTGGGTTGCATTAAATTCAGAGCCTCCATGACTGCAGCCTTGATTGAATCACAGAATCAATGGCTGGAGCGTTGTCCTACATTACACATCAATAATGTTTAAAAGCAGGCCTAAAATGTGAAGCTAACAGGAACACAGAGCGAGGAAAAACTGCCTCAGTCCTCCTTTTGGTTTGGGCCGATTCCCACAGGTTGTCTCACTTATTAGCTGCTTTCCTGGGCCAGAGCGAAGAGCACAATCCCTCTCAGTCTCACTCCAACACGTAACAATGCCAGGAATGGCTGCATTTGTGCAGTACGACCATTAGGCAACATCCGACTGCCTAATTCATTCAATTTCTCCCTCCACCATGCCAGCACAATTGGCCTGAAAGGGCGCAGGTGGGGGGCAGAGAAGGCTGGAAGGCTTTTGGCTGAAATGCAAGCAAGCTAACGTTGGTCACACGGTTCTAACTGTTCGAGGCCTGGATGGGTTAAAGAAGAGGGCAGGGCTGTTGGGAGAATGGTGTCCATGAGGTGACTGCGGCTTAGCGATCACCCTGACCCCCCGCTCAGACTTTGACCCTGACCATAACTTTAAATGACTTGATTGTGCTGGCTGACTTTAACCCCTCTTCGATCCTGTTCTCTTTCTCACTCTCTTTTTTGTAGATGACCACAAACAGCCATTGTCACTGCCGACCATGAGAACAATCGGGTTCTTATGCTGCGGCTGGTCAGGGGATGGGAGGGTAAACTTAAGCAATGACTGCACTAAGTAAATTATAGCTCCAATGGCCTGTGCGGTTTGGAGTGGTTGCGTATTGTGAGAGGTCCTGCAACTAAAACAACAAGTTCAGCACTTTTGTTGCCTCTGCAGTGCGAAATAACGATGCCAGAGCAAAAAAAGGTCACCTTTCTTACGATCTGTGCTGCTCGCATCATCTGAACACTCTCAGCAGACACCAAAGGGCGTAAAGAAACACAGGTGGCTCTCTGGAAACTAAAAACTTCACAGAAAAAAAGATCTTGTGAGAATTGCGTGACTGCAGGGCGATGAAAGATCGCCACAGTCCTGATTCCCTCTCTCTCCCTCCTCTCCTACCTCAGATCGAGGCTCCGCCTGTCCACTGTCCTCCCGCGCTGCGATTGCTCCACCCTCCCGCCCTATCCCCTTTCTACATGACATCATCTGCACATCTGTCGTCCCAACAGGGTGCTGGTGACACAGACAGGCCACAAAAATTAGTCGAGTTCTCTCTCTCACTCTGCTTTTGTCACCAACTCTTTCTTTTCCTTTGGCTTGCAGTTTTCTTTTTTGCTGTTGATTTTTCTCTCCCTTCCACTCCGTCCTCCTCTTTTCTCTTTTCCCACTTTTTAGGCTTTTCTTTCTTTCTTTCTTTCCTTCTTTCTTTCCCACACACCTCTTTCCATCTCTTTCCCTCACTGTATTGTGTCCTGTAATAATACGGTTGTATCTCCCCATTTCCTACTATGTGGCATGTACATTTAAGCAGGCAGGAAACAGCCATTAAACTAAATGATCCATGGGCCTGACCTCAGCCTTGACCCATGTGATTGTGCGCAAACTCAATCAGCAAGGTCAGCACTAACATGATGTGACTATTACAAAAGTTTTTTTTCCTTTAACTTTGAGTGATTCGAGCTATTAGAGCCTGCTAAAACCGGTTGAGAGCTTGCGGTTACAACGATTTGTGTGTTTGTGTGTGTGAGAGAGAGAGAAAGAGGGGAAGAGATCGAGAGTGGGAGCGATTTTGAGTGTTTCGACTGTAAGGCCCGACCCGTTAAGGGCCAAGTATTCTCCAGGGAACAGAAACTTACAGAAGTGTAACACATGTTTGATTCCCCAAAGCCTCAGTGCAATAATTCTTCACATATGAATTACTAACAGATCAAATCAAGCCACACCGGATCAAACCAGCTGCGGTGGAGTAACAGCTCTTATTGATGTAGAGGAAAAAAACACAGTCAGTTCAGTAATTAAGCAAACTTCCTTGATAAATACAGAATTTTACATTTTTACCCGCATTTAGCTCGAGCGGTTAAAAAAGATAAAAACGGACATTCCTGACCTTTTCTGTCACATTTATCCCATTGTTTTCTTCTGTTTGACGTAATGCATGATTAAATAAAAGAAGCCTATTAAAAAAAAACAGTGTGAGCCAAAGCGCTCTGGACTGAGATACCAGCACAGAATGCAACAGATGGGATTTGAACCCTGGATTACACAGGGGGATTACAAGCCTGATGACCATCGCTCTCTCTTCAATCAAAGCCCATGGTTATGTAAAGAAAATATACAAATAGGTTTGCTCGACTTCAGGAATAAGTCATGTGATTCTTGCAGTCATAGTTCAGGAAACAGGATGTGTGACTACAGAGTAACAGGATTCAGGGCTCAGAAAGCACATTATGTTAATTAGATGTGTTCTAGGAAGTGCTGTGAACACTTAATCAGATCTGATGGATTGTAGATGTCTTTGTTAAATACTAATCAGGTTTGTGTGTCTGTCTGCACATTATACACTTTTAACAGAGCAATTAATAGAAATTCTGTGAGTCTGGGAGACTGCACATCTCTGTTTACACACATCTAATCCTTCATTTTATGCTGTGAAAAACGGAAAATCCTGCTGCTAATATTGATGATGAGAGACAGCAGAGGTGTCTCTTTGTTATCTGCTGTTAAATATTTCAAATGTCAGTCTTTTGTTTCATACAAAAAGCTGAGGGCCACCGGCTCTTAGAAGGAAACAATGAGCACAATTAATTCCAGTTTTCAGGGTATCGCTAGAAGTATACAGATTACGTAAAGACGTGCTTTCTATGTTCTACGGTTCCGTGAAAAAACGTGACGGCCGAATTTTGAAATTTCGATGGTAGGAACCAAGATGGCGGAACCACTGAGGGGTGGTGGGAATTCAGAGCTGCTTTGCCTCCTGTACTTTGAAACATTGGAGTGAAGAGCCCCCTTGAGGATCTTAAATTCACTCACTTTATATGACTGTGCCTCTGAAATGCAGAAGCACAGATACTGACAAACCATCCTAAGGATCTACATGAAGTATTCATGCAGAACCGATAACAATTGGGGATGGAAAGAATCAGAAAAGCCTCACTGGACAGCCATGATTAGTCTTTTCATACTTTATAATAACCAGGTAACATGATAACTGAAACTTTATTAGCCTATTTATAATATAATGTAAGACTCTGCTGTTCCAATGCTTATATTCACTTTTATTTGCCTGCAATGAGAGAGAAAATGCTAATGTAAAGGTGACACTCTTGACCCAGGCCAGAGGAGTCTGAGCTGAAAAATGACTTCTACTTGTTCTTTGTCTCCCTCTGCAGCTCAAACTGAGCTAAGACAGAAACTGTGGGCCCAGTGTGGACAGACAAAAAGTAGATAGGAATCCGGTAAAAAGTGAGAACAAGCAAATCAGCCAGATAAGCTGAGGGAAAAATGCAAAAAGGAGTAGAGTTTAGAGTAGAGTTTGCAAACTTACATCCTTGATATTGATATTTAAAGGTGATGACTCCACTTGTTCTGAAAAATAAACAACTAAAACAGCAGCTCCTGCTACATTTGCTTTTAAGTCTCTCTCAGCATTGAGCTGAACCATCGCTGGAAACATCTGCAACATGTTTACGACTCGAAACCTTTTTTTTTACACACCAAACAACATAAATCCAATTTACATAAAAGGACTAATTTCTCCAGACATTTATGTGCCTCATGGCATTGTTGGGAGTATAACCCTGCCTTCATGTGTGCTCAAAAAGGTTCAAGATGCTTCAAAGACAGTAATTGCTCCAAGTGGAATCGTCGCTCTGCAACATGGAAACAATTTCCCCCTGTCAACTTTGTCGTGTCTCATGGATGCTCCACACGGTGTAAATTAGATTTGATTACAAAGTAGTTTCTTTCAGTCCTGTCATAAATACTCTCCTGCCTTCGAACCCACAGGCTTGTTTTGTTTTTCATCTGTAACACTCTCACAGCACAGGGGGATGAGATTCATTTCCCAAACCACACTCAGATTTCTCGCATTCCTGCATGTATTGTGCCCCATTACACATACAAGCACCATGTGTTTGTCTTGCAGTATTACGATCTAAACAATGCCTCTGACATTGTGGTAAAGCTTGCAAACCGCTTGTGTTGCATGTAGCTGTGTGCAGGAATTACTCGTATGCACTTGTCTGATCTCAACAAATTAAATCCATCATTGTGACTCGGTGGATCACACGATACACAGCACCAAAAGCTCCTCATATAATTACATTTTCTAAAGAATAGAGCTGTTGTTCAGATTTTTCTACATGTTTGCAAAGCTAACAAAAAGACCAGGATCAACGATGTGTTAGTTTTGGTCACGACTGGCAGAGACTGGCAGAGGTAAAGTGTTTTTTAAGTAGGCCTTGGCTTGTAGATTTCTACACACTCTACTTAATCAAAGGTTAATTGTGTATTTGTTTGGGCCTACTGTGGATTAACATGACCTTGGACGGGTACACAGAAACAGATTGCTGTTCTTGGCACTTTAAATAATCCTCATGGTCATGAGAAAACATTTCACCGAGTGTACAGATGTATTTTGTATTTCACAAAAACAGTGAAGAAATACAAGGCCTTAAAAATAAAGATAGAGTTACATCTGAGCTTTCAGACACAGCATCTTCACAGCATTTGAGATCTTTCCTACGACTCACTGTGTGCCTGTGGCAGAGGTGTTTACTGACTCCCACTATAGCAGTGGTTCCCCAGTTTATTGATTAACACTATAATATGCTGTACACTTTTATTACATTTTAGATAAACTACAAAAAGAACAGTTATTTTTGCAGGAATGCTCTGTGACATAAAATATGAGCTTAATAGGATTTCATTGGAAAATAATCCCTGATGTTTACAACATTTATAAATACCGCCAGGTTTTAAGTTAATCTGACACCAATGATGTCTGATAGCAAGAACATGGCTGCACAAATCATATCAGAGCACAGAGGTAACGATTTACATCTGTGTTGCATGATTAAAGCACGAATATATGGCATTGTCTATATGTCATATTCGGTGTTGCTCATTTTTAAGGCTTCAATTATGTTCTTCCTGTCCTCAGTGGGGTCGTTCTGCTGAAGTGGACGAGTTATCTGACTCCAGGTAAATTGCAACAATGCCATCTAGTGGTTTGGGGTGTAAAAATATCACTTGAACATGTCAGCAGTTGAATTTCATGTTAGCGGAGTGTTTTGGAGAAACACTAGACACAGTGCGCGTAAACTGACATGTATGGATAGTATATTACATCTTTACTCTGCTCTTGCTTCAAAATGAGTGGAAACTGTAGTTAGTAGCCAAACACACAAAGGATTCGGTAGCTGATGTAGTCAACAATGAGCTTATTTGAGTGTAATAAACACTGAATTCTGAATGATGAATATTCTTTTGGTTAATAATCATAATTCTGGGCGCCACATTTATTTACACACCGCTTCTATGTAAAATAACAGAAAATATTCCGCTGATCCTTCTTTCTAAGCCCACCCCCTTATAGGTTTTATTTCACTTGAACCTGTGTGTGGTTTTCACACTTACTGCTAGTCAACAAAAAGAGGCCACTTATACTGAATCATCAGAAGTAACATACCCTCCAAAACCCACTCAGGGACTCAGCTACAAATTCTGGGCTCAAGGACAAGACAGTCCCAAAATCCCACAGAGCCATTTGACACCATTATTAGTCTAGACTTTGTAGGCCTATTTCCAGTTTGAGGCCCCTCTGCATCACTGCTCCAGTTACTCCCTGCCTGTCTCCGCTCATCATCACGAGGATGATACAATCAGAACCCAAACCGTCCAAACCCAGACGCATGTCATGACAGATAAAAAAAGGACATTTCGGTTTTATAGCCACTGTCATCAATAATCTAACATCCTGTTGGACAGGAAAAGGAATATTTGGGCAGCCGTAAGTCTGTGTTTTCACATTATTTCAGAGTCAAAAATCTGAAAAGAAGCAGATATACTGTGCAGGCGCCAGGACAGCGAGTGCACACTGCTTAAGTGCTATCTTGGCTTTGGAAATTGTGGTTCGGGGGGATTATTTTGACAGAAATGGAGAGCGAGAAGGGGCAAAGAATACAGGCGGCGTGTAATAGAGATACAGAACACACACACTTTATCACACACTCTATCATTGGGGTTCTGCCTCAGATGATCAGGAGACAACATCTGCCAGTTGTCTTCTGAAATATCTGAAGATTGAGTTTCCCTGACCAACATGTTCAACTGGACAATCTTTCAGCAGCTAAGAGAGTTTTACGGTCCAAAGCTGCTCAACTTTCAGACGAGTACAGTTTATATGTTTCGTCAGTTTTAGTTATGCAGAGTCAGAGTGAGCAGAAGAATCAGGCCAATCTCTCGACAGCCAAAGAATGAGAACTATTTTATTCTCTTTCATTCCAAGGCGCTGCTATCTCTCAAACTGCTTTACTTGTGGTTACAGTTTATTCAAATTAAAGGTTTATTTCAACAAAAATACCCTCAAACATTTTCTAAGAGAAGGGTTCACTTCAGTTCTGATGATTTATATCTCGTTTTGGAACAGATTTTATTAATGATACTTCCTTGCGGTTATTTATCTGGCAGGAGTGAAGCTCACAACGCCTCAGGATTTGGCATCCTAAATGTCAACAAGAAGCAGAGACAATATGAACCCTGTCCTCTGTCCACTCTGCTAAGCAGACCTATAAAAGTCCTTGTCCTTTGAAGATCTGTTGGGATTGACCGAGATAGTCCCCTCCCACTGTACTTTATTTGACTCTCAGCAAACAAAGTGCTGTTTGCTGTCGAACCTCTTTAAAGGAGGAAATGTTTCCGTCTTGTCACACCTGGGCCCATCAAACAGGATGGGTTACACAGGGTTAGTCATGTTAATGTGGGTCACAGTCAGTGTATCATAGTGGTTAATAGAACATGACTTTAGTTATTCTAAAGAGAAAGGTGTCTTGGAGGAATCTCAAACCAAATCAAAAAGCTGAATTTCGCTGTCATGAGACTGCTGTTTAGCTGCATGTTTTAAAGTAACGACACTGTCTTCATGTTACCACATGAGGGCGCTGTTTTGAAAGTGTGAGAGGTTTCAGACAGGCAAATGTCTGTCTGTGGCATCCCCAAAATCATCTGTGCCACTGCAAAACCAATGTTTGGAAATCTAATAAACCCTCAAGCTCAATAACCTTTAAAGCAGCTCCACATCCCTGGAACAATATCAAAGATGGAGTTTAACTTTTTACACAAATATCAATGTTTTTAGGATTGTTTTGAGTTTTAACTATGTAGATATTTTATAGTTGCTTTGATTTTTGATGTTTTTTCTGAACATGTTTTCTTATTTTGAAATGTCAGAAAGAGTTGAATAGAATAAAAAAAAATCAATTTACTTTAATAAACAAGAAGTTTATGATCACATAGCAATCACTTTTGTCCAAATGAACAAAAAAGTCAATTCCTCAAATAAAGTCAACATTCTAGTCTTTGTATTGAAAGTATTTGTTCTTGCACCAGATATCTACTTTTACTTTATTGACAACTTGAACCACCAATTAGTGGTTTCTGAAATTACCTCTCTTGAGTGAAAAAGAAAGATTTATGATGCATCTTAATCACAAATAGAAAAAAATGTAGCCTGCGGTTATGTGATTGCATTTGGCAAAGTATTGCATCCTTTTGTTTGGTTAGTTGCAGATAACAGAAGCTACTGGGGAGAAAAGGCGCATTTAAAAAAATGTTAGTGATATTCTGCTTACAAAAGTTACTTTAGTTTTGAGATGTGGGTGGAATAACAGTAGGCCTACTGTAAGGAGCATATTGGATCCTAAAACGAGCAGTGCATCAAGCTTGGGGGTCGGAGGTGTGTTATGGGTGGAGATAGTGGGATGCGGGGTGCACACTCAACCCGGGGGCTGGTGCACCGGGAGAGGCCACTGCCTCCCACCCTCCCAATGCCAAAACACTCTGGAGATGTGAGCAGCGCATATCGATCCTGAATCCCATCTGCTCCCACCCCCTCTCTCACTTTTTTCCCACCCAGTCCTCTATCAGTCCAGGTGGCGGAGCGCACTCCGGTCGTGGGATGCAGCCTCTCATCTCCGACGCATGAAGAGCGGAGCTTGGAGCTGCCGCAGCGCGCCACGGCTCCGCTGCTGAAGAAAAACTACGGGGAGGAAAGACCACCCTTTGGACTACCTGTTGAGACTTCATTTTTCTCCAATTCTTAACTTTCCCAACAAAAAAAGAGCGGGACCAGTTTTGTTCAATGCGCAACCATGCTCATCATCTCGTCTCGCAGTGCGCTGCTGTCCGTCTACTACCCGCAGATCTTCCTCATCCTCACCAGCGGTAGCTACCTGTACGTTTACTATCTGTGCACTTGCTTTATTTCAAAACTACTTGTTTTTTCTGCAAGTGAGTGGTTGTGCTTTACGCGCACATTGGCCAATTACGCACGGAATGCATGTAGAGGACACTCTTTGAAAGTCGCAGGTGTTTTATGATGAGGAGAGAATGCGCTCAAAACGAGTTCAACAATTTTTCAATCAGCTTTGTGTCATCGAGTTAATCAATATATTGCATTCCTTTTTTGTGGCTTTCTATAGTTTTGGTGTGGTAAAGAAATTCTTGTGGATATGGAAAAATTAAACATAGAAAACCAAGTTGACCAAAATTTAGAGAGCGTGGGTTGGAATTACGTGGCATGTGTCATTCAGCCCTTTTCATTTTATTCCACAATTCAATCACTCCCTGCCAACGGAACACGGGCTGTGGGTTTTGTCCCTCGAATATAAGCAGTTATGGTTTTTACGTTCAAATATTGTGCCATAAATCGAACAGAGTCCGTGAAGACTTGAAGGTCTGCAGCCAATATAAAATGTCCATATTTTTTCACATGCTGGAACATGAGCTCAGCTGATGAGATATCCTGCTCTGACGGATTTACACATCACACCAGAACCACTTTGTTACAGGAGCACCTCGTCAGACAAGGGAAAGAATTGGAAAGCAGCATATGGAAAAGAGTCCTTTTGGACCGCTTTGGGCTCTGCATATGGGTACAGGGAAATGTAATGAGCTCTCTCTTGTGGAATTCAAAGACTTGGGCCCTCACAAAGAGAATGATTGCTGCACCATACATGCCTCTTTTTCAGAGCAGGGGCAGGTCCTGAAACCTTGAATAGCTGTGGTGGTTCATGTTTTCTGAAACAGACAGAAACTTTAAGGAATTGAATTCAAATGTATGTCTGTAATAAGCGTGTGTTTCCTTTCATACTAATGCTGTTCCATGATGTGAGACTCTATAACTAAGCTGCTCTTATTTTCCCCATTCATTCATGCGAATTCATTTTTATCTTCATACAAACCTTAAAACTTCAAACTGTAATGGAAATTTTGGGTACAGAGCCCAGACACAGATGTGCATGAGTATTACCTGAAAAACACCATCTTGAAAGTCCCTCTATTGATCCTTGTTTCTCTGTGTCCAGGGCACTGTCCTCAGTGGTAGCTCTGGGTGCAAACATCATCTGCAACAAGATACCTGGACTGGCCCCTCGTCAGAGAGCCCTCTGTCAGAGTCGACCCGATGCCATCATCGTCATCGGCGAAGGCGCTCAGCTTGGCATCAATGAGTGTCAGTACCAGTTCCGCTACGGCCGCTGGAACTGCTCGGCCCTGGGCGAGAGGACTGTCTTTGGACAAGAGCTGAGAGTAGGTCAGTCTGTTTTGATTTCAGTCATAGAGTTGTACATATCACAGCGGTATAGACAGTAAGGAATTTGACTCAAGAAAGGGGGTAAAGGTTGCTGAAAGGACAAGGATTTTTGGTGTTTCTTTTACAGACTTTACCTAACAGGAAATAAGAGAACATTTGAAAACTAAGTGCAAAGAGCTTCAACGGGTCAATCAAACAAACTGTGTATAGAAGTGAAATAAAAGAGAACTGATTGGTGTGTGAACAGGGAGTTAGACCATTTGGTGCCGCTTTATCAGATCTGTTTGCCCTAACTAATCCAAATGTGAGGCTCATCCTGACGTTAAATCATTGAAACCAGGAGATCAGAACTCCTCCTGAAGATTAGATAGATAAGATAGAACTTTATTGACCCCTTTGGGAAGGTTCCCTCAGGGAAATTAGACAGATGAGCGAAGCCGAGCTCTGTGGTTTCCCCTCATTCTTATTGTTTTTCCTCAAGCATCCAAAACTGTCGTCAGCGGCGCAAGTTAAAAGACGCCGCATATCAGGACTAAGTAGAATTCAACCGATTTTGAAATGGGCGCTGAAACTCAAATGAAAACATATTTGAAATACCACGCGCAAGGGTCATTGAGGGCTTTCTGCCTTGTTAGAAATGTACACAAAACACTGCAACTCGACACTTGGAAGGAGAATCCGTCATATGTCACTGTGACTTACACAGTAGCTATACATGTGAAGACTTGGCTCTGAGGCCGGTCTGTGTGTGCCACCTTCCGAGTAAAACCCACCACGTCGGAAACACGCACAGTCCATCATGTTCCCCCTGTTTTTATTCAACATTCTTCCCGGTTTTATTTCTCACAGAGGCCTGTTTGCTCCTAATGTGAACCTCCTATATAAATTGTGTTTCAGTCTGAAATGTTTTGTTGCGGTCTTGCTGTGGGTTTGGATCCATGTTTAATCTAGCAGCTCTGGGAGCAATCACTTTCTTCTACACAGGAGACAGGCAGACAGAAGTCTGGATCCCTTTATTTCTTTTGTCAGAGGAAATGTCTCTTTTCTCTTGTGGTGTGTAAATGAGCTTACAGAGACACAGTTTTGATCCACGTGTCCTTCATGTAAGGCTGTTTGACCGTGGAAAAACTCACTGAAGGACAAAATCATGTAAGACGGGTATAAAAACTGCGACTGGTAGCTAATATAAAGACAAACACATAAACCTGGACGGATCATTAGTTTGCAAACTCTATTGTTAAATACAGGAATGTACATGAGGGCCATATCCCCACTTGCATCACTTAAGTAACACCCACCACTCGGTTTGATTGACCTGTCGAGCTCATGCACTCATGAGGCACTGAGAAAGACCAGAGGGATTGAAGCAAACCACTAATTGAAGTCAGCTCCAGCAGCTGGATGGCAACAATGGAACCCTGCATGCGCTGCTGTACAATGAAAACAAATCACAGCGCAAAGAGATGGCTGTTTGGCTGTGGTATGCGTCTGATGCCTTGAAAAATGCTCACCATACAATATATCAGAAAGGGTCGCGGATTTAGCCTGATGAGAGAAGACTTCAGACTTTGTTATGAGTTATGGATCGGAGGGGGAACCGCAGGCTCGATGGTTTCTGCGAGTGATTTTGTCAGGTTGGAGAGGAGCCATTAGAATCGCCTCTACCAAAGACACTGTATTAATATATAATATTCTCGGCTGTTGAGCAAAACGAAAGGGCCCGCATTATCCTGATTGGAGACAAAGGATATCTTATTACCAACTAGTAGCGCCAATAAATTCATTTTCTCTCTCCATGCCATTAATAAAGATATCTTTCTTCTGATGTTCAAATGGTGACACGCAAGAGTTTGGGAACATCTCAGTGATGTCTGGCCGCTGATTTCACCATGAATAATGGTATCATTTACTATGATAATGTGGACCGCCCTAACACGAACACAGAATGACACTCAATCCGTGTGAGAAATTCATTGATGAAAAACATTAAGACAGTAACTCAATGAGGACCAGCAAAAAGCTCCTTCATCAGCCAGTAGATGTCACTTGTGTTTGCTTCATTGTAACAAATGTTTTAACACACATTATCTACTCATGCTCTTCAAAGTCATCCTCTGACTGCTCAATTTCTACAACACGCCTTTAATAATCGTTGAAATAATTCAAAAAGGTACTGTAACCTTACAGGGTCCAATCTTTTGAGTTGAAAACATGTAACACAAAAGAATCCAGAGTAATTTAACAAATAAGTGGAGGTATGTGCTTGCACAATTACAAATATGCCATATAAAGCCAACAGTCATGTTTTCTACCATTGAAAGGCCTCCAAATAAAGACCCACAAATGGTGGAAATTTTTCCTTACAAGATGGTGCAACGACTTAATGTTGGGTTACAATTTGCTGGAAGACTCCCAGTTATTCAGAACATCATTCTTTTGGGAATTATGCCTTCATCGGGAAAACAGAAGCATGACATACAACAAGTGTCCATGTTCGCATGCACCGAAAGCAACCAATGATTTATGATCCATTTAAACGCCCTGCATATCTGCCAAAATGGGTGTTTTGTGCTCCGATTTTTTTCCTCGCAGCAGCAACAATTATTGACTCAAAAGTTTGTCAGCTCCATTTAAACTCCTGTATAGTTCTGTCTGCATTCCAGCGGGCAGTAACCACACAAGTCAGAATCAGTTTAAAAACCTGTGTTAGTTTTCATAATGTGAGAACTAAAAATCAAATCAGCCGTGGATAAGGCTTTGTAAGTCAGTTTTATAAGCCTTACAAATGTTGGATGACTTATTTTCTCATAATGCAGCTCAGCAGTATCTTCCATTTGAATGCCAACTTCAGCAAACCCCCAAATCTCAGTTATTAATGCAGACTAACTACAACATTTGGAAAGAATTGCAATTCAATAAACAAACATGAAACAGTTATCAGAAACTTTCCACTATTTCTACTCTAAATCAAACTCATTCAGACTCTGCTCTTTCTTTTTAGGCAGCAGGGAAGCAGCATTCACGTATGCCATCACCGCTGCAGGAGTTGCCCACGCTGTGACCACAGCCTGTAGCCAAGGCAACCTCAGCCAGTGCGGCTGTGACCGTGAAAAGCAGGGCTACCATGATCAAGAGGAAGGCTGGAAGTGGGGGGGCTGCTCGGCTGATGTTAAGTATGGCGTGGAGTTCTCGCGCCGCTTCGTAGACGCCCGTGAGATCAAGAAAAATGCCAGGCGGCTGATGAACCTGCACAACAACGAGGCAGGGCGAAAGGTAACGCAAATATGACTTAAAGTAAAGCTAAGGGATAGCCTCTCTTTCTTAGCTGCACCAGCCAACTCTTAGTGGACAGACCAAGGTCTAGAGCACACTCCTCCAGATTGTGATAGTGATAAGTGGAAACCAAGTCACAATTTGATCAGTTTCCTGGACAAAATCTTGTAGACAGGTATGAGATGCTCTAATTTTAGGCTTAGTGAAATTTTACGGTCTTAAAATGGAATGAAAATGGAGATTTTTCTGCAATAAAAAGGAAAAGGATATTCAAACTCAAGCCAAGTTGCAACAGCTACCTGTCAATTTTATCATCTGAGAATCTTTGTGTGGCATTATAAAATAAATATGGCCAAAACCACAAGGTAAAACTATACATGTATGGTTGTACAACAGGTCCAGTCTCTTTTCTAGCCATTATGTGGTCTGAATAAAGGTAAAGTTAATTAGAGACTACAGTTTTGGGGTATGGGTTTCTTCCCCAGGAACTGACATAAAGTTGGCATACTGACTGGTGTGCTGAAAGTTTAAGAGTCTGCAGAAACTAGCCAAGCTCAGAGAAAGAGAGACACATCCGAATTGCTGTGAGCTGTTTCTGAAACAGGCCAGAGACAAAAAAAGAGAAACTTATTAATTTAACCTACAAAATTCATTTTCAGCTCTTAACCAACTCTTTCAGTCCAGACCTAATTACCCATCTCTGTGTTTAGATCCTGGAGGAGAGGATGAAGCTGGAGTGTAAGTGTCACGGTGTGTCTGGTTCCTGCACCACTAAGACCTGCTGGATCACCCTGCCCAAATTCAGAGAGATTGGTTACCTGCTGAAGGAACGCTACAGCGACGCAGTTCAAGTGGAGCCTGTCCGGGCCTCCCGGCTCCGCCAGCCCTCCTTTCTACGACTCAAAGAGGCTCGGGGCTACCAAAAGCCAACAGACACAGACCTGGTGTACCTGGAGCGGTCACCCAATTACTGTGAAGAGGACACAGCCACAGGGAGCACAGGCACACGGGGCAGACTGTGCAACGGCACCTCAACCCTCACAGACAGTTGTAATGTGATGTGCTGCGGCCGGGGTTACAACACACACCACTACACACGCATCTGGCAGTGCAACTGCAAGTTCCACTGGTGCTGTTTTGTCAAGTGCAACACCTGCAGCGAGAAATCAGAAGTTTTTACCTGCAAGTAGGGAAAGATGGAATGAGCCTGAGAAAATGGTGAAGAAAACAGACAATGGATGGAGGTTCAAGGGGCAATGACAAAGTGGATTTTGAAGAGAAGGACTTGGAAGTATTTATTCAATTATTTGCACATTTTTACATCCTATTTTGGAATTCTTTTAGGGAGGAAAAGTTTGGAGAATTTTCAAAAAAAAAGAGAGACATCACTGCTTAAAAAAACATTTCCTCGCCTGTGGTTCAAAACTGTGGCATGATACAAATTCCTCTCAGATGAAAGGATCTGAATTTCTTTTTGAAGGACTATTGGGAGGACAACATCTCGTAAAGATGTGGCTTAACAGGAAAACACACCAGGACTATGATGAGATTGTTGGAGAAAACTTTTAACTGGAAATGCTGAAGCGCTTTAGACTGCCATGAAAGATGAGAGACTCCTGATGAAGACTGGAAGATGGCAGCAGAAAACTCAACTGTATGCTCACACTGTATTCTGTTTGAACACTGAAATAAAATAATATTATTTATGAAAAAAGAGATCTTTCAACCCTAAAATCTTGTAGGATGGATGGCAAACTTCTCTGCCTTTTTGACATTTGACCCCTCTTTTATGATTTCCACCTGCTGCTGATACATTTAAAGCTAGAAACCAATTATTAGTATGATGGAGTCATAGTTTGCAAATTCTCAATTTCATTCGTATCAATCAGAAGTTCTCAAAAGCCTCTCATACTACAATTTAGTTTTCTTTTGCACTCTTATAGTCATATTCTTCCTCTTTTTGCGGGGTATCTTTAAATTGAGGGCATGTGTTATTGTGTGCTGTGTTGACATCTTCCTCATGGACATATCTCCCCCCCTAAGTCCAGACCCTCTGTTATGCCAAGAACCAAAAAGGCAGAAAATAATCGCATACTATTTTAAGCATCCAACTTGTCAGTTTGAACGGCACTTTCCATCCTGACTGTGTTCACTGTTTTGTTTTCAGAGGGCTCTTGACTTCTGAGAACAGCATGTAAGCCTCATTGGAACTCCATAGAGGTGCAATCAGGTTCAGATACATCCAACATTCCCATGAACGGCAGAGACGTGGAATTCCACATTATGGCCTCTGCTTACACAAGGCCTTCCAGCGCGGTTTAGGCCTGCCTGGGTGGATGGCATGTGCGCTAACCACACAGAAGGGGGGTACAAGAGGATCAAAGGCCTAAAAGCTATTTTTGGAAAGCACCCTTAATGTATTCAGAGATGTTTATTAAGGCTTTATATAACTTACAAAACAATTTGAAGAGTATATTTTTATATGAGGAACATGGCACTTTATGTCATTTATAAATAGTAAAAGAAAATCACTATTTACAAGCGTTTTCTAATGTCATTGTTTTCAGATTGAAAAAAATATAAATTATTGGGATTTGTGTCTTTGATCAAAGTTTCTCACTTGTAAATATTCCACGTGTTTTAACAAAGTAGCCCGGATTGTTCATCTTAACGTGATCTGTCACAATTCAACGTAGCCCTAAAAGCTGAGAGATTTTTTTTTTTAAGTGTTGCAAAGTACGAGGAAATTTCCAGGAAACACGTTACATATTGAAGTAAAAGCATGCATTACTTTGTTAGCTGTAGCAACCAAAGTATTTCTTTGTGGAGCTTTCGACCTCTCAAATTTCTCTGTTCCTATTGGCTTTCACCGCTCTCCTCCTAAGAGTGTAGTTGTAACTTCATACACAGCTACTTAAAGTCTCTTTTTTGTTATATGGCACAATCACAGTCACAGACATAGCACACTTAATGGACAGTTGTACATTCTTCTTTTTTTACCAATAAAAGTTGAGCATCCTTTTTTTAAAGTCTTGAGTCTTTTTGTCACATTTAGCCGAAGGATCTGATTGAAACCATTACAAAAAGCTGCTTTGTCACATTCAATACTTTATTAAGCGTATTATAAACATATAGATGTACCTGCATCCTGAAAAAAAGTGTTTCTCGCTGAAAGTAAATATCAACCAGAAGGCACAATCAGACTACAGTACAGTACTGTGTTATAAACTGCTGATATGGGTAACACAAAATCTTCTGGCCTTGGCTAATGTGGTTTTAATGTGTTAGGAGGTGAACAGGCGGCCGCGACCGTGCCACCTCATTCAGCCCGGCTGACTCGCACAGCCTCTTTCCTGTGGGGCTGAAAAGCATTGCAGCCAGCCAGCCGAGCGCAAGTAACAGCTGTTTTGTTAGCTGTCTGAAATCCTGGGGACCGGAACCGTATAAGCTCCCCTCACTATGCCGGCGGATTGAGGGGAGAGTCCAGCCGATTGTTTCAATACATTTTGTCATTAAAAATCAGAGGCAGAGCAAACAGGGTGGAGCAGGGTGTGAGCAAGCCTGTAAAGCACTGCATTGTTGAGGTGTCAGGACCATTCAGCTTATCCAGCAACAGGAGGAGCAGGGAGGGATGTCATTCTGCAAACTAATGCTTCTGGTCCGATTCCCTCACTCAATCATCTATAGATCCACAATCACTAACTCTAATCAGAAGAAATAAGTACAGACTATTGAATAAATCTAGGTAGGAATACAGCATTTACTAAATCTTTGAGCAAAACTCAAGTACAGCTTTTGACCAGCAGTCAATAAATAAAAAAATAAACCATGAGTTTAAAAAACATCATCAATGTCAAACGCACGCCTTCTGCCCCTCTGCCTCATTTATGTGTAGTGCCGTTAAATGATAGAAATAGAAGATCAAGAATAAGATGATAGAGAAGCAGACTGAAGTCACTTGACTATGTTTAGTGTATTTACTGCATCATTTATACTCACTACTATAATTAGCTATTACAAGGATTCTGTAAGCTAGAGGAGATAGAGTGAAAAGCTGCAATTGTATACTGAGCATTCTTCCTAAATGACAAACATGCATAGTGTCAGTTAGTTTAGTTTAAAAGTTGAGTTGTCACAAACATGCTCTTAAGTCCTAACGTTAATGGTTGTATGCCCTTGTTAGTACATAAGCAGGTATTTTAAGCCTTTGAGAGACGAAAAACAAGTCTTTGTTCTTCTGGCGAGGACACCACTATTTAAGTAGGAAAGGCAGTAAGGGGGTTGATTACATCAATGTTTTGGTCATTCTCTGTTTCGTGGTTACTGCTGGAGTCACTATGGGCCTGGGATTAAAACCCCAGCCCCTGCTGGTAACACCAGTGTCTGTAGAAAGTGAAAAGCCACAGACACTGTGGTGCTCTTTGTCTTTGGATTAAACCACAAAGCAGCAGTCTTACCAAAAGGTACCAGCATGTGCTCGCCTCTCCCAGGCTCTTCATTTCCCAGACGCAGGTCAAGACAAAACAATAGCCCCAAATTGTATACTAGGGGGACCCTGAGGGTCCTTTGTGTATCAAGAATACCTTAAGCCCTTACTAGGCAATAGTGCAAGCATTGCTGAGGCAGAAGAGTTAGTTATACATACTTCTCTGATAGAAATATCCAATTAAAAAGGATTTTTTTTGCTGTATATGTTTGGCAGTGTGGCTGTCAGCCATTGAGGACAGGCACAAACATACTTCAAGAGTAATAAGAAGACCAGATATTAAACAAATGAAGCTTAAGTATTAACATTATTGAAGCTTGTAGCATTACACGTGTTCACACAAGGGTATTTGTGTGCACAGGTACTTAACTTCTCTCTAAACAAATACTACATGAGAACCTGCTTGCCAGTCAAGGACCTTCACTCTCCTCGTTGCTCCACTAAGCTTTTCAAGAGTCCTTCCTCACAGTCTTGAGCAGCAAGCTTCCATCCCGTTCCTCCACCAGGAAACCCAACTCCCTGAGAGCAGAGTAGTCAGCGGTGCCGTGGCGTTCCAGGGCAGCCACGACCTCCTGGTTCTGCACGTTGTGTTCAAGAAGGTTCCTGATGGTGAAGATGGCCCACTGGCTGATAACTGGAGCCATCTGATTAAGGAGAGCAACGGTAGAAATTTGTGTCTGTTGTATTTATTTATTTATTTTTTTGGATTTATTTCTCTCTGGTGTTTCCAGCACTGATTGGTTACCTAAATACTAAGGTAACGCGTATATTAAGTGAAAACATAAAATGGCTCCTTTCTAAACCTTAAAGTTAACTGACAAATGTTCACAGACCTTAACTTGTTGTAAACATTGCCCCTTAAGTGTCAAAGTCCAATGTAAATACCTTTACAAAATAACAAAATGGTAGAAATGAACATTTGCAAATAGTTATAAAGCTAGATGCACAAACATCTCAAGGAAAGGTTACCAATAGTGCATGCAACACAGGCCAATCATGTTCATATCAGGATGTCAAACTCATTAGCGCCTCGGGTCACAGAGTGCACATGCAGCCCAGCAAACAAATGAGCTTTGCAGACGGGATATGTTTTGTGACATAAAACATGTTCAACTCGCCACTATCAGGTTTCCCGCATGAATCCATGAACTTTTTTTTGGTCATACAGCCGTTTTGTAAACAGAAAGAAATGCTGGCACCTACATATAATGCTGAATGCAAAGAAAGCAGTGCGTGTATAAAAAGATAAAGGGGCAAAGGGTCAAAGGGTCAAAGTCCTGGTTAAAACACAAACCTGGTACGTTGCCCTGACTTTGGTTAGCAAATATCATCAAATAGCAGGATATTCAGTTTGGGCTTGAGATAAGATTCATTCAAGAACTGGAACTTCAATCCACAATAAACAGAAATCTTCTTGTCTTCAAATGCTGTCAAAGTTTCTAGATGAAGGCACGTCAGAGGACATAATCTGATCTTTCAATGTCACTCAAAATCTGCTGGCGCACTCTTAACTCGACTCTTAGTATGTAGATGGGGTGTCGTATTCAATTTCTATTGAATTATGTATATCAGTAAGGTCTGACAAAACTTAAGAACCACATATAAAAATGCAAAGTATCACTGCGGTTGGAACAGAAACCATAGAACTGCTGAATTTCTCTGATATGATGACAGTCTAGACTTAATAGCTCCACTAAACAAACAGCAATGTTTGTTAGAAGCATCAACGGGCTTTCACATGTCAACAGGCTGACTTTTGTCTATTTATGGGGGAAGAGTCTAAAATGTTCAAAAAGCAAGTTTGGCAAATTGGCAAAACCTACAGAAATCGATGCTTAAATCAATACTTAATTTTGGTTGCAAACCCACCAGCTTCCCTGTGTAAACATGCCAAATTCAATTCTAAAAAGGGTGCCAGGATTTGATACACATTGACTTATGAGCATAAATATGACTCTGATAAATATGAAATACTCTAAATAAACACAGATATGTTTGTATTTCCAGACCATCGGTTACTGAAAACAAAGGATACATGGGTTGTTGCTGTCGATGTTGCAGTTGTCCAATATGAGGGGCATGCCTTCCAGTTCTCTTACCTAAGGAGGAAAGTTCATGAGGATGTTAAAAATGGACAAAAACCACCAGTCCAGACTTTCCACTCTCAGTACAAATCAAGAGGAGAAAGTGTTTCACTCAGAAACATCGGGGAAACTTTAATGTCAAGACGTGCGGTTTGACAAGAAATATATTTCTAAGTAAACAAAGTAAGAACAGCTTCATCTCAAAGTAAGTAAAGTACTCAAGCTTATTGCCCGTGTTCTTTAGAGAGCCCTGAATCCATGCAAAAGCAGCAGTAGTGTGGTTGTGGGTTAGTTTCAGACCATCACAACAGGGTGATCTGCTCTCTATCATTTCCTTGATTCTATAGGCTTAATTGTTCTCTTTGCTTGCTGCTGCCCTCCTCTCGCCATTGCGGTTTCCCTCCAAACTTAATGGTAGGAGCTCTGAAACACTACAATATGCTGACTTTCAGAAAATGGAAATGTCATTTATGCTGTCCAAGAAACAAAGTTACTAGAAGAACAAGCATCCAGTTCAGCTTTTCCACTTAGAAAACAATTGTCTGAAGTTGCTTACATGTCCAAACCTATAAAGCGATGAATAACAAGCAACTAGACCCCGACTTCTGCCTGGTACATACAGTTCAGCACTTTGCACATGCACATCTGAAATTACAATCTCTCCCAAAGGTGAACAGAATGACATTTGGTTTACTGGAAGAGATCTTAGTGAAAACAGATATGGGGTGATTTTTGACCACTGACAGACCACAGATCAGCATCCATAAATATTATAGAGAGGCCAGCTGAGGGTGGCCATCCCACAAGCATTCCACAAATCTGTTTCTATTAAGTAGGACTGAGTCTATAATGTGCCACAGAGAGAGGCCAACTCCTCCCAGCGTCTTTATTATCTATCTGTGCTTTCTCACTAATAGAGACATGCTGACAGATGGCGATGGAGGGAAACTGATAAAAATCAACGAAGCGAGGGGAGGAAACGTTTCACATTTCAATGCCAGACCGAGTTGTTGTGTCGAAAGAACTCTTTAGCTTTTAGTCAAAAGGGACTCAAAGCACAATACTTCATTAGACATCACACTCCTTTGCAGTCCTCAGGTCAGGTAGTTTGTTACAAAAGTCAACTGCAGAGACCTGCGCTTTGAAAATGCTAATTTGGCCTAGAGATTAGGATGTTAAATACAGAATAGGGAGGCCTCCTGAACCTCCTCTTGACCTCTGACCTTATTGTGTTAGTCTGATCAAGGGTGCTCTAAATCTTAAGAACCACTGGATCCCGTTAGAGAAGGGATCCGAGAGGATACAAAGGAGAAAACGCCCAATGAATAACAATAGCTATTTGTCCTTTTCACTCATCCTCTGTCTATCCACATTTTGATGTCTGAGGCCCGTAGCTTGGTTTAGTATTGCACCAATAGACCTTTTTACATCATATTTTCCATATCTTTCAATGGGTGGTAACTCCTCTGAATGCAAGGGAAGGCAATGCGCATCACTGAAGATCTAGGAACTGTGCTTTCAGAAGCCGGTCGACAATATTTGAACTGGCAGTGCAATTAAATCTGCATTAAACCAGTGGCTCATGTTTGTATACGAAAGAACCACTGGTTTAAATAAGAGTGATTTTCTTGTTTCCCAGCCTGCTCTAGAAATCTGGCTTTGACTTTGGGCTACAATCAACGCATTCAACACAAACCATATTAATTTACAAGTACACTTCGTCCCATTTTTGATCAACAATGCGGTATGAAGATGTGGCACAGGCATGAATTGTAGAAAAGGTGGGGTAGGCAGGAATCCATTAAAGAAGCATCTTTTTTGTGGTGTATATACAAAAATTTTTTTAATATCAGTCAATAGCTATTAGTCATTGATGACATTTGGTAATGTAACGATATCACTGTGTTTTGTTATGTCTGTTTAGTCAACATTTTAAATTTTTGAGCGCTCTTCTCTTTCTGACTGTAAACAAAGCCGTTCTCGGCCTCCCCCAACCTGATTGGTTGTGAGGCAGACGCTGCTCCCCCGTGTCATTCACGAGCCCAAACAAAGTTAGCGTGCTACAATATCAGACAGTAGGAACCAACAAGTATGGAAAATTGTCTGAATCCTCCTTTGGCCACGACTGCCAACACAAGCCAGAAAACAAAGTAAATACCTAAGACTCTGGCGGAATAACGTGTGCTTAAAAAGGAGGTAGACCACCCAGGCAAGAGCTAAAAAAGCTGGGTCAAATATGATGGGGGACGCTTTTGGATCTTACAGACCCTGTAACCTTTCTGCTGGAAAGGTAAACCACTTTAACAAAGTAAGCCAAATGTCTGTAACAGAAGTGTTTCTTGTCAAACTGGACCTGCTGCGTGTTGTAGCCCTGCTAAACTGTTTACCTCGGGTCCTGGACTGTGTCACTTAATGCTAGTTGTAGAAGTCCTGCAAACATTGTGTTTGCTGGTAGTCTGTTGGCATCTACAGAAGCACCAATGCTGTTTACTTTCACACTGACTGGGCCTCATTTGTAATTATCTGCATTATATCTGAATTTAATTGGAACGATACGAGCGAGCAGGAGCGTCTGTTTGTGGGCGGGGCTTGCTGGAGCAGAGGCGGAGGAGAGAAGAGGAGCTGAGGGGAAAACTGGTTGGGAGGGGTAGAGTTAACGTTCAAGATTTCTACCCAAAACTGGCACTTCCTCAGATCCTGCCCATCCCACCTTTACATTTGAAAATTAAATAATTAGTTTACCTGGTCACAAACTGGTCCAGCACTGAAAAGTGATTATGTACTTCTTCTTACTTATTAATCACAAACCTTGTTCTGGTTGTTGGGGTTGTTGTGACAGAGGTTTCCAATCAGTCTGATGAGGTGGGCCTTAAAGCTGATGACAGGGGACTGAGAGGAAGCGTCCCCATCTCCACTGAAGGAGGAGAAGTTCTGAGCAGAACTGAAAATATTCTTACTCGCTTTTCCTATAGCATGAACCTGCTCCAGTAGCTCTGTGGGGAAAACAGTGGGTAGATATTCAGTAAAAGAAAAGATTTAAAAATATATATATATATATTGTGACTTTGAACTTATGTTGCCTTGATTCTACAGAGGACATATTTACTCCAGACATTTAGTTTAAGTTTTAATATTTGATCTCTGCCCTGGGGGCCTTGGCCTGAGCATAGATTACTTTACATTACTGTCTCAATAAAATTTAAAAAAACTTTGAAAGACAAAAAACAAGTTTAAAAGAGAAAAATAGGACATTAAACAGAAAGGAGGCCATGTGTAAAGGAACTCTCATTTGTTTTGGAGCTCAATCTGATAGGGGGTCTGGATCTGTCACACGACCACATGAAGGGTTTAAAGATGATTTATATTCCAAAAAGCAAAACCTGACCAACAAACCCCAGCTGTGAAGCTGTGAGTTTCCAAAAGGTTTGATGAGTATGTGTTTTACTTTACCAACAGTAGTTACGAGCAGATCTGGATGGTTCTGTAGAAACATGAACTGCTTGAGGTCTGAAGTCATCTCACATAGCACATCTAGCAGACTGATCACTGTCAGCGCCTCCTGCAGGACCTACAGTGGAGTGCAAGTGACAGGTGAGACTAGATGGAGGTGATTTAGGACGTTCATTTCCTGGGAGAAGTTATAAAATTATTAAAAACCAAAGCTAAAAAATATCTGCAAATAATTTCACTCAATGTGCTCGCTTAATAAATATAATAAACAGTGCCAAAAACTGTTCTGCAGATAAGCTCAACATAATTCTTAGTTTTTTAAGGGACTGATGTAAAAAAAACACCAGTCATGAAAACTGTCTCTACCTCATCACTAGAAGCAGAGCCAGTGGCGAGAGTCAACACAGCTCCACAACCTTCCTGGAAAGAACTAGCCAGGAAACGGGCCACATCAGGAGGGATACCACACTCTTCAGAGTCCTCCTCTTTCAGCTGGGCAAATATCAACTCTAATAGAGTAACTCTGGGAAAACACACAGTTTTATGTCACATTCATAATGCATGTGGAGCTTCACTTCGAGGGCTTTTTCCTTTTATGAGTACACGTTAAAACTATAAAGTCTCCGAAACGTGTCCTAATAGATGGCTGATGTTCTTCTTTATGTCTTTGTGTGGTTTGTTATTCATGGTAAATGCCTATGGTAATACTGTCAGTCTTTAATCACATTTAAAGAACATACCTGTCATGGTGAGACATCCCACAGTACATGCTCTCCACCAGAGCTGAAGACTGAAGGAAATGCTGAGTAGCAATAAGAACCCTGTAAGTGAATAAAACAGACACAACATAAAGCCAAGAAAAAGATAATTGTAATTTCATACATACAGAGTGACATTCAGAGTGTTTACTCAACAGGCATTAACACACAGACACACACTCTTACGTCCAGTCCAGGTCTGGTTGAGTTCTGCAGAGCTCCATCACCCTGAGTGCCAGCTGGATGTTCTGCGGCTCAGACATTTCTTCCACCTTGGCCTCATTAAGACATGTGTGGAGAACCATTGAGGCATAGTTGACCGCCTTCTCATCATCAGTGCTGAGGAGTTGCCTGTTTGCAGATATTTGGTTTGGCTCAATGTAAGGACAAATTCTTGTAACATATAGGTCTGTAAAAAAAAGCGCTCATGTGCAAACATCTTTACAAAAGAGGTTCAAGAGAAGTAGTCACAAAACACTTTGGGTTTTATTATGACAAGAGGGAAGGAGAAATAAGTGCTCATAGAACAAGAAGATGTGTGATTTTGATGAGTTTATTTTGCAATATCAACAACATGACTTTCACTGCTGTGTATAAAACTTACAGGAGGAGAGTCGGGTAGCTGAGCCTCCAAATTTCATCTTTACACATTTGGTTTCCAACTGCTAAGTTACCGAGGAACTGGATCCCACAACGAAGAGCTGCGCCACAAGGATGATTTGAGGGGGAACACTTTTAGACAGACTGTATAATAAACATCTTACTTAAATAGAATCAATGGTACTCACGTTCAAATATTGTATCCTTGCTCTCCCAAGTTTTGGTCTGAAGGAAGTTGAGGAGTTTTAGGGACACATCGATGACACCAAGCTCCCTGGTGGGAAAAAAAAGTATGTTAAGAGGATATTCCGGCGTAAAATTAATTTAGGGTCAAACACACCGTAACACCGAGATGATCATAAATGTTCTTCCTTGAGCTGCGTCATCCCGCAGCAATTCATAATGGACTGGCCTGAGGTCTCGCTACAAACAAGCGGCTGCTGGAAGAGAGTAGGTGAGTTGTGTTTAGTCTCTTTGCTAAAGAAATTAGGCAAAGTTAAAAAGATGTTTGATGGCTAGTACTATGGCTGGGACCCTAGATGTACTGTTGATGAAGTTAGGTGCTGTTCTGAGCATTATTTGTGGCTATAGAGTGGTGTTTTGGTTGAGGTTTGTTTATGGCTCCTCAGACCGCTGTGTATTGCTATAGCGCGGTTGTTACTAAAGTTGGTATAACTAGAGAAGCAACATTCATCTTTCGGGGGGTGTCTAAGTCGGTGTTATGGTGTGTTTGACCCTAAATTAATTTTACACCGGAATATCCCTGGGGAGACCATTCTGTAATTATAATGGAAACACAACACGAATACACACTTTATGATGGCACAAAAGCAATCTAAATTCACCTTCAGTAATGGAGGAGGTTGTGAAGCTGGGAAAATAATGTACTAATATGACTCTGTATTCATTTTCTAAACCAATGAGTTAACCTCTATCATATCTTTCAAACTACTAAACCAAGAATGATCTTGTTTTCCTTCTTTCTCACATGTACATGATTACATCTTCAACTACCTGAGAAGGTTTTGGTTGCGGGTGCTCTGAACACAGGCATTCCTCTGAGCCCTGAAGCACTCGGAGATCAGCTGCAGCAACAGGGGGACAGATTCCAGATCCTCGTCCTCACTGCTGGCGGCCTGAAGCTCATCATAGAGCCGAGACAAGACCTTAGAAATACCCGAGAAAGCCTCCTCCTCCACTGCATCCCTGAAAACAAAGGGAAGTTGACCCAGAAATGTGTTTTAAGAGAGAGTGTGTTTGTGAGTGAGTGAAGCTTAAAGACCTTCCCCACGGCAGCCATTTTTATTATCCCACATATACGGCTGTGTCTTCCTCCCATGACAACTTCACAGCATTCATCGACATTTTTACATTTTGGAGCTAAATTAACCAACAACTTTGCGACAGTCCGATTGAATATGAGCAGAAAGAGTAAGAAAATGATATATTTGTGTGAAAAAGAGTAACAAATGGATAAATTCTGCTAAAAACGGACATTAAAAAGGGGTAAATGTGTGGTAGTCAGACTGAGGCTGAATTAGGTTATCTTCCATAGTGCGTAACTGTCAAACAGGCTTCATGCTAACCACGACAAGACGACAAGCTAACATCCTTGTACTAAAACGGCCATAAACGCCTCGTCCATACCTGTATTCTTTGTCCCGCAACGAGCACGTAAATGTTTTCAGTATCTGCAAGTGTTCAGTGCATAGTTTTTCATTCAATATAACAGCGATAGACGCTGAGATGTCCAAGTTGCCGTTGGTGGAAGCTGCCATGTTTGCCTTCTTCATGCTTATGGGCGAGACATCCGGTGAAAATACTTGAACACTATTGGCTCTAAACAGGGAGGAGGCGGAGCTAACGCATGTGCTGCTGTTTTCACAGTTTTCTCAGTTTACTGGCCGTGGGGTGAGCTTCTCTGAGAGTGTAAACTTACACGAGGAAAGAAACACGTGGTGAGGAGGGTGGAAGAGAAAAGGTACATTGTTAGGGTGTGTTGGAGGAGGCAGTTTCATTTAAAGAGAGAAACCAGACTCATAAACATGTTGTCCAGTGGTTTCCGATTATTATGGTGGCCGAGAACTGCCACTGCTGCAAATAAAACAGAATGAAAAAAAACAACAACAAAAAAAAAACGGCCACAACGGAAGTTACCAATGCAAAAAAAAAAAAGAACTGAAGCCCAGTGCAAATAAAAAAGAAAAAATGCAGATAAAAAAGCCTCAATGGAAGTTAACACAAAAAAGTGGCAGTGCAAAAAATAAAAAATAAAACAAACAAATAAATAAATAAATAAAAGGATGCAAATAAAAAAAACCACAACGGAACTGAGATGCCGGGGACTACTAATGAAAAAAAGCGAGGGGTCTGCGTACTTATTTCTATGAGTAAAACAAACAAACAAACCATAAAGCTACTGAACTCAATTCCACTGCTGCAAATAAAACAGAATGCAAAAAAAAAGCCACAATGGAAGTTACCAATGCAAAAAAAGAGAAAAAGAAACTGAAGCCCAGTGCAAAGAAAAAAAAAAAAAATGCAGATTATAAAAAAAAGCCACAATTGAAGTTAACGATGCAAAAAAAAAAGTGGCGATGCAAAAAAAAAAAAAATAGTTACGGCAAAAATAAAAGGATGCAAATAAAAAAAGCCACAACGGAACTGAGCTGCTGGGACTACTAATGAAAAAAAGTGAGGGGTCTGCGTACTTATTTTCTATGAGTAAAACAAACAAACCGTAAAGCTACTGAACTCGATTCTCCTCTCGTGGGTGGTCTTTCGGGGCATAGTGGATTTCCCGTGTTAGTCGAAGCTAACACTACACCGGCATCCTCCAGTTTAACTTCATATCGACTCAGGCGCTACATGGCCTAGCCAAATAACACATTGAAAAGCAAACGAAGCGAAATCAAACAACAACCTTTCCACTTACTTCTTTGCTCGTCTTCTCGCTGTCGTCTTCTGTGCTTAGATCATCAAACACTGGAACATCATCATTATTAGTCCCTGGCAGCTCACTTCCATTGTTGCTTTTTTTTTTGCATCCTTTTATTTTCACAGTAAGTACCTTTTTTTTTTCTTTTGCACTGCCACTTTTTTGTGTGTGTCATTAGCTTCCGTTGTGGCTTTTTTTAATCTGCTCCATTTCTTTTTTCATTTGCAGCGGGCTTCGGTTTCTTTTTTTTAGATCAGTAACTTCTGTTGTGACTTCTTTTTTTTTGCATTCTTTTTTTATTTGCAGCAGTGGTGGTTCCAAGTACAACCATTCAACAAACCGATATGTAGGCTGCCATATTGTCCGTATTAGTAACTGACTATGTAGTATCTGTAGGCTATTTAAGTCATTAATTTGTTCAGACATTTATATGTTAAGTCATTCATTCTTTAGATGTTCATCTGTTTTGAAATTCATTCATCAAGGTAAACAAAGCACCAGTTCCAATTCTTCTTGATGAACCTTGTTAAATGGTTTCTTTATAGAAACCTTCACCTTGAATTTACTCTTGCTGCTACACTCTTGCACTTCCATTCAGATCATTTTTATGCAGTTTACTACAGCCTGTTGGGATATGTCTGCAAGTTACCCCAGGAGTTTTTGAGAAGTTTTCAGAAAAACACACAACCCCCCTGTTGTTAGAAGTTTTACAGCCACTCTGGGGAACTTGAGGCTTAATTTTTGAAACTGCAGAAAACAGCAGTGGCTCTTATGCCTTTGCTGATTATGCATGCGGCATTATGTAAAATCTTCACACTGCCGTTCAACTGCCCAATGCATCAGCCCTGTGAATGTTTTCTGCTGATAATGTAAAACCAAAGCTGTTCCAGCGCAGTGCTGCTCATGGCCTCACCTCACCCTGGGACAGTAGCAGTTGTGAGAGACATTAAGAATTACAGCTCATTCTGCTCATGGTCTTGTTTCCTTCTGCTGGTCATTTAAGGGCATCAGTTTCTATTTAAGTCAAAGTCATCATCAGCAAAAAAAAACTCCTCATACAAGCTTTAAATTAAGTTTGCTGATACTATAACCTATAGCTTGCTTTAATATTTCAAACTTTAGATATTGTGGTGATGTTTGAGAGTATTATTTGAGCAAATACACATCACAGATTTATTATAAGATTTGGTCCACATACATGTGCATATCTACAGCCATGACATTGCATTCTAAAATCTCTGACATAGAGATTTGAACAAGCTGCAGCTGTACTCCCATCTGAAATCCATTACCCCAAACCAATTTTTAAGACCTGAAGATCAATTTATTGAGCCAAGAGAAATTGTGGAACAACTGTTGCAGCTGCATCAACAAGACCTCGACGCATGCCCTGGGGATTTTTGTGTAAAGTGGCGAATTTAAGATTACACTCTTTTCCTCTGGTTGGTTGTCCCCCATGTTTTCACTGGCGAGAACGGCACAGCGGTGGTGAAAGGCAGAATCGATGTGGAAGAGGGTTGATTATGGATGGTAAGAAGTATCCACCTCAAGCAATTTGTCAGCTCTGAGACTAGGTATTCACTGAACCGAACATTCCCAGTATATGAATCCCATTTTTCATTCTTTGAGTGGAATAACTGGAAATTTACTCACAAACTGGAAGTGGTGTGGCATGGTTGGGAATCTACAGAGTTGAGTTACAGGAAAGACGTGAAACTCTATCAGATTTGGGATTGTGAAACTCATTCATGCTTACTAGAAGACAGCTGGTTTAGTCTGCTGTGGTAGAAGATGGAGCTCATTTCTGTGAAAAACTCGTACAACATAAACCACATTTGATTATTTGCAGATGGACCTATAGTCTGATGGTACAAAACACAATCACTGTTGAAAGGAAGTCTATAAATGAAGTAATTTATTATCAAATGAAGCACGTTATAGCTGGCCTATCAAAGAAGATACACACATTAACCAATGACAACAAAACAGCAGTTACACTTAAATACAGTAGACAGTGGTTAATGAAATAAACCACTTTGCTTATATCAGACTAGATTTTTTTTAGCTCTTGTTAAAAAAGAACATTTATCTTAGTTCTGTAAAAATGTGCAGCTTAGCTGTACAAAGACATTCCCATTAGCCACATCGATGGTCACTATCTAGGGAATATGAGCAAATGTAGCTTGCCAACATAGTAAACTAAGATGTTAACATGAAGAACATGTCATTATACTAATTCAATTTGTAAACAGTAATGTAGGTGAACAAATGTATGTAAGTTACTGCAATCATGTTAGCGAACTGGCATTAGCAATAAGTATAAAAGTGAAATAGCAAGAGCTGTAACAAACCAAAAAAATCTCTATAGGCTTATTCTAGCACAACTAAACAGAAAATGATCATATCCAGTGATTATCAGAGGGTTATTTGTGTTGGCAAACACAGCGTTGCTTTTGAGGTGAAACAGAAGTGTGGAGGCTTCTCCAGGTATTATTTGTTGCATTTCTGATGCTGTTTGTTTAATTCATCCACAAGCTCAGCTCAGAACCAGAACTCAGAGATGAAGATATGCAGGATGACAACATTTCGATGGGAAATGATCCCTGACTTGACGTAGTTCATGGCCACCTCCAGCACAAGATCTCTGGGGCCAACGATGGGTCTGACCTGCCGGACCACACCTGAAGGATGACACAGATTTGTTTGGCTGACTACAATACAGTTTTAGAGAGAGATATTTATTCATGAATATCTGTAAAAACTGTTAATTGAGAATGATCTGCTTGGTTTTTGGCGATACTCCCTCCACTTACCCATGATCATGCCGAGGTGGGAGCGTTTCTGAACATCAAAAGAGAACTGAGGATCTGCAGCCATGATATCGAAGAAAACATCAGTGGCACCAGGAAGAGGATTTGGGTTAGCCGCTGCAACTGTCCGCAGGAAAACTATTTCTGATAGAAGAGATGGTAGGAAGTCAGTTTGATAACAGCAAACCACAAAATGCATGTGAGTGCTCATCAAATATTCATTGCATCATTAAAATATATTTCTGTGAGGGGAAAAAATAACCGACTGTGATGGTTGTGTTTTATTTCAACTTCAAACTTTTGACCATTTAAAAGAAGATTTCTTGGGGTAATTTTTAGTCAAATCATGTCACTGACTTCATAAGGGTTAACACCTCAGATAAAAAATATGCAATTAAACTTAAATAGTTATTGACTGTATGTACTTCCTTCCTAAAACCACAAATAAAGATTTAACTTCCAATAAAAAAGCAAAGATTCCTCATGTTGCTACAGTTTGAACTGATTCTTGAGTTGATTCAATGCTTCAAAGATTCTTGTCTTGGTGTTTGTTAAAGCTCCTATGAGGTGTTTTTATTTACAAGACCACCAGCCACAATACGGATGATTTTTGTAACCCAGTCTTCAATGTCTGAAACATGGGCAAGGGGGTAGGTGTCAGCTGAGCAGCTGAAGAAACAGGCCTTTTTCAACAACGAGACTGTAGCCCTAAAGTAAGGTCAATAAATAACACATTTGACCAGCAAAAGTCACCAGGAAGAGATTTTTTAGTCCTACCTCAGCATGTTGTAGATGACAAGATAAGCAACGGTTGCTTTGTCCACAGGGGGATGCCAGAATTGACACAAATCAAAGTTCCTTATAGAAGCTTTAAGTTTTCTGACATTTTCTTTTCTATTCTGATAATCAGGTGAAAAATAGTGTAGGAGACACATGTTTCCTGTATACCACCTGTTACAATGAACAACATACAACATGATATTCACTGCATCGAAGTTCAGGGATTAATGTGCATGGCTTCTAAGGTTGTGTGAACATAATTTCACAAATTTATCTCAAATTCAGTAAATTTCATGCCGTCCTTCCACCATGCCTTACCCTCTGGCTCACTGAAGTCCCTGAAGGTTGGCAGGGAGAGGCTGGTGTGGGTGATGAGGTGGATGGGATCAAGATTGCAGCTTACGTCATTTGGTTGGCAAGCCTTAATACAACGCACATTGACGGAAGCATCTCGTCTGGATGTGGAAATAATAACAGAGAGAAAACAAGGAAAATCAAATATATACTTATATCACAATAGGCACCAAGAACTGAGAATATGCATCATCTGATGGCAGCCTATAACATGTACAATAGTATTTATTAGAAAAACTGAGATGAGAACTCAAATACTTAGTTGTACAACATCATGAATACTGTTGCTAAGATCTTGAATATTGTATTCCTGTAGACATATATGGTTTACTATGAGACTGGTAACAACCTAAAAACCTTAAATGCTCATATTTAAGAGGTTATCCAACTTGAGGACAGTAGTGTTTTCAGACATAACCTCAAATATGACAAAAATAGCAGAGCCATGTAATTAGCAACAAGCAGGTGAGTCCAAGTTGTCAGCTAACATGCAGCCAAAACCACTGGGATGATTGTGTGGTATTTCACATAAACAACATGCCACTTTGGAAAAATGGTGAGATGGAAAAGAGAGAGGGTATGTAAGAACGTACGCCACTTGATGTGATCTCGACAATATCCACATAGAATTAAAAAAAGGACCAAATTATTGATGGGATCAACTTGACTTTTCCTCTAAGGAGCAAAATACCTCAGAACCACCAATAAATAATAAGTATCATTAGATTTTACACTTCTGAAATAAAAAAAAAAAGAAAAAGCTGGAATTTCAGCGGCAGGTGGTTCTGAGAAACAAAGGTTTAAGAGAATAAAACTTGGTGGATCTAATATCTTTGTGTTTTAAATCATCCCTGCATGCATCAACCCCAGAAACCACCAGTGGAAAATTTGTCTGGCTGCATTTATCGAGTTGACCAGCACAGCCATAAGCCTTTGGGTATTATTTTCAGCAAATTAACTGATAACCACCCAATACCAACACTAAAAGCACCATTCATCTTGTGCACTGTAATGCTACTCTACCACTAATTGAGCCTCATGCTGGCGGCACACCAGGTGCCCATAAATAAGTTCCACGCTTATTTTTCTAACTGTCCACTAAGGAAAAGCCTGTTTGATCTTTCGTTCAGGCTGCTTGGAACAGACCATCGGAAAAATAGGTCTCAACATAAGAAATGACCACAGCGGAGGAAGCACAAGAATAGTGGCAGAGGCTATTGAAAGGAAGAAACCATAAGGACTGAAAAGCCATTTTTATCTGTCAATATTTTATTCCAACTCACAGAAGTACACACAAGAGGACGCAGCAGGACAGACAGTTAGGAAAGTAAGCTGCCATCAGTGCAAATCAATGCACAACCCTATCAATGTTATAAAGGTGCTCCACAGAAGATTAGCTCCATCTAGTGGTACAATGAGCTAATCAGACATTATCTGAACACATGCTACATCGAAGGCTAAATAAATCCTGACACAATATTACAGGGATCAGGTGTAATGCTTCAATAAACTAATTCACAGTCAAATTCAATATACTGGAGATTCTTTTCAATGAGGAATTTGCTTAACAGCTTTCCTGTGGTGAGAAAGTTGAGCACATTAATATCACTCATATGTTTGTATGTACAATAAAACACAAGAACTGGAACAGTCAGTTAGCCTGGTTAGCATTAAGACTGTAAACAGCTAGCTAAAGCTTGGCTCTGTCCAAAGGTATAAAAATAAACTAAAATATCTTAAACAGCTCAGTTACCTCTTCTTTTCTCTCCTAAATTAATGTGTTGGAACAGTTTTAGTCAAGGCAGTGACTCTTTTGTATTTAAATGTTTGTATTAAGCTAAGCTAGCACACTGATGGTTGTAGCGTTAGCATTAAGACACTAAACTTATCTCCTCATCTTACTCGTGTAAAAAATGAAATCTCTGATTTTTTTTTTTTAATTTAAAAGTAAACTTAACTTTAACTTGCACTGTTATTTTTTATTTATTTATTTTTCTTATTTAACTCTCCATTCAGGCTTTCACATTCAGTTTAAAAGCAACTGATTAGCTTAGGTCCTCATTCAATGCAAAAAAAAAGCATCATGTTGTCAAAAAGCCTGCATTACTCAATGATAAAGCAATTTTAACTGATATGGAGAGCTGAGGTAGAAGGATGTGGTTGACCAATATGGTACAAAAACAACTACTCAAAACCACAACAACAGTCTGTTGCAACATCATTTTTACTCTAGGTGATTTCAGAGTTTTGCCACTAAACGAAAACAATGAATCCCTGTCTTGGCTGTATTCAGTGGAAAGACTACGCTGTGAGTAGGCTTTTACAAAAAAGGATCGATGGGAATTAAAACCACATACACAATAATTAGTTATTTGAACAAAATTAGGAATTTCACAGACTTCTAATGCAGAAATGTTCTTGAAGGCCGAATAATCTGCTCTGGTGTTACAAACACAGCAATCTTTGCCATGTACAGATGTGACGTCCCGTAGCGGATCAGTCTCATCTCCACAGTGAGAAAGAAGTCCCGAGGCTGGGTTAAAACACGGCGCAGTGAGATCTCTCCTCCGTGAGTCTGCTGCTGCTGCACCATAAAGTATCCCTCCTCGTCTCCAGAGACTATAGTGAGCACTATTTTGTCTCCAGGCACAGAATTAGAGGGTCCCATCCGGAAAACATTAGCAGGGACAGGGGTGTTGATAGGGAAGCTGATGTTGTAGAAGGAGATTCTCAGTGGGAGCAAAAAACACGACGAAGGATCCTGCGTTAACTCGCAAGTTACGCGCTAGCAACGGCTGGAAGGGAAAAAAATAAAACACTCACAGACAGAAGGAGAAAAAATAGATATGGAAAAATAAAGAGTGACAAGACTAGTGGGGGAGTGATAAATGGAAGTTTGGATGTGAGGACAGAGTTTGTGATCGGAAACAACATAAAGTCAAACCACAAAAATCCTCATCTCAGAAAGTCAAAGGAGAAAAAGAGTGTCAAATCAGGAGGAGGTAGAGACAGATCCTTAATACTAAACCAAAGAAAAGTGAGACGTCATGCTCAGCAGAGGAAAAACAGCTCTTCTTGTTTTATCAGCATGTCATAGTAAAGTTTATCCATCAGCTCTTACCCTCTTGCTGCTTCCCGGAAGTTTGCAGGACATGTGAAGGACAGGCAGCGAAATCCTCCCTGGATGTTGAAGCAGGTTTCAGAGGCAGAGCAGGTATGGGTCCCAGCTGCACATTCATCAATATCTGAAAATACAGGGACAAATCAGGGTTCAACAAGTTACAATGACAATAAAAATATTTCATTTATTTTGGTCAGCATCAACAATTTCTCCCCTAATAAACCCACAGACAACAGGTACAAGTCACAAACTGAAATACACAAAGGGACTCAAAAATCAAGGAACAGAAAATACACGTAAACACAGATTACTAATCATAAACCAACCTAAAAAGGTTTAGTCTGTAGCCAAAACTCTTTTTGCCCAGGCATGTTTTGTTGTCTTTTTATAACAACAAAACACAGAAATAACAAGAAAGCCTTTCAATAGAATGAAAATGCTTTAAGAGAAGATACTGATGTAGGTGTTAGAGATCCAGGTCGTTTAACAACTGCAGGGATTGAACAGCAAATGCTCACCCCCCTTTAGTCTTCAGGTTTAAAGAAAGGAAAGAGATTCCTGTCTGAGGATCTGCACCGGCTGGTAGGGAGGCAGCAGTTCAGATAAGTAAAAAATGAAGGGTCAGCCAGTGTTAAGGTCACTGGAACAAGAGTTATATGCTCTCCTCTTTTAGATTGAGTTAAAAAGTCTTTTAGTGGAGTTATGCACACTTTGCAGTTCAATCAGACATTTCTTATTCATTCCAGTTCAAACACCATTAAAGTAATCGAATCATAAAAATCAGCATTCATCTTGTTCTAGATACTAAAAATAACACAGCAACAGTTTACAACTCAGTTTTTACCTAATTTAGAAGGACAGAAAGCACCAATAACTATCCGTTACTGACCTTGGCATGTGCGTCCGTTGGAGGCTAGGGTGTATCCCATTGTTGGGCAGGTACAATAGAAGCTTCCTGGAGCATTTGAGCAGCGGTAGGAGCACACATGACCTCCAGTAGGCAGCGCACATTCATCAATATCTGAGAGCAGCAGAGAGCAGCAGTGAACTTTTCTGTCATTGTTTTTTTTGGGGGAGATCTTTAATTGTGATCATTTCCAGCTTGAATTATCATCATCGAAAGTAAAACCAACAGTACCTTCACATGTCATCCCATCTACGTCGCTCAGCTGGTAACCACGGCGACAGTAGCACTGGTAGGATCCGTAGACATTGGCACATTCCTGGCTACAAGGATTGGCATCACACTCGTTGACATCTATCCCAACATGGGGTGACAGATGGGACAGGTATCAGACTTTAGAAAAAAATACAGCCTGATGAGGAGGAATTCTGTGTTATATTATGTTAATATCATGATTCAAAATGAGTTGACTTCTAAACACCCTTATGAGGTTAAACAAAAAACCTTTTAAAATCATTCAAAAGAAACAGTTGTACCTTCACAATTTCTGCCATCTTGTGACAGTTTGAAGCCAGTGGTGCAGCTGCATATGTAAGACCCTTCAGTGTTCTCACATTTATGGGCACAAAGCCGCCCAGGATAATGCCTGCACTCATTGATGTCTACAGATCAGAGGGTATAGAGATCAACGTTAAAAAGGTCCATTAGTTATCCACTTTGACATCAGTGTCGATTTACACTTTGACATTCATAAAACAGATCTTTCCACAGTTATTGTACAAAGGTTGAATGGCACCTATGTTTCCTCACCTTGCTTGAATATAACAACCTGAAAAATAACATGTACAAAATGTAGAAAGTGTTGAATTTGTCTTTTACCGTCACATGTTCTGGTGACACTGTTAAAAATGAAGCCAATTCTGCATTCACAGCGGTATGAGCCCAACAGGTTTACACAACCATGGCCAACACACACTGTCCCTGTGCGGCACTCGTCCACATCTGAAACATGAGGGGGAATCGTTTGAAAAGGGGAAAATAAAGGGCAATATAATGATTTTTTTTCAGCAAAAAACACCAGCAGGTTGAGTTTAATGTAACAGTATCTACCTTCACAGCGTGTGCCATCCTCAGATTGATGATAGCCCCTTCCACAGGTTACTGTATTCCTGCGACAAGTGAAGGAGCCCACCGTGTTGACACAAGTCTGGCCAAGCGGGCATGGGGTGGTGTTGGCCAGACACTCATTTATATCTTATGTAAAAAAAAAAAAATAGTCAACATAAAAGTCAGCTCACCTTTACCTGTGAATCATTTTTGCTTATGACTCTGAACTCACCTATACAGTTGCCAACAGCATCCTGGATGTATCCATCGCCACACCTCTCCTTTGGGTGGCAACGGAACGAGCCTGCTGTGTTGGTGCAAAGAAAGTCTCGTCCGCAGTTATGGGTCCTCAAAGCACACTCATCTATGTCTGAAAAAAACATAAGGTGGAGGAGTGATCAGAGTCAAAGGATATTTCATGGTATTAACATGTTCAATCAAGGTTCATGTATAATGTGCTGCCTTTCTTTGCATTTATATATCACAATCCTACGGTGGCTGAGAACTGCCACTGCTGCAAATAAAAAAATAAAAAAAAGAATGCAAAAAAAAAAAAAAAGAAGCCACAATGGAAGTTACTGATGCGAAAAAAAAAAAAAAAGAAACTGTGCAGAGAAAAAAAAAAAGCCGCAATGGAAGTGAACAACACACACAAAAAAAAGTGGCGATGCAAAAAAAAGTTACTCGCTATGAAAATAGAAGGATGCTATGAAAATAGAAGGATGCAAATTTTAAGAAAGCCACAACAGAAGTGAGCTGGTGGGGACCAATAATGATAATGCACCAGTGTTTTAAGTGTTTTTATCTAGGCACAAAAGAGGATGGTGAGAAGAGGAGCAAAGAAGTGAGTGGAAAGGTTATTGTTTAATTTCACTTTGTGTACTTTTCAATGTGTCATTTGGTCAGGCCATGTTGCGTCTGAGTCAATACGAAGTTGAACTGGAGGACGCTGGTGTAGCGATAGCATCGGCAACTTCTGTTTTGATTTTTTTATTTGCATTTTTAAAAATTTTTTATTTGCAGTAGTGGCAGTTCTCAGCCACTGTACAATGCTTATTACAGTCTCTTGTTCCCTTGTTTCCCTGTTTTTTTCTTGTTGTTTTGTTTTTGTTTTTGTTTTTGTTTTTTGTTTGTGGTTTGCTTTTACTGGACTTTTATTGTCTTGAATGACCTTTGCAAGACTGTACATGTTTTATTGAATTATGTATTGTATTGTCTTGTATTGTATTGTTTGTTTTATTTCTCGGCCACCGTACAATGCTTATTACAGTCTCTTGTTCCCTTGTTTCCTGATACTATCTGTAACTTCAGTGGCTGTCTTGACTTGTTACCTTGGCAATTGTTGTTGTTTGTCAGTTCATACCCTGTGCCACAGCCAGTTTCCCTCTGACAGCGAAAGGAACCCTCTGTGTTGATGCAAACTTGGCCATACACACAGTTGTGATTCTCAGTCAGACACTCGTTAACATCTGAGGAGGGAGATGCAATGATTACTAAATGGTGGATTCATTAGAAGTTCTGTTTGTTTTACGCGGAGAGAACAAACTGTGCTCGTACTTCTGTTAGCCTGTGTCAGCTCTTTGCTGAAGTGCATACGCAGCATGTTCACCATAACAACACTAACATGCACCTGATTACTAAAACAGAGTCTGCCATTAACACCATTAATTAAGATTTTTTCCCAGCAAGCATAATTTGTTTAGTACAGAGGCTGTGAGGAAAGGCGGCATTTCTGCAGGTTAACTTAGGTAGTTAAAATGTGTCTTTTTAAGAGGCTTGAAATTCATTAATCAAGTCACACAACTTGTGAGCAATAGTGAAGTCATGCTTCAATTTACATTACTAACCTTCACATCTCACACCATCCCTTTGCAGTCGATATCCATCACGGCAAGCACATGTACCATTACCTAAACACAACTGGGAGCAATTGGAGTCTGAAAACATCACCGACACAGACAAGATCGTCGTTAAATTGTACAGTGTGTGTAGTCATGTCATGTCATGTGTTTATTAATAAGAAACCTCTTAAAATAAAGATGCCATACGTTTACAGGTGTTTGAGTCCTCTATGGGTTTTGCAGTAACGTTGGAAACAGGCCTCAGTGTTCCTGGTACAATAGAAGAAAAAACCTTTAAAAACTCTCCTTATTTTTTTAGTGGTCTTGTATTCAGTGTAACTCTGTCCTGGGCTAAACATGAGGAAAACACTTGTTTGCGTTCTTACCAAAAAAAACAAACTGTTTTTGCAGCTTTGTTTTGTTTGTCTTGCTCTTTTTCTTGAAACCAAAAGGGCGACAAAAGTCAAAACACCAGTTGGCCCGAAGGTACCATTTGGCGAGGTGTCTCTAGATTAGCATTGTGAATACTCCTGCAACTCCACAGTCTGTCTGTCTGTCTGTCTCTGGCAGAAATCTGCTCTACAGCTGCCACACCAAGGCCATTTCTCCAGCCGTTTATGGAAACAGGACTGTTCTCTTTACTTGAGGAGTCCTGCCTGTTTTGGTGTGAGGCACTCAGCTCTTTGAAAAGCTGGCTCTTTTAACCCAAATATACCTCAGTGGGTGTCAAGGTTAAGCTCCTACTGCTGCTGAAATAATAAGCACAATTTCTATAAGCCTTGGGAGTGCTACTTAAAGCTTCTAAAAGCAGATCACAAACAGAGCTCCAGAGAGGTCACAAATACTAGCCTACTAAAAGAAAACCTGTTTTTAAAAAATGAAGATGAGCAGAAATTGAGGAAGCAGCATGGAGCCCAATAAACTGCCTTTAATAATCTGACCTAAGTCCTCTTTATTTTGGGGCAGAAAACTACAAATGTAAAAATGACATACTTACAATTAAGAGGATGAGAAATAGATGCACGAATTTCGAAGCTCTTATTTACTTTTTCATGCTAGCTGCATTCACAACAACAAGTTAATCACACCAGAGCACAAGCGTTAAAGGTTAAGGTACTATGAGTAATTCAAGCACCAAAACATGTGAAACAATTAATCAATTACTATAGTTTGGTTTAACCTGAGAGTTAAAAGCTATTTAGGGACTAATGTGTGCAGATCGCCAGGTACATTGATTGATATGAAAATCACAGACACCCAGTAATCGCAGAAAAACAGAACTGTTTTTTACCTTCAGCTTTTGGTTTGGCTTCCTCTGTTGTGTTTTTGCCACAGCAGGTTTGAGCTGTGTGTGCACACTGTCTCCCCAGCAACATACCCTGAAGCTCACAGTTGGAGCCACGGCTGGCAAGCATCAGACCAAGTGTGCAGCAGTCACAACACATCTAAGCAGGAGACGGGGTCAAAGTTTAAGCAAAAGAAACCTTATCTTAAATGTGGAAACTCCCTCTGTGTACTTCTTTTCAAAGATTTGAGTGGATCAACTTTGTGTAAGTAAAGAGACGTGTAAAGGTGGAAGATATTGACGTTTAGAGAGTTAACCTTAGATATTTTGGTTTCCCACGGGTCTCCTTGGAAGAAAGGCCTCTCACAGGCCCCTTGTACTCGAGCCATTTTGATGCCATTTTCACAGAGCCGGTTTGCAACTGCTGCTGCACAGCACTGCTCCTGGACAATCCTGCACACAGAAGACATTTTGTACAAAGTATCTTCAATGAGAGAAACCTCACTTTTATAGCCTGTGAGGAAAGAGATGGTTAGGGAACAGGGGGATTATTTACAGAGGTCAGTCCGCAGACTGCATGTGCGTTTCTGTTGTATGATGGCATTGTCATTTTCACCTATAGCAGTGATGTATCATAAAAACATGGTATACCGCAGCAGTTTCCTTTTATGATATGTTACTTTAAATTACTATTTAACTTATATGTTCATGTATGGGTCCTGGTGTCTTGCTCTGAGTTTTTCCTTGGCAAACTCTCCCTCAGCTGACCTCCATGTGTTGACCAGGTGTTCCTCTATTTCATCAATCACCACCCCTATGTTCTAACAGTCAAACGGGGCCCTTTAGTGTTAAAAATGCTCCAGGGGGGCACTTAACGCCTACACTTGTGTAGTTACTACGTGGTACACTTCCCTGTTGCAAGAATGATGGTTGGAGATGATTTGGGGCTTGTAACCCTGAGGGTGTTTCCTGCTTTAAAAGAAAAATACTACTGCAAACCCAGAGGATACAGCAATTACAGGATACAGCTATTAAGAGTTTTTGAGTCCTGTCATATTTTGTTCCTCGAAGGAGAAATATGTTAGTGACGTCCTTGGATAGCTCGTGGTAGATACAAACACTTGCAAGAATTTCTCCTTTGAACCCCTCTGAACTGACCTTTCTTTGGTCTCTGGGCCCCACTTCCAGACCCTCAGAGGGGGCTAAACTAGTCTTAGAAACCAGGTGTTGCTCACCTGCAGGTCTGGGAAGAGGAGATGAGGGGGAGAATACAGTCCTGTCCTCCACGGGCCCAATCCCTCCCATCCTGACAGCACTCTTTATATGAAGGAGGCTGAATTTCTGCAGTGATGGGATGAGAATTGCAAGTAAACAACAAAGGCATGGGACAAATTGACAGTATACAAAAGCAGTTATTTCACTCTCTGATAAACATGAGGAGAAAAGCAATATTCATAGTTTAGAAAATTTCTCCTAAAAGGTTTTTCCAAATCCAAGTTTTTCAAATCACATAACTCACATGTACTTCAACGGTGCATCTCAAAACAACACAGCCTTTAGTTTGCATTCTTACCTTGTCCGTGCAGAACTCCGTAGGAAAAAATCAAAAGTATTGTCCACTGTGCCATCAGACTTTGCAAAAAGTGTATCCCGTCGTGACTTTGTAAAAAAATTGAGGTTATATAGAGTTTACTGCGATCGGGGACCGAAAAGTCTCAGCAAACTGCGTCTCTTCTGAGGTGCGACCCGTCAAGATGGAGAACATCTCAGTCACAGCGGCACGGAGAGGAGGACTGACATCTCACCCTGACGGGCTAAGGGTTAGGGGGGTGGGGGTGAGGGCGGAGTGGAGGGAGCTGGAGAAAGCTCTGATAGCTACTGGGATTTACTGGATTAATACTGGGTGATTATCAATGCCGATGTTTCCTAAACAGAGGATAAGTGGTGCTGCATTATGATAATTTTGAGTTTTTTATTTTTATTTATTATTTCTTATGAAACAGGGGCGCGTCCGGACTTTTGACTGGGGTGACCAAACCCGGGCACTGACCTCTGCAGGAGTGGCATGATACGGTGGCCGAGAACCGCCACTGCTGCAAATAAAAAAAGAATGCAAAAAAAAAAAAAAAAAAAAAGGAGTCACAATGAAAGTTACCAATGCAAAAAAACTTATTTACTGCGAAAATAAAAGGATGCAAATAATAAAAAAAGCTACAACGGAAGTGAGCTGCCGGGGACCAATATTAATGATGCACCGGTGTTTTACGATCCAAGCACAGAAGACGGTGGCAAAAAGATGAGCAAAGAAGTGAGTGGAAAGATTACTGTTTAATTTCGCTTTGCGTGCTTTTCAATGTGTTTTACTTTTGCAGTAAGTAACTCTTTTTTTCCATCGCCCCTTTTTTTTGTGTCATTAACTTCCGTTGTGGCCTTTTTTTTTTTTATTTGCAGCGGGCTTTGGCTTCTTTTTTTTTGCATTGGTCACTTTCATTCTGACTTCTTTTTTTTGCATTCTTTTTTATTTGCAGCAGTGGCAGTTCTCAGCCACCGTAGCATGAGGTAGGCAACACATACACTCGGAATAAACAACATCTATTTTCCACTAACACCACTTATGATAGAGTACAATCCTTCTGGTACTTTAGTTTTAAAATATTATAGACAGAAATCTAAATAAAATAAAATGCAAAAACATCTCACAACCGCTGCTTTTATGAATTACCTCCTGACCCCTTAAACTGATCCCACTGAGCAATAGGTGGTTATTAGACGTCGTTATTTTTTAGATCTAACTTGAACGTCTAGATTCTGTATATTTCTAGACGGAATTTAGATGTTGCTCTTAAACACAAAAGCAATAAACACACACACACACACACACACACACACACACACACACACACACACACACACACACACACACACACGAAACTGATTAAGATTACAATAAAAAAAAAAAAAACAAGACTAAAGTCATAACTACAACTCTGTTTATTACAAATATTGTAAACACAGGTTTTTAATGCTCAGCATGTTTGTAAAATTCACATACAGGTTCTGTGTATCCTTAATAAATAATAGAAACAAGAACAATGAACAAAATAAAGTATATATGCAGAGGCTGAAGTGACGTTTCACTTCAAGTGAATCTCCATGAGTGTTCAGGGATTAAAGGTCTCCAACAAAAATCACTGAAAGTCTAAGAACTATTGTTTACATTTTTTAGTTACTGTCAGGGAAGGACACCGACGTATTCTCCGTGTAAGAGTTACTTTCCTGCAAAAGTAATCACATTACTGTAGGGTTGGAAAACACTGCTGTCAGAGGCTAATGATGAGAAAGTGATGATCAAGTTTGTGAGTTATCTCAACCGTGATAACAGTGAAGTCCACTGAAGTCGAGAGCATTGCTCCACAGACAGATGATCAAGGCTGCTCTATGATAAAGCATTGTTGGGATTTTGAGGGGATAAGAGACCTAAAACTGGCGACACTTGAATTAAATGCTATTTGATAAACGTGGCCCTTTTCTCTGTACAGACACTGCTATACAGAAAGTTTCTCCATTCATTGAATACCCAGCATTGAGACATCAGTTCTATCTCAAACATGACGTATGCGTTATCTTTATGACAAGCAGAAGTCCTGAAACAAAACAAAACAAAATAAAAAAACAGAGGTATTATTTATGACAGGGCATCTTAACATGCATTGCTAATTTGAAGTCTTTTGTTCGTAATTTCTTGCAGCACAGGCGTCTTCAATTCTTGGCATTATATATACAGGTGATAAGCAAGATAAAGTGATAACTTAGCCATAAACCTTTCAACAAACAATGTCTTTTGTGTGCTTTGGAGTAACATCATCCCAGAAAATAATCTTTTATGTTACAGTTTAATGGTGACCTCTGTCCATTAAGAGCTTTTTGCTCCATTCATAGTGCAGCTACAGCTTGACCACTGCTAAATAAGACTATTTAGTAAAGCGGTACCCTTTTTTTTCCCCATTGCAAATATTACATCCAAAAACAAAATTGTCAGATTGCAGCAAATGCAGCGCCCCACTGGAGCTGCCTCTGTGGAAGACTAAAACCATCCATTTTTTCTAGAGTTTCTGTATGTTTTAGTTCCTCTCTACCTCCTTTTCTTCCACTGTCTCCGCAGAGGTTGGTTCCTCCTCCTGCTCCTGGACTTCAGGTGGATCTGAAGGTGGTTTGGCAGGTGGATCAGCCACTTTTTCAGTGGAGGGCTGAGGGATCTCCTCTTTGGGGGAGCTGGTAGCTTCTCCATGTTTTGTTTCACTTTCAGCAGCTGGGACACTTTCCATCTCCTGATCAGGACTTTTCTTGTCCTGCTCTGACTCTTCTGTTGGAGGCACAACTACATCTTTAGCTTCTGCCTCCTTGTCTGTCTCTTTTTTGTTCTCATCAGTCTCATCTTTCTCCTCCATTTCTGGCATCTCTTTCTCTATCACTGCGGTTGCTTCTTCCAGTGGAGGTAAGTCCTCCTCCACAGGCGGGATTCCTTCCCCTGCAGGACTTTGTGGTTTATCGTCTTCAATGGGAGCTATACCTCCCTCCATCATCTCTTCTTCCTCATCATCTATCTCGTCCTCCAGAGGAGGGATCATCTGCTCCTCCCTACCCCCGGGGAAGAGCTTGTCAGGGTAGACCTGTTTCAATTGCTCTTCAAAATAGTCCTCCAAGTATAATCCCGCACTCCCCACTTCTGAGGTGGCCTGCACAAATTGCACACAGAAAATTTGGATAAATACAAACAAATAAACACAGATGCTGTCCAGCTTTGTATCTTACAACAAACAGAAAAGGGATTAATCAGTTTTACCTTGTAGTACTTCGCACAGTTGGTAAATATAAGCCTGATATCTGCGACAAACTCCTCAGGACTGCTGTACAGTTCACCATCTTTCAATTTGGACTCAAGCTTTTTCTTCACTATTGATAAGTCCATCGGGGTCTTGATCAGCTCTTTGTACCTTCGTGTCTCCTGCATTGAAAAGAAGTCAAAGCTCAGTTACAAAAACCATCTTACAAGCAAAACAGTGTCACTAAAACAGGGTAGAGTCACTCTGACACACATTTATGTTGAAACCCCACAGCTATACCTCAGCATTATGAAACCTGGTAGAATTACACCTTGTAAATCTACCCAAAAAGGGATCTCTGTGTCTTCTCAACCATGAGATGGAGCACCAAAGGTTAAAAAACAACAGCCAGGACAACAGTCTGCTCTCAGTGAGGTGGTGATTTTATTAATCAAAAAAATGTGAGGAAAATCAACAAAAGCAACGAAACAGAAGGTCTAAACAAGAAAGAAATCTCACAGCAGGTTGTTACCAGCCCCACACACCAGGGGCCTGTTCTTGGAAGTAGGATTACTGCTTAGCGAGGTAACTTCGAGGGTAAGTTCGGGGTTCACTTCTTAGCGACGTGAGTCTTCATGGCAACGTACGCTAAACGGCTAACCTGCTGTGGGGCAGGTTAGGTTCCAGATTGAACTCACTGAGTATAAAAACCCCGCCCACTGACCAATGAGCTCTCTCGAAAAATTTGCTTGTCCGTTCTTGGAGGATCCTATAGACCTATAGGTGCTCGCATTGTCCGAGGAGCACTACGGCGCGCGAGAGTTTTCAGTGACCGCACGGACCCACTTACTTTTCCGGATGACCACCTTTATGAAAGGCTCATGTGGCCGACATATCACACAAAAAATGTAAAAACGATAGGAATGAACAAATGAATGAATTCATCTTGGAAATGAATTCGACATGTCCGGTGCATGTTGAAAGCACATGTTGAACAGTGATATTTCAGGGTGATAATGGCATCAAAGATTTTTTGTGCACTATATTTACGCATTGAGACAATTGGCAATTTTCTGCCAGCATTCCCTCCTTGCTTTTGCAGCGGCGACGGTGTTGCTTTTGAGGTTTATGATAGATTTGAATTCTTCATACTTTCTCATAATCGTCTCCTGCACCTCGTTTGTAAACATGTCCATGTTCGCGATTGGTCAGATGCGGCGGGCTCCGCCTTACATGCGTGCACGCGCTTATTGCTTGATTCACACCTGATTCAAATGATCAGCTCGTTATCAAGCTCTGTAATGGCTTTATAACGAGCTAATTATTTGAATCAGGTGTGTTGGAGCAGGGAAACATCCAAAACATGCAGGACAGTGGGCCTCGAGAACTGGACTTGAGAACCACTGGTCTACTGAAGAGGCATGAGGAAGCCTTTTCACAAACCTAAAGTCAGTAGCATTGCTTCTCTCTTAGGCATTTGAGACAACTTGGGTTCATTTTTGACAAAATAATGAAGACAGCAACTCACAGATGGAGAGGCAGGCTGCTGGAAATCAGTGCTGAAGTCGTTGCAGAAGAGGCGTAGTAGCAGCCTCTCACACCGCTGCATATCAAAACACAAGAGGAAACATTTCATCATCATTTTAAGACAGAAGAGCATCTCAAAAACTGTTGGGCTGAAGAACTTGACTGTAAAAGACACAAGAATGATGATTAAATCAGAACCACCAGGCTTAGGCTTCTTGACAGTGATCATACAGGTCACTTTACATCACATCTCAGTGGACGTACCCTTCTATCAACTGCAGAGAATTCCTCACAGGAGTCGCTCTTGCTGTCACAATCATATATCATCTCAGGAGAGACGATGTCTCTGCAGAATGAACAGAACCACTCGCCACTATGGAGAGACAACAGGGAAGGAAAAGCATTTAACCTGATGTAAGGACTGCTTTTTAGTCATCAGTATTCAAACAGTTAATAGACTGGAAGTATCTATGACCAAAGGGCATGCAAATCCACTCTTAATACTTCCAAATACTTCAAACATGGGAGTACAACTTGATGGAGTACTGTTTGAGTATGGCCAAAAGAATGACTGCACTAAATCAGTGTAGAAAACTCCACTGACAAATAAATATCCAACTAATGTAGCTGTTAAAAAATTTGATGTACAGGCGACTTCCCACATGAGGCACATTGTAAGAATGTTTGAAAACATGAAAGAGCATTCCTAACCAGACTGCACCAGAAAACCACTGCTAATCAAGGCAGAAGTTATAATTCCTAGTCAGGATTCAATGTTAAAGGCAAATAAAGACTACAACCAAACTTTTATATTTGTGTTGACTCAATTAAAAAAAAAAGATACTGCTAAATCGTTTTATTCATTTTTCTTTTAATAAAGCAAATAACAAAGTGTTCGCCAAATTTTCCAAAGTGAAGTATGGACGTGTTTGTCGGATCAGCGATGGTAGCTTCATGTTTATTCATACAAAATAAAGAGTATTTCAAGTGACATTTCAAAAGCAGCTTTGGAGACTGTCTGTCTCTCACCTTGGAGACTCATTCAGAGTGGGAATGTGACAGGCAAGGTGAAAAACTTTGGGACACTTGTCGCAGCAGAGCAGCTCCCCTCCGTTCTGACAGACAGCACACCAGTCCTCATTGGGATCATCCTCTGGCTCTGCACTCTTCTCAGACACAGGCTGTGCTGCAGGCAGGGGACGCTGCTCTTTCCCAGATTTGGATTCTGAAACAGGCGCAGCGACGGGTGCGGGAATCTTTTGCTGCGGCCGAGGCTTCGATTGAGCCCCGGTGCTGCTGTCCGGCAGGCTGGACTTGACACTGGACTGCACCTGAATTCACAGACAACAAAGGATACACACAGTTAGACACGATGATCCACAGAGAACAGAAACGTGATCTCTGAATAGCTTTAATTGCTCTCTTACAAAACGAACTTCATCCTCATCCTCTGGTTCGTCTTTGATGACGATGACAGGTCCTGGAGACGACCTTCTTCGCCGCTTGGCTGAGGGAGCTGACGGAAGCTCGAATGTTGGCTTCCAGGAAGATGCCCTTCAAATGAAGGACAGATCAGATCAGAAGACTGAGACTGTGATACAATAAGGATGAGTCAGAGAGTCTTTTTTTAAACTTGTCCTTTAAATAGCTTGAATGTCACATTTTTGTGATAACATACAAAGCGTTTTATAAGGACGTCATGTCTGAGATATTGATAAAGAGATAGATTTTTGAGGAGGTCAGGTACACTGTCAAACAGGACAAAGGAGTAAGGTCAACGACTGAGGTCAAACTATTATCACTGTTGGTCTGATAGTAAAAAGTGCTGGTGCTGCATGATGAAGAATCAGTCATTGATATGTTTTGCATTACAAAGTTTTTTTTATATATATTTAAACTTGATAAAACTGTGAAAAACTTATGGTATACATGCAGTGTACGTGTTAAAATTGATGATGACGAAATATTTAAAACAACAAAGAAAAAAAATCAGCATGAGAAACTCATCAATAAATAAAACACAATCACATTCATCATCAGCCAAAATGTCAAAAGAGAGACTAATTTGATAATTACACAGTCCAAAGACTCAGACTTTAGTTTGAATTCTCACGGTGGTTAAAAAATGTTATAAAATGTGGCCTCTGTAAAACCAATCCTTTTTATACTAAAGAATCTGATACCCTTAATCAACAGCAACACCAGTGAAAGGCCAACTACTTAAAAATGAGGTCCAACACTTGACAGTAGAATTGAATCCTGGATGAAAGGGAGGACCTGGACAGTTTGTAGATGTTTCTTACCCCGTGCTTCTGTCTGAAGAAGACGGCTTGGCCATCGGGGAGTTCTGCCTTGCTTGAACTTCAAAGAGGAAGAAGAGAAAAACAACTTTGTTATTATTTGAAGCTCAACCCTCCATCTTTGTCCAAACTGGGAGAGATATTGAAGGAATTTGTTGCATCATAGCTTAAATAATCACCTGATATGTGGTTAAGCGTGCTGGGTTTGTCTGCAGTTGCTGAAGTTAGATTTGGAGGGAGGTTTGGTTTGGGAATGGAAATGGTGATAGAGGGCACAGATGCACCTGCGTCACTCCTCTTCTGGTAAAACGACTCCACAGGGCCCCGCTTTAGAAAACAAACAAATAAAATCAGGGTGTAAAAATAGCTTCTCAAAGCCACACAAAATCATGGTAGCTTTAAAATCTCTTCTCCCACCAACCTGAAGCAGTGATGTCTGTGTGGCTGCTCCAGCGGTCAGAGGCTGCGGGTAGCGGGACGTACCCTGCAACATATCCATGGGTTTAGGAGGGAAGCTGGTGCTACGGATCAATTCTCTCAGAGACTAGACGGAGAAAAAGTCTGAGTAAGAGCAGCTCATTTTTCCTTACGGCCAGCTAAGCATCAAACATAAGTTACTATGTGTGACAGAAGCCAGTTGCTGCATGCATCCAGAGTCCGAAAAGGGCATGAGGAAGGTTTGTCGTAGAGAAACAAACCTGAGTGAACTCCATTTTTGAGAACAATAAACAAGTTTTACATGAAACCAAAGGCAGCTGAAGACTAAGACAGTGCTAGGGGTTTGATGTTTGATCTGACTCTTCGAAGGTCACTGTCTTTAACAACTTTTAAGGTCATAGTTCGCAAATAAAACAACACAGGATATAAAGCACCCAAAGCACATGACATGATAATAAATAAAAATATGACAATTATTTTAAAAGGAAGGCTCCTCCAAAGGAGTTTTGGTCAGAGGGCTGGGGAGGCTGATTAATCATACGCTGGAAAATTTATAAGAAAAGGATGGTTAGGAATGTAAGTTATCAGGGCTTGACAGTGTGACTGTTTCACTCGCATTTGCGACTAAAAATAGACGTTTGCAAACTGTAAAATATATTTAGGGGCACGTGCGCATTAAAAAAAATCAGCCAAGGCAACAAATGTTTTTTCATGTAAATACAGCGGTGACGTTAGTCTTAGGTTGGATATTCGACGGACATTCACTGCGGATCTACCAGGGTCTTCTCACTCTCCAAAACCGGGAATGACAAGTGCAGTGTGGTTAAATCTACTCAGCACCCTCGCTGACAACGTTGGGTGTTAAATAAGGGACCATCAATAAATTACCAGTTGATGTTCTGAATAAAGGCAGTTTTCCTTAAATAGCTTCTATGTCATGTGACCAATTGACCTAAAATTGATTTCAAATAATAGTACTAAGCTCGGACAATACGACACACCTCTCTAGTTCCCCAATTCGTCCTCTAAAAATTTTGTGTTAAATTTAAAGGCAAATTTTGAACGTTTTCTTCAATAGCTTCCATGTCACGTGACCAAAAGACCTAAAATTGATTTTAAACAATAGTACTTATGTCGACCAATAAGACACACATTATTTGATCAATTTTCACTGTGCCCCTAAAGTTCTTTGTGTGTTTCTTACTCTTTAAACTTAGAAGCACATGTGCTCCTAAGTTGAAAAAAGTTAGTGTCAAGCCCTGGTTATTAAAGTTTAAGAAGTAATATGTTGCACCACCCATGTTTATCAGGCTGTCTGTTAATTTTGAAATAATATTGTTATCATGATATTTTATGGCCACAGAGAAAACCTGAAATCATGACATCCTTACTACAGAATAATGTGTTCTCTTTCATCTTCTTGCAAACACTTACTTGAGGTGGTGGGAATCTTGTGTTGTGAATCATGGATGATGTGGGACTTCTAGGGTTGGGGTTGGAGGTGCCGTATCTGCGCCCCGGCTGCACCAAGCTGGGCGGGCCTTGTGAGGGGGAGGACCCGCCGTGGATGGGTCTGGTTGGGGGTGGAGGGCCTGGGGGTCCCGGGAGCTGGGCATTTTGGTACCAGGACCAGTGGTTAGGACCGGGCTGCCTGTGAGGATGCTGGGAAAGCTTGTCAACCTTAGATGAGAGGAAATGTCAATCAACTGAATAAATCTTAAAGCTTACAGTAAAAAAAAAAATCCATAAAGAGTTTAACAAACTTGTCTGATTACAATATCTGGAAACTGTGCTGTAAACCCTACCTGCATCTGAAGCTGAGCCAGCGTGCTCTGTCTCTGTTGAGCTGCTGTGAGACCTCCCGTGGGGGCTTCTGGTCTGGGACCTGCCTGGTGGTTGGGGATAGGTGGCCGGCCAGGTCCCCTTTCTACTACCAGAGAACCTGGAGAAAATAATTAAGCATATAATAACGTTACGACTCATTCCTCGCCATGTGATCAAGCACTCTTAAAACTTCTTTAGCTCCTCTTCAAATCGTCCTCTGGGAGCTGGCAACATATCCTCAGACCACCCACTCAACATCCTAAGATCTTATTTCTTAATTTCCAACAGATGTTGACTTGAATGACATTGCCAGAGGGTAGTTTGAAGCCTCATGCAGCTGCCAAAAACAGGCTTGACATACTGTATATGACATATTCACATGGAGTGAGTTGTGCTCCCAAACATAAACAAACATAAACTCAAGAGTAAATCAGGACATTGCAGCCACATCGTACAACACAAAGACCATCTAGAACCAGTCTGACATTAATACTTATTTAATCTAAGTGTACCTAACAGTTTGGGTTTTGTTCTTTACTATATCAAAAATAATAAAAATTACATGGCACATTTTGAAAAATTATTCTGAGCTGTAATATGTGTTTCCAACTTAAAAAAAGAGGGAAAAAGTAGTTGACAGTAAGATTTAGAGGTCATTCTTAATACTAAACATAAAGTAGAGGGTCTTTCAAAAACATTTTGTTGGAAAAGTTAAAAAAAAAGGGAAAAGTTCATGTTTTCGCGATAACTCTTAACTCTTAGTGAAGTCACCGGCTGCTTTTTTATGATAGACGAGACAGATTGTTGTTATGTTGTTAATATTAGTGTCAGGACTGTTGGGAAAAGGTGTACTCTCTAAGTATTGAGACTGAAGAATAGGCGACATCAGGAAAATGCTACATCTAAAATGTAGTGTCATATTTTTTCAGAAAAGCTGTATGCAGGTCCTTGAGAAACTAAACCTCCCACAATAACAGTCTGTTGGGAATTAAATTTAGTATCCCAATAAATCAGAACCACTACATCCAGAATTTCTGCTTCTTTTAGCTTCCATTGATAATATTGTTTATAACTCCTGTCAAGATAATCATTCATTCAGAACAGAAGATAACAGAAGGAAGAGATTGTGTTAAGAAATGAGATCGATTCAATCTGCTTTTTTTGCAATGGCCAGATACTATTTGTGAAGAATTTTTTGTTCTATTGTTGATCAGTTTAAATTTTCTTTAACTCTTATACAGAGTAGGCATCAGTGGTAGGGATACTTATGGTTGCATTTTGCGTTCGATGACGACAGTCTTACCAAGGTCTACATTTGTGGCCCAGAAACCAGAGCGACACTGAAATCGGACTGAACTCTGGGGGACGATTGAGGGGTTACAGCTCGCTCTCATCAGGTAATGGATCTGAAACAGGATCTGAAAAACAACAACAATATTTCCAGGAGTCAGTGAGGATGTAAATGATACATGTGGAATGGTAAAAAAAACACAAAAGTCTACTAACCAGTCTCTTGCAGTACAGGAGGGCTGTTCCACTGTGGCTGGCCGTGGCCCATTTGGTAAAGTTGATGACATAGTCTAGGTGTCTGCTCAGGGACTTGACATCCTCTTGCTGCTTTTTCAAATTTGACTCATGGTCCTTGGTCAGAGCCTTGAAGGAAAAGTGTGAATTTACAGTCAGGAAAAGTCATTAAAGAGGAGGTATTAAGCTTTTTTTCAGACTCTATACTACCATTCTGATACTTCTTTAATAGCTTTACATGATTTTCAGATCAAAAAAATCCTTGTGTTTCTCACCCTGGTGTATTAAAATATCATTATTTCACCCTCCATCTAGGACACCCCCCAGTTTTGAGCAGTCTACATCTATTTTCTAGGTTTTTCACAACTTGCATTCACCTTGTGATTTGAAACTTTGCATACATCTACTATGGACACCAAAAATTGTTACTTTGCATTTTTTGTTGTAGATGTGGAAAAACATGATACTACCCCTTTAATCGTTAAATTTGGCTTTCAAATTTCACAAAAACAGCAGATTGATCAAACCTCCAGCTGGTTGATGAGAATCTTTCCTTTGCGGTTGATCTCCATGATAAGATTACAGATGGACTTCTTGATTTCATTCGTAACAGCCCTCTTGTTTTCTTCCACTTGCTGGAGTCTGAGAATCAATACAATCATTACATTTTTAAAAAATCAGCATGTCTCGTATTTATTTGGCATCAGTTTTGGAATAAGTCTTGGCAATAACTTGTCTGTAATACAGTAAATTTATGCATAAGAACAAAGTATTGCAGTGAATTTGTCAGATTTAGAGTGGATTCTGTCTAAACAAAAGCTTGGATCAACTTGCAGGAGTAGGAAAAGAGTTTACCCGGTGCTGATACAGTTAGACACCTCCTCAATGGCTTTTCTTTTTTCTTGCAGCTGCTGTGTCATGTTCTCCAGATACTGCTTGTGGTTTCTGTATGCATCCTCCAAAAACTGGTAACTGTACACAAAAACGAACAATTTGGACACTGACAGCTAATGCAAACCTGCAGCATTCAGATCAATCAGAAGCATGCTCACAGAATAATCTACATAGTAGCTGCAACAACACTGCAAGCTGTCAAAGGACAGGAAACAAATGAGTATATCTGAGGAGATAAATATAACATGATGGGTTTTTTTTTTTTTTTGTAGCGGTACATAAATAAAAACCACAGCCTACTTGTGATCCTTGTGCTTCAGCAGCTGACAGTCTCGACAGGTGAGGCGGTCACAGGTCTCACAAAACAGCTTCAGTGCCTCTTGCTTGTGGATATCACAAAATACGGGCTTCTGTGTGGAAATACCAACTGCTTCTGGGAGACAAATAAAAAAAGGCTTTAGGAGAAATGGAGAAATATTAAGTCAGCTTATACCATTGTCATTATCTGTTTAAGTTGCACACCGATGGCGACTCTGGAAGGTGGAAAAAAGCCTTTTTAACATCTTTTAAAAAGTCTTATAAATTCACTGCTATCTACAAGTCTTCTGAACAGCAGTGATACCACCTTAGGCATTCTTTTAAAGGCTCTGATTTATCTCTATACTCTTGCTGTAGGATGAGCATATTGGAACTAGACCTAGATTTTTAAGTCTAGTGTCAGTTGTGAAAAATAAATATTATCGCAACTATTCTAGACTTCTGATGCATTCAAGCTGGTCGAGGTAGATGTAAGAAAAGGAACTTTGATAGTTTATAGACATTTCAATGCTCTTATTGAAAACTATTTTTGCATTTTAATTTCAGGTTAACCACTTATTTCTGACACAAATAGTGAGGAAAAGAACTTCGCTTTGACCATCCCTAAATTTGTAATCTAAAATTTTCTGCTCTTAATTTTCATCAATGGCAATATGTGAAATTCTTCATTTTTAAACACCTATGCTGTCTACCCTAAAGTGTCTGCCAATCTCTCTGTTCATCTGATGATATCATACAGCCCCGCTCTCTTCCACCTTTTCACTGAATCAAAGCATTAATTATAGTATATAAGATGCATAGTCGCAATAATTTATCACTCTTTGGTACATTTAATCATTTATGTTTTAATGTTCTGCATGATGTACACTACCTGGTGACATTTCCTCCTTCTGGCGTATGGTATGATCTCTGGTGAACTTGACCCTCTGGTGAGCCTCGATACAAGTCACACACAGAAACTCCACACACTCGACACAGTAGCCTGTCGCCTCTGTGTTGTCTTCACAGCTCATACACACCTATCCAACAAGAAAAAAACAAAAGACTTAGCAAAAGCAACACTGAGGCTTTGGAGAAGGGGGGGATTTAAAAAACAAACCTATGAGAGTGATAACCAACCTGGCTGGTTTTCTCCACTGTGCTGCTCGGTACTTCAGCAGAATCTTTAACAAAGAAATTATCCAACACATCCATCTCCCAGCATTCCTGTCTGCATACTGGACATCGAAGGGCACCCACTGGAGCAAGAGATCAGATGAACCATTGAAGATTTTAGCTCACTTACAACTCGATAAACAGCTCTATCATTTCAAAGACAAACTCAGCCTTAAGGTAAAAGTCCAAGATGTCTTATGGCAAGAGCTCAGCGTGCAGCAGAAAGTAAGTGATAACATTTACTACAGTTACAGTTACTGAGCAGCTTTTCTGAGTACTTGTACTGTTTCAGTTCTAAGATAAGTCATTTTATTTTTTACTAAATTATTATCTGTTTAGAGTACTATACTTAGCTACATTTAACTGTCTATCTACCCTATGACAGCCAGCTGACTGAAGGATGTTTCCACAGAAAAAGTCTAATCTAGTTGTATTTTTACCCATTAAAATAAGTCAAATAAACTATTTTTTGCTTAGCATAATACCACAGTTGTGCAATCCTGACAAAAGATGCAGCAAAAATATTAAATAATTTCACACTGGATAAATGCAGAGTGTAAATCAGTGCTCACAACAGTATTATTGTTTGTTTTCAATGACTAGTTTGAGAACAAAAATGTTCATTCGAAATCTGGGAGCATACCTTGGTCCCTGCAACCCTGTGCATTACAAATAATTAATACTTGATACTTTTGGTACATTTTAAAGCTTTTTCTTTAGCAGATTCACAGCTTGTTTGTTTTACTTCTACTTTAAGCCCTTCAGAGGAACTTTTCATTTGAGTCATTTTATGACACACTCAGGGACAAAGCAGTCTTGACGGATTTTGTCTCCAATATATGTCAGTGTTAATAACAAAAAATCCTGTCCAGGTCTATTTTAAAGGAATATTCCGGCATAAAATTAAGTTAGGGTCAAACACACCGTAACACCGAGTTAGACACCCCCTTGAGAGATGAATGTTGCCGACTGCTTGCTTCTCCAGTTATACCAACTTTAGTTACGGCCACAGATAGCAAACCTCATCCAAAACACCACTCTGTAGCCACAAATAATGCTCAGAACAGCACCTAACTTCATTAACAGTACATATAGGGTCCCAATCACAGCACTAGCTACCAAACATCTTTTTAACTTTGCCTGATTTCATTAGCAAAGAGACTAAACACAACTCACCTACTCTCTTCCAGCAGCCGCTTGTTTGATGTATGATCATTTCTTCATGGAAATGCAATCAGACTAAGACGCTAAGGCAGAAGAACTACCACGTCTGCAGTGCAAAATGATTAATATGGTGATTATTACTTCAAGGAAATGATAAAGTAATGATCATAAACGTTCTTCCTTGAGCTGCGTCACCCCGCTGCAGTCCGTAATGGACTGACCCAAGGTCTCGCTACAAACAAGCGGCTGCTAGAAGAGAGTAGGTGAGTTGTGTTTAGTCTCTTTGCTAAAGGAATTAGGCAAAGCTAAAAAGATGTTTGGTTGCTAGTGCTGTGGCTGGGACCCTATATGTACAGTTGATGAAGTTAGGAGCTGTTCTGAGCTATAGAGTGGCGTTTTGGTTGAGGTTTGTTTATGGCTCCTCAGACCGCTGTGTATTGCTGTTGAGTGGTCGTTACTAAAGTTGGTATAACTAGAGAAGCAAGCAGTCAGCATCATTCATCTCTCGGGGGGGGGGGGTGTCTCAATCTGTGTTACGGTGTGTTTGACCCTAAATTAATTTTACGCCGGAATATCCCTTTAATAGTCACATGTTCCTTCATCAACAAACTCTAATTTAAAATATATCAGCATTAGTATCTCTTTTTATACTTTCAGTAGCTTGCAAACCCCCTGCCACAGTGGAAATAACTGAAAACAATCACCATTCCCACTCGTGCTCTTATTTGCTTGTATAGGTCATTCATTAATCTCAGTCTGTTCTGACACCTTAAACCTCCTCACAGGAGTTTTTCGTAAACTGCCCTGAAAATGACTAATTGTGATATCTCACTGTTCTTGTATGAAATGAATAATGTGCACATCAGCTTTGTTATCTGACACATTTCCTCCTATTACCACATCTTTCTTAGAATTTTCACAGGACTTGATATGAGCAAAGAGCCCATCCTCACAAGGTTTGTTGTGGTCTGCTTGTCCCTGAGGGTCCCTCCTGGGCTCGGCGCTCCTGAAGGGGGGCGGCAGACATCTCTTACAGAAGGAGTGCAGACACGGCAGCAGTTTGGGCTCTCTGCTGTGGAAGCTCAGCTTACAGATGGGACAGGTGTCCATGAGTCCAAATGTGCCCTGCTGTTTCATCCTCTCCTCTTCAGCAGGCAGACTCTCGGCTTCATTCTCCACGATGATCACTATGTCGTCGTTATCCACGTTTTCGGCACTTTCATCCATCTGTTCGGCTTTTCTCGATCTCTCTCCACTCAAACAATCAATACAGCGCTGCGACTGGAACAAAGGAGAACCTGGACTATTTCACCAGGCTACAAAGGGGCTTCAAAACGTGAAAAATACCCCTCATAACTCCAAACAAATGTCGACATAAAGTGTTAAATCAAAGTCTCCACACCTCTGCTCAGAATCATTTCTCCGTTTTCGAGGCTAGATTAGCAACTTAGCTTTCTAAAATTCTAACAAATGCTTCACCAAAACTTCACACATTCACGAATTGTGGATCTTCTGCATGATAAAGGTGAAAAATACTAAGTGGCGCGTACCAAAAACTTGCACCATGCTTTATAAAAACTATTTAAAATTTTATATTCCCGTGAAAGAGACGAATATCTGCGAGGTTAGCTCTGCTCAAAACATATACCATAAATTACCCACAAGACACTGCGCTGTTTTAAAGCTACGGCGCCCGTTAGGAGCCAAAGTACAGTGAGTGGTAAAGGTATGCAATTTTTAATATGCAACTTCAGCCTCAGCAGTACTTACAAATGCTGAGCCAGGGGAGTCAAGGTGAAATGCACATCACTGTATTTTCTCATAACTAAGTCATTCTGTCGGACACTGTTATTTAATCACCCCCTCCTTCATTTACTGGCTGTTGTGGGAGGTTTCAGCCCGTCTGCGGGAGGAGTCCGACCAAAGACAGTATAAAGACCTAATTGTCAACTTCGAATAAATGACATTCATTTGGTTTGTGGCTGAAAGTACAGATACAAGTGGCACCTCTGAGATAAGTTGGATTTTTACACTTGAATTGACATGGACCTAACAGCGGAAAGTCACTCCATACCTCTCAGCGACGGAAACAGCATACCTTTGATAGGGCTGGGAACATATGGGGACCCCCGCACAGTAAGACTTGTTTTGCCGAGACATAGTTCTCTGTAATATCAAATTTAAAACAATGACCTGCATGTAACAATACAATTTAAAGTTTGCTTTTTTTTATGAGATTTGATTTGAGATCTTTGTAACACTCTTTGCAGACTCCAAAAGGAACTGCATATGAATCAGTCAAAGTGGCCATTGAAGCAGGGTACAGACACATTGATGGGGCTTTGGTCTATTTCAATGAACATGAAGTGGGACAAGCTATAAGAGAAAAAATTGCAGATGGAACTGTGAAGAGAGAGGACATATTCTACTGTGGAAAGGTGTGTGTCACTGCTTATTTGTGTGTGAGTGTGCGAAAGGTGACGATGTGTGGTTTGTAGATTACTAGTACTCCCCAGAGTTTCAAAGCTCCAGCGACAGTGCTACATTTTTGATACAACCAACATTTTTGCTCTGGTTTGTAGTTGTGGAACACATTCCATCCCCCAGAATTGGTCCGCCCTGCTCTGGAGAGAACTCTGAAGGCACTGCAGCTGGATTATGTTGATCTCTATATTGTTGAAATGCCCACAGCCTTCAAGGTATTCGTGTTTTTAACATCAATGTGGAATCTCTGTAGTCAACGTACTCTCTACTTATAATTCTGAATCAATGGTAAAAACATTAAATATCTTTATTTTTCAAAGCCAGGGGACACATTTTACCCCAAGGATGAGAATGGAAAGTACATTTACCACGAAACAGATTTATGTGCTACCTGGGAGGTGAGACTCTTTAATTAGTTAAAGTGTAACAGAACAATGATTATTCTTCGCATGCAAATGCTTTAAAGGCTGGGCACTTGTAAAACTATCAGAAGTTCAAAGTTCAAAGTCTAACTTTTGTTTGCTACCTGCAACCATGAACAGGCTATGGAGGCTTGCAAAGATGCTGGACTAGTAAAATCGATTGGTGTATCCAACTTTAACAAGCGACAACTGGAGTTGATCCTGAACAAGCCTGGACTGAAACACAAGCCTGTGTCTAACCAGGTACAGGGGGGTTACAAGTGCATCATTTTTTGTATATCATTTTTTTAAAACTGGGTTTAGGGAGGGAAAATAGTACACTTAAAATGGTGGATGGGACAAGTGGGCTAAATAAATTGAATACATAGATTGATAGATTTAGATCACTCACTGCTTGGTTGCCAAAGTGACAATTAACTTAACACACAAAGTTTACTGGAGAAAGAGTTTACTGCTTTATTTGGCAACTGAAATGTTCACTTTTTGTCAAAATAGATTGAATGCCACCCCTATTACACTCAGCCGAAGCTGGGTGAGTACTGCAGGCAGAAGGAGATTGTCATTGTGGGATACAGCCCCTTAGGGACATCCAGAGATGCATCCTGGTATGGGAAAAATGTGATCTTATTACATTAATTTTGTGTGCGAAAAAAGTAAAATCTACAATCCTATAAAAGCTATCTGGTTTTGTAATTACTTAATTAATACATAGTATGATTTCACTAAAATGGGCTTTTTTAACAGGGTGAACCTAAAATGTCCCCCACTGTTGGAAGATGAGCTCCTGGTATCCATTGCTAAAAAGTACAACAAAACCACAGCACAGGTGGCCTTGAGGTTCAATGTGCAGAAGGGAGTGGTGGTAATCCCCAAAAGCTTCAACCCTGCTCGCATTAGAGAGAACTTTCAGGTTTGTTCGCTGGTCTGAATTTGTAATACTTCAGTGACCATCCTGCCAAGGAAAAAAAATATAAGATAAAATGTGATAAGATGAATCTTCTTTCAGATATTTGACTTCTCTCTTTCTGAGGCTGAAATGAAGGCAATTGAGGGGCTGAACAAGAATATACGATTTGTGGAGCTTCTCATGTGAGTATAAGACATGCTGTTGTGATGTTCTGTTTGTCAAATTATCAATTAAATAAGTTCTTTGCTTGTTTTTAACAGGTGGTCTGATCATCCGGAGTACCCATTCCACGATGACTACTAGAGGCTACTAATCCATGAAGTTATCCTGATTGTCCTGGTGCTTAAATGGTCTTGGCTTAAATGTATTTTTTTCCATGAATTTGACTAGACTTTTCTAGAAGTTTGAAACCTTTGTTATATTCTTTGTATGTTAACCTTTTGAATGCAAATGTTTATAGTTCTGTCTTCACCACAATCTCCGTTTATGATATGTTTCACAGATTTATTGTTTTTTCTTTTTTTAAATCAAAAGCATGTAAAGCTTTCAAAACTGACTGAAAAAAGTTGTCATGATTTATTTTATCTTTTAGAAAAGTCTATTTATATGCACAGCATAAGGTTCCATTGTTTTATTATAAAGGGGTTTGTTGAGTAAACAAAGCATACCAATCTATGGTACCAATATGTGAACATGGGTAACACAAATGTGGTCATAAAATGGCCATATGCATGAAGGAATGTTCAAATTAAGCCAGTTACACAATAAAAAGAGGTTGCTGGACATTAAATTACATTAATGTATTTGTTCTATCTGTGTATCAATGACTGAATCTGAATCAGAATGTCCTTTATTGTCTTTAAACTAAAAGTACAATGACATTTGAGAGCTTCTCCTTTTCCAGTGCAATAGACAAGTAAAAATAAGGTAGTAAAAGTACAAATAGTTGTAAGAAAGAAGGTACTATATATACAAGACATGAATTCTACAGAATAGCAAAATAAAACGTATGAATAAGAATAAAATAGAAAGATAGATACTGGATAATTATCAAAAAATAAATATATATATATGTGTGTGTTCGAATATATGTATATATGTTCATTTTTTTCCTGAACATAGCAGCACAGCCTTGATTTGTAGTTCCTCCTTGTGCATTTTGTCTACATTGCTCATCATAATAAACAGTTTTTTCTTTTTTTATTCATAAGTAACTCACAGTTTCTGAATGTCCGTGAAGGCATCATGAAAGCTCACCCAATCTTGCTAGTCGTGGCTAGCACGTTAGCAAACGCGGATACAACACTTACAGACGACGTTAAATATGCGGAAAGTGACACCCGGAAACACAAAGCAAACGGATTAATTCCTGTTTTGAAATGTTTTGAGTTTACGGCTGACCAACTCAAACCGTCGTGGACTGCTCTGCTTTACAGACTACTCAGCTAATGTCGTAAGCGTCAATGTTTAGCTGCGCAACGGACAGCGTTAGCTGAGCCGCTGTTAGCTATGAGCTAGTTTCCTTTAGTGTTTAAATGAATGGAGGGTCAGCCAACAATGTTTTCTGGATAGGGCTCCCGTCCTCCTTATTTTGGTCCAACTTTGCCTATTCTCTTCCCACAGATGTTTGGAGAAGTTGCCGTGATGGTGCGAGTTTGAGGGAGCGTGGATAGGTTGGGTAATGAACATAAGAAGCCTGCTGGGATCGAACCATCCGTGGATAAGTTTGTTGAGAATGGATCATGGTGAAGAAATCATGGTCTACCCAGGCACCTAGACTTAGCTACAGCTACATTAGCCTGCGTATCATAACACTGCAGCCGGGTTGGTTTTGTTTTAGGTGATCTTTAAGGTCTGGTGTTCCTGCTGTGATTGTCATTTCTGGGTTTGCTGTTTTGAAACGATCGAAGAAATGATGGTGTTTGAGACCGACCCTGCCCTCCGTCCCAGGTAGGGGGGTGGTGTTGGTGTTGGTTTTGGTGGTGGTGAAGACTCCCTGGCCTGTCCCGGCCCGCTGATCCCGGATGATGGAAATACATTTATTAGATCAGCTGTAGCGTTAATTTCTCCACTCTCAGATCAGATGATGGTTTGGGATATCCTGCCAGAGAAGAAGAGATTTGTTAGTTCGGAGATTTGAAGGATCATGTTGGACACGGAGGAAGTTTCCCAAGACCACAGTTATTGGATCTGATCATGGACCTTTGAGCACAAAACGTCCATTTTATCATCTTATTTTTTTTAAAAGACTGTTTCCACCGGACATCACCATCATGTCTGCATTTGCCGAGTTCGTCCCCCCGCCTGAATGTCCGGTTTTTGAACCGAGTTGGGAGGATTTCTCGGATCCTTTAGGATTCATCAACAAAATCAGACCAATCGCAGAGAAAACTGGCATCTGCAAGATCCGTCCTCCAGAGGTAAAATCGCATATCCTTTTACATCTTTTGATCAACATGGGGTTAGAGCCAGTCGGGTTTGTCCGGGATGCTCCTACGAAGGTAGCTGGTGTTGATTTATTGGGGCCTTCGTGTTTCTGTTGATACACAACGACGGTTCCACTTACCATTAGTCTTAACTAATAGAGGTCAAATGACACCCGATTTCTTCTTCTATGAACAGGAGGTTGTGTTTACTTTGATGAAATTCGGGTTAGCTCATTGCTTTACACAGGGGGTGTAAACTCAACCGCTTCAGGTTGTTTTTGTTTTCTGCATTGCGAAGTTTCATTATGGCAGTGGTTCTCAACTGGTGGGTCCCGACCCATAAGTGGGTCGCGGACACGTTCTGGATGGGTCACGAACAACTGGTCAAAAAAGTAAATGTTTAATGTGATATTTATTAGATACTCAAAATTTTCTGCACAAGCAACTTCAGTAGTTGCCGTGCCCATGTTGTCCCCTTCATGTCCTCTGAAATACACTTTACTCAATAAAACAAGTGGATTTATGTTAAATATAAGAGTCTTTTAAAGGTTTTGTTTTTTATTAAAAAGATTAATTTGCTTGGTTTGAATTCTATAAAAGTGGGTCGCAACTGAAGGACCATGGGAAAATGCCGCATTATGGTGTTTGTCCCACATTAGCACCAAAGATGCGACATTGGCCTCTATCGCACCTTTGGCCCATATTTATACTGTTACATGAAAGAAGATTCTTTAAAATGCCCTTTCCGGATTGACAGAATTACTCATCCAGAAATAAAGTTTGAAAGGGGCCGTTTTTAAGCTCTCTTGATCCGGTTATAAAATAGGCTCAGGGAGCTGCACTTTTGCAAACTGTGTGCGGATTTCTATTTTGTAGACCATAAGCTTTGCCCTGATCTTTTTTTCCCCACCACCACACAGACACTGTACTGTTGTTGATATCTTACAAGTCTCTTGTGTCTGTTTCTTGTCAATCAGGACTGGCAACCTCCCTTCGCCTGTGATGTACGCAACTTCCGCTTTACCCCTCGAGTACAAAGACTGAATGAACTTGAGGTGAGTTTGCCAAGAAGATGCATTTTAAGTAAAGGTGTGTCAGGCGTCACTTTAAGAGGTGCATGATCGTAACAGATTAGTAAGTATGTGTACTTTTTTTCCACCTGAGGGTTTTATATGTCCTCGTCAAGCCTCTTAACTTCTTTTTGATGTTGTGTAATGGCTTTGCAAAAGAGTGGTAGTGTGACAGTAAAGCCATTTTACCATCGTGTTGCTGGGGGTGTAACAGTGGAACAGCACTCCTCTGCACTCATAATATGTGCTTTCTTCTCTCTGTCCTGCATATCTAGGCCCTCACGCGGGTTAAGCTCAACTTTCTGGATCAAATCGCAAAGTTTTGGGAGCTGCAAGGATCCAAAATTCGATTTCCTCACGTGGAGAGAAAGGTTCTGGACCTGTACCAGCTCAGCAAGGTGAAAAAATAGGATGTCAATTTGAAAGAGCTGTCGGTGTGGAATCTCTGATTTTTTTAATTCGTGCAACCCAAAAAGGCTAACTTTGAAAATCTGTGTGCTTCAGATTGTGTCATCAGAGGGTGGCTTTGAGACATTATGTAAAGAGAAGAGGTGGTCCAAGGTGGCCAGTCGAATGGGTTTCCCATCAGGAAAAGGGGTTGGCTCACTGCTGCGCTCCCACTATGAGAGGATCCTTTATCCATATGAGCTCTTCCAGTCTGGAGCCTCATTAACTGTAAGTAATTTATGGCAAACAATCAATGGATTCTTATCTGTGTTTCTCCAAGTCACAACAAAAGTTACTCTATGATACTTAACATCTAGAGAAGATTCAAGCAGCCCTGTGGAGACCAAACATTATTCTCCCAATGAGCAAACTTTTAGCAAACTTTCTTTTACAGGCAGAAACATCATCTTCTTTCTTCATTCAGATAATCTGCTTTAACCTGCACCAGTAGCTAAAGTGTGAGCCTGACATGTACGCGCAATATATAAAAAGTTTCCTGGATTTGCTCATTGTCTTGTCAATACAGGTGCTTAACCCCATTGAGATAAACAGAGCAAAGTTTTAACGTGTTGAACTGCAACTTAAAAAAAGTTAAAATGATTTTGTGATTGATTAATCACAAGCAAGTATTTGGTTACCATACTTTCTATTGTGGCTGTTCTATTCTATTTTGGCTGTTCCCAGAGACCCACTCAAAGTCACTCCTGAATCACTTTTAATTTGGTACATCAATCACTGTTAGTTTAGCTTAATTAAAGATGTTGTAAACAAGTGTCGGGCTAAATGGCACAGTGTTGATAATATCCACGTTTCAAAAAGACAAGGTCCCTGAAGTTTTTCACTCTCTCCTCTCCAATCAGGGCATCCAGCGTCTATACGATGAAGGGGATGATGGTGAAGAACTAGATGAGGGCGTTGGCGAGGAGACAGTGGAGGAAGAGGAGCAAGATGAGGAGGAGGAGAAAGAGAGGGATAAAGACCCAGAGGGCGATGCAACACAACCCAAAGAGCGACTTCTGCCTGAGAGACGCTCCAGGCGTCTGAAGTCTGAGGTAAACAAACGAAACTACAAGGCAGTGTTTTGTGTCGATTTGTCATTTTTGCACAATTGTGAAAACCTGAAATAGAGTCCTTTTATCAAGCTTATCTTAAATGTGAATGAGCTGTTAGCCAGCAGTAGATCAATTGGGTAGTTAATAGGTCACCTTTGTTTTGCCCATTTTTCTTTTTGAGTCCAGGATCCTTTACTGCCCCTTCTTGTATTCTCTGTTGTGGGAGGCATGTTTTTTTTTAGGTAGTCAAACATTTAACCTTTTTACAGGATTCAATCTGTTTCACGCCATGTTTTGTTGAAATGTGTTTTATTTTAGAGGGAAAACAAGGAGCCAAAAGGCCTGAAAATCTTTGGTACAAGTCCCAAGATGGTCGGATTGGAGATTGTACCTGCTGGTAAGACACATTTTTCTCTGACCCTGTACTTGTGTACTATTCACTGTGCTTAAAAAAAACAACTATTTTTTGAATAGTTTAGAATATTTTTATCCTTTTTTTCCACTGTAAGTGTTTAATTCTTATTGATTTTTGTACATTACAAATATAAAAGTCAGACATGCACAGGAGAACAGAAAAAGAATAAGATCAAAACAAAGACGAGCAGGTCAAGTCAGTGAGGAGCACATAGTGTTCATATATCCACAAAAAAGGAATAATATTCAGGTCATGTTGGTTTTGTCATGTGTTTTGTTTCCTTTGTGCAGTCAACAGCTGACTCAAATTTAGCATTTCAAACATACAGTATGCTTTTACATGCACATAAGCTTCTTTTTAACACCTGTAAATGTCAGCATCTACATATCTATACATGAACATACACACTAACCCAAAAACATGTCGATGTTACGAAGAGGGTTAATTGTTCTACAGTCAGTTTTTCATGTTCTCCAATGATTGATGAATTTATCAAAAAGAAAATTAGCTGCTCATGTTGTATATTTCTTTCTTTTCTTTTCTGGTTGGGGGTCTTTTGTCAACCACCTTCTGGTTATTGCCTCTTTACTGACTGCCAACTTTATTTTGATAAAGTACACATCACTGGAATTGTTTACTGACGTAATGTTTCTGAGATATACTGTACTAGAGTCACGTTTTATCTGAGTATTTCTATACTTATGCCAGAGCTTTCTCTTTTATTTAGATGATGGATTCAACAAGAAACAGCGTCACCTCAAAGCCCAAGCCTTCGCCATCAAAATGAGACCACGCAAGGAAACCCTGGAAGTCAACTTTGTGAGTGTTCGATCATTGGGTTTGTCATTTTCCTAACGCTGATGGAAACTCGAAGCATGTACAGCCCTTTAAGGTTTACTGCACCATTCTCTCAGATCGACCTCTACCTCTGCTTGGTGTGTGGGCGCGGTGATGAGGAGGACCGACTGCTGCTGTGTGACGGCTGTGATGACAGCTACCATACCTTCTGCCTGATCCCGCCTCTACAGGATGTGCCCAAAGGGGACTGGCGCTGCCCCAAGTGTGTTGCTGAGGTAAAGCTGGAAGACTGTGGATTCAGCAGTTTTCCTCATCCTCCTCTCCTTGGTTAACTTAACATTTCTTTATGTCTAACATGAATAAGATAAAGTCATACAGATCTTATTCTAAATGAAACTTTGGGTTGTCTTACAGGAGTGTAGCAAACCCAGAGAGGCGTTTGGCTTCGAGCAGGCAGTGAGAGAATATACTCTCCAGAGCTTTGGAGAAATGGCCGACCACTTCAAGTCCGACTATTTCAACATGCCTGTTCACGTATGTAAACTCCACTCACTTACTCAGCTAACAAGTGTCAAAAGTTGCAAAGATGCTCCTCAACCATCTACTCTTTCCAAATTGTGATTAAATAGTCAGAAGCTCTAAACGTTGCTTTGATGCTTTTGAGATTCTTAATCCCTGCCTCCTGTCTCCAGATGGTCCCCACAGAGTTAGTGGAGAAGGAGTTCTGGCGCCTGGTCAGCAGCATCGAGGAGGATGTCATCGTAGAGTACGGAGCTGACATCAGCTCCAAGGATGTGGGCAGTGGATTTCCTGTCAGAGACGGTAAAAGGAGGCTGCTGGGGGATGAAGAGGTGAGAAGACTGTCACATTGTTGGAGTGCCGTCATATTCTTTTAGGTCTTGTAAATTAGTGACATTCTCTGTTTTTTTGGAACTTTTTATTTAGAGTTTTTCCTTAAACATTGAACAGTATCTGAGACAAGATCAGTGGTGTAGAAAAAAAATAAAAAAACAATAATAATAATGATCCCATACCTAGGTATTGCTGCATATGATGCAGATGTATATCAAATATTCATTACACATTGTAGTAATAAAGAAAAAAAAACAGGATTAACACATAGACATACAAAGATGCATTAGTAAAAAAAGAAAATGACATTTTCTATTCAAGAATATGTTACCTATCAAAACAAATGGATCGTTTTCTTTTCAGATTGTGACTGTATCAGATTTTGTGTTTAACTTTTGGAACTGTCTAAGAAACATGGACTGAGTCAGATCATTTGTTAGTCTAAAATCGAAGACATCCTCCAAAACCATTATGTCATCATCACCCATGATTGTTTGATAGATAGAAACATAACATGCCCTGAAGTGAAAAAAAACCACTCCACTATTCCTCTTCCCCTGACAGGAGTATGCAAACTCAGGCTGGAACCTGAATAACATGCCAGTGCTGGAGCAGTCTGTTCTCACCCACATCAACGTGGACATCTCTGGTATGAAGGTGCCCTGGCTCTACGTTGGCATGTGTTTCTCCTCATTCTGCTGGCACATCGAAGACCACTGGAGTTACTCCATCAACTTCCTGCACTGGTGAGAAAGCTTAAGACTGTTTTTGTTTTGATTTTTAACAGATGTAAACCACAATGAGCATACCACTCACATAGCTAAGTTATTTAGTAATATCCTCACTAATAGAAATCACCTGTACATTTTCACGAAAGTTTTTTTTTTTTTTTTTTTGGTGTAATTTATGAAAAATTCGTCTGCTCTCCAGGGGTGAACCCAAGACTTGGTATGGCGTGCCAGCTTCTGCAGCAGAGCAGTTGGAGGCGGTGATGAAAAAGTTGGCTCCAGAGCTGTTTGACTCCCAGCCTGACCTTCTCCATCAGCTGGTGACCATCATGAATCCCAATATCCTCATGGAGCATGGTGTCCCCGTATGTGTTCTGAGCACAGATGTTTCATTTGCTTGATATTTGATCTGATATGATAACAGTCATGTGGTTGTGACCTGTGCATATTACCACCCCTCAGGTGTACAGGACCAACCAATGTGCCGGGGAGTTTGTGGTGACCTTCCCTAGAGCCTACCACAGCGGCTTCAACCAGGGCTACAACTTTGCAGAGGCGGTCAACTTCTGCACAGCTGACTGGGTGAGGAAAAAGGCCTGAATGTGTCTTAAGTTAAGAAGTTGTATCATGGTTGAATGCAGGTGCTCATTTTTTTACACATGCTCCTCTGTAGTTACCCATGGGTCGTCAGTGTGTGGCCCATTACAGACGCCTCCATCGCTACTGCGTCTTTTCGCATGAAGAGCTGCTGTGCAAGATGGCCGCCGATCCAGAGAGTCTTGACGTGGAACTGGCTGCTGCTGTCTTCAAGGAGATGGGGGAGATGATGGAGGAGGAGACCAAACTCAGACAGGCTGTCCAAGAATTGGTAAGAGTTGGTGTCCTCTCTGAAGGGTAAGTTTGACTGTACATACAGAGAGGAAAGGTCATCAGGTTTCTTTCTTCTTTATCTGCAGGGGGTGCTGTCCTCAGAGCAGGAGGTTTTTGAACTTTTACCAGACGATGAGCGCCAGTGTTACAAATGCAAGACGACCTGTTTCCTGTCTGCACTGACATGTCCCTGCAGCCCCGATCGACTGGTGTGTCTCCATCATGCTAAAGATCTCTGTGAATGTCCACACGGCAACAAGTGTCTGCGGTAAGAAATCGTTTAACTATCACCTTAACACAACAAACATGATCACAAACATCATCTAAGCAAGCTAACATCTTCTTAACATGTCTTAGGTATCGTTATGATCTGGAGGAGTTTCCTTCCATGCTGTACGGGGTCAAGACTCGCGCTCAGTCCTACGACACCTGGTCCAAGAGGGTCACAGAGGCCTTGGCTGCTGACCAGAAAAACAAAAAAGGTTTTTACACTAAAGAACCAATGCATGGTGAAGAAATTGTATTGTGTTTGTTAAAGGTACCTCCATGTGCTTTGTATGATTGTTTTGTGTTTGTCATAGATCTTATCGAGCTCAAGGTTTTGCTGGAGGACGCGGAGGAAAGGAAGTATCCTGAGAAAGCTTTGTTCCGTCGCTTGAGGGAGATGGTCAAAGAGGCAGAGACGTGCAGCTCGGTGGCTCAGCTGCTGCTCAGTCGTAAACAGAGGCACAGGTTAGTGAACGTGAAAAACTTTTCATTCTGTAAAACAGAATCAGATCTGAGAAAAACCCACACTGCTCAGTGAAGCATTTTACGACGTGGACTCAGGAACGCTTCAGAAAACCATCCTCACTTATCATCACAATTCATCACTACATCTGTAAGTGCAGGTTTAAACTCTACCATGCAAAGCCAAAGCCAGATATCAAGTCACACGTGTATTTTTTTGTTTGTTTGTTTTTGCAAATTTTCTTAGGATTATTACATAAAAAAGAAGAATGTACTCAGGTTTCTTCTTGCTCATATGTGCCCTCCATGTAAAATTCCTGCGACAAAAGGGACGAAAAGCTAATGAAAGCGCAGCTAAAATAACTGTAACTGTCAAAGTAACATGTTAATTTTGATCAATCACAGCAAAAATGAAGATTCAGTTCCACTGTCACCTCCTGACTATCACAGACAGTCCTGTGTACAGCTGTGTAAACATAACAGAATACCTGTTGTATGTGTAGTTAGCTACATAAGTAATATAAACAGCAGTATGTTTTTGCAGTGGGAGACACAATCATAAAGTCAGTTTAAACAATCTCTACACTCAAGTATGTGTTTTGAGTAGGGCTGGGCGATATGGCCTCAAATCAATATCACGATATATTGAACAGTTCACCTTGATAATGATCAATGGACGATAACTACTCCACAAACTGCTCACCCCCTCCCACATTAACTTCGCCTACTTTAGCCGCCGCTCCAGCAGCTACGACTTTTGAACCGTCGGGTGGAGTCACGTCTCCGACGTAGGACAGCGTCTTAAAGGGACATGAGACCATAGCCTACCTACACACATCCAAAACTAACTTTTATTTATTTATTTAGACTCTGAATATACCGATATGGGCAAAATGATGTCAGTTATTGTCGTAAATTTCAGTATCAGTAAATTTTCAGTTTATCGCCCTAGTTTGGAGTATCTTTCCCTTTAGACTCTGCTGCATTTCTGTGAATGTTTGCTGACTTTTTTTTTAACCTTACCTGAAAGACTGTGAACTGTGTTGAACTTCTGTCAAGCCCTGACATGTTTCCTTCAAATGAAAAATTCATGGTTGAATCCAGACAAACTGCTTACACCTTTTCGTAATGTTGCACTGTTATATCACATTTGTTTCATTATTGTATCTGCTCAGATTATAATGTGGACTAACCTCTTCCTGTTTTTTCATGTTTTCTGCAGCAGCCGCCTGCGTTCTGAGAGTAGTCGTAACCGGACAAAACTAACAGTGGATGAACTCAAGGCATTTGTGGATCAAATCTACAGGTTGCCCTGCATCATCAGCCAGGCAAGACAAGTCAAAGTAAGTCCCCCCTCCCCAGTCAGTAAAAACCGATGCTCGTTCGTTTCTCTTTTTCTTAATTTATGTTGTTTTTATGTCCTTCAGGAGCTGCTGGAGAATGTTGAGGACTTCCATGAGCGAGCCCAGGTGGCGCTGTCAGACGAGATGCCCGATTCCTCAAAGCTGCAGGCCCTTCTGGACCTCGGTAGTGGCCTGGATGTGGAGCTTCCAGAGCTGCCCCGTCTGAAACAGGAGCTCCAGCAGGCACGCTGGCTTGATGAGGTAGGGTCAAACCAACCAAACTTGTTTGTTTAAATTAATTAAGTTATGTAACTCCGGTCTCATTTAACTTGTCTTTCCCTCGTCACATTTCTAGGTGCGTGTTACACTAGCTGAGCCTCACCGCGTCACACTGGAGCTGATGAAAAGGCTGATAGACTCCGGCGTTGGCCTGGCTCCCCATCATGCTGTGGAGAAGGCCATGGCGGAGCTGCAGGAGATTCTAACAGTATCAGAGAGATGGGAAGATAAAGCACGTGCATGTCTGCAGGCCAGGTAAGGTCATAAACGCATACAAACATACATGGCAACGCCTTTTACTATAGATCAGATCCCACAACTGTGATTACCACATGCTTTTCTCTCCTCTTGTATCCCCAGGCCTCGACACAGCATGATGACCTTGGAGAGCATAGTTTTGGAAGCCAGGAACATTCCTGCATACCTCCCTAACATTTTGGCACTCCGAGAGGCCCTGCAGAAAGCCAAGGAGTGGACATCCAAGGTGGAAGCAATCCAGGTACTCTAAATGTTTACACTACAGCATTAAGATCCTCTTCTTACCCATATCTGAAGTCCAGTGTCCTCCCGAGGGTCGTAGCTAAGACTTCGGCTCATACCAAGAGCACTGGCTTAAATATCTTTGACCCCACACAGAGTGGCAGTAGCTATGCCTACCTGGAGCAGCTGGAGAATCTGTTGGCCAGAGGTCGCTCCATCCCTGTTCGACTCGATCCGCTGGCCCAGGTGGAGTCTCAGGTGGCTGCAGCTCGAGCTTGGAGGGAAAGGACCGCTCGCACCTTTCTGAAGAAGAACTCCACGTACACACTGTTGCAGGTGGGCTGCTGTTAGGAGAATTTAAAGTTCCTCTCCTTAAAATCTCGACATTGTAGTTGGGAACAACACTATTGATCTTATGTGGCCATTTTTAAGTCAAATAAATCAGATGAATTAACTCCGTAAGAAGATTAAAAACACATTCATGTTCTCTCTTAGGTCCTCAGCCCCCGTGTAGACATCGGGGTGTACGGCAACAGCAAGAGCAAGAGGAAACGTGTCAAGGAGCTCATGGAGAAAGAGCGAGGAGGCTATGACCCGGACACCCTGAGTGACCTGGAGGACAGCCTGGAGGAGGTGCGGGACCCCTCCACTGTTGTAGCAGCCTTCAAAGCCAAAGAGCAGAAAGAAGTGGAGGCCATCCACTCGCTTCGTGCCGCCAACCTTGCCAAGATGGCCATGGCCGACCGCATCGAGGAGGTCAAGTTCTGCCTGTGTAGAAAGACCGCCAGCGGCTTCATGTTGCAGTGTGAGCTTTGTAAGGACTGGTTTCACGGAGCGTGTGTGCCGCTGCCGAAGACCGGGTCCCAGAAGAAAATGGGTGTGGGTTGGCAGAGTAATAGCAAAGACTCCAAATTCCTGTGTCCGCTGTGTCAGCGGTCGAGGCGGCCAAGATTAGAGACCATCCTATCACTGTTGGTGTCACTGCAAAAGCTGCCAGTGCGCCTGCCTGAAGGAGAGGCCCTCCAGTGTTTGACTGAGAGGGCAATGAGCTGGCAGGTATGCATAAAAATAACCTCATTCAACCAAGCGCAGCTCAGGTTACAACCAGCTTTTTTTTAACTGCATTAACATAGTGTGCTTCTGGTGTTTTACAAATACCTTACACTTTTCTAAACGGTCCCACCAGGACCGAGCACGTCAGGCCCTGGCCACAGAGGAGCTGTCCTCAGCGCTGGCCAAGCTGTCTGTGCTGAGCCAGCGTATGGTGGAGCAGGCTGCAAGGGAGAAAACGGAGAAGATTATCAACGCCGAGCTGCAGAAAGCTGCTGCAAACCCTGACCTGCAGGTACGTCTCAATGTGATTCAACATTATTTAAGAACAGCACTACATAAAAAATTATATTGATCATAGATAGTAATCTGTCTTGGAAATCACACGTTGAACATATAATAAGCAAAGTCTCAAAATCTATTGGCACACTGTACGAAACAAGAAAAGTATTAAACAAAAGGGGGTTGTTTTTGATTTATAGTTTCTTGATTATGCCATATTTCTCTTATTGCGCACAACTATGGGGAAATGCAGGAAAAACCTGTATTGACTCTTAATTTAAATGACAAAAAAAGGCAATGAGAAAAGTCAACAAGGTAGGATATTGTGAACCAACTAATAATTTGTTTATTCTGAATAAAGCATTAAAGCTGAGAGATATTGTTTAAGTATTAGAGATTCTTTACAAAGTTAAAAACTATATCATTTCAAAAAGTATTAAGAACTTCTTTAAACTAAGAGTTAGTGATTATAATTTTATAGGTTTGGATCATTTTGAATATAGTAAGGTAAAAACAAACGTTAAATCCAGATGTGTTTCTGTTTTTGGTGTAAAGTTATGGAATGGACTTGATGAAGAATATGAATTATGTACATCCTTGTCAACATTTCAAAGATGTCTCAAACAGAATAGTATTAGTGACTATCAAAACCATGTATGAGAACCTAAAACTGAACTTTTGTCTATATTATGTCTGATTGTACATGAAAGTGTAATGTGAAGGCTTGAAGCATTATTTGTTGGTGTAAACAGGACAGACAACATATAAGAATTGCTTCAGCCTATCTCTTTTTTTTTTTTGGTTTTACTTAAAATGAAAAAATAAAACCTTATCTATTTATCTGTACATCACAAGGATTCAAGTAACTCATCTTTGAGGTGCTGATTGTGGCTGTGGTGGCTTTGATTTGAGCTTTAGATGTAAACGTGGAAAATACCAGAAGAGGGCACTGTTGTGTAAACACAAATGAGACTAGTCTACAACTTCGGTGATTAAAATTGAGCATGATCATAACTGTATAGATGACACGTTGCTTCATGATTTCTTCTTATAGACCTCACAAACCCAGAAAGCTCTTTATTTGTTGTATCACAAGCAGCCACATGTATTGTTTTTTATTCTCCATTTACAGGGTCACATTCAGACTTTTCAGCAATCAGGTTTCAGCAGAGCGACATCACCTCGCCAGTCGGTGGACTACGATGATGAGGAGACGGACTCAGACGAGGACATCAGGGAGACTTATGGTTATGATATGAAGGTAAAGCCTGGCTATGATGATAACCGCCAGTGTCAAAGCAGCTGAAGCAAACAGGAGTTTTCCTCATTCTCCCTTGTTTTTTTTTTTTTTTTTTTTTTTTAATCCTGGCAGGATCCAGGCGAGGTGAAGCCCTACCTGTTTTGTGATGAAGAGATTCCCGTCAAGTCTGAGGAGGTGGTCAGTCACATGTGGCCAGCTGCCACTCCCTCCTTCTGCGCTGAACACGCCTACTCCTCAGCATCCAAGTCCTGTGTGCAAAGTGAGACTGCATTAATATTCGACTTTCAGTGTTTCAGTGTTGTTTGTGAAGTTTTAGTCCCACTCCAAACAATTTTTACTGCTTAAAGTGTTCTCAGTGGTCTTTGAATTGTGACTATGAAGTTTTTTGCCAAAATCACGTTACCTGTGTCATTTTTAACGGCTGTTTTTCTGCAGAGCTCCAGTAGCTCATTAGTAATTCGCCTCTGAGTTGTGGGCGGAGACAGTGCTGCTCTGCACACTGTTCTTCATGCTAGCTTGCAGCCTTACATTGTCGGTGTAGTGGCTGGTGACATAGGAACTATTCAGCTCTCAGACTGTAATGTTCTTGAGGGCATTATGAAAGTTAATATTATAATTAGCTTACTTACTAGCATTGCAATCCGCTATTGCACATGCTTGTTCCATAATCATCCTCTCTATCTTCCCAAGTGTGGCCTGCATAGTGGGCTCCAGGGGCAGAGCTTGGATTTGCTACGTAGGAAATCTCACTGTTTCTGAACCTGCCATTTGGGTCTGCCAGAGATTCACAGCAATTTGAAATACTCAGAAATGCAATTTAGCACTTAGTTTTCTCATGATATGTCCTGTAGCATCAGAAAAATGCCACATGAACATGTGGACAACGAGAAAAACATGATTTTCATCAGAGTGAGTCTCAAAGTCCTTTCATCTACATATACTCAAATTATTTACATTTCAGACCCTGGCACTCCCAGGAAGCAGCCCAGGAAGACCCCTCTGATTCCCCGCAGCCTGGAGCCGCCTGTGCTGGAACTTTCCTCGCAGGCTAAAGCCCAGCTGGAGGATCTGATGATGCTGGGAGACCTGCTGGAGGTATCCCTGGATGAGACCCAGCACATCTGGAGGATCCTGCAGGCCACACACCCTCCCTCTGAGGAGAGATTCCTGCAAGTCATGGAGGTAAGGGAAGTCATTTATTATGCACAGTGATTGCGCAGCTGGATCTCAATGATGAAAGGGGGATATTACAGAGTTAGAGTTTGAATCAATGGTTTTGGTTGACTAAAGGTCGAAAAGATATTCCGGCAATAAGAACACAAATGAAAGTACTCATGCATGTTTCATTTTTCACTCTTTACTGACAGCCGGATGACTCACTGATGGAGAAACCCCTGAAGATCAAGCTAAAAGACTCAGAGAAGAAGAGGAAAAGGAAGCTGGAAAGAGCCGAGCACCACCACATGCTGATGGCTGCCGCCGCTGCCGCAGGTGGGGCCTCGGCAATGGGCGACATGCGGCCAGCCAAGTCCAAAGACCTGAAAAGGGTGGGTCTAGAACTGGGTCTTGGTGGGAAACCCAAGAAGAAGAAACTTAAATTGAACTTGGACAAAAGCAGAGAGATGAAGCAGCTGGCTAAACGGTTAGCCAAGGAGGAGAAGGAGAGGAAGAGGAAGGAGAAGGCAGCGGCCAAGGCGGAGGCCATCAGAGAAGGCCTGGAGAAGAGGAAGGAGAAGAAAATTCTGGACATTCCTTCCAAGTACGACTGGTCCGGGGCCGAGGACTCAAACGATGAGAATGCTGTGTGCGCAGCCAAGAACTGCCAGAGACCATGTAAAGACAAGGTAAGCACTGTCACCATCTTCTTTAGGGAAACAGTTAGTCAAGATTGTGCGATGGTGAAGGAGGGTTTTTTCCACACATTTAACAAGTCTGAGAGTCACCGCCGTGATGTTGTCCAGAAGAGGAAGAGTCACAAACGCAGTGAATCATAGATGATTGATAAATCCTTCACTGCTTCGACAGTTTAATGATTAACAGAGGTCAGAGGTGAGCATGTGACTGTGGACCTTTTTAAAACTCAGAGGTCTGCATTTACATTTTTCAATACTCATCTGAAAACACACTTAGATTATGAACAGAATTCAGTGATTGACTACCGCTGCATTATCTATTACCATTTGGATTATTTCTGCACTTATTGAATTCACGGGTGCTAATGATCTAAAATGTGCTCAATCAGTTTACAGGAATTAAAAAGTTATAGTGAAGTTACAAAATAAAAGCCCATCACAGTTCTCAGAAGCCCTGGATCAACTCTGACATGAAACTGTTTTTATACTTCTTAATGCTTTTTATACTTTCTCATCTTTAAAGTGAGCTGCATCCTAAACTAGTGGGATAAATAAAGCAATATAAAATAAAAACAATTGCTTTTATTGTGATAAGGTCTCCTACGGCACTCAAACAAACTCAAAAGTCTTGATGTCAAAAGCATGCTGGATAAACCAGTCTGGCAGCAGCACTCTAAAACACTGGTTTACTATGAAGTAGATATGTGCTGGTTCGATCAGAGACTGTTCAGTTTAACACAAGTGACCTGTGGAAGGGGAAAGTAGGAGTCTCAGTTAATTGGTTGCGGGTTCGTACTTTCAACTCTACCAAAACCACCAGACGCTGTTCTTCATCACTGTCCAGGTAGCAAGCAGTAAAGGTAGAGGTAACTTTTTGACTTCCTATACAATACCGATATTGTAGCCTTCAATACTGACCGATACCGATATTGATGTGATATTGGCAAGAAATTGTGCATGGCACATTTTTCACTCAGCTGCAACGTCTTTTTGGGACACAAAAAATACTGCCACAAGGCCAACATCGCTCTTACTCCTTACTACTTTGTTAGCACCTGAGTACACACTGTTGTTGTGATTACGTGGGCGCTGGATGCTGGATCTGGGCGCTGCTAGATAGAGGTGCCGGAGTGGAGTCTGGAGTGGACTGCTTGTATTGGAGTGCTGATATCAGAGATTTTAGATGCAGGCAGATATAATCCAATATCCGTTTTTTTGCTGACACCTGACCGATATCAATATCGTATCGGTAAGTCCCCAGCTAGCAGGGTGATGATGACAGAAGGTGCTAGCAAGAGTTCACTGCATAGAAACTGCTGAACACAATGGGAGACTTAAGGCAGGAACACAGATTTCAATGTTTTTTCCTCAGGGAAACCTCCCGGGACAAACAATGTCTTACATACTGGACTCCGATTCTTCATTCAGTGTTTTTTAATTTGTACAACTAATCACAAAAAAAAAACTTATTACAAAAAAGATATTTGTTTGTGTTTTTTTTTATATTACAAGTAGGCCTGAACGATATATCGTTTGACTATCGTCATCGCGATGTACGTGTGTGCGATAGTCACATCGCAGAGCCTGCGATATTGGAGGTGAATGAACTCATTTAATTTCAAGTGTAACCGACTGAGATACACTCCATGTGACTCTGCATGTGCTGTGCAGCGATCCACCAATCGCCTTCGTCCTTAACTCAGTTGCCAATCAGACTCACTTCTCAGTTGCCAATCAGACTACCCTGCCAGCTGTCAATCAAAATCAGGGAGGAGAAAACCCACCCCTGCACATGTTCTGCACATGGAGGGAGACGTGTGTCCGCTGAGAATTACTTTCGGAACTTTACTCATGACTATTAAGCCCAACAAATAAGAACTGTATGGGTTTTAAATTGTACATTTCCATGGACCACTCTACTATAAGCAGTGCGCGTTTTGCGAAGTGCATGCAATTCTCGGAGGACATGCGTTTCTCGGCACAACACCGCTAACAACAACAACAACGATCGCAAAATGAACAACGAACAAGCAAAAACCACCGAAAATGAAGATTTGTTGCCGAAAAGAAAAGGAAAGTCAGTTATCTGGAATTATTTCGGTTAAAAGAAGGATGATGTCGACCAAAACACGTCTTCTGTGTTCATCTGTTGCCACAATAACGTCCCAGCACAATAAAAGCTAAAAATATCTCTGAGACAGACAGAAGCCGTTCTACTAACATTCACAAAAAGAGGTAAGATCAGAGCAGATTAACTGTCCTCAAGATTTCAGCAGTGCAGCATAACATTAAGTGCTATTCAGGTCATCTGGTGAAAATACTGTATTTTTAATATCGCAATATATATCGCAGGGTTGAAAAAATCGCAATATTATTTTTTTCCAATATCGTGCAGCCTTAATTACAAGATATTACTGTGAAAAAATAAGATCTCTTTATCATTTTGTTGCATTTATCAGACAATTTTGGACCACAAACTCTCCTTTTAAGAACTTTATCAAACACTTAACTGATTCATATCTAAAATAATTTAATTTAATTTGTGGTGATGATGATAAAGAGACACCCATACGGAGCCATACTATAATATGTTTCGAGGTATTAGAGCTGGGCCATTAATTGGGTGTCAGTTTTAGTCAGGATTATGGCTCACAACAGAAATAAAAACATGATATTTTTTGTTTCACTAGTTTTGTCCTGTATGATAAATTAAGCATATTCACCTTTTCTTCCTTAAAAGCAGAGTTTACGCCCTCCTTGTAAACAGCTCTCACATTTACTTTGTGCAGTGAAAGTTTTGAAGCCAGGGATGTAATAATGGGCCACTGTATCTTCAACACATTGTGCTACAGCAGAAAAAAACTGCCATGCTGCTGCAGGTGGAGAGAGGAGAGCAGGGAGAGAAGCAGGAGGAAGCAAGTGTTTGCTTCCGTCTGTGTTTGTTTGTTTGTTTGTTTGTGTGTGTCTGAAAAGCCAAGGGGCAGTGTAAGCACGATGACAGAGAGGCTGCAGTGAACACAAATGTGAATGAGCGCTAACAAGCCAAGGACTGCCAGGCTAAACAGAGGCATCAATCCATATCATAAGAAGATAATAAGTCTTAACTCTTGATGTTATAAAGATGCCAGCTTGAAAAGTCTGAACGGTATGTTAGATCAAATGTAGGTGCTGGAGGAGCTCAGATCTCTCACTGCCATTCAGTTTAGCCAATATTATCATCGAGATGAAGTCAGAGCTCTTAGTGAAGTAAAGAACTGAAGTATGGTCCTTTTTTATAATGTTAAATAGTTTTCTTTTTTCTTCTATATATTTTTTCTATCTGGACAACCAGGCATGCTTTGGTAAACAGAAAGATCCTGTTGTTAATATTCATTTCTTGTTTTTCGAGTGTTTAGGTTTGAGAGGTTTTAAATCTCTGTGAATTCATGTGATGTAGACTTTAACTCATGTGTAATTGTGTTTAATAATCGTGATCCCAATATCAATTAATCTAATCCTGATCCTGATTTTTGCCTTGAAAGAGCAGTATTCACATAAAAATGATATACTTAAATTTGCAGCAAGTTCAAATGTCTCCGATCTTGGAGCTTGAGTGCAACAATGTGAAGCTTCAGGATACAGCTGACTTAATATGGAGAAGCAGGTTTATTGTTTGGATAATGCCACTGTTGAAAACTGACCATTAAAGGTCTGAGTCCACCTAACATTCTCATCTTCCAGGTTTCTCAGGTCTGATCTGGATTAAGTCAGATTCAGCTGACCAGCTATGATTTCCCACCAGTGCAGAGCAGCACTTTCGATGTAGATGTCTTGCACAATGTAACAATAGTGGCGCACCATCAGTCTGAAACTTTCCCCTGGAGAGAAGCAGTAAATTCTGGCTCTCTCTTTCATCATTGTGAGTCAGAAAGTTCTCCAAACTCCAAGCGGCCAGGTTTCTCCTTGTCCACAACAGTTTTCTGAGTTAATAACGAACACTTTTCAAAATGAACATCATGGAACTTTATTGAATATCAACAGCTGATAACAGCACTGGAACACCTTAAGGAGAGTTACACATAACGTATTAACAGGCCGCACTGATGTGGTCCTCTTAGGAGTCGGCTCTGCAGGCAGTCCCCTCAGTTAACCAGTGGCTAGCCTTCTTTGTGTGTTAACACGGCAGCCAATCAGAGACGAGGAACTGGTAGGCCTGCAAATCTGCAGGAGGAGTTGAGATGATGATTTTAGGAAGGAGCAGTGCTGAACTTGACTGTAAACACCTGTCCTTGAGGTGATTAAGAGCTGTAAGATGTTTTTGAGGTTTCCTTATCATAATCATTCCCTCTACCTCCAGTAAGACCTAAATCAAGGAGTCAGGGTGTTTAAATCTGTCGAGTCTTGGCCTATGCATGTAACTGTAATTTCCTTTTCACCATTAAAATCGCAATGCTTTTGATGCAGGCAGATGAAACGCAAGATAGCTATCAACTACCCTGAGATTAATAGATGTCAGTTTACTGATAAAGGATTTTTTGACTTATTTTGGATTCACAGAAGATGTGCTGAAACGGGTATTTCTTTAAAACTGAGAACAGCAGGTATGAGTGAGGGCTCATGATCGTACATCCCCTTTTTTCTCAAGTCCTTCTGGTTGAAAACAGTTTAAGCAAGACTAGACTGGTCAATGTCAATGTCAGCTTTATTTTTATTATAGCACATTTAAAACAGCCAGTGGCCTACCAAAGTGCTTTACAGTAAAATAACCAGAAACAAAAAAAAAACAATAAAGGCAAAGAACATATAAAAACATAAAAAAACAATATAGATAAACATAGGAAATCAATAAAAGACCTGATAAAAGTAACTAACTGGTTCCTGTATATATCTGTTATTTCATCACGTCCTCTTTATACCCCTTGGTTTCTAAGTATTGTCTCTGTGTCTTTTTATTTTGAAAAGAAACAAAAGCTACTCCCACTGAACGGTTAAATTATATGAATAAAAGAAACCAGCAATAAGAAAGAAAAGGAGTTAAACGTGTTTGATGTGGACTGATTTCAAATGAGGTTTTGCTGTCTGTCTATTGGTCGGTTTGTATTATATACACATTTAAAGGTAAACAAACTGCTACTTTATTTTTCTTAATTTTCAGCTGTGATTAAAAGTCGTTAAATAATATGGGTAAAATCAGAACCACTGATGTGCTTTGTGTTGAATATTACTAGTTGCAGACAACAACAGATCAGACCACTGTGATAAATGTGTTAGCTGCCATACTAGATTTTACTCTTCTGTATTATGTCTTTAGGCTGCAGCCATAAAAAATGAATTAGACTTAATTTACGCTCACATTTATTAATGCTTCAGATAACACTTATTGGAAAAGACTTAGAGGCATAGATTGTGGGGATGTTGGTTACAGTTATGTGAAACTCATCCAATGTCAGTACTTCTTTGTTTTTTAACCTTTTGGCTCTGTTGTGACTTTCTATCAATCAAACTCTGACTGACTTGCACTTTTCCTCCTGTTAAAAATTAGACACTAAATTTTGTGTTTTGCTTGGCTGCCACATGTTTTTTTCACAATGATTCTGAGTTGTTGTCTCTCTTAACATCACTCACATGTCTGCCGGTGTGCATTTTTCCCCAGGTGGACTGGGTGCAGTGCGATGGCGGCTGTGACGAGTGGTTCCACCAGGTGTGCGTTGGCGTGTCCTGTGAGATGGCGGAGACCGAAGACTACATCTGCATGGACTGCTCCAGGAAGGCCGCCGGGGTCAGCGTCGGAGGAGGATTAGGGATGACTGTGGAGGAGGTGGCGGAGGAGGAGAGCGTCGTGGTGATGACGACGTCTATGTGTAGCGGAAACATTCAGAGTCTGCCCCCGGGGTCTGTGGTGACCTCGTGGTCCTCCACTTCTCACCTCAACCAAGCAAGTTCTCATCAGCAGCAGGAGGAACCTCAGCAGGGCAGTTAGCATTGAAATAAAAAAGCAAGGACTAAGATTAAATACTGTACCTCACATATTGAGCATAACACAAACTAGTATCCAGGCTAGAGTTTCCTCCACTGAAACTGTATGACTGCACAGCTTTCGAGGGGTAGAAATGGGGTTTGAGGAAGCTTTTTGAATAAACCTGGAAGGAGAAACAATAACAGTCTGGACTAAAGAGCACAAGAAAGGCCGAGAGATTTTGCATCAGGAAGACGACGACGAAGAAGAAGAAACCTACTGTCACCATGTGGCTCTCTGAAAGGGTTCTTAGCACACAGACAAAGCCTTCTGCCGCAGTTTTAGGTCTAAAAACATCCACCTGCTACTTCCTGGTCCTCCTTCTCAACAATAACAAGTCGTGGTTCACTTTCTTGTCAGGCAAACACCAACTTACTCCAGCTGTTGTATCGAGTGCAAACAGGCAAATAAACAAATGTGTCCCTTTCTGTGTTTTACTGGACATCCTGATCTGCTCCCCCCTCTGACCTGCACCCTCTACTCGGCCCTGCAGACAGTTACATCTCAATATGTAGGACTTCAGACTAGGAAACACAAAAACGGTGGTGATGTAGTGGAATTATTTATGATGTACATACTTTTAAGCAATTAAAAGAAATGAATTGTGGCTTTTTTGTTTTGTTTTCTCACATTTAATAAACTATTCCTAGTCAAATGATTGTATAGTCTGCTGGTTTTATTCTTTCCCTTCTGCTTTAGGGGGCGCTTTGTACTGCTTTAGGTGGATTTTTAATAAATTGCTCATTAGGAACTAAAAAGTGATCTTTGTTTCGACAGAAAGAGTGACAAGAAAATGACAAATTCTTGCAGATGTTCAAAAAAAATCAAATTGAAGGAATGTTTTGAATGTTAAAAATGCTGCTTTAAAGTGATTTACTGCGCTGAAATGTCAGCGTTTGACCCACCAATCATGCTGAAGGAAGTTGATTGATTTGAAGTGGCAAGTTAAGCTTCACATTTCCTGTCTTACTCATTAAGCCCAATTAGAGGGGAGACGTGGAAACTTGTTTTGCAGCTCTGGTATGAGGCCTTGCATGGTGAAACCCCTGTTATGGTTTATTTGTGACACTTGGTCATCAGTGTGGAATTGTTCCTGCGTTACACAAAACGTCGAACAGGCTACAGATTAACTTTTTTTTCATCTGATCTACTTTTGAAAGATGTTTTCAACACGGTATGGAGAAAGGCCATAACTGTACTGCACTAATACATAAAAGGAGAGGGCTGAGGGTGGGGGATGGGGGTGTGTGCTGATGTCCATTTCTTACTCAGCCGAGTCAAATCCGGAGGGAACTGACCTCGGCTGCTTTTGTGACTCACCTCTGTCAGCGTCCTGACCGCCAGAGGTAGAAGTATGTGATCACAGGGGGTGCAGGACATTTACAAAACGAAGCCTTAATAGTTGATTACATAATGTCTGCTCTGTTGTCTTATGTCATTACATCTTCATTACCAGCTGTTGGATGTTTGGATTGAGTTGATTTAGATGGAAAGTTTGGTTTGAAAGTGAGTTCAAAGGCTTTCATAATCCTGGATCTGTTTGTATAGTCTGTTTTAAGTTTTTTATTTGAGAGCCTGAAACCCACTTTCACTGCACAACTCATTCTCCCCCTCTCAATCAGCCGTATACTGAGGATAAACTAGTAATACCTGATGCAGATGTTTTTATTTATTTATTTATTTATTTTTGTCAGACTGACTTTTGATTCCTATCACAGCTTTCTCTCTATCAGACCTCATGTGAACATCATTTGGGGACCTTCACTATAAAACAAGTTCAAACTGGATTATGACAGAAGACTTCATCTTTCAAATGATCAGAATACACTGCAATGTCCTTCATGAAGAGGCTTCTTTTAAAGTAAGAAGTTATGAGTCCTCTTAAATGGAACAAAAAAGAAAAAGATTTTACCACATTTTTTCTTTTATACTTCTGATATACTTTGAGCGGCGTACTGTCAGCCTATTCCACTGTCCTCTTGCACCTTGTTTTAACTGTTGAGTCAGGGCAGGTGATGTACTTTGCTCTGATGGGGGGCAGATGGAGGGAGAGAAAGAGGAGGCTGGCCCTAAGTTTAGCATTACAACCCCCCCGCCCCTCACTCCAGGCATGTTAAATACTAAAACTTGAGCGTTTGTTAGAAATCTCCAGAGACAGCCTTGGGACGAGATTAGAGTGAGAAGATCAGCTGACAGCAATGAAAGGTGAGTTTTAAACTAATGAATTTTTCATCACAATTTTACAAAGTAAGAGTTAATGCTTGTATTTTTTGTTCAATGTGAAAATAAGGATTACATTTGCACTTAACTGACAGCTCATGATGTAAACAAAGCGAGTCTTTTTAAGGCAGATTGAACATGCATGATCTTCTATTTCTATATTTTAATCCAACCAGATTGTATGCATGCATGGAAAACAACATAATTGCACTAATTCTAACAGAAACTAACCTCAACCGGCTTCTGTAACCTGCCTCTTCTCCCTTTTTTCTTTGCAGGGGACACTGCCAAAGCAGGCATCCACAATGGCACCGGAGCAGCCAAGGATTTGCTACCTACTGCAGAGGAGAAGATGGAGGAGCGGGGCGAGTGGAGCAATAAAATAGAGTTCATTCTGTCAGTAGCAGGCTCCATCATCGGGCTGGGCAACATGTGGCGCTTTCCTTACCTCTGTTACAAGAATGGAGGAGGTGAGTGATGGATGAGCAGGGATGACAGCAGAATCTCAATCCTCAAAACACAGGCTTACATGAGCCATTCTTATAAATCACTGCTCAGCTGGCCTAAAAGAATTTATCCCTATTTGAGTGCTCTTACAAATTCAACAATGCAATTATTTTTCACTCTACCGAGGAGACTCTGAACATCAGAGTGTTTGTCAATTTACTGAAGACAAAATGAAAGGGTTAAAAGAATAAATACAGAGAGCTTCAATTTCCCTGAAATCAGACCCTGGAGCATGATTTTCCATTTTTGTTTTCGGGCATACTTGTGTTGCTGCTAAATTGGACGCCCCCTCTTCCTCCCTCCATGGGGCAGCAGGGTCAGGGTTCGGGGCTGAGCAGGGTCAGGCAGCTGTTGTTGCTTCTCGCTCACAGCAGCTGTCCCGGCAGTGAGGCGGAAATCTGACTGTGTCAAACATCCTCGGCCACCCGACGGGATGACAGCATAGAACGCTGAAAGAGAGTGACAGTGGCTGGGGCTGGGGTCAAAAGGTCCAAAACTTTAAAATGGACATCCAAGGAACTGCTTTATATACCTTTCTTCACAGCGCAGTATAATCCTGTTCATGTCATTCAACAGGTTTTGATTTCCTTCGACACAGTCTGTGAAATTAAGTTTGTCAAAGTATCCACCCAGCACCATTATTCCTTTTGATATGATTTACTATCTAAGTTATTTTCAGTGACAAGAAAACAAGCCTGTAATATATCACTGATAATAAAAGTTAGATTGATCGAAGAAAGAAGACGAGGTGTCAGTGAGAGAGGCATCATTTTGTAATTTCAGTTTAATTTGATGCCCAAACTCTGACCTTCAAACCAAAGTTGACCTATTTGGTTGAGTTTGTCTTCTTCTTCTTCAACATAGAGATGGCTTAACATGAGCTGTGTGACTGTTACTTCTTTCTTGAGCTGCTGTCCTTCTTTGTTTTTACAGTCAGTTTTCAGCTCATCACTTTTCTCTAAATGTTCATATTTTCCTCAAAGTCCAAAGACATGTCAGTCTTGGATCAGCTGCAAGAACTTTAACATAACTTCAATGTAAGATTCCTATTCCTCACATATTTATAAACATAGACAGTTTACTACCCTGACAAAAAAAAAAAAATTATCAAGTTAATGTCAAATTTCTAGTTAAGAAAATATCACATTACACTTTAGCTAAGGTGCAATCACTCACAAGACAATAATGAGCAACATCACCCCACTTTCAGCTATTTTCAGTCTTTACAAACAATTCAAGCCCCATGTCCTTTGTATGAAAGAAGATCTTTTGTGGGAACCTTCAGGTGAAGGTGGCTCATAAGAAATGTCAGGAGATATTTTTGACAAACACACTTTCTTAGAATCTTTTTTTTTTCAGCTCTAACACTGTATCCATTTCTTTTCTTTCGCTCAGGTGCGTTTCTTATCCCCTACCTGATCTTCCTGTTCACCTGCGGTGTCCCTGTCTTTTTCCTGGAGACTGCGCTGGGACAGTACACCAGTGAAGGAGGCATTACCTGCTGGAGGAAGATCAGCCCCTTGTTTGAAGGTGGGTAGGAATGATCTTGTATTAGATGAGGTCCCCTTTGTCAGAATGACAATAATGTTATATCTGAAAAAGGCAGTGGATTCGTGGTATAAAAATATGATCATGAAAGAAACATTGGTAATGGATGCAACGGATTCTTAAACCAAAAATGTTCATGTTGAAAATATTCACATATCAGAAGTGTTGATTATTTTTATCTTTTGATCATAATTGACATGCAGTCTTATTTGCTGTCTCAAGGTCTTGGCTATGGCACCCAGGTGATAGTGACTCTTCTGAACTTCTACTACATCATCGTTCTTGCCTGGGGGATTTTCTATCTGTCCTTTTCTTTCTCCTGGGACCTGCCATGGTCATCTTGCAACAACACCTGGAACACAGGTAGAAAAAGGGATTTAGCATATACCAGACTTTCCCCATAATGTCTGTAACACCTCGTTGAAATTCTAATTTGTATAATTCTTCCTGCAGAAAACTGTGTGGAGTTTCAGAGGAGAAACTCATCAGCCAACCAAACAATCGACCCAAATATCACCTCTCCTGTTATGGAGTTTTGGGAGTGAGTCTTTCCAACCCTCCGACCTCCTCTTTTTCATACATAACCAGGATCAAAATGACCTTATGATTTATTTCTGTGTTGATTTTATGTCTCTGTAGGAGGAGAGCGCTGAGGATTTCCCCAGGCATTGACCACATGGGCTCTCTGAACTGGGACCTCGCTCTGTGCCTGTTCATTGCCTGGGTCATGTGCTACTTCTGCATCTGGAAGGGGACAAAGTCCACAGGAAAGGTGGGTGAGGGAGACCTCCATAAAGATACCAGGTCACCCTGTTTTTCTCTGTTTATTTTGTTTGACCATATAGGATGACATCTGGTATTTATTTCTTCTCTTGTCTGTGTGTTTAACATCTGTGTGTGTGTGTCTACATAGGTGGTCTACTTCACAGCGACCTTCCCCTATATAATGCTGATTGTGCTGTTGATCAGAGGGCTCACCCTGCCTGGTGCTACAATCGGGATCAAGTTCTACCTTTACCCAGACTTGGGACGACTGGCAGACCCTCAGGTACCAAAACACCATATTAGCCCATAAATATTGAAGCAAAAATGACTTTTAAAGCAATTTAACCCAACTCGTGAGGGCCTTTGGAGATTTTGAGTTGTAGTCCCGTGGGCAAGGGCACACCAGGTGCAGGCATCCTATGGTTTTCTGCTGGGGAGTCTAGTTTCTGCTGGGTCCATCTGCTCTCCATTAAAGAGACAGGGACTGCAGGGTTCATCTGCAGGGCCAGAACACCACTGGGACTGCAAACACAAGCTCTACCAGAACCCAGCCACAGACAGTCAACCAAACTGTCCTTTTTGCAATATTCATTATTTTATCATCTTGGTCAAGTTTAGTCTTTTTCTAGTTCGCTTTATAATTAACCCAAACAAATAAGAGTAAACACAAACACAAAATTCAGTGTACTTTTTCATCTAAAACAGGGCTTGTCACATGCTCTCAATTATTTCCATACAAGAGTTGGGTATTTGCAGACTCTTTAACCTTTTCGCTTGTGACCAGTCTCTGTCTTTTTTTGGCATGTCACTATCATTTATCCGGCTGTGGAATCGGTCACAGATCCTGCACTCACACTATTTTGGAAGTTTGGTTTGTAAATTAGTGTTTGGAAAATGTGTAATGATCAACTTTTTACAGTAAACTATTGTGCAACTGCATAAGTCACTGATTATGCAAACTAATTTCCCAGCATGTGAATTCCTCTCATTTGTATAAACACAGTATGGTATTTGTGTTCTCAGTGAGCGTGCATCCTGTGATGGCTACATAGAAAGGAGAATCACCTTTTCTGATAAGGTGCTCAGACTCTAATGAAAAATAAAACTTGACGCCTATCTCTATAACGCATTATAAATATATGTATAATGCATTATAACCACATTATAGCACTGTTATAAACACTCCTAAATGATCATAATGCTTTATAGCAATAATCATCACACATTATAAAGCATTTTATCATGACTGACAAGGTCAGGTATTATAATGTGTTATGCTTATTGTTATAAAGCCTTATGATAATTAATGAGTGTTTATAATGATAATTATACCAGTTTATAAGCAAATTATAACATTATAAATATATATATAATGCATTATCTATGTGGGCAATATCAGTGACTTGTTAACAGTTATAACACATTATAATACATGACCTTGTAAGTCATGATAACATGCTTTATAATGTGTTATGATTATTGCTGTAAAGCATTATGATCATTTATGAGTGTTTATAACTACACTTATACAGTGCTATAACCTAATTATAACACACTACACATGTATTTATAATGCGTTATAGAGATACGCGTCAAGTAAAGTGTTACTGACTGAAGTGGCACCTGATCCATCCTCATTAAATTATATAACCTACCACACAGTCCTCGATGTCCCCAAACATGAAGATGAGTAGGAATGGATGGACAGTAAAGGCCAATACATCACTGGGGTCATCAAGCTGGCACTTCCTTTCACTAGTGTAGTCAAGTTAGGCACATGACACCTCTGTGAGGCTTAACAGTTAGCTTCAGCATCTCAAGACCACCCCTCTCCATGTCAGCCCTCACCTCCCACCATATTCACACAGCAGAATAAAAACGAAAGAGGAAGAAAAAGAGAGTATGAAGAGAGATCTCAGGAAAAGGGGGAACAGTAGGATGCTCCATCTCCCACTCTCTTCCACTTTGATGAGGGAAAACATAGAGATGAAATAAAAAGAGGAGATTTTAGAGAGATACTAGAAAGAGGACAAGGAGAAAAGGACAATTAGACTGTTTGGGCTTCTTACCACTGTTCACTCTACCTTCCCTAACTCTTTCAGTTTGTGAAGAGAGAACAGCAGAAGACAAAATAACTTCAGTTTCAGTTGCTTATCATTTTATTTTTTTCTTCTTTTACACAAGGTGTGGATGGATGCCGGTACCCAGATCTTCTTCTCCTACGCTATCTGTTTAGGGTCACTAACTGCTCTGGGAAGCTACAACAGATACAACAATAACTGCTACAGGTCTGCAAGTAACCTACATGCTAGTTGTTGACATGCTTCAATCACCTGTGTGAATTTGATCTTTAATGGTTTATGATCTCTCAGTAAACTTCCTCTGCATGCTTTCTGTTGCAGGGATTGCTTGTCTCTCTGTTGTCTGAACAGCGGCACCAGTTTTGTGGCAGGCTTTGCGATCTTCTCCATCTTAGGTTTTATGTCCTATGAGCAGAATGTTCCCATCTCAGAGGTTGCAGAATCAGGTGAGACCTTTTTTAATTCATCCAAGGATAGCAGATATAAAAAAGGAAAATCCTAATAATATGTCATGTACATCCTCTCAGTGACCACTTTACATTGTATTACTGTTTGCCATAGGTCCTGGCCTGGCGTTTATAGCGTACCCCCGTGCTGTATCCATGATGCCTTTTTCTCCTCTGTGGGCCGCCTTATTCTTCATCATGATTGTTTTTCTCGGGCTGGACAGCCAAGTAGGTCCTTCATCACTTCAGTATAATCAACACACACACAGTTTTTCACAAAGCCATTGTTTGCTGAAGAAAGATATGTTTTGAGGATAAATACATAACTTAAAGATAACTTCAACTGGGTTCCACAGGACTTTTGTTTGTGATAGCTATGAGTTCACCGCTCTCCCCCTCATATCTCTGCTCTTGTCTTTTGTTCCTGCCAGTTTGTGTGTGTTGAGAGCCTTGTGACTGCAATCGTTGACATGTATCCTGCTGTGTTCCGGCGTAAGAACCGTAGAGAGCTCTTCCTGTTAGGTGTTAGTCTCATGTCCTTCTTCGTGGGCCTCATCATGCTGATGGAGGTAGGGGTCTTCCTACAGGACCATACACACACTAACGATTGCAAACTGCACAAACACAGCATGCACTCGCACAGACAGCCTATGAGCAACTTTACTGCATTCCTAGGAAAACTGTATTTAATATTGAGTACCTTAAATTTGACTACTGTAGGTGTCTCTCCCTCATTATAGAACTCCTAACATAATAATAAGCTAAATGCAAAAAGAATCTAGAGAAATAAGGACAAACAGGTTTTTATTTGGAGCATTACTCCCAGTAGATTTGATGTTTTGCTCTACTTAGATACAATATCATGGTCCAACATAGTTGACAGGGTTTCACCTCTGCACAGCTGAAAACATGAACGCTCTGCAGAGGTGTCAACAAGTCATCATTTTGTAAGTTCAGGCAACTCAATGCAAATGCAACCCTCTCAATGTAAAGTCCCACCTGGAATTGCTTGTGCCTGACTTTGTACTTAAAGTTTTTTTTTTATAAATTATAGATTATAACCTAATCAATCCATTATTCCTAAATACCAGAATATGGTATGTCACAGAGATTAGAAGGCCCATCATATTAAAACTGACATGTGGATATCTGCAATTTAGACGTTTATTTACACCACTTGCATTCAACTATTCTTTCCAAGGCTTTAAAGTCACACACACCAAATCTTGTTCAATACATCTAGATTTGAAAATATTTAACAAGAAATAAGTCATTCTTTGTGTTTCTGTCTTTGGTGTGTGTGCCTGGTAAAAATTTAGCAAACTCAGTTTAAATTGAATGTCTTTTCAGCTTAATTAACCATCCAGTTCATTGTGTGGACAAAGAGTTATGATATGGTAAGTGAATTATCTTTCTGTGTAATTATAACTCAGCGCTTTTCTCTTTTCCTTTCTTTGCAGGGGGGCATGTATGTCTTCCAGCTGTTTGATTACTATGCAGCCAGTGGCATGTGCCTCCTGTTCATGGCCATCTTTGAGACTGTCTGCATTGCCTGGGTCTATGGTAAGATATCCTGAAACAAGAGAAACTTTTATGCACGAAAGTTTTTAGAGAAATGTTGTCCCATGATTTATTTTAAAAGCAGATTTTATCCTAATCTTGGAAAGACATTCCCATTCCTGCAGCCAAATTTTTGAGACACAGCATAGAGAAAAATATAATTTGTGTGTCCCTCCAGGTGCAGATCGCTTTTATGACAACATTGAGGACATGATTGGCTACCGCCCAGGACCCTACATCAAGTACTGTTGGTTGTTCCTCACACCAGCCACATGCATTGTGAGTAACAGTCTAATTAAAAAGTATGAGGCTTTCTGACCATGATAACAGCCGAGCAGATTTATTCTTCACAGAAAATAATAGTTGTATCCTCCTCATGTCTCCAGGGCACATTTGCCTTCTCCCTCATCAAATACACTCCTCTGAAATACAACAACGAGTATGTGTACCCATGGTGGGGCTATGCTATTGGCTGGATGCTTGCTCTCTCCTCCATGATCTGCATCCCACTCTGGATGCTGTTCAAGCTCAGCACCACTGAGGGGACATTCAGGGAGGTAAATGATGATCCTTAAAGCTGGCTTGAGTTCTAACATTTTGGATTTGTGTGTCAATTCTGGTCCCAAAGTAAACTGTTTTGTGTCTGGTCCAGTTTCGACTTGAGCACATCCTGTTAGGTAATAAAATCAAAAGTGTTTGTAAAGACTAAAGCCACTGCTCTCTTTCTACAGCGCATCCAACTGCTCACCACACCCTCTGACAGCTTACCCAAAACCAAGAGGGAGCAAGAAAGGTCATTGGCCATCTTTGCTCCTGAAGGAGAGCCCGTCCTGAATAAAAATGGCTACTATCCCGTCTCAGAGAGAGACTCCAACTTATGAGGCCCCAGGGATGAGGTGTATGAGAGGACTTGGAGTTGTGGTTCCTTCCTTCAATGAGTTGCTGCACACTTACCCCATCACAAAGACAACAGGGAAATATACAAACGCGTCATATCACCTATTTTAACATGGCTATGGGGAACTCAGGACTTCAAAAGTCCACAGTGTGTCTGACTTTGCAGCATATACATTTCAGGGATGGTAGTTAAGTAATGAAAGGAGGATATAGTTTAAAAATAACCCTTGTAGTTTGCATGGTAAAGTTGCATTTGGTGCAGATATATCAGCTTGACAGCAAATTGGGCAATAGAGCAGGTTAACAATTTATATTTTTGTACCAAAACCGTGCTGCATACAATAACTTATGCAGTCTCCTTGTCTTCTGTTGTTACCTAATGACTGCATAGTCATAGCTGTATCATATATTATATCTTCATAACTAATTTGAGGAATTTTCCCTCCTGTCATTGTCAAGAATAAAAAAATATGTTTTTTTTTCAATGAACGATTTGACATGTAAGTGAAATCTTTAATACTGTAGTGCTGCAAAAACCATAGGATTAACAAGACATATATTATAATTTCATACATGCTACTGTAACAAAATGTGACTGTACAAAGAAATGTGAATCTTGTAAATGTGTTTTTAAATAAATGTGCAAAATTTCATGTTGTCTCTAAAATTCTTGCAGTGTAAAGAAGTATAGTATGACTGTGCTAATGTCTCTCTGAAGGGAGCAAAATGAAGTCTAATGAAAAGTCACTGCTTTTTTGGAAAATGATGTGCTGACAAAAAGTTAGTACATATTTGTTGAAGAACTTAAACGTTTCATCAGTATTTAAAACCTTTTTTTTCTCCTCTGGAGGCTTGTATCTTAATAGAAGAATATGTGATCAGTATGGTAAATTTTTGATGCATAGAAGGGATATTCTGGCGTTGAATTAATTAAGGGTCAAACACACCATAACATCAAGTTAGGAACCCCCTCAAGAGATGAATGTTGCTGACCACTTGCTTCTCTAATTTTACCAACTTTCGTAACGACCGAAGGATAGCGATACACAGCAGTTTAAGAAGCCATTCACAAACCTCAACCAAAACGCCACTTTATAGCCACAAATAATGCTCAGAACAGCACCTAACTTCATCAACAGTACAAATAGGGTCCCAGCCATAGCAGTAGCCACCAAACATCTTTTTAGCTTTGCCTAATTTGTTTAGCAAAGAGACTAAACACAACTCACCTACTCTCTTCCAGCAGCCGCTTGTTTGTAGCCAGACCTCAGGCCAGTCCATTACGGACTGCAGCGGGGTGACGCAGCTTAAGGAAGAATATTAATGATAATTTCTTTATTTCCTTGAAGTAATAATCACCATATTAATTATTTTGCGCTGCAAATGCAGTAGTTCTTCTGCCTTAGCGTCTTGGTCTCATTGCATTTCCTTGAAGAAATGATCATAAATGTTCTTCCTTGAGCTGCGTCACCCCGCTGCCGTCCATACTGGACTGGCCTGAGGTCTCGCTACAAACAAGCGGCTGCTGGAAGAGAGTGGATAACTTGTGTTTAGTCTCTTTGCTAAAGAAATTAGGCAAAGTTAAAAGGATGTTTGGTGGCTAGTGCTGTGGCCAGGATCCTATATGTACTGTTGATGAAGTTAGGTGCTGTTCTGAGCATTCTTTGTGGCTATAGAGTGGCTTTTTGGTTGAGGTTTGTGTTTGGCTCCTCAGACCGCTGTGTATTGCTATCCTGCGTTCGTTACTAAAGCTGGTATAACTAGAGAAGCAAGCGGTTGGCAACATTCATCTCTCAAGGGGGGTATCTAACTTGGTGTTAGAGTGTGTTTGACCATAATTCAATTTTACGCCAGAATATCCCTTTAACCCAAGCATATTTGCTTTCAGATTCACTATGATTAAAGCTGATAAGGCACAACAGGTGCTGACTTTTCAAAACCTTGCATAATGTGTCTACATGGCATTGAAACTACATTCACCTTCATGATACACAACTCCAGGGTAGAGCAATTAAAACAGTAATTAATACCACCTGTTATGATTTGTCAAATTTGGCAGGAGCTATGATTTAGTTTACCTTCTGTTCTTTATTTTACGCTCTGCTGTTTTAAAAATGTCAAATAATCAAATGCACTCTGGTCAGTTATGTCCAATAAGGTCCTTTCAGCAATAAGAAAGTGCAGCAACAATGATGGAGCACTTTTGAACCATTTTTTCTAGAATAATTCCACCGCTGGGTGTCACGCTTCTCCTGTACTGTCGACGAGCCGCTGATTGGTCGAGACAGGAGCGTCACTCCCTGCGTGCCTCGGTGACGCCCCACACTTTCCCACCATGCAGCGGGTGATGTCTTAGAAAGATGGCGGAAGGAGGAGCGGCTGATCTGGATACCCAGAGAGGAGAGGTCGCGGCACTATTGAAAACACAGCTAAGAAAGGGAGACACCTGGTAAGACATGAGCTGAAACCTTTTCAAAGGTGCTGCCTGGCCGTCGGCTGGTTCTGCCGAGGCTGTCAGCGCTAAGGAGGATAGGAAAGCCGAGGTGACGGGGCCGTGTTGACAGTTAGCTCGGAGCTAGCTAACGAAGCCTGTCAGCTTCATGTGGGTCAGCTGGGCTGGGTAGAAACGGATAGCAAGTCAGCTGTCAGTGAAGAACAGCATTTCCTGACTTAATATGCTACATTCCGGTTATTACGAGCGCCTCCTCTAAATGAACAGCTCTCCTTTTGAGCTGATGTGTCAGTGAGGTTTTCTCACGGATCTGGTTAGCTGGCTAACAGCTCGGTGGCTAACTTACCGAGGTTCCCAAAGCCAGTCTGCGGGTTCATCCGCCGTCCTCTGCAGGGCGGAGTCGGAAAAGAAGCACCTGTCAGAATCACAGAGCCAGCTGGCCAAGTATTCAGCAACCTGAACTCAAGAGCTGCTGTAACAACCATCAATCTGAGTCATATTAGCTTCTGACAGTCAGATTAGCTCAGAGTACTGTACAGATAGGTAACCTTTACACTCACCTGCCTCAGCCTGCGGTGTTATTACCCTGTACCAATGACTTAAACTCTTAGAGTCACACCTCGAAGTAACCCCAATCCACACTGGTCAGCTGTGCCTCGTTCTGCTTTAGTTGGTCTGAAATAACTTGAGTTTCTTGACTCCTCTGCAGGTATCTGGTGGACAGTCACTGGTTCAAACAGTGGAAGAAATATGTGGGATATGATAGCTGGGACAAATACCAGATGGGGGACCAGAATGTCTACCCAGGACCAGTTGATAACTCTGGTCTCCTCAGAGGTAAGGCTGATGATTAAGGCTGGGACGAGAAGCTTTTCCCCCGATTTGATCCTTCTAAGATTTGTTTGGATGCCGATTTGATTTAAATCGTGATTATATTATATTGTCGATTTTCTTTAGTCTTCATTTTTAACACAAGTGAAACAGCTGAATGATTATGTCTACTGGCTATTCCAGAAACCATATTTCCCCCCAAAATACACATCATGTTAGTCAAAAAATCGATTCTTGAACACAAAAATCGATTTAAAAATTGTAAAACCAAAAATTCCCGATACTTTTGTGAATTGATTTTTCCTCCCACCCTTACTGATGATACTTCACCTCCTTGGAAGTTCAGTCGATGTATTAAAGACCATGTTTAGACACCTGGTCAGTGAAGCTTTATCATTCTGGAAGTCGAAACAAAGGGGTCAGAGGAAAGATGAACAAAAGCAGTGCTATTGTGCGACTCCACAGCGGAGCTCTTTGAAGGGTTCATGGAAAGCTCTCCAGCATACCTTTTTCTCTGTGTTGCGTGAGACTGTCGCTCTCCCCTCTGCTTGTTTCTCATCCTTTCTTTTACCCTCTACGTGCCTCTAGATGGGGATGTGCTGGCCATCAAGGAGCACCTCATCGATGAGCTTGACTACATACTGGTCCCAACAGAGGGCTGGAATAAGCTTGTCAGCTGGTATGGATTGACAGACGGTCAGGAGCCAATCGCACGCAAGGTAAGACTTGACAGGACTACGAGTGGATTTAGAGAAAAGAGAGTGGTCTGCTCAATAGCATCATCAAAACCAGCCAAAGGTGGCCTGTTGTTGTTTTGTTGTCGTTGTTGTTGTTGTTGGCAGCCATGCTGAGAAGTAGCTTGTTAGTAGTTTAAGTTTGCAGTGTGGTTTGGCTGAAAAGGAAGAATGTGGACTAATATAACCATTGGACTTCAGGAACACGGTTCAGTGCAAAGATAAACTTGAGTTCTTCAAGTGTTGCTCAGCTTGAAAGAGTAAATTTAACAGTTTGAAATAATATTGCAAAAGACAGCTAGATGATGTCAAGTTTTTGAGTGAGACAAAGTTGTTTTTCATTCATTTTCTTTGGTAAATCATGATTTCTGTCCAGATCTATGTAAATCATTCTCACACACACATTTTGGTGAAGTGAAGCTAATCTCTATTAGGTCTGAGTAGACTGTGGAATGCTTTTTTTGTTATGATGGTAGCTGTGATTTAGGAGAACCAACGGTATCTGATCTTTACTTCAAATCTCGCCAGTCATGGCATCATGGCTGCTAGAAGAGGCTCTTCTATCATTCTCTCTCTAGTTCTTTCTGCCCCCCTTCAAATGACCCTCCCATTTTCCCATGTATGTCGCGGCACATATCAGGTGGCTGCAGGGTTTCTATTTTCAGGCAACGTGCTGGATGACTGAAAAGCTACATGGAGCGATCTGCGAGACACAACATGCAGGAGGTTCATTAATAGCTTTTTTTTCTTCTTTTGAACCTTGTTTTTGTCCTGTTGGTTGAAAGCCCAGAAAAGAGGATTTAAGAGGATTGTGGTCACAGGTTTGGTGCTATGTTTCCTTCGGTTGTCCTCTCCTGGTGCGATTGCCAACAGCAGCGGAGAGTCTCTGCTTGTCCTTGTTTTTTGAAGTGGAGGAATGCCGGCTGAGGTCACACTGAGTGAAGCAGCGTAGGAGCTCCTGAGAGGAGTGCGAGAGGCACAACCAGTATGGGAGGAGGAAGAGGAAAGGGGGGGGGTGGGTGTGGTATATGGTATTGGCTCGGCTCTGATTTGAGAAATTCTGTCAGAGTATGGCGAGTCAGACTTTTGCTCTGAGTTTACAAACACATGAGTAGAAGTAGGGTTCAACCACCATGGTATCTGGCAACAAGGTAGGGAAGGGTCGGTGGAATAATCCAAGCCGTGTTTGCGTGCATGTCTGTTGAAGTTCTGGAGGAGATTTGTGGAGTTGGTACGGTGTGTGTATGTAGCTGTGTGTGTTTCAGAGGGGCTCAGCTGTGAAATAAATAGGCTAGGACCCCTCAGCTGTTTCCACGAGGTGCTGCTAATTTAGGCTCCTCACTCTGACTCCGCTCCTATCAGAACACCGCATGAGTGGCACAGCCAGCAGTTTGCACTTTGTTCTCAATGAGAAACAGACGCCAGCACATTCCCTAAACTTACCTAACTCTTTACCGTGTGTGAAATTGTCAAATAACCAGAACGATGCCAGGTTGAAAGTCAACACAATGGGCTGTGATAATGTCAAGCTAACTCATGCAGACTCGGTGAACAACACTCTGATTTAAGTGCTCTGATTTCAGTTAACAGTTATTTCTGGCTGTAAAAGCCGAACGGTATCAGGACTAGCTCAAGGCTGTGTTGTCATCTGACATAGTGACAGCAGAGATTAACTTTGGTTTTGACCACTGAGAGTCTTGTGTTTGGGATTAGCATGTTCTCGTTGCTACATGATGTTTCACGCCTCAACTTGGTCCAGTGAGCTAACCCAGGTCAGATATGACTCAAAGTAAATACGAGAGCAAAGAAAAGCAAAACCCCTGAGTGGTGAGGTGTTTCTGAACGAGAAACTGAAACCCAAAGTTGTTTTCAGTGCGTGAGTTAGTATGTGTGAGAGTGAGATTAGATAGTGTGGCACAGCAGCCTTTGCTATCAGTGTATAAAAGTGGTTTGAATGGTATGAATGTGACCTGCAGTGTTAAGAAAACTGAGTGGTCAGAAAACTACAAAGGTAACATGGACACTGTGTGTGTGCAGTCTGACGACCAGAAGATCTGCTTCATTAAAGCTGAAAATATATCTACACAGTGTGACAGAAAAATTACAATGTATGGTAACTATGTTCAAAGTGCATCAAACAAAAATTATATGAGCTGTACCAGATGTTTTTTACAACCTGCTTCTATTGATCACAAAATAGATACCAAAGCATCTTTGTCACCATGAAGTTGGCTCAGGTAATCTGAGAGTAGACAAGAGACATTTTGAGTTTTATTTAACAGAATCAGGTTAGTGTGAAAGTGTAGCTGTTATATCCAGACCTTCATCCAACGCTTGACTTTAAAAAGTATTGAGTCAGACACGTTGCTTGTTTACATTTTTCTTGCGTTTTTATCTGTCGCTATAAAGACTTTTGCGAAGGTTGTGTCAAGAATACTCGTATCATGATTCTGATAAATTTCGAATGAGTTGTGCAACACCAGTCAGATTGACTGTTGTGTATTTGAGCTCATAATTTGTGTGTGTTTTTATGTCTGTGTTTGCAAATTCGCTGTGTATTTGATGGGGTTTCCTGTGCTTTCTTTCCAGGTAGTGGAACAGGGAATGTTCGTGAAGCACTGCAAGGTGGAGGTGTACCTGACGGAGCTGAAGCTCTGTGAAGACAGCAACATGGACAATGTGATCACCAGACGCTTCAGTAAAGCAGACACAATAGGTACAACTGAACCACTGCTGAGCTAGAGTTTGAATTGCTCATTATTAAGTGACCTCCATGGAGTTCATGTTGGATTTGAATCTGGTTAGACTCGATAAGCTCGCTATGTGGATTACAAATAATCCTCACTTACTTGTAAATTCATCCTGTTGCTTTGAAAACTTGAGTCAGAAGTCATTGAAAAAAAGATTTATGATGATCATCTTTGTAACATGCTGAGAATTTGTACTCCCTAGTACGCTCACACACTGTTCCCTTTTTCCACTCCATCAACAGTGGCTGCACAGTGAGCAGTCATCCTATAAGGTTATCATGTCATTCTTAAGTAGATGGGTCATGTGCAAACAATTGTGACTATGATCTTGTCATGACTTGTAACTTTAGCTGTACCAACCAATAATCTCCCACAGCAGTAAGAAGGTTTTTATAGTAAACTCTGTAACCATGAGTCGCCATCTTTTGCAGGTGGCTGACGTAATTATAAATTTAGTTATCCGTTCTTTTTCTTTGCTCAAGCAATTATGATTCAATATTTTCTTCCTGCGTTCAGTAAACAAGTGTAGGTAAACTTTTCGCAGTTTTTACAGTTAGTTTTTAAACAACAGCTGTTCTTGGTTGTATTTGAAGTTTTTAAATGATCAAGTTAGTTACTCTGAGATTTTTTAACTGCACTGTAGAGCAATAAAAGATTCATAGTAAAGATAAGAAAAAAATAATAATACAGGGATAAATCAGTATATAGGTAATCCCCTGATGAAGGATCTGTTTTATTGAGGAGCAATGATAGGTGGACTTAATATTTCTGTTTCTCTGCAGACATGATAGAAAAGGACATGAGGAAGCTGTTCAGCATCCCAGATGAGAAGGAGACCAGATTGTGGAACAGATACATGAGCAACACCTTTGAGCCTCTTAACAAACCGGACAGCACCATTCAAGACGCTGGCCTCTACCAAGGACAGGTATGACCTGTGTCATGTAACCAGAAATTGTCACGATGTGTGAACCGCTGGAGGAGCTCGGCAGAGTTCTTTTCCTCGATGCGATCAAAAATATGGAAGTATTTGACTAAATCGACTGAGAAATGTCCAAATATGGCTTGCTATGCAGACAGGTGTTATCCCTGAGCTTGGGGAAATATACTCTGGTTTCAACGTACGTCTCAAATATGTGCCGTCTGCAAATCAGCCCTGTTCTTCCACAGTAGAGTGGTGCTGCAAAGAACCATATCCCCTGTTTTGGGTCATGTTGTATCCAACAGGTCAACATGACCTGCAGAGGGCAGTCTAACGCATTTCTTGCCGCTTTCAAAAACATCTGGTAATTTGAACATGACCTTTTTTTAAATTTGAACTTTTTAATCTTTGAAACTACTGGGTGATTTTCCTGTAATGCTGAAGAAAACTGAAAACGTCCCTGTGTCTGCTACCTCGGGAGGTACACCACCTCCTCTTGTAAGCCGCTTAAACTGTGCAAGTATGTCCTGGCATCCACTTGGCAGTCGATTAGAGCAGACACGGTCTCTTTGCAATCCCAGTTTGATTTCTGCACCTGCCCACAATGAGCCTCTAGGCTTCAGATCGCAGCACTGTCTCTTTCACCAGCAGCTGTTCCAGAGGATTGTTGAGCCTCGGATAAATCCCTGCTAAGTGAAACAGTGGATGAGATCCATCCCGCTCCCCTGACTTTTCACACTAAATATACACAGTCCCACTAGTGCTTGAAGTAACAAATATTGAAGCTATAGTAGGAGTTGGCAACGGAAGATCTCCAGAGCAGATCACTCCCATAATGTTTAAAGAAAACATAAATATATATGTACCCCTTTCGTCCTGAATTCCCAAATGTCATTTTTTTCTTAGGCTTTTTGCCTTTATTAGATTAGACTGCTTGTGAGGAACAGAGAAGATGGGAAGAGAGGGAATGACATGCACCAAGTCTCTCTCTCTTTTTACTCTAGAAATCTCAGGAAATAAATCAAGCATTTACGACAAAGCTGATCAACCATTTATGTGGGGTGAAAATACTTCTAATAATCTACGACCTTGCACGAATTAAACAAAAATTGATGCAACTAATCAAAGCAATGTTAATTTTAGTTATCTACAAGACAGGATAAGAACAATTTAAGTGAGTCGTGTAGACATGGGAATATGGAGTCATTTCTAGCAGTCAGATTCTGGTCTAAAATCCTCTCTTGTTCACCCCTCCTGTTAGAGAGGTAAGAGCGGCCTACAAGAATGAGACATTCCTGGATACATGATAATTAGGATCCTTGATTTGTCTGGCTTTTTCTTCTCAGTACAAATTCTGTCACACACAACAACAATCGCTTTTTTCTTCTTTGTTGTCTTCTGTCTGGTACATGTCTGGCTGCCATCCATTTAATACAGAAAGACATATGACCCTCTAGTTTGTCTGTTCTTTGATACAGTAGAAACATGATGGTGCAGGAGGATGACCTATGTAGATATAAGAGGCTCATTATAAGTTAATAGGAATCAAATGTTTTTTTATATTTAGGCTGGAATACGCTGATTTGACGTGAATGCTCTATTCATGTGCTTCATATTTCTGCTTAGTCTGTTTCCACCTAAATAACGGACACTATACCATTAAACTCCTAAGAAAGAGCTGCGTCTCTCTTGTCTCTCTGTTGTTTTGCAGGTTCTTGTAATAGAGCAGAAAAATGAGGATGGCTCATGGCCCCGTGGCTCCACAGCACCAAAGTAAGTGAAGGCACATCACCTGGCCTGTATTGGTTTATTGAATGTAGTTACAGTTAAAGAAAGTTGACAGGAAGCAGACAGCACATTGGCAGAGTATTGCTAAAGACTCTTTTGCTTGGTCCCCAAGGTGTCACACTTCCAGTATTTCTTGTTTAGACAGAGAAGCCTGGAGCATACTGAATCCCTCCGTTATTGAAATTACAGATTTTAAACTCTGCAATAGTTCGAGTTACACAGTTTTCCTGCTATGTCACTACAGCACCTCATCATCTTCAAAAATCCCCTCTCTCTGTGACTTTGCCTCAGACTACCTCTTTTGCTTGACCTTTTGTTGCTGACATATTCCTCCGTTTGATTTAATTCATCTCAGTTTGATTTAATTGACACTTCCCGCACCGTTCTTGAACAGCACCTTATTCTTCTCTACTCTAACTCATGATCTATTCTTTATCTTTTGAAGGTCATCTGGTGCTTCCAATCTCTCTGCTTTGCCAAAGATCTCGCCTTCATCTCTCACAAACAATCATAACAGCAGCTTCAACAGCAGGAAGTAAGGCTTAGTAGTGGGCTAAGTAGTTGAGGGGTGGGTGTGGATGCCAACAGCCAGAGATGGACTCTAGAGAATTGCTTAGTGCAAACTACCTCAGGTCACATTGGCTCGTAAATGTACAGTTGGCTGAAGGAAGTTGGAAGAAACACATTTAACTTAATTTCAGCTTCTGGAAAAATCAACACAATCAGTCATAATGAATGAAAAACCCTCGGTTTAAAGTTGATCGATCTTTGTTTTCTACAGATCTATCTGTGGCTGTGGTTCGGGGCTTAAAGCTATCTCATGATGATGCAGTTTCAGCTGGAAGAGCTGATGGCAGGGAGGGGGAAGGGACTTAGCAGGGATTGATCTCTTTGAGAAATTTCCTCAGCGACAGCAGTATTCTCCATAAATGGCCCGCCGGGGCCTCTGGGTACCTTAGTCAGCCTTTGTTATCATTTCACTTCTGATTTTCTACCTGGCCAATTGACATTTTTGAATAAGGCTGTGTGCTTATTAATTTTTCCCTGACTCTTTTACTCGAACAGTCCCACAAGAACAATATGTAGCAGTCTTATTTTCTTATAAAGAAAAATCCTCAAAGTGAAAATCTTCACGTCATTTTTAACATTTCTAAACAGTTTCAATGGTACTATCTGATAAAATGTAGTGTTGTCAACTCAGCATTGAACAATGGCCATTTATTTCTGATATGTAGAGCCAAAAGGAAGCATATGCAATTGTGATTCAATTCCAATTGCTATGATACATGGATCCAATACTATATGTCGATACAATACGATCGATAGGATACAGTCGTTAAAAACAATACGATACGATGGATATGATACAATGCGATACAGTTGATACAGTACGCTCAATATGATACGATCAATACAATACAATACAACTGATATAAAACAATATGATACGATCCAATACATCTCTTAGGATTAATAAATGTAAAAAATCAATGAAAGTAATAAAAATTGAATAAGGCAAATTTAAGACTTCTGGGCCTGTGAGGATGATTCAGAAAACAGGAGCAGCTGTTTACAGGGAGTGTTAAAGGTTAAAGGTACAGTGTGCGATATTTCACAGCTTTTAGCAGAACAGATTTGGTAGAAATGGAGCATACAGTTTTTAATCACCTGAGGTGAAAAAAGAAAAAAATTGGATCGCTTTGCTGACAGAAAGGGTGAGTAAGGGAGTGTTTCAATCGAGAAACTGGACACTAGATATAGCAAAATACTGTAATTTCTACACACTGTACCTTTAAGTGAGATGGTTCTTTTTCAAGGTGGAAAGTTGACTTTTGTAATTGTATCCTCCAGGCATTTGAAAAGGACTTTGGTTGATCATGTCAGGTTATTGATGAAACAGAAGTGCGGTGACACAGATACCGGGGTTTCCTCTGTGGAGGTTTCACGGCTCTCTGATTTCAGTTTGAAGAAATGTTTCCATTTGCTAAACGTTTCATCCAAAACAAGGATTTCAGTACAGTCGGTCTCTGCCAGAGATCATGTTGAAACCTGCTGCATTCATCACTAAACAGGTAAAGCAACATGAGGCTTTTATTGAGAAGTAAAAGATAAGGAATGATATTGCCAATCTTCCTCTTCATCAAGCAGTTTCTGATGCTTTGTCAAATTTACCATCTTTTCACAAAGATGGGAGAGTTTTAGGTTTTGTTTCAATTTGCAAACAAATCTTAGTCTATATAGAATCCTCCCTATGCGAAACTGAAATACTGCCCTCTGATTGTCAACGTTTGATTTCTATTCTCTTAAAAGGCAAATTCAGTTTTAGGTGAAGCGTTGCTGCTAAAGATGTGGTACCCAGCGGCTCCATCAGGCCTCTCTCTGAAAGGAGAGCACTGCTAAACTGTGGGTGGAGCTTTTGCCTCTGCTTTCCAGAAGACTTTACTGTCCCCTCCTTCCAGCTTCCGTGTGTGTGTGTGTGTGTGTGATTTACTGCATGCTGGAGTCTGTCCTGTGTGTTTGTTTCTTAGATGTAGTTACTCTGCCTTGCTTTTTTTCCAAATGCTTTTGTAATGCAGAAGTAATGGCCACAAGGCTGACCACCCTGAAAAATCAATATTGACAAGAGGAGGGTGTTGAAGTAAACTGAGGTGATCTTCCTACACTGAAAAGAGAAACTCAAGTGTTTTTCCTGCCTACTGCACTGTGGACATGTATTGAGGAGTACACTTGAATATTATCATTTGACTTTTTGTTCTTGATAGCAGGAACAAAGCACAGAGTGGGTGACTTAAGGAAATTGGATCTCCACTCCCAGCAGCTCTCCATTCCTTGATTCACTGTGGTGCCAGCGCTGTCATTTTCTCTGAATAATGCATGGGGGCCTCTTTTTTTCATATGAAATGTTCCTGCATTACATAATACTTGTCTTTCTGAATTTGTGGTTTCTGGCTTGGTGGATTTTGTGTTGATAGCAATGCTGTATAACAGCAGCAAGTGTCACTGTCCCACCAGGCAGTGTCCCCTGATTCTGGCATCTCTCTCTCTCTCTCTCTCTCTTTGTCTCTTTACCTCTCCTCTACCCTGAGCTCATCGCGATGCACACGTTCTGCAGTCTAAGTGACCTTCAGAGTACATTTCATCTCCTCTTGCTCCTCTCATCACCTCACTCCATGCAACACTCACCAGCCCCTGCCATGAAACCAGCCCGCACTTTAGGTTATTCAACCAGACCTTCCCCTTTAAAAGCTCAGAGGAGAACAGGCATTGCATATTAAAAAGGACAAAAGTGGGAGTGTCAGAAGTGTGTGCCTCACTGAGGAGGGGGTGGGGGGGGGGGGCATTTATCAAGGAGAGAGGATACGATGAGAATGGAAACTTGTGTGTTAGTGTTTGGAGATGAGTTAGAGGGCACCATCATGTGTGGAGAAGTGTAAGAAAAGGGGATAAATGGTGTGTGTTGGCATGAGTGAACGTGTTAATGTGTGTCTATATCTGTGGAAGAGAGACAGGGGGGAGAGAGATATCTAGAGATAGTCAGGCCCATGAATACTGCAGCCTCAGCTGGATGCAGTGGATCAGCTGCTCCCTCCATCCCCATCTCATTTCTCTTCTGTCAGACCCCCCCCTTCCCCCTTGTACTGTCCGCCCCTCCCCCCTTGTTCTCTCTACCTCTACCTCCTCCCCTTCCTCTCTCTCTCTCTCACTCTCTCTCTGTGCACCTCTAGCTTGGATAGCAGTAGTCTTGAGCATCCTCTCTGCTGCTGATGCTGCTATAAATATCTGCTGGTAGCCGTAGAGCGGCAGTGAGCAGCAGGCAGGCCAGAGGGAGGAGCAGAAGACCAGAGGACAGGACAGGACAGGACAGGACAGGACAGGGGGAAGGGATCTAAAGCGGACAGGATAACAAGATGACAGGCGGACAAGCTCGAAAAAGAAGAAGAGGGAGTAAAAGAAGAGGGGAGCTGCTTAGTTCGCTCTAAGAAATAGAAAGGTGTTTGTTTTTCTGTCTTTGTGCCTCCTGGAGTTTGGTCTGTGGCCTACGCTGGAATTGAAAGTCAGATCGAGGCCTTAACTTGGTTGGGACTTCATCCACACTGGTTCTGGAGCTGCACTGGGTTGAGCTGAGGTAACAGAAAGACCTGGAGCTGGACTTCCCCTCCTGGTCTCTACAAACCAGACTTTGCACCCGCCTGACCTGAACTGATCCCAGTCTGCCCTTCTGGTCGTCCTGTTTCCTGTGGACATGTGGGCATGGGCCAGGGTGGGGCTGAGATGTCATGCTCTTGTGTTGCTGGTGGTGCCTGAGGTCTGAGGCGGTGGAGCTGGACAGCAGGAGGGTGGACCACCGAGTGCTGAACTGCGAGGCTACCGCCTCCACCACCACCATCACAGCTGTTTCCCTTGACCAGTGGGAGCCTGAAACAACCAATACTCCTCTCGAGCCCTCTCAGAGGTCTGCTGATCGCTGTCGTTCACTTAACCTGAAGCCACCTCTGAGTGTTTGGGCTACATTTGAAAGTTTGATCTTTTGAAAGGTTTTGAAGTTTTCAATTGGGGTTTGTTTACTTTGACGGAATAGGAAATGAAGGAGACGCTGTGTGTTTGCCTGGTGCAAAGTGGAGTCTGTTGTGGAATAGATTCAAAACATAATCTTTGTAAAAACTAAAATAGACGTAGCAGTGTTTTGTTTCTGTCTTCTGTAGGACTTTTGTGATCTTTTCTTTGCAAACCTTACTGACCTGTTATTCATTGTTCCGTTTTTCTTGTTTATTACCCCAGTGTGAAGAATTCAAGCTATAGTCTGCCGTCCTACCACCCTTACAGCAACAGCTATGACTACTCGGACCAGAGCAGGCAGAGTGAGCGCTCAGGCCTCTGTGGACTTTCCAACCTGGGCAACACCTGTTTCATGAACTCTGCAGTGCAGGTAAAAGCATGCCTTCAAGAAGCACACTCTGTAAAAGTATGAAAAGTTTGATTTGAGAGCTCAGAGGAATTTGGGAAAATGGCTCCAAAAAGTGCATGTGTCTATAAAGAAAAATCGACAATCACCGCAGGGAAGAGTCTAAATCCAGCCTCTGCTGATGTGTTCCCTCTCCTCTGCATGTTCGCCCCTCCTCAGTGTTTAAGTAATATCCCTCCATTGACGGACTACTTCCTCAAAGACAAGTACACAGACGAGCTGAATGAGGACAACCCGCTGGGCATGAAGGGGGAGATTGCAAGAGCCTACGCCGAGCTTATCAAGCAGCTGTGGTCGGGCAAATACAGCTACGTCACTCCAAGGCCTTTCAAGGTAACTACCTGATAAAACTTCAGCAGGAAGTACTTTTAAACAGTTGTGTGTATCAAGTTTTACATAAATAAGGCATTGTTTATAGCGTTTGGATAGAGAAGGTTGAAATCAGTGCAACAACTCGCAGAGAGTGTTATCTTTCAAAGACGAGCAAACGGTTGAAGATGTCTTTGGATTGTAAACGGTGATATCTTTACAGCTGAGAAATGGAAACAAGTAAAAGGGAAAGTCACAGTTTAAGAGGATTATAAGATAGCACACAAGCCTGCTTAAGATTCTGAAATGTCTAAAGATTTAACAGTTTCAGTGCTTTTCTCTGAATGTCAGTAGTTTGGATGGAAGACTGCATCTAACTGTAGGAAGTAAATCTTAAAGTGTTTGGAGTTAAAGTAAAATGATTAAAACGGTATTAGAGAGAGAACCAGGGGTTGTAAACATTTTATAGGGATGGACGAGTGTCACTTTAATGGTTTATAATATTTGGCACAAAGTTATGTTTTTTACGACTGATGTTGTGTCATTTTTGAACTTTTTTTTTCCCATCTCCAGACACAGGTGGGTCGCTTCGCCCCCCAGTTTTCGGGCTACCAACAGCAGGACTCTCACGAGCTGCTGGCCTTTCTCCTGGATGGTCTCCATGAGGACCTGAATCGCATAAGGAAGAAGCCCTACATCCAATTGAAGGATGCCAATGGCAGGCCTGATAAGGTGAGCGATAAGGAGATGAGATGAGAGAAGAAAAACACATCTGTGGAGCTTGCCAAACATATTCTGAATATTTGGTCCATCCCAATAAAGATTGAAGTGTCTTAAACATCTGTAGATTATTTTTTGTGAGGGATTCCCCCCCTCCTCCTCAAATGCAGCGTTGTTTACTTAAATACAAACAAAGACTTGGTGAATTTGTCTGAACTTGACTTCTTTTTTACCTCTTTCCCGCTTTTGTTCTTCTCAGGTGGTGGCAGAGGAGGCCTGGGAGAACCACATCAAGAGAAATGACTCTATCATTGTCGACATCTTCCATGGCCTTTTTAAGTCCACCCTGGTGTGTCCTGTGTGCTCCAAGGTGTCAGTGACCTTTGACCCTTTCTGCTACCTGACCCTCCCTTTACCCATGAAGAAGGAGCGGACACTGGAGGTCTATCTGGTCCGCCTGGACGCTTTAGCCAAACCCACACAGGTAATGTGCACACTGAAGTATACAAACCCAGTCATGAAGAATCCATGCAATGGCAGTGGTTTAACAGGGATGTGTTTGCGTTTCAGTATAAGCTGACAGTGCCAAAGGTGGGCTACATCTCTGACCTGTGTACCTCCCTCTCCAACCTGTCGGGGGTGCCTGCTGAGAAGGTAGAAACATCCCAGTCAGCTCTGCTCTGTGCAATATCACACGATAATGCTGACATCTCCTCACACACAGCACGGACAGAAATAGCTTTTTCCCCCCTTTGAAACTGTCCCTGTGCACACAGCTCCAGCAGCTAGGTGAAAAACGTGTTATACTTTTTAGATGAAAAGAGCCATAAAATCTTTGTAAGAGCATAAAACAGACACACTGACGAATCCATTCAAAGCTGCTTATGAAATAAAGCAGTAAAAAAAATCTCCTTCACACTGAGACACTTGGTTTACTAATTAACCGCAGGGTGGATTTGAAATCTAAGAGTCTTCTTTCTTTTTCACTCAGATGATTGTAACTGACATTTACAACCACCGTTTCCACCGGATCTTTGCCACCAATGAGAACCTCAGCAGCATCATGGAAAGAGATGATATCTATGTGTGAGTGTGGCAACAAAACGCCTAATTGTTTCATATTGTGGTTTTTAGTTTTGATATGCTGGATTAAAGATGTTCCTTTTTGCTCTCTGCTAGCATATCAAGTCTGAGTGAAAAACTTTTCTTTCTGCAGTTTTGAGTTGGCGGTGAACAGGGTGGAGGATACAGATCATGTGGTGATCCCAGTCCACCTGAGGGAAAAGTACAAACAGTCCGGCTACAACCACACCAGCACGCCGCTGTTTGGACAGCCCTTCCTCATAGCTGTGCCGAGAACCCTGAGTGAAGACAAACTCTACAACATGCTGCTACTGCGCCTCTGGTGGGTCCATACTTCCCTGTGTTTGATCATAAAGTCTTTATTGATCATCGGCAGTAGCCTGATGCATGTCTGCTCTGATTGCAGTTTAATAATTGATCTTATTTGAAGCCACTAGGGCAGGCGACCGGGAAGTTTGAATCATTTAGGCTTGTTTTAAAAACCCACCAGCTGTTTGCCTTTTTCTAGATGAAATGTTGATCTAAATTGTTGATCTGCTACGTGTTTGCAGCCGGTTTGTGCGATCTTCAGTAGAAGAGGAGGAGGAAGACTGTGAAGAGACGCAGCCAACCAAACAGCACACTGTCAATGGTAACGCCACTAACGGACTGTTGGAGGAGGGATCACCAAGTGAGTGGCATATCTTCCAGATGAGTAATTTAAAGCCACTGTTCTCTAAAAAGTTACTTGACAGCCTGTTCGGTCCTCCCTCAGGTGAGATGGAGACAGATGAGCAGGATGATGAGTCCAGCCAGGATCAGGAGCTGCCCTCAGAAAACGAAAACAGCCAATCAGAGGACTCCGTTGGCGGGGACAATGAGCTGGAGAACGGCGTGGTTGGTCCACAGAACTCCACTAAAAGCCAGCAGACGGCGGGGCACAACAGAAAGAGACTTTTTACATTCCAGTTCAATAACATGGGAAAAACGGACTTCTCCCTCATCAAGGAGGACACTAGGCAAATCCGCTTCGATGAGGGACACCTCCGACTCAGTGGTAGGGACCGGAGTGAACCAGGAAATGAAATACTTCCTCAATAATATCTCTGAAACTGAAAGTGCATCTTCTTGGGACTCAGAAACACATATCCAATCACTGACCCTATTTTTTTTTGTTATAGCTTATCATTCACATTTTTGATCTGCTGATATCTTATTCTATCTTTAACAGACTAAATTTTATCTAAGACAGAGCACTGAAAAGTACACAGGAAATATCCTCTTCAGTTTTTTTTAGCACTGACATCAATGCATCCATCTCACTTCATGTCAGACTGAATTGAAATGATCGCAGATTAGAGACAGTTTTACATTTGTGCACTCACAGTTTTTCACCTTTTCCAGACCGCTCTTATCTCTCCTTGGATTGGGAACCAGAGATCAAGAAGAAGTACTTTGACGAGACTGTTGTTGAGGTAAAGGCGACTTCAGGTCTTGCAGATGTTTACTGAATTAATGCGGCAGAGCAGCTGGTGCGCATCCTGGCATGCATACTGTTACCATCATGTTGCAAAATATTGCAATGTGACCCTGACAGGCGTAGTCCCAAACCATAATATCACTGATTAGATTAAAAGTGGGTACTGCATCCTTAAAGACGATGTTCCACAGAAAGATGTGTTGTAAGTGAATATTTACCAGCTGCTTCATTGTGTCTTTTAAATTAACTTTACAAAGGACCTAATGAGATCGGCTGCCCTGAAATGACAGTTTTCATTCAATAAAGGCTCCCCACTAAAATGAAAGTAAAGCACTGTCCTAAAGTGGGCTTAAGACGCTGCTCTTTAACTTTTATCTTGAAGAAAAGCTGAATTTTAGTCCATTTAATAATGAGAAGGTCACTTTAATGTCAAATGTTTTCACAGTTGTTCTTGGAGGGAAAGCGATTTGGGTATACGTCCAGCAACATAACAAAGAAGTGTATCTTAACAGCTGTTTATGTGCTTGTTATGCAGGATTTTGACAAACATGAGAGCATGGAGTACAAGCCTCAGAAGAAGGCTTTCTTCAAGCTGAAGGACTGCATCGAGCTGTTCACCACCAAGGAAAAACTGGGCGCAGAGGACCCATGGTGAGACACGAAGCATGCAGTCAGAACATTCATGTTACATGCGTGTGGCCACTCCAGCTCTATACAGCTTTATACTGAAGCATGTACGCACTTTTTATCTTACAGGTATTGTCCAAACTGTAAGCAGCACCAGCAGGCCACAAAGAAGCTGGACCTATGGTCACTGCCGCCAGTGCTGGTGGTCCACCTAAAACGCTTCTCCTACAGCCGTTATATGAGAGATAAACTGGACTCTCTTGTTGATTTTCCTCTCAGGTGCGCACTTACACACAGTCCTCACACACACACACACACTAACACACACACACACACACACACACTCTGAAAAGGCAATAAATCACTGCAGGAGGACACTGCATTTTCAGCAGTTATACATTGTTTCTGTTTATCTGTACCTTTTTACTTATCCACATTAGGAATATGCAAACCTGCAGTGTACTGCACACAAGGCAGATAAACATGTACTCTTAAGCTAATTTAACATTTTTATAGTTTCCTGCTTAACGACAGTTTAGCAGTTTAGACTTTTCTGCCTTCATCTGTGTGCCAACTATTCAAATAAGTTGCTCTTTTATGGTTTGGCTTTATAAACTTCACAATGGTTCAGGTGTTCGATATTTAATACTCTTGCATTACTCTGGTGATGAGCATTTAATTCTAGACAACACAACAAACAACAAGCTATTTACATTTGAACATGGAACACTGCTTATACACACTGAGTTTTCTGTGTCGCTTAAAGTGAAGGAACTGTGTCGTGTTTGTCTTTGAGGCTGTTTGATTCAAACCTGTAAATGCTCTCTCTAATGGTTCTTGCTGAGACACGTAATGACTCAGTCTATTGTATGATGTGTTTCCTACAGAGATCTGGACATGTCTGAGTTCCTGATCAACCCCAACGCTGGGCCATGTCGCTATGACCTCATAGCTGTGTCCAACCACTACGGAGGAATGGGTGGAGGCCACTGTAAGATTCACCACACGACATAGAGCGGTTTTAAGGCTTTGAGCCTTTTTTATAATTGTTAAACACCAACTATAAAAAAGTTGGTGTGCTGTGTAAAATGTTGACAAAAACAGATACCGTTGGTTTGCGTATCATATAAACACTATATTTAATCATAAATGATGCAAAGGCGATAGATCGAATGTCAAAACTGAAACATTTTATTGCTTGTGTTGGGACAGAGACAAATATTCCCAAAAAAGTTGTGTAATGCTACAAAAAAACGACCTTGAGGAATATCTAAGGCTGGCGGATAAACCGAAAATTTACCCATGCCAAAGTTTACGACAATAACCAACATAATTTTGCCCATATTGGTACATTCTGTGTCAAAAAAATAAATGAATAAAAGTTGGTTTTGGATGTGTGTAGGTAGGCTATGGTCTCATGACCCTTTTACGATGCTGTCCTACGTCAGAAATGTGACTCCACTCCATTCAGTCCATAACAAAAAGTGAAAGACAGGTGATTAGATGTAGGACGGTTCAAAAGTTGTAGCGGCTGGAGCGGTGGCTGAAGTAGACAAAGTTAATGTGGGAGGGGGTGAGCAGCTTGTGGAGTAGTTATCATCCATGCATTGTTATCGAGGTGAACTGCTCAATATATCGTGATATTGATTTGAGGCCATATTGCCCAGCCCTAGGAATGTCTCAATGTCTGGATACAAAGAGGAGATTCCAGAGAGGCTGAACCCCTCAACAGTAAATATGTGAATAGTATCAACTCTCCGTGAGAAACTAAGTAAGCAAATACTTTCTGGATAATGTTCCACAGCATAAAATTCCAATTAATTTGGGGATACCATCATCATCTACCGTACAAAATGTCATTTAGAGTTTCAGAGAATTTGACGAAACCTCTGTACAGAAAGGACAAGGCCTATGCTTGTTTAAGATGGACTGAGTCAATGTGGAAAATGTCCCTGTGGTACCAAAACCTAAAGGTCCATTTGAAAATCAAAGCCACCTGACTTGTTATCAGCACACAGTTCAGGTGTTAGCATCTGTGATGGCATTGGTAGCTTGCCAAACAATAAATACAGGTTTTGGACCAACATAAGCTGCTTTCCAGACAAGGGGAGATCCTGCATATTTCAGCAAGAGGATGTCAAATTACACTTTCAGTATATACAGCAGTCTGCCTCTGCATTAGAGGAGATTATCCACTGGAACCATTTGGTTTATCAGGAAACAAAAAATGAAGCAAAAGAGGCGCTGAACCATCGAGTGGCTGAAATCTTGTGTCAGGCAAGATGACACTTCTCCTTTTAAAACTACAGAACCGGTTCTCATCGGTTCCCAAAGGGATACAGATTGTTGTCAGAAGACGGGGCATAACCGATCAGAAAACATGCTCCAACTCCTCTGAAACCTGCAGCTGGCACAAAATTTAAGATGAGCATATACTTTATAGTTGCATTTCTTTTTCTGTTTTTCCTTTTTACACCGTAATAATTCAACTTTCAAAACCAGCCATCTTTTATTGTAGCTCTGTGTATCCTTTTACAACAATCAGCATAACAGAGAGACAAGCTGTGCAACTGTGTGATTCAAATGCTCGGAGCGCAGTGATTGCAGCAGCTAACAAGCTGTATGCTAACATCCGTGACAGGTGTTTGATGGTCCTCATCAAACAGAGCTTTGTCTCACTCTGAAGCTCACCACAGGCGCTTCAGCGGGGGTTTGCTGCATTTTGCATTGTCATTCTGTTATAAGTGCTGCCAAACATATGCTTGTAGTAATGTTCAGAGTTTGGAGTATGTTGTCTCCAATAAGAGTGGACGTATTAATGAAGTGACTCTTTCAGGTGCACAGATGTTACGCTGGTATCCTTATTAGACACCAGATTGTGTGTGGGAGTGTGTTCACATCCTTCTTTTACTACTAATAGTCGGCTCTGCGTTGGTGTCCTTCTAAAATTCTTGTCAAGAGAATGTAAATGAAAACTCAAGAGTTTAAAACAGTACACAGGACTTTTTTGTTAATTGGTGTTTGATTAACCATATTGGTGGAGCAGAGCACCTGTATTATACCATAATCTTGTCTAATCTGTTAATCTCCCTCACAGATACTGCGTACGCCAAGAACAAGGATGATGGAAAGTGGTACAACTTTGATGACAGTAGTGTCTCTCCCGCCAGCGAAGATCAAATAGTGGTGAGTGTCCTCTTTTGCAAAGTCTGAAATTTTGTAATTTTTTAATTTTTTTAAGCAGTCTGAACTCAGAAACAAGTCAGTGGTTAAAGCCAGAAAGCTCACATTCAGACAGTGTTGTTGCTGTTTTGAGTACAGAGAAGGTTTGTAAAGGCTTTATCACCTCAACACCTACTCATGGCTTCACTTGACATGGACAAAAAAATGAAATAGTGTTGTTAGGTTCTTCGAGTAGAGTCCCAGCTGATGCACCTTCTGCTGTTGAGAAAATGTGTTAAGAGTCATTGAAGAAAACCACGAGAAATGCAGAATATGGGATTGAATAAGCACAGCTGACACATTCACCTCAGTAGTGATTTGTGTACTTCAGAAACCTCTGCAAAAAATCGTCACTGTTATGTTTCAGTTTTTATGATGGAACCATAGATTGTATATAGAATGGTCTGCCTCCTCGCTGGGTGAAGTCACTCCAAGAACAGCACCCTCTGGTGATGGGCTGCAGTATAGGTCATAAATCCCTCCTCTTCCAGCAATCCCTATGGAGCTGTGGACAAACTTAAGACATTTATTACACAGAATATAAAAAATTCTCCCCCCTGCTTGTGGTGTTGACATGTAGTTACAGTAAGTCTGGTTTGTGCTCAAGTCCTCTTTTTCTGTACAGCTCCATTTTTAAGAGTTATTAGGAAATTAGGAAATGGAGGAAAATCGCATAGAAAATACAGAGAGCTTTTCGGCTTCAAATCCGTATACTGGCGGAAGGCGGAACCAAGTTGTCCATAGTATGTACAGTCTATGCTTGGAACTGAAATCAACTGTGTGTGTTTTTATGAAGTTTTTTTCAAAGCTCCTGTGAAGAACTTTCAGTTTAAATCGATTCTAGTGCCCCCTTGTGGACAGAGCAGCCTTTGATCATCTTAAAAAACGTCTCAGCCTGCTGACTCCTGATGGTCAAATTTATTGTGAATATTTTCTGTGTAAATTCTGAAAACAGCTGTTTCTCCAGCTGCTAAGCTAATGCTTACTCTCCCGTGCCGCTTGAAGGCATTAAAGATTACAACTTAAAAATCACCAGTCTTGTCACTGATGTTCTTGTTTGCTTTTAAATATCATAAAAAGGCATGCATATGCTATGTTCGAGTTGCCTCAGAAGTCAGAAGTCCGAACTGAAAATGAAGTCACACCTGAGTTACCAGGGATTCAGTTAAAGTTGGAAAAAAGCAAAGTTGGAGTCGGAAACAAGATGGCTACATGTACAAAAGTTATTTTGTAGTTTCAGGCCTCTGATTTTGCTTTTTTCTGAAGTGGTATCTGAAATGCTGGGAACTCTGGTGTGACGTCATTTTCAGCTCAGACGTCTGACTTCCGAGGTAACTCGAACGCAGCAATATACTTGAGTAAATTTGCTCATTTTTGTCTTTCTTTTAGTCCAAAGCAGGCTATGTGCTGTTCTATCAGCGTCAGGATACAGTGAAAGGCACCGGCTACTTCGCTTTGGACCGCGAGGAAGAAGAGGAGGAGGAGGAAGAGGACGAGGGAGAGGAGGAGGAGAATGACGCCGAAGAGAGGCAGGAAAGAAAGGCCGCCTCCTCCTCTCAGGGGGCCACCTCTGCCGCCGGTGCCGCAGCTCAGAGCGACGAGGAGGACCTGAACGAGAACCGGCGCAGGAAGAATGACAACGAGCAGGAAGAGGAAGAGGAAGAGGAGGAGGAAGAAGAGGAGGAGGAAGAGGAGGAGGAGCAGGCGCCAAATCGAGACGTCACTATGAAAACCAACTAAGGCAAACAGGGCCAGGGATAAACGGAGAGGGAGAGACGAGGATCTTTCCATCCAAAGCCATATGGACACACAGCATGGCAGCGGGCGCTACTAGTCCCACCCAGCGGCTCGGACTCAGCCGCTCGACAGGCGGAGCCACTGCGGGGAGGACAGCTGACAGGGCGAGGAGCTGCCAGGGTACGCAACTCTAAGAATCAGGGCCCTCCTTTGCGGTTGGATCACTGTGTTTGTTTGTTTGTGTGTGCGTGTGTGTGTCAAGTGTGTGAGTGTCGCCACGTCCATTTGTTGAGGATTTTCTCACCTGCTCTCAGAAAGGACTCACTGAATGACACTGAGGGAATGATTTGGAGATTTTCAGAATTGCCCTCCGCTCTCTGTGTTCATCTTGTTGTTTTTTTTATATATATTTTGAGAGCAATGCATCGTCGGCATATCATTTTATCATTTAGACTTTGTAAATATTTTTAACACTGAATTATATCGGGTTTTCATAATGCGCTGAAACATTTTGAACTTGCACAATCACCAACCATCCACTTTTTTTATGTGTTGTTGCCAGACAAACTGCAATTGTTCATCGACGAGGTTAATTCACAGGTTTTCTCACATGAATTTGAGAAAACTTGAGCAGGCCAGACGAGTCTACAATCTAGACTGAACTTAGAGAAGTCATGCTCTTAGTCGGTGTGGTGTTATAAACAGCCAAACTGTCCTAGCTTTGCATTGCTGCTGCTGCTGCTGTGGTCTTGCATTTTTAGACTGATTATTAATGTATCGGCATGAACCTCAACAGTCTAAGGTCATGCTTCTGCTGTCTCAATCTAGCTCTCTCTGTTAATTTATATTTCTGATCCCAAAATAAATCTGGGTTCATGAGTTATCCAGCAAGATTCTAACTTTGCATATTTTATGTTCAAAAAAATCTGAAATCCAGCAGCGCTCTCTTGTAATCAAAGTGTGCTTGGATGGCAACAAATAGCAGTTTTTAGGTTAGCACATAAATCCTTCGCCATGTCTCCTCCTTCCCCTCCGTCTTAAGTTAATCATAGCTGGTGTTTAAAGCTTTACCATGCCTCCACTCTTTGTCTCCTCCTCATCTCTGAGGCGCTTTGAGATTAGAAACATGGGTGATTCTGCTGACATCAGATGTGTCATCTCTTGTTTGCATCACCACAGCCTTAACTCTTAATCTCAGACCGGTCGCCTTTTCTTTGCACATTATTATCACCTCATCTTTCTTGCACGACCCCTTTCACACACACCAAAAACCCATGTACGAATGTCCATATGATTTTGTTCGCTTGTTAAATCAGAAACCTTTTTTTTTAAACCCGTAGGAGGGCCAGAATGTATGCTGAATGGAACGGACTGACCAGATGGATGTGGTTGATGCCTTTTCATTCTTTACAGGGCCAGTTTAGGGTTTATTTCCTGTTTTTTTTTCCACCCCTTTCCTGGTTTGGCTGAATGTGATGGTAATGGGTCTTTCGCCTTTGATATTAGCTGTATGGGCACTGCTGAATGTGTCTCCTTCAGAGAGGATAAAGGCCTCTTAGCTTTGAGGTTGGTGAGGGAGGGGAGAGGGGAAGGGACAAAAACAAAACAAAAACTACGGGGTGAGTCTGCCTTAAAGACCTTTTCAGCTTCTGGGATCATGATACAGTGAAAATATTTTGTGGCACATTGTTGCAGGGTTGATATAACTCATGATAAAACTCTATTCTCCATGGTGGAGTGTTATGCTTTCTTTTTCTACCTGTTCTTTACATTGTAAACAGCATTAGCATACCTGTTGTTGCCTCAGAATATTAGATGTGTACCATGCCTTTATGAGCATCTCTGTGCTTCGAACTTTAGTGGGCTTCACCGCTTCGGCGCTGCCTTGCTTTTTGGCCGACTCACCCCATCCTGACTGAGTGAGATGTGATTGCTACTATAGGCTTATACAATACTGTACATAAGAGTTCACTCTGTGAGTGCACATTTGATAAAGTTTATTTATTTATATGTAAGCATTTAATAATAAACAGACAATATATTTAAAACTTGGCAAGACCGGAAATGTCCAAGTGGGAGGGGCTGGGGTGTCGGGTGGGGGGTGTGTGGCTCGAGTCCACGCATACACACTAGTTTGCAAAGTCTTGCCTGTGCTCTTGTCAGGGAGGGAATATTTTTTAAAAAGGATGGTTCTGTTGTTTTGGGACTTTTTGTAAAAATAATCCAGACATCCTTGCATGACGATATAACAGGGGTTTCCAGGTTTGGCTGCACTTGAGTTCACTTGGGTTTACATTTGAAATGTGCATGTGTATTTATACACAATCTTCAATAAAGTTGTGTAAAGCTTCCTGTGGGTCCTGCTCTGGTTTTCTTCTGTTCACTTAAGTGTCTGTTCTTGATCTGTGTTTGTCGTTTCCCTCTGCCAGGCTCCCATCTCTGTACCTGCTGTGTTTATCTTTCAGAAATAGCCAGGGGGTGTCTTTTTGGGTCTCTTTATTGGACAAAAATAATCCTGATCTATATTAAGGGTAATACCATTGGGTGTATGCATTTCAGTAGATCCGGGGCTAGCCCTCAAGTTAAGTGCACAAGAAAGAATCTGCAATATCTTCACATGGTTTGCACATTGTTTCCTTTTGGATTTTTTTTGCAGAGCATGGCCTACTTAAAGCCTCTCCCAGCCCTCAGAATAATGTTCAGATTCGGAGCTTATTTGTTTGGTAGGAATTTCGCAGTTATCCTTAATGTTCCTCTGTCTGTCATCAAATGTGTGCAGCAGCTGCAGGCGGATCTGCGCGGAGGAACACGGTGTTCTCTCCGGGTTCTGACGGCGTCTCTGCCCGCTCTCAGCTGGGAGGTTCCCCCCAAGCAGCGGCTCATCATCTCGACCAATAGGAGAGCAGAGAGGGTGCAGCAGCTGTGTGCAGAGCAGTGGATCACTCGCTACAGAATACCGGGACCCAATTTACTCAGAAAGAGAGAGAGAGGGAGAGAGAGATTATATAATCTAAAAATTAAAGTTTTTCATAGGAAATAAAGAAACATACATTTATATAATATCCTATAGTAACGAGGTGGTTACTATTTAAGCAAGATAGTTTTATGAAAACTGAATATTCCACAGTAACATGGTTAGCTGATGAAAAAGATGAGGAATTGATGTTTTTGACAAATTCCCACAAATGAAATCTTAATATTGTACATACATTTCACTTTGAGTAGACTATCTTAATAAAAAACCCAAAATGCAGTAAAAGCAGCACTTACATAAAAGTGAAGTTCTAGTAAAGGGATATTTCAGTGTTTTTCAAGTGAGGCTGAGTTTTATATTACCCGTAAGTAGGGCTGGGCGATAACACGATAATGATATATATTAAAAATTAATTTCCCACGATATCAGTATGAAACATGGTCAATATGCTTTTTGATAGCTGTCATTCTGCCATGTTTTGGTAGACTATACTAACAGCCAATGAAAATTGGGCTGCTCCTGGTCTGCGCTGCGCTGAACTAGGACTGGGCGATTATATGATCATGATAAATTTCAGTTCGATCACGGTGATCAGCTGAGAGCATATTTACTCGATCAAACATGGCGGAAATGTGAGTCACAACAGCCAGTCAGAGTCGGGCTTTTCCTGCTCATTTCTGTAAGTTGCCGTAGATGTAAACAGAATGACCGAACATCGAGCTAAACGCAGAGCTGAGGGCAGCAAGATAGATGTCAGCCATGACTTTGCGTCATTCTTCGAAGATGTTATTGTTGAGAAGTTATTCAAAGTTGGTTGTATGGCAGTGGTTTCGGGTATCTCCATAGTGACGTTGAGTAATTAAGCCAATGTGTTTAAGGTATGTTGGCGGTCGGTGCCCTCAGAAACCGGCAACACAACAAGTTTGTTTAATCATTTGAAGAAGTTCTTCCCGAGTGATTATGCGGAAAGCATGAAAATGCGAGCATGAGAGCGGAGTCTGTACAGCCTGTCACTGCTGCCGGCACAAGTAGCATTAGCAGTTTAGCTGTAACTAGTGGTGCAGCCACCAGACCAAAGCAATCAATCTTATCATCTACATTTACATCATCTAATGTTTAGATTTTAAGGCATCTCATTATCTCTGAGGGGGCGATTTGTATATTTTGGGGCTGTTTTTTATTTTTTTTATTTTCTGAGTGTATCTTATTCTTTGTTATTTTGTATGTTAACAAAATGTTGAACTAATCTCTAGTTTCTTTAGTTTTTAGTACAGATGCCTTAAAAATGGCAGTTAAAAAAAAATCATGATAATAATCGAGATTGGAAGTTACCACAAAATATATTGTGATCATTTTTTTTTTTTGCCAAATCGCCCACGCCTACACTAAACTGACTATTCAGTCTGCTTTCTCTAGCGCAACGCCTTATGACAAAACATCAAAGAGACACAAAGACCTCACAGATGCAGTAGCTTATTGTATTGCAAAAGACATGCTACCAATAAGCACTGTTAAATTTAATCTTTTAAATCGTGATATATATGTTGATATCGACTGATATGAAAAAAAATATATCGTGATAAACCTTTCCCCATATCGCCCAGCCCTACCAGTAAGAGAAACTAGTGCAGAAAGAGAGCGATGTTTGGTGGCAAAGTAAAGAGGTGAAAATCTGTAGGAGAAGTGAACACTTAGTACGTTATAAAAATTAAAAAGTATGTTATACCTAGACAGAGGTTATTTTAAATAAAAAAAAAAACTCCGTCTAGTAATGGGACTCAATGCTACTATGATTGTCTGACAACTGCATATTTTAGATCCCTCTATGCTCTCCTCATTGCAACCAGACGATGGCGCACTCTGACAGCTTCTCACTTCGATTTGTGTTTTGCGAAACCCCTCAGAGTGAGACCTCTGCATTTTCTCAAATCTCCGGTCGTGCCTACACCCGTCCTGGCGTTCCGCGCGAATTTTATCCACGCTACTCCGCCAAATCTACTCATTCTCCACACCTACCTGTCATGCGGTAATTGCGGGAAGAGGCGTTGAAATATCACCATTATCCATCTGAGGATATGCAAGTACTTTTCGTTTTGAATCGAGTGGATTTGGTTCCGGATGAACTTTTTTTTCCTCACGACGCGGGGACAGATACAGACAACAATAGATTATAAAACAGTCTGCTGCAGTTCAGCTGCAAGGTGAAGGAGTGTGTGCGGAGTGGATGTGGGATCTCTGCATGTCCAAATCCTGGTAATGTTTGAAGAGACTGACTCATTTTGGTTTTTGATCATGTACTTCTCATCTTATGTGGTTGATTACACAACCAAAGACTCCAGTAATGCTTGATTTTTTATGAAATATTTTATGATAATTACATTTTGTTGGAAATGTGTAAATATTATAATGTGTTTCGGGGACATTAACCCGCGTAAATCAGTGTAGAGATGTCTGAATATTGACTACTATCCGATTTGATTGCTTTCTTCGTTATTCATTCATGTTATGCAAACTAAATATTAATGTCATTATGTAAAAACAACATTACCCCAAGTTACTCCTCATTGCTTGTTAAGGTGAATGTTGTTTGTGCCACTTGGGAAATCGAGGGAGAGCTTCGCCGTCCTCATCTGCCGTGTGTCATTTACACTAAGGTCATCCGAGGAGAGCAGCGATTGCAGGAAATTTGGGAAAATATACAGGAGGTGTTTTTTCCCCCCCGTTTTCTTGGGTGCAGGGTGGGGTTTTTGTCTCGTATCACTGCGGCCACGTTTTGCGCGCACGCCATTTTTTCCGTGCGCTTTTACGCACAGCGACACGAGACAGTGAGTGGAGTGAAGAGGACAAAAGAAAAGGCGAAGAGCAAACGGAGCCAAGCGCTGGTTGAGGTAGTAGTTTGTGCTGTTGGTCGGGTTGTCATATTACCCCTTGTGGAGATGACTGCGCAATCTACTGCCTTGCTGGCGCTGGTGACTGAACGACGGTGGAACCAACGCGGACCTAAGTGAAGGACGGAGCCCACTGTATTGTTTGTAAACACACTCATGTGAAACTGTTATGCGCAAATGTGAATAGAGAGGGGTGTGCACCAATGAAACACGTGCTGGGCTATGTAGATCTGTTTAGAAATAAAATGTCTTTCATGGTAATCTATCATGTGGATTTGTGTTTCATCTCATTGAATTTAAGTATTGCCTATTTTGAATTTGTTTTCAACCCTCTTTCACTCAAGATATCTTAAAGGTTCGGATGATCTTCCACCAGATCTTTGATGCATGTCCAGAGGTCAAAGCACAAACAATCTGCCTTTACAAATTAATCCTAATTCTGGAATTTAAGAATGATCATCACTGCAATATTTATGTAAACATTAGTATTATTTTACTGAGAGGAGATCCCAGGCCCAGATCACACCAGAAGGATTACATATTCCATCTGTCAAGGGAACACCTCCGAATCCCCAAAAGATGAGCTGAAAAGCGTTACTGAGGAGGGGAATGTTTTGGGCAACCTGCTCAGCCTTTTGCCACCATGATCCCTCTTTAGATAAGAGGATAAACATGGATGGATAATGCGACCCAATTCTCATATGGATCTCTATAACATTAGCAGAATTTAAACAAATTGTAATGTCAGAGTATGATCAAAGGGGGTTGCTCCATGGTTACTTGGGGGATCTATTTATATTTTTAAGAAATACTCCTAGAAATTTCCTTTATGAATATTCAATAACTTCGGTTTTTTACTCTGTCTGGCATTTTAGACAGGCGTCTAGAAACTTAATGTGTGTCCAGTCCTGTGATACCGTCAGCCCTTGTTGTAAAATTAAAGAATAACTACAATATTCCTCTCATTGCTACATGTTATAATAATGGCGATTCCTGATCCACTTTAACACCATATGATCAATGTGTTCAGTTGAAAGTTATAGCTCCACATCTCTATTTCTGTGTGCTCTAAATGAGGAGGCTTCTGTAAGAGAAACAACAAAGTTGCGTCCCTGTTGACCTTGTTCTGTCGGCGTGTCCACAGTCAAGTATGAGACACTCAGTGGGCAAACTGAAGCTCCACTAATGAATCCCTCTGTTCTCAGTCTAACCACTATTTTGGAGGCCAGCTGACCCTGTTTGTCAGTTATGGACTCCCCATGAGGAGAGAAGGGAATAGGAACAGAAAAAAATATCTCTACAAGTCCATGTGTCTTTTATCTTTTTGTCTTGGAAAACAATTTCTGCTTTGATATTAAACCAAAGTGAAAAATAATGATAAACAATGAAATCCCACTCTGCACTTCAATGACACAAACAGCTTTTTACTTTTACATTGACTTGAAACATTTATTTTTCTTATCACTTTTGAAAAAGAAACACTGAAGGTAAACATTATACTTCCTCCCCCAAAGTCAGAGTTGCACAAGGAAACATTAAAAATAATTCTTTTTTGACTTCATAAGTTTTCTTTTTCGTTATACAAAATGTACATTTCACATTCACAAGTGGAGAGGTTGAGGGTAGCACAATGGTCTCTTAAAAAATGGATTCCCACTGAGCTTCAAACTTCCTCTCTGCTACAGAAAAAGACCTTCAAGCTCCCTGCGTTTCCCCACATCAAACCTTTCAGTCTAAGGTAGAAAACTACAGCAGTGACTACTTTCACAAAACAGCATCTTCAGAAAGGTTGGGTCAAAGGGACAAGGTCAACTTCAAAGTCTAGGAGCTTCCCAAACATACCAAACTTCCATCTATTTACACATGTGGTACCTTTTCTCCCTTCTTGAAAAAAGTCAGTCAGTGCAGCTCATCCTCTTCAACTACACATGATAGCTAAACCTGAGTTTATGCGCAGCAGTCTGGTGGCACAGCAGGATGACAAAAATAAATAATGTTCTCGATCTTTGACATTCATCTACGAAGAAAAAGGCTTAATAACAGATATAAGGATGAACATTCAACAAATATGACCCCTTCAGGCATTGTCTTCACATGTACTCAGTTCAAAACATTCACTCTCTCTCTGATAAATGAAGTCTGATAGTAGTCTGATAGCCGCTCTGTGATTCTGAAGCACATGCTACAACAATGTTGAAGAGAGTAAAGAACAGTTTTAGGAAAACAGAAAAAAAGACATTCAATAAATAAAATACACGTGTTCTTGAAAATCTGGTACCTGCCATCTTCTTTGACGGTATACAGATGCACTTAAACAAGTAACACAGATGATAAAATGTGTAACAAAACATATTTGAAATCAAACATGTTCTTAATGGAAAAATGCACCATATGAACTCCAGGCAGCTGTAAATGTAAATGACCGCTGCTTGAAGGAATGTATAAGACTGTCAACTGCAAAAAAGTCCAAGTTATGATAATACATAGTCCATGTGACACATTGGCACATATCCTTCATGTAAAGGAACAGTTCAACATTTTAGGAAATGCACTTATTTGCGTTCCAGCTGTGGGTAAGACGAGCAGATTGATCCCTGTTTGACTGTCTAATATAAAGCTATAGTTAGCTAATGTAGTTAGCTAGTCTTATAGTGATAAAATCCACCTACTAATACCCTTAAACCATGGCTATCAAAATGTATAAAATTCAATTGGCTATTATTCCAGTGTATGTTTCAGCTGTATCCCGCATAAAACAGAGAACTGTCAATTTGAGCTGTAGATAACCATAAAAGAATCTAAAAAAGTATCAAAAGTGTTATATAGCTGGCTCTAACAGTGCTAGCAGGTGGATATTTGTTTCACTATTTTTTAGCTACTTAGCCTCTGAAGCTATTGCTAACTGGCTCCAAGCTGCGAGCTGTACCTTCACGTGTAACTTCAAACTTGCATATCTGCGTCAGAGAGAAAATAAGTGTATGTCCACCTATGCTGTAACCATTCCTTCAACATGGCTTCCTCATCCTAGCACCACATCATCCCATATGGACCTCTTTGGATTCAGTGCATCACTTTTACGCTCTGTGTTATTAAACTGGAAACATGTTCAAACCTTATACTCCAGAGTTAATTTAACAAGACATCCAAACCTCCAGATCCTCGAGCAAGCTTTTAAAAGGTCAAAAAAACTGAAGCTGTTATTGTCAGTCAGGGTCTTAAACATGCAGCTTGTTTTTTAGTTGATGCTTTCCATTGTTCTTTTCTCAGCTAAGTATCCAAATAGTAAAAAATGATGTACTTCTTCATTGATCCTCCTCCCCCAGACTCCCATCTCATGCCTCTTAACCAAATGTATCTGACTGAGGAGGGCAGCCTGGATGAATGCAGAATAATAATGTGGGAGAGGGTGAAAAAAAAAGTACATTTGCGCACCCGTTTCTATGGCTCTAGTGCTTTTTGCACACAACTGAACTCTTCATTGTTGCTCTTCCTTAAAAAAAAAAAAAAACAGGCAGAGAAAAAAAAGAGAAAAAAAAATGCAGCCTGTGAAGATCTGGTCTGCAGTCTTTCTCCATGCATTCAGTGTCAGCTAGTTCCCTTCCTTCACTGTGACTCTACCCTTTGCTCCTATGCTAAATTTCTGGGATGCTATTATTAAAGAAACAAAAAAACAACAAAAACAACCCTTTCTAAAGCCGCGATTGACGTCTGCACATACACCAATAAATACCAGTAGTTGCTAACTTGTTGATTATACGATTACAAATTCAGTCCATAAAAACAAACAGCAGTTATAAACCATTGCACCTATCTTAGATTCCCGGATTCCCACTCATAGCCCACTGTCACTCCCAAACCTCTCCCTCTGAAGATGAGTGTGATCAGGCATCTCAAGCTTATGCAATAAACACATTATGGTTAAAAATAAAAGAGGAGTGAATCCTCTTTTCGTTGTCAAACTTTAGTTCATCCTGGCTTTGATTGTATGTGTTTCATGATTTTTTAAAAGTACTCATATGTCCCTGCTGCAGAAATTGTTTGCCTCTTTGTCTTCTCATATCATGATTCGTTGATTAACGCCGTCTGTCAGCCTAAAGTGTGAGTACGTACTCTGAGGCAAAGGTCACATTAGCTAAGATTTAGTCTCCTGAGTTTCATTTTCGCTGAGAAATGAAGAAAAATGGAGAGATTTCCAAACTTTAGAAGAAACTTTAAGAGAAATTTCAGTCGTCTAAATTTACAACTTCACATGCTTAATGTTCTTTAACATTAACTATTTAATTCAATGTCTTGGCTGGATCTGATTGAGAAGATTCACACTATTATGATGACTGTACAGAGGTAGTAGGCTTTAGCCATGAGACTTTTAGCTTGGCTTAGCCTCAGGGCTGGAAGTAGTAAAAAGAAAAAGGTAGACTTACTCTGTCTACAGCTAGAAAACAATCCCACTGACCAGTGTTCACAAACCTTGCGAGCTAAGATGTAACACTTGTTTTTGTGAGACAACAAAACTCCATAAAAAAAGGTAACCACAGAAACAAAGTGTGAAATCATCAAAAACGCCTGGTTGGGGGTTTTGATTGAGCTCATAAGATCACAAGTCTGAGGTTTCTGCAGACATCTGACAGATTATCTACAACATTAAATCAGAAACTTCAGAAATCCGTCTATCACTTATCACTCTGTCTGCTTCTTTTCTGAGACAGGCTAACAGTCTCAGGACTAAAGCTACTTCAAACACAGATTTGGTTCACACTCAGTAAGAAATCAGTCTGTGATCTAGAAACCTCTGTACTTCTAAAGTTGGATATTTGATTGACCACTGGCAGGAAGCAGTTGTCCTTTTAAGGGACTGAAAATGATAAAATAACACCTTTGTGGCACAAATTAGTGACACAAGCAGGTTCTGAAGTTTTCATTTCACACAACATTTGGACCACCTTGCTACTGTGAGCTCCCGACTCCTTCCTCTCTGTGTCCATCAGCTCTACACTTAGGGGGTAAAATGAAAACTCTGTATAACAGCATAACCTCCCCAAAATTTTGGGGTGATCAGTCATCTCAAATTCTCTTGGCTCTTACTGAAGGAAGCCCCGAAAATGACTACAAGATGCTCAGAATGGGAAATAGAGGTCCAAGCCAAAATCTCATCTTTGTAATCGGTCTGTAGCAGCTCCTTAGAGGGGGAATCCTTCAGAGCCACACTGTGGCAAAAACAGAAAACACAGCTGACTTGTCAGCTCGTTCCATGGTTACGAAACGAAGGAGGTATTTCTTTTTACAAACGAGTCCACTGTACAGTAAAAGAGAAACGAGTATGACCAAAGAGAGGGAAGAGGAGGGTAGAGTTTAGCTCAGCACTGAAAGAGAGGTAAGAAGGACATGAAGAAGTGTTTGCTTCACCTTTAGAAAGTATTCAACTTTCACAGGAGTTCAGGGTCAGGCAGCATCCTGTTTCTGTCAAACTGCCGTCATCAACGTTCAACATTTTGCGTTATCACTTCAGACGGCCAAAACAAGGACTCCTACGCTTCAGAGATACAAAAAGCAGTGCTATCTGTAGTTAGTCCAGTTACCAGACTGACCAGCTGTGAACTTCTATAGAGACATGAAACACCAATGATCCTAAATATCCAAAGTGTAGTGTACTGTTGGTCCAAAGTAGAAAATAAAAATACAAACAGCAGAAAAAAGAAAGGAAGGAGCAGTTCAGGAATCCTGCTCATCAAAGAGTCGACGTGCTCGACAGGTCTGTTAAGAAGGAAGACCCCCTGCTGGGCTCCTCAGGGCTGACGGTTTCCGTACATCAGCGGAATGATGAAGACTGAGATATCATCTCCAGAGCCCAGGCGCTCGTTGGTGATCCTCCAGCCTCTGTCCCTCAGCACACCACGGGCCCGCATCACCAGGTCTTGTGCTGCCATGGTGTACCTGGAAACAGGAGTAAATAATCCAGGCCTTTAACACACAAAATGGAGGGTCAGATATGATAGAAACAGCTGTTCACGCCAAGATGAAGCATCAGACTGTGTGTCCATTTTTTCAATTATGATTCCTTCTCTCTGTATTTTATACTCTATTCTGTTTCAAAATAGTATGAAAATACACTGAACTTCATTTTGTACTTGTGGGAAAACATTAAAAATAAAATAAAATAAGCAAAAAAAAAGCCCAAAACATTAATACTAACAGAAAGACAGCATATCCACCCTTGAGGTGTGGACCAGGAGAAACTGCAGGTAAATTTTAGAAATGTAGAAAGTGGAAGACAAAAAGCAGCAGACCTGTGAAGGTCATCGGGATCGCAGTTGGCTAGAAACGTGGTGACGGCTTCGGCTACTTCCTGGTTCGAGAGGACGTCCCAGAGCCCGTCGGTTCCCATCACCAGAACGTCATCAGCCCCGTGTTCATAGTGCATCAGGTCATAGACCTTAACCTGTGTGTCCAAATACAAAAATGAAGAGTAACAATGACAGCAATTCATGTCCCTTGACCCCTGGTAAAAAGGGGTTTAATAAAATAAATCAAAGCTAAGGTTGTCAGTATTCACACATTCAACAAAATTAGAGGTCAAAATGAATGCTTTCATGATTTTTTGTTTTGAAAACTGAAGCTAAGACACTGCAGCATTTTCGCAACCTCCCAGACAGGTCAGTGGACAGTTCAAAAGTAACACGCAGTTTGTGTCAATTAGAATTTAATTATTTCTTAACTTTTGAGCGAAGCATACATGTGCAGCTGAGAAGAATGATGTCAGAGTAACCACAGTCCCTGACACATCCCTAAAGCAGAGCACCGTAAAGGAACGGGGGACTTACCAAAGAATTAAGTATGAAACTAAATCAAACCAACGAACAGATGTGACGAGTCATGTGCTAACTTTCTCAGGAACAACAGTTTCATGCATACAAGGAAAGAAAAGTATAAGTGCCGTTGTTTTAGCGAGGTATCTTTACACCCTACTGACACTGACTGGACCTGATGAGCATTTTTTAACAGTATTATACACAAAAAAATTAGACTTAACACTGTATTTCACGGAATAAACACTTTGAAGCTTTCCCTGTCTCTAAATCATAGTTTCAGATCACACTGGTGCAACAGAATAATAAATTTGACAGTTAAGATTATAAGTACATTCAGCTGCATTCATCTGACCGCAAAATTAAGATACTGAAGAAATGCTATACATTATTAATACAGACTAAAAACTGCTTTGAAATGCAACCAACCCCCTTTCATATATATTTTAAAGATAGATTTTTATTTATTTATTATTTATTGATTCATGTAGATTCATTGATGCTTGCACCTGATACGATCGCATCCATTTTTGTTGTACACATATTTTTGTTGTATGTCATTAACACTGGCACTTGCACAGCTGTGTCATCAGCCAACCAGGAACAAAAACCACTGCAGCTAAATATCACAGCGATAGATCTCTTAAAGTAAAGTGCAGGGTCAGTAACACCGACTTAAAGCAGCTGTAGTTATTTTGCCTGATTGAAAAGTTCTGACCAAACCCGAGTTGCACAACATTTCTGCAGCTCGTTGAGTGCAGCAGCTGTCATTCACTGAGGGCATCTCAGGATTTCTCAGTGACTTTGAAGAGAGGTGGGAGCAGTGTTTGTATCGGTGTCTTTCTCTCACAGAGTACTGAGAGGGGTTCTGTCTTCAGCGCAAACCTGGTATGAACCCTTGTGTTAATGAATAAAAGATCAAGCAGAGAGTCGTGGGAGGAAAAAAATGCAAAATTCCATAAGACAAACTACATCAAGAGATGAAAGCACTTTGAAACCAGAGCCAGACAGTTGTATAGGTGAGTTTAAGTTCTCCCACAGCAAGGGACCTTTTTCTGACAGAAGTACTGTAAAGGACTAAGTCTGGTTATTTCAGAGCAGATTTGACTCAAGAAAAAATTGTGAAAGTCATATGACAGACTTCTCCTTTAGTATCCAGCAAAACAAAAGAAAGTGGGGGATGTGGGCATCCTGTTTTAAATAACGTGATACTCCAGTATCCAGTAAGGCAAGGCCAGATCTTTACTGAGTGTAATTGTTACATAAACTAGCTAGAAAACTCACGACTCCTTAAAAAGCTCTAATTGAAGCTAACAGAATGTCCTGAAAACAAACCAAAGTCAGGTTTACTTTCAGTGTTGCTGACCAAAACTTTCCACATAAGACTTCTGAAAATCCAAATCTGTCTGCATCTTCCTCTATCAGTCTCTCCTCTGTCCATCTCTCTCTGTCTACTTCTCCTTCTCTCCCTTCTCTAAACCCAGCTCAGTCTCAGCAGATGACTGTCTAACATGAGTCTGGTTCTGCTCCAGGTTTCTGCCTGTTAAAGGAAGTTCTTCCTCTCCACTGTAACTTGATAAATGCAGCCAAGTGTTTCACTCATGTAGTTGAAGATAAGATGGGAGAGGGTCTGATCTTACCAGATGGGACTCAATCTGAACCCATCTTTACATCGAGTCTTGTAAATACAGTATAGCTTAGACTGGACCATAACATTCCTGTTACTGGTGAAACAAATAACACATGACAGGACTACAGTATGTGATGACACCATCTTGCAAAAGAAATATATAGTATCAAATCACTACTAAACAACAGCCCACATCACATTTATCCATCTTCTGTCAAATATTTTCCTCTTTCATATTTAGTGGTTGTCGATGATAAAGAGTAAAAAAGTCTCTCAGCAGTTCTTCTTGTCTCGTCAGCCATCTTGAGAGGTGTGTTGTTGTTGTTTGTGTTTGGCTGCTCATGTTAAAACTGTAGGGAGGATGAGATAAAGTCGACTTGACTTTGCTGTCAAAATGTGAAGTGCAGACAGTCTGTTGTTAGTTGTATTAAGAAGTGAGGACTGTAGCCACACATAACCAGCCCAAAGTGACACCTTCTATCTTTACCTGCTGGGGCTGAGCAGCTGATAAGCTTTCCAGCCTGATAACTGAACTGGCAGTGTACTTCCACTTGGCAGGGATCATTTTCATCGCACATTGAAGGATACTGAGGTATAAAATAAAACACGTGTCTGTTTGTTTGATAGAAGCGGAGCTCATGTCCTCACTGGACACCTAGGGTTCTGCAGGACAGGCCATATCATGGAGGCTCTTATCTACACAGCATGTTTTCAGATAAACACAAAAGAAAAATCAGCTGCTTTTCTTTAGTTGTTCCTAAGTCGGACTGGGGCTCATACCTCAGGACAACAGGACAGGAACGGTTTGATGTAGATGTTGGAGTCATGAACTTTGAGGTCATGGTCACCGAGCCCGCGGGTCACACCGATGGTGGCCAGCACACGTGCCTGTAAAACAAGGTTAAGGTTAGATTTCCTCGATATTTTGATATAACATAGCATAATTATTGACTGTAATTTTTGAGAAAGTTCAGGTACACATGTTTGTATGTAACGCTGCGTTTGAGTAACCCGTGCTTGGAATGACGTCACACCCAAGTTACCAGCGTTTCAGTTACCATGTCGGAAAAAAGCCAAATCGGAGGTGGAAACAAGATGGCTACATCTCAAAGTTATTTTAGCGCTTGACTTGTCAGAATATAAGCAACTTCTGGACAAATATGCGGTCCTTCTGCAACATTTTGTTTCCGCCTCCAATTTTGCTTTTTTCTGACTTGGTAACTGAAACGCTTGTAACTCGGGTGTGATGTCATTCCCAGCTCGGACATCTGACTTCTGAGGTAACTCAAACGCAGCATAACTACAGCTGCAGAGGATGACCCTGTTACTTTACTGTTAGAAGTTAAAACACAAGAAGAACATGGAGCCAGTTATTGCTGAATGTTGAATAAATATCAAATACTGACACTTTTTTGACATTTCTTCCTTGTTGGCGCCCTGACATGCTACTCTGAGATTCCTCCTCAGTGTTCTTCCTCTTCTTACACTTTTTTTTCCATCTCTGTGCCTCATTTTCATTTGGTCTCCCTTAAATTCGGCAGCTATCTATCACACCACCATTACACCGTGTGGTTGTCAGCTGCCATCTTCCCCTCTGCTGGACACTTTCTTTCTCCTCTCAGACTGAACTGATTGAAACTATGAAACAAACTGTCACAACTGAGAATTTAAAGGCTTTTGTGCAATTTATTTGGTGGATTGTTTTTCGGTTTCTGTCTCGCTGTCTCATCTCTCCTCTGCTGTCCCTGTGGGGATTAACTCCACTTCTCAGAGAGACGACTGTCATCTCCCGAGTGGTGTGTGTCTGTCTGAATGTCCATGTGTGTGTAAGATGTAGCTACTGGAGTGAAACAGATGGACCGTCTTCTTTCTTTTCTAGCTAGGGTGTATGAGCACACACACACACACACACACACACACACACACACACACACACACACACACACACACACACACACACACACACACACACACACACACTCACACACACTCACACACACACACACACACACACACACACTTTCTTGCACATCAGAGACCAAGTATTCGCCCACTCTCTGGTTGGTTGGCAGGCATGTAGCGTGTGTGAGTGTGTGTGTGTGTGTGTGTGTCAGACTGACAATGTGAGAGCGAGTCATTTCCCCCTCAGCTCTGAGGTTTGGAGTTGACACTTCCGTACCTTTTTCCCTTCTCCGTATATTAATGGAAACTTGAGATCCTCATCCTCGATGGTCTTATAGGCCCTGTGCGTGAGAGAAGTGGAGAACAGGAGATCAAAAAATGAAATATTTTATTCCATTAGCTCGTCTGACGCACACATTTACATTTCTAGAAGATATACAAGCACTTAAAGAGGTAATAAAGGAGTTCAGTGAGAGGTGCAAAAGTAGATTTTGAGTCTCTCTTAGACAGTTTTCTCTATGTTATAGTTTTGCTTTACAAATAATCCACAGTCTGCAGCTTCTGTAGTCTGTTTTGGCAAACATTTATAGGAGGGTGCATCAGGGTCAAACTAAAGGTACAGGGCTCAAAACTAACTTTTTGAATTGAATGAATCAGTATCTAGTCTCGCTAGAAGTGCAACAGAGAAAAGGATGTGCCCAAATCAAAAATGTTTAAAATGGATCTTAGTGGTCTGACAGAACCGGCTCCATAGCTAACACTACTGCACTTGAAAAAGCTGAAGTGAACTTAGCATAACCAGTCAGAGGGAGATCATCATTTCTGACCTCTCCTGCCTGTTTGTCTCTCTGAAACTCTAAATACTTTTCCTCCTCCATCTTCATTTTCCCTCTGAGCAGAGAGGTAGAAACACAACTTCTTCATCATGATATCAAATTGAACACTTGGAAAAGTGAGAGACAACACACTCCACTGATTCATCTTATTTTAAACATGAAGGGTTGCATCATGAGCTCATTTCGCTCATTTCTTACTGTCGACAATTCCAAATTAATGTCTAAATGTAACATATAAGATGCATCTGTACAAACAAAACTGCTGCTTTTATATTCCTGATTTGGCAAAATTACATCATAATAGTCCCTGTATCGTGATACAGCATAGCACTGTGATATTTTGTCTGGTGATATATCGTATCGTCTCATTTACCAAGTATCGATTTTTCAAATGAATTGCTAATATGAAGTCAAATCTATGATAATGGAAAAATAACATTAGCTGTTTGTCCAGTGAGGTTGGCAGAGGTGACATCATAGAGCAGGAGAAAGTTAGTACAACAAATATATATATATATATATATATATATATATATATATATATATATATACTGTATATATATGGTTTGCAAGATGTGCTACATGAAAATAAAATGCAGCGTAAATAAGACAAACATAAAGGAAAGACAAATGCTCAATTGGCTGAACAGTTGAAAACATTATATAAATTGTATCACAATACTCACTGTATCGCAAAATGTCAAAAATCACAATAATATCATATCATGGCCCAAGTATCATGATAATATCGTATCGTGGGGCCACTAGTGATTCCCACCTCTAATGGTCCCCTCTTTGCTGGACACATAAGGAGCTAAAATATGAATAAATACTGAGTTTATAAAATGTTAGGATTAAAAAAAGGCAAGAAAATTAAGTTTTCATACCTTGCGAGCATTTACACAACAGTTCAACATTTTGATCAGCCTGTCCCTCGGCTATTTTTACCACAGAATGACACTAAACAAACACACTTAACATGAAGCAGCAGTCAGACAAAATAAGTGGGCAGCTGCTAACACAGAGATGACTGGAATTAGCTGTAAACAAACTCCAAATGGTATTCTGTTGGCAGTGTGTCTGCTGCATGTGTAACTCAGCGATAGCAGCCAAGTTTGTCAGCTTAAAACACTATTTTTAGCTAGTTTGTGCAACACAAACATAACAAATGAATCTTTCGCTTGTAAAATAGAAGTTTAAAAAGTTTTTCTGAAGAGTCTACTAAAGCTTAGGTTTATATGTGCTGGTTCTGGTCATTCAGATAACTCTGAAGCACTTCCTGCCTTGAATGTAAAGGGACACACAACGTTAACCTCTGTGGAGAAACATCCGGACTTGCTCCTCTGCTCCTGAGGGGCAATCTTATAGTGAAATATACATCACCTATCCTAATGCACACAGTTCGTACAATATGTACCTCTGTGTGCCAGTGAGTGAGGATGTCTCATTACTGGCTCCCACTGCAGCCTCAGACAGACAGCATGGTGCGCAGCGAACAACCATAGCACCTCAAATACAGTACCATCCCAGCTGTATCATTATAAGGTATAGGTTAGACTGTTCCCTCATTAGCTCCCTGCTGGTCCTCTCAGCTGTCACTGTTCAAAAAAGAGTAAGCTGCTGCAGCAGAGGAGAGGGAAAAAGTCTACAGCAGTGATCAGTCTTTGACACACATCAGAAGGATGCAGGGGTCTTAGTCTGCACATGAAACGTTGTATGTGACAGAAAACTTACCATCCTTTCATAGTGAAGTCTCTGTAGAGCATTCTCTTGCCCACCTCCTTCCTCTGAACTCTCCGGGGAAATTCCAGGTGAGTGAACTCATTTCCTAACAGGTGAGGCTGCATGAAGCCCTGGAGGACACAAAATGATGGTCTTCAAGTCAGTCAGGCAGATAAATATGCGGTGGATTTGCAGATCAAATTAAAGTCAGCTGTCATTATTTTTATTCTCCCCAGAAGTCCCCTCACTCCTGAGCATGAGTTGGATTTAGAAGCTGATAACGTCATAATATAGGGTTAAGGAATCATATACTGACAGCTAGCTATATATTCTATCTTCCAGTCATTTCCCATTATTACACCGGTCAACACTGCTGTGATCTGCAGCTACAAGTGTGGTGTAATTAAAGATAAGTTAACGCACCAACACACACACTCCCACATTCAGTAAGCCCCTCTCCTTCTTTATTCCAGATGACATACTGTAGGTCAGACTACAATATTCATTCATTCATTCATTTATATCCATCCATCCGTTCTAATTCTTATGTTGGATCGGGTTAAGGGTCAGGGGCAGTCTTTGACCCTACTCTCCCTCTCCCCAGCAACAGTTTCCAGCTCCTCCTCTGGGATCTTAAGACATTCCCGAGCCAGGAGGGATACTTAATCCCTCCAGAGAGCTCTGAGCCCGGGGAGGTGTCCAATGCCAACCACCACAGCCGGCAAGGCAGCAGCTCTACTCCGAGCCTCCTCTGGGCGTCAGAGCTTCTAACCCTTTCTCCGAGGTTGAGTCCAGACATCCTTTGGAGGAAACTTATTTTGGCTGCTTGTATCTGCAATCTCATTCTGTCAGTCATCACCCAGAGCTCACGACCATAGAAGAGGGTCTGGACATAGATTGACTGGATTTGTAGCTGAAAAGCTCTCAATATTTCCACGATTTTTTTCCATTTCCTGAAATCAACATTGCACATTAGTGTTGTGCGCACTCACACTGACCAGTAGCATTGCACGCATTTGGCAGGAGAGTCGCTGTGATGATGCTCGGCTCAAACAGCGGGTGAGCTACGCTATCTTCGTACGCCCATAGGCTGTATCAAGTGTCAATCATAGAAAACATGAACCCCCTAATAACTTTTAAAAATGGAGCTGGACAGAAAAAAGAGGACTTGAGCACAAACCAGCTTCCCTGCTCCAACACACCTGATTCAAATGATCAGCTCGTTATCAAGCTAAAGATAACGAGCTGATCATTTGAATCAGGTGTGTTGGAGCAGGGAAACATCCAAAACATGCAGGACAGTGGGCCTCGAGGATTAGACTTGAGAACCACTGTATATGGTATTTGTTACAATGGTAGGAGATGGAGACATGGCATACACATTAATGATTAAGACAGAAAGTCATCAGTCAATGCAGAGATCTCTAAGTTTGTTTATGAAACCAAAAAGAGTCACAGAGTCTCTACATAGTGCCCCTAACTTTTTCAAGCACAGTCATCACCAGCTATTTTCAGCTGACAGGCCTGTTGAGCTGTTCCTCAGCTCTATAGGAAATAGATGGACTTTAAACAACCTGCTGACTGTGTTGCTTTTTGTGTGAACACACAGTGAGAAACCACAAAAAAAGCAATTTCTGAGGCCAACAAAAAAAAGTTCAAGTACTGAGTGTTTCCACCTGCTCCGTGGTGTTCAGATGGTGTGAGCTCAAAGTACAATAACATGGCTTTGTGTGACTAACTCTTCTACACAATTATCCAAATTCATATCTCGAAGGACTGAGGAAAGATAAGTAAAAAAGTTTTGATGCTAAAATCGATTGTACAATTATCTCACCAGGAACTGGAGTCGCTGTCGTTCTGATTCTGGTGTGAATTCTGTCGACATCAGGATGATCTCATTGTTTCTAATGATGATGGCCCTGTAGGAAAAGTGAGGTAAAGTTTGACAAGTTTCGCACAGGAAACTCAAAAACTCAGCTCAACTGTCTCAATCAATGCCACAGTTTATGTGTAGGGAAGGAAAGACAGTTTATTTGGATGGACAGGGGCTTGACATACACACCTGCTGTCACCTGCATTCCCAACATACAGTCTTCCCAGCAGGTAAACCACAGTGAGAGCCGTGCATCCTCCTGTTATGTTGTAGACTTGCTTCTCTTTCTCAATCTGTGCATCCTGAGAAAGCAACAGACAGGATTGTCAATCTGGAATGAAAAACGACTTAGAAAGACAACAGAAAAAAAAAAAAAACAGTAAAAAAAGCCCACATCCTCCCACATGTGACACGAAAATTAAGAAATGTCAGTAAAGTTAACATCCAGACTGCATGCAGCCCACACAGGCAGGAATAATCAAACACAGAGCACGAACAAGAGTCAAGACTATGAAACTCTGATCAACTTTTTTTAAAAGCCAGACAATGTGTGGGCAGCGCTGCAGACGGTTAACAAATTGATCTGTTTAACCTGGACCTCCTGTTGACCGCATGTCAGTAAACAAAAACCTCCTCCAGCATGAATAATTTAGAGGCTGATACGTGAGAAGGTTTGTATCTTGGCATTACATGTAAAAATCAAGACCCTTTAAATACTGATCACTCATAACGATAATTAACAGAACAAAATCCTACATATTTAACAAATGATGATTGTGTAACTTCCCGACTGCCCTTTAGTAGTAGATTTTTACCAAGTTTTTAACAACAGAGTTAGAGAAACACAAAGTACACTGTAAGCCAGTCTCACAGAAATCTTCCAATCAATGCAATCTATAGAGGAGTGTGAACTCCTTTTATGGCAGATGCTGTTTTCATTTATAAAGAGAAATATCCTTCAAATAACAGCCAATAAAGTGTTAATAATGCTTTTGTTTCCCTCTTTGGACATTTTGGCGAAGGCTGATCTAGGAGGTGCTTTAGTGACCCTTTTACTCTGGGTATCACAAGGTCTAACGTAGACTGTTCTCCGTTGCCATCTAGTGGTATCTCTGGAAAGACTTTGGCTTTTGAAGGTTTATAAAGCAATTTCACACATACTAAAACACAAATTTTTCTGTTATGGATACAGGAAATTAAGCAAAGTTCGATAAACACACAGTCTTATGTTAACATCATTCTGCATACATTTTATCAGATGATCCATCTGACAGGATAGTGTTTGAAATTCACAGTCTAATCTGCACAGCTGAGTGACATTTGGCCAGGAGGCGATATTTCACAAGCCAAAGGGTCTGAATAAACTGTAGATATCAGCATAAAGGTTGAGGACTAAATATAGCTTTTGTGTGCATCTCTGCAAAGTGTGTGCCTTTTTGTCCTACGGTCAGAATATCAGTGTAGAAACACAAAGGCTTCTCTTTGTGAATCAGTGTACATTAATAACATAGGTTTTTATCACTCATAAGTATTTCTGATGGAAATTAAACTCTTAGTAATACCCTTAAAAATCAGCATTGATAATCGTCTCTCAGTGGATTATTGATTATCAGAAAGTAGGGCAGCCGATGGCCAATATAAAAATGCAGACATCTTGTTTTTTTTTGTATTTTTTTTCTTTCATTTGACAAAATGAAAAAATAAAAATAAAATAAAAGCTGCTGAACCAGAGTGAATATTTACTCAAAAATAGATGTAGATGATAAAAATCTGGCTCAGTGAAACATTTTAAAAAAGGGCTTTTTGATTTCTGTCAGGCAAAATAATATGAGTTAACAATTGGGGTTAAAATGTATAAAAGGGAGAGTCATATACAAACTGTTTATTCTACATAAAAATCTAATATACATGGTTCTCTTAGCTTCTTACTTATTTTAGGAGTTTTTTAATAAATCAGCAGACAGACACTGATATAATGCTATTATTGTTAATATAAAACAATATCTTTACACTGGTTGCTGACTGTGTTGGATTTGGTTTGCTGTTAATAGGTGATGGGAAAGATGTGTGATCATTACTAATATGATACTGATTATAACAAAATGATGCCAATAATTGGGCTGATTTATCAGTTTATCCTGAATAAATAAACCTAAACCTGATAGAATTTGCCATGATGTATCTCAGCTGGTAAACACATTAGTGCCTCTTATTATTAGAACCTTTATTTAACTAAATTAGTCCCACTGAGATCCAAGATCTCCAGAGAGAGCATGTATCCCATCACTTTACTGTCTGCAATCTCTTTCTGGAGTAAATTTAAAGGCTAACTTTAAACTTCTTTCTGAATAATACGTTTTTTATGCTCTTCATCTTTTTACCAAACTTTTCAGTCATTCATGTCAAGTCAAGATTAATGTGCTCACGGCTACACCTACAGTCATATTTCTACACTGTGACGTTATTCTTGATAAAACTATTACTACTTTGGTCTGAAAAATGTCTGAAAGTTTCCTCTCAAGTCCAAGGTAACAAATGCTTGTTAAATTCAGATACAACCAGAGCCCAGGGAAAAATCTAATATAGAAAATAATAGCATGTAAATAAGTCTATTATCTGTATAGCTGATAAGTTGACTTTGTAAAAGCACCAAAGTCTTTATACATCTGATATGGTCCTGCTGCACTGGCTATCCATTTATATTTGCAGACAGTGAAACTAACGGGGAGCTTGATGCAGTGATTTCAACACATTTATCCTTACTCGTTCTTTACACCTGTGCTTTTCCCTACTGTTATATCATTCTACAAAACTCAAGGTGGATACATTGAATGTAAGAAAGTTGGAATGGAGGAGATGAGGAGCTGGAGATATTAATAATGGGGTGATGACAGGGTCAGACGGCTGATAGCAGACAGAACAGGTGGACAGAAAAAGGATAAGCTCACTGTAGTTTCGTCTATTTGACGAATTCATTTAGTACATTTGAAAGCTTTCATCATGTCCTTGAACCGTCTCTCACCATCTCTTTGAAGGCGTTCTCTATGGCTCCTATCACCAGGCTCTCATGCTGAATTTTCTTCTCTGTAAAGAATCGGGGAGGAGGTGGGGTGCTGCAGGGGGGACCAGGTGGACCTGTTGCCCCGCGCAGTGAAGCGGCACGAGTCAGGCCTCGGTGAGGACCTGGGGTGTTTCCCTGGAGGTAGGGGTTGTTGTCAGGCTCCTCGCCCAGAACAGTTGGTGGCAGGGAGGCGAGGTTTCGCAGGATCTCGATGACAGCCTGCAGCTGGCAGGCGATGTGGTGCTGAAGTAGACGTGAGGCGACGACTGCTGCACCTGAACCAGCGTGGCCATCAAACAAGGCCCAGTAGTGGAAAACGAGCCCTTCACTGTCCTGCAGATGGCATAACATTTCAAAAGATGTTAGCTAGTTTTATTTAGAAACTGAGCTCTACAATAAAACCACAAGTCAAAAGCCAAAAATGAACATTTTCTTGCTATCAGTATTCCCCCTTGATGTCTGAAACAGGTCACAGTCTTTCAACAGTGTTATACATCGTAAGGTCTTCACACCTGAGTGCAAAAAGGACAAAGGTAAGAGGAGGTGTTGGGAGGATCAGAGACTCTCTCTGGCTCACAGCTTGAGCTGCATGTGGCGAGGAGGGGTTTGTTTATTTTCATCATAATTGTCTTTTTCTCCTCAGGCAGGTTTTTTTCCCAACATGATTGGGATTTTGGAAGTTTTCTTTAGTCTGGGCTGAGACTGCTGGTAGTTTAATTATTGGTCTTTTATATTACCTATTCTTTGTCTGCTATATAAATCAAGGTGGGTTACTGGTGGTGAAGGTTCATTGTATGGCTGGACCAGCCTATACAGAAATGTAGTAAATGACATACATGTCCATACATAAGGTGTGATACTTACATATATACCATCCCAAGATCCATTTTAACAAACCAAGGTTTCTCTCTGTTACAGGCAGTTTTCCCTCTCCTCTGTAACTTTAAGTGTTTCACTCACATGGTTGAAGATGTGATGGAAGAGGGTCTGATGTGACAAGAAGGGCCTCTCCTATCCTATCTTCACATTGGGTCTTTGAGAATAGAGTCTGGTTTAGACCAGCTTTTTTGTAAAGCATATACTGTATATCTAGATATAACTTTTAAAATGGTGCTATATAAAAAATGAAAAGATGAATTGACTGATCCGTGAAGGTGTACATTTTGAACATTTATATCAAATACCTATTTTATGAAACCAAAATATATATTTGTATGGCAATGAAATAGACTGACATATATTACATTTCAGAATGATATTTGGTCTGGGTCTCCATTTCCTTTGTTTTTATTGTTTTGTTTTCCTATTACTGAAGAATTTGGTCCTCTCAGTTCTGTTTTGGGTCATTTTTGCAATTTTTCAACAGGGATGACAGCAAAGCAAAGGATCATAGGTCAAGTGTGCACTTTTTCTTCAAGGCCCACCGGCACCTCAGGGGCGTTTATTTGAACATCTTGTGGGACTCACCCCTTCCATATATTTTGTCCTTTACTTTGAGCCATCGTGATTTATAATAGAGCTAATTCTACTGGTCGGGATTTAGTAAGACACTGGCCTTTACATCTGCATGACTTTATGAAATCTGCAGAATGCCTCTGAAACCATTTAACCCAACACTTCCTTATACACACAAACACAAGCGCAGATTTTTCGAAATACTTTTCTCAACTTTAGATACAACATTTTGATCTGAAACATCAATTCTTATTTGAGCTGACAACTGTTGAGTCAATGACTGCTGTGTTCCTGAAGGCCTTGAACAGTTTTTTGGGACCCATTTTCAGTGTCATCTGAAGGTGAGGAGGAGTCAGCGTGAATCAACCCTGTTAATCATCCTGACCGACCTTAGCTGTAATATTTCAGTAAAAGCAGGGTGTGGACAGAAAACACTCCTCTGATGGTCTCTTTCTTCGACCAGCCAGTTCTTAATCAATCACCCTGTGTCTTCACTTCAATGACTCATAAATGAAAAAATATTAAAACATCTAAAACAACTGCTGAAACAGTTGTGTTATGTGTGAATCATCTCTGGGTGGATCGAGGGGAAAGTATCCCTGACTCATCCCTTTAATGCCGTGTGGGGGTCAAACCTTCTTTCTACCTCTGACAGGTTTCGTCCACAACACACGATACTCTGCTGGCTACTCCTTTTATGGGTGTAAAATTATTTGAGGTGGTGTTAGGTTTTATATTTGGCTTGTGTTGTACTCACGGCCAATTCAAAATTTAGCCAAGACTACAACAATTCAAAAATAAGTTATACTCCCACAGCACTGAGATGTGGTTTGTTATTCAGAGGGTGTAACCCTGGAAACTAAGACTTTCAGAAACAAACTTTTGGGAGGTTTGAATAACCTCCCAAGTTACATGACAGGGTTTGATTCACTTACAATCTGACCCTCCTGTTTCCTCAAAGAGATCACTTCTCACAGTTTTGTTGCTGACAGCCAATTTGCTCCAGTGTGGCTGAATGGAGATCAACATTAGTGATGAGAATTACTGCCTGTTGTATGCCTCCTCCAACAAGTCTGTGGTTGAACTGGTTACTAAATATGTTTTTTTTGTGTTCTGACACTGTTTTATTCATTTCCACATAAACAAATAAAGTCCTCTGGAAACAGTCAATGTTAGAGACATACAGCACAGCAAGGGGAGATGGCACCTCATTACAATTTTTTAGTTAATTAAAATAAATAATAAATGGAGCCAGGTAGAACCAATTCTGGTGTTGTTAAGATATCATGTCACTTGGAGTGGGGTAGTTACTGTGACATTTACCTTTGACCGCAAATTGGTTTCTTTAGTTATGGCTGGTTACGTTTCTTAAAAGACCACAGAGACCTTTACTTGAACCTCAGACCATTAAAATCTCAGCTGTCCAACTTTGAGTCCAAGTCGCCTCAAATTGGTGCCAAATTCACATCTTTTCCCACCAGATGTTCCCGAGATGCTCGAACAAGACTGGGACAGATGGTGAGTTTGATATGCTAACAAAAATTCCCAAATACTCGGGGCAAGAATGTCGTGGTTTGAATGCACAAACATTTATGGATTAAACCTAAATGGCACTAAGAAAATCAGATTATTTCTAATAGTTGAGTAATCAATCAGTAAATTAACTTGTACTTTTTTGACAACAAATCAACAGTTCAAATATTGGAGGTGAGACAAAACACTAGATAAGCAAAAAAGCAATATATCAAACAGTTACTGAGATATCAAGCGACATGTCAAATGTCTTTCCTCGAGTGATAAAATAAGTTGTATTGAATCTAACTCTTATATTGATTAAATGTGGCTCTCTGAATTGATTTGCTACCTCACTGTTTTATGACTCCCCACAGCAGCAGCAGCCCTAATAACGTGAATGAGGGGAACATGAACAGGTTCACTGACTGAATAAAAGGTTGACAGTGGCACCATACCTGAAGAACACAGAGTGATAAGGTGAATAAAGGGTGGAGGATGCACTCACTCAACTCTGAATATAAAACTTGTGCATAAACAGCTCACAGGCTGTTTTTTTTTAAAATTTTATTTAAGCACTTAAATATATATTTTCTAAACTAGTTGCAGCAGTTCTTCAGTTCTGTAAAATTTCATTCAAGGACTAAAAACATGACTATTGTTTCATTGTTTTATCTCTGGGTAAGAAGAGTGCACTAAAAAAACATGAATCTGCACTTTGTCTTTTCAGGAGCATTTAATAATCTTGTATACTGTACTAGTGTGGTACTGTGATGTAATGTATACAAATGTCTTATATTGATGTTTGCAGTATTGTTGTGTGGTGTGGTGTTTTGTATCCAATCAACAGTTCCCACATCTAGTAAATACAATAGTTCCAGCTTGTTATTTTTAAGATGTTCCCCTTTTATTTTTATTTTTTAAAACTATTTTCCCTTTATTTCACCACCTAGACCACAGCTCCACTGAGACTAAAAAACTCTTTAAAAGGAGAAACTTGCTCAGGTAAGTAGCTGTAAAAAAAAAAAAAGGAAGGTTGTGACCTTTTGAAAAAAAAAAGATGTTTAAAGCTCCTGTCAGGAACTTTTGGTTTGGGTTAAATTTGGCATCCCCACAGCACAAAGCAGTCTCTTCTTATCTTGTCTTCTACAAGCTCATATAGTGACCTCTGACAAAAAATCTCCTTCTGCTGACTTTTGAGAGCCATATGTATTATTGATTGTCAATATTTAATCAGGAAACAGTAAAAACAGGGCTGTGTCTTGAACTGCTCAGCTGACACATAACCCCTTGCATTGCTTCAGGCATTAAAAACTGCAGTGTTAAAATGGTCTGTCTTGTTGTCAATGGTCTACTTTGCTTTTGTATATCATAAGAAGTCTTTAATATGAATTTCAGTTAATGTCATGAACACCAAAAAACTCCTCACAGGAGCTTTAAGTGGTGTGATTGAATAATGAATATCATAGGTTTGTGCAGTGTTGTTCCGATGGAGAGAGCGGATTCATTTTAACACAAATTTCTCTCTTTTAGTCTTATATATATTTCTTGATGAGAAATTAAAATCTTTTTATTTACAGGCTTCCTATAAAAACGCAGAATCTGTTAGGAAGTCTGAATTTTGGTGTAGGAAACGATGCGCCTTCCGTTTGTAGTTGGCTACGTTTGTAGTCTGAGTAGTGCTGTAGCACATCAAGGCTCCCATTGCTGGTTTTCTGAGGACGACTCATTTATCTCTATAAATAGAGATCTGCATGCAACCATGCGCTCTTAATCAAACATTTTAAGCTGAGTGACAAATCTGCACAGCACAAGCCAGCCAGTGTTAGAGATTTACTGATTTCTTGGAATGCATCAGAAATGATCTATCCAAGCTTCATTTAAAGTAAAACTAACCTCCTCCCATCCTTAATGGACATGAAAAAGCTTGTAGTTTTACTCATTACAAATCTGCAACATGATGTTGTGATTTCAGCAAACGATAGAGCAGTTATTTCAAGTGACTCACTAAAACATTAGTTTCTTTCACACAGATACAGCGAGCCAGAGTGTGACTTCATCTCAGCCGTGAAAATATGACTCACCACAATCAGATGGATGAGTGCTACTCTGGGGATACAACGAACTAAAACATGATGACGTTTTTTCCACAGACAGATCTGGAGGACAGAGTTCACTTCAGTTCCAGTGGGCTGGTACGACAGAAAAGTTGGTCGTAATGCCTTAAAGTATTATGTACCTGCCTGTAACCATACGCATATGCCTTTGGGAAAACTGTTAATCCATCATGTACACTGTACATACTCATATCGTCACCCTATTAGAATAATGGCCTAAGTCTTCTTTTGACGAAAATGAGTTTTTGGCATAAATCATCTCTTGATAATGCTGCCCATCTCCGGTAAAATCACCTAAATACTTAGTTGAAAGGATCATGCCATGAGATGATTTAGGCCAAAAAATCATTTTAGTCAGGATCACTTTAGTCAAAATTAATCATTATTACAAGCAAACAGACACAACATAAACAGGAGGAGTTGGGGTGGAGGTGGGTTGCAGAGTGGTTGCAGAGGGCAGAGTAGGCCAGAGAAGCCGTTTAAATAGGCCGCCATTTTGACATTAGCCAATAGGATGTGAAGAGGGTGAGGGTCACCTGAGCTGTCAGCTGACTGAGGGCTGGCTTAAGATCAGCTGACTGTAGCCTTTAGCTTGATCGTCAAAAAATGACATAGGCCATTATTTTAAAAGGCTGACGATATGTTAAGCTTCTGTAACAGATAGAAATAATCATTCGTGTCTCTTCATGACCTTTTCATGAGATTCTGAGATGTGCTGATTTAACATTTCCAGGAAAAATTCAGCTGAAACTAATTCATCCACAGGGTGCGCTGAATCATCACAAACAGAAAACTCCTCATAGGTGCTTTAATATGTAAGGTGTATTTTTTCTGATTGCGTGTTTTATTACCTCTCCCAGCATGCCATGCTCCATACGCAGCCCAAGGCCTTCTCCATTGGGCAGGGAGTTCCGCCTCTTGGCTGTGGGGGTCTTGCTTGGCGTTGAGGGGGGGCAGTAGCTCATAGGTCTCCTTCTTGCTACAACCACCTCGCAGCAGGCCTGGTCCTCATTCAGTGCGCTCTTCCCAGCATTAATTACCCTAAAACAAACACACATCAAACAAACACTGACTCATGATCTAATCTTTATATGCAGCACTTCAGTTGTCCTAGAAACTAAATCATGTTTGGCAAAGACAGACCTGGAATTGACTTTTATAGTAAAAATAAATGCTGGATGCATGACTTGCTATGACTTCACTGTCTGACAGCTGTGGTCTGGAACAGGCGGTTGGAAAAAAGACAAAAAAATATATATATAATAACATCAGATGCTTTTTTTTGGACCAAACTGCACTGCAGTCTTTCATAGTTATTATGGCTCACTGCAGGATCACGAAAAAAAAGTGCGAGCCGCAGCCTGAGGTTTGTATCTGAACGCGGAGCTGGCTTTGTATGTAGTTTGTGTTCCTAATGAAGATCAAACAGGAGAGCGTGTGTGTGGTCCTGCTCTGGTGATGCAACAGAGCAGCAGCTTCTGGGTGAATAAAAACCATTTGTTGGTGTGCGACTGTTTATGCATAATCAGAGCACTGTCTGTGTGTGTGTGTGTGTGTGCTTGTGTGTGTTTGTATATGTGTCCATTACCTTTTCATCTTTTGTACCTTATATAACTGGGCAGACCACAGAGGAAAAAAGAAGCCCTGGTGCGAGTAAGGACATGCAAATAACTGCATAAGGATTTACATAAAAACTTGTCACTTCATCCCTTTTTTTAAATTTCAGCATTCGACGACAAGATCTTCAATGACTGTTCTGCTGCTTGTTTGGTTTACCACTACAACCAATACAAGTTTTTTCAAATACATAACTGGGCTGTGATACAATTGTCTGAGTCCTCTGTTGCACCCTGTTAAAATCCATAAAATCAAAACTGCGTTTGATATCACGAATGTGTCTAACTCACAACCAGTTCTGAGGTTTTTGTCTGTGAATTTGGTCTGCCTCAGACTCTTCTCCAAACTGTCAATGATAAAGCTTTGGAGCAGATAGACTGTTTCTGTTGATGTATTCAGTTTTTCGTTTGGTTTAAATTCATCAAGAAAGTCATTTTACTAATATCAGAATAGGCCTTTAAAATACCTGTTATGTGTTTTGGTTATGCCGGCACAGTGGCTGCTGTCATATTGTCAGACTGAAGAATTCAGCAGCTTACAATATTTTTTTTCAGACATATTTATTCCTGTTGCTATATCTAGATATCCAGCTAGATCAGTGAAAATAAAGTGATATCTTGATGAAACAATCACAAAAAACTTATTAGGTAAACATATGACCTCTAAGGGCTTCCTTTAGTCTGATTTTACCTGAATGGATTGTTTTATTTTAACCTCTTTTTTCACCTTTTGTCAGTTCATTGATTAATTCAGTCTAAGGTTGTCAATAAATCAGATTTTCACCTCATGATTGTAAAATATTACAATAAAAATATTATCACAATATTTATGGAAAACTTGGCTTTAAAACAACACAGTCAATAAAACTGAGAAAAGGCAAGACTAGGCTGGAGCAATGTTTTTTATATATATATATATATATAAACATAAATATTCAAAGCCCATAATATTGACAAATAAACACTGATAACTCCATGTCAATTTCTAATTATGTTCAAAATTATGATTTATTTACATCACTAACTGTGTAAATGAAGACATCACCTCATAAAACCAATGTTTGGCATGCTTTTATAATAATGATTTTTAGTCCTGCTTTTTTGTTTTATTTCCTACATTGTAAAACTATACTTTGATTTTGGGTGGATTGTAGTTTACAGAACTGGATGAAAACTGTTCCAAAAATATCCAGAAAGTGTAAATGTCCATTTGATTTGTAACCTGAAGAGGCATAAGCTCCAACTTTGCATTTGGATTTACAAAAAAATTCCCAGAATTTCAGTTTTTTTACTGGACCCTTCTTTGACTAAAATTATTCCACAGAAAGTCTGCTGCTTCTTTTTCTCTCCTCAATTATATGACACAAGATAACCGACATAAAGGACCTCCTTAACTCTGGCTTATTTTTAAACACAATATCAATATTTGATATTTCAACTAAGACAGTTACTGTCAATACTGTTATACAGTATTACGACAGCACTAATTCAGCCGAATGATAAAAGGGAATGCCTTGGAGAAAGGGGAATAAATGTAATGTCAGGAATTACTTGGAATTCAAATCTGTCTGCTGTGATTAGGACTTAGCCTTAAATACTATAGTCTACCTGGTGGGCCTCTGCAGTGTCCTGGCTGGATATGTGTAAATGCCCGGCCAGCTTGAAAGCCTAAATACACATGAGACTTTTACAGATGAAACATGAAATCCATGAAAGTTTAATAAACAATGTAGAGGACTTTGGTTTACAATGAACAAAAACAGGGAAAACAATTGAGGCTTTACGGAGAACAGATGGATCCAAATCAACTGATATTGTAGTGAGTCAGGAAAAACCCTTAATATTCATCATGTAATCGGTCAAAGCTTTTTCCGGAGTATTTTAACGTTTTCTATAAATACACGGTGAAAAAATGAGTGTAAGGACAAATCCAATGAGACTGACAGACATCTCTGGAGGCTGCCGTGAAAGAGACATTGGCATGTCTATTTATAGACCAGACTGTGGATGTTTTCTGTGAGGCAGCATTATGTTCTGGTTCTCTGCCTCAAATCTTTGTTAGTCTTGGAAAGACAGAACGAGCAACATATAGGCTCTTTGCACAGAGGACATTTTTCATGTATAGATTGTATGAAATGTACAGGAATATCCATTGCAACACTAATATGACTTAAGTTTACACTGACACGTTAAACATTTAAATATATACTGTATTTAAAAGATATTTCCTTGGATTTGCTTGTCCTGTTTTGCTACTCAGCATCTTCTGTAAAACCCTCTCTACTCTAAAATTGAAGGAGTATGCAGAACAAAGTGATAAAGAGCCTGTACAGCTGTCTAAAAGAGGGAGAAGGTGAAGAGTACTCAATAATCTGTGCTGTGTTGAAGTAATGACACGACAGCAGAGTCCAAAACTAACTTTTCTGTTACCTCACACTTTTAAACTTGCGTCATGCATATTTTTACCCTGACATCGGACAGTAAAGTAAGTAGACTCTCAGAACTGCCATGTTTAATGCTGCTGTTGTTGCTGCTTTTCTTATCAGGCCCTGAAAGCACAATATTTATGCTAGTGTTAGCCTTTTGGTATGACAGGAGGACCAGATTTAAATCTACTCCATTAATGTGTCATTCAGCATATACACGTCCAGAGGGCTGGTCTGAGCTGTGATAATCCCACTCTGCTTTTAAAGCTAACATGTAACCACTGCAACCACAATGACAGAAAAAGCCCGCTGGGTGATTATGGTCATAAAACACTGTGACGCATTGACCACTTTGAAGCTTGTTCACGCACAGAAGACAGGGAGCCATTGTCTGCTTATCATCATATTCTAAAAACCATGTGGAATAAATGAGCTCGGAAAGTGAAAACTATCAGCAAAAACAGTCCCCATTCCTCGTGACCACCATGCATTTAATGGGTTAAATCAATAGTGGAATGATTGAGCAATTTCCTGGTAGGTGCAGCTGGTGCTTTTTGTGTGTGCGGTTCGAAGTACTCCTGCGTTTAATCAGTCCTCATTTTCAGCATCTGCACAAAAAACAAAAGTCAGTCTATTTAATTTTTTCTTTGTTTTACCCAGAACAATTAGCTTTCATCTCATTAGGAATAAAACCAAATTTTCCACTCTATTGTCAGACATCTAATGCCCCCTTTGTTTTTCCACCACTGGAGACAGATTCTGGGCCAGACACTGGCCTAAAGGATGTGATGATTGTTTGGTGAGGCACAATGGTTCATGGCTTTGTCTCTGTTTAATGCAGAACCTCAAAGGAACAATTACAGCAAAATGGTTCAGAGTGAACGAAAAAAAAAAAAGACTTTGCACCAATTTAGTACTTTTTCAGGAGGCTTTTGTTGGCCGGAACTGCAACTGAATACAAGAGAAAACAGAACAATGGGATAAAATTCAGAAGATGTGTCAGGATGGTTTCTTTGGTGTTTGGCTCTAATGGGGCTAGTCAGAAAATAGGTACATTACCAAAAAAATGGGACATTTGCAGTTCTTTCACAAAGGTGTTTGAGGATGAATAGTATTCTACCACTCAAAAGTCTTAAAAACTTTTAAAGATGGTCTCCTTAATGTCTAGAAAACCTAAATCAAGTTACTTCTTGGTGCCATTTAGTTTGATATGCTAACATTTGCAGCAGACAAACACTCAGACTAAAACCATTCTTTACTATTTAGCTCCGGTATTTTCAAGCTACATTAGTCAGAGCTAAGTGCACAGCAGTTAAAGATATGAGTCAATCCACAACCTTTCACGGGCTAGTTATTCAGACCAATGAGCTCCAGCTGGACAAACACAATTCGTGAAGAGGGTGAGTAAGAGTCGATCGCTGGCACAAAAACTGAAGATCTGACAGAGCTACTGTGGATCGTCTCGGATTGTCTTGGATTAACCTTTATTCTAAAGAGAGAGAAAAAGATGAGAGCTGCTGTAATGACAACTCAGGAGACTTTAATTACAGAGTAAATGCTGCCACAAAATGAACTCATTAACCACACCGGGCCCAAAGAGACTTCATGTCTGCTCTGAGTATTAGTACTGAGTGTGTGGGCATGTGTCAAAGAAATGGAATGGAAATGGAATAAACTTTGTTTTTCTCTTCAACCTAAACCGTACCTAACCTACCAATATTAGACTGGAAAAAAAGAGGAAGATTATCTGAGGTATCTGAAAACGGACCCACTCTCAGCAACCCTGTCCACATTTTACTTAAGCAAATATGTCAGAATAAATACTTTGAATTTCTCTACATTTTTAAGAGTGGTATTGGTGTTTTAGAGACTGGCCAGTTAATAGACACCACCATTAATTACAGGCCTGCTGTGACTCCTTTTTGACAGTTTTGGCATTTATACAAGCTCACAGAAAAATAACTGAACAAGGTTTTGTCAGTGCAACTAGCAGCAAGCACCAAGCAGGGTCAAATTTGAAGGCATATTTTCTTTTCTGAGTCATTTTTGTCAGCAAGCTTGACAGAATGAAGCTGAGCAGTAATCTGCTACAGTGTAGCACAGGTAGGCCAGGTACAGTGGTTTGTGCATGCTTGTTGCTGCCCAGTTGGGTTGCCAGGTCTTATTACACATACCCCACAAAAGCTGAGAAACACACTTTAACAATGTGAAATGTGAAATCAAAAGTCAGAATGAGGGAGACTCCCGCCCATATCAGGAGGGTTGGCAGTTTTGCTTTACCAGCTTAGCGAAACCAGCAGCTACTGAACAAGTGGTTTTGGTGTCTTCAAACAACCATTATGAGAGCAAAAGGAGAAAAGTCAGAGCTTAACAAGGTTTTAGCACAGTAGGTCTTCTTGGCCAGATTTTATTAGATGGGCTTTGGGAGAAAATGATGATCAAATAGTCTAATCTAACACCTGTGTCTAATCCACTTCTTTAAAACCACAGAACAGACCCCACTATCTGGGTAGAGATTTATTTCTGGGCGTATTTTTTTCTATTCATAGTTAATAAATATTCACCCTATTAAGTGGTTCATATTTTCTTCCTGATGGTTTTGTTCATCAAAAGGGATCAATACGAATTTCATTCAGTTACCTACAAGTCATTTAAGTCATTGAATTTGAGTTACACGTTGAAACAGTTATCTTTTTTCACAGATCTGGTTGGGTGTGATCTATGGTAGGTTAGATTTAGGGGGAAAGATGAAGAGTGTTTTAACTAATTGCTGTTTGGGTAATGATTTTAGTGATTCATCCAATACAACCTAATGCATGTTATGGAGAATGTATATTGAGTATACAGCACACACATTTGCTCCAATGGCGTGTTAAGGAAGTCATTACTAGTATGTTTATCTTTAGGTATTGATGTTTTTCCACTAGACCCTAAAGGATGATGCACCACAGACACTCAGGAAGAACTCATTTGTACCAGTCATACTATCCCATTATCTACACTGCAAACTACAAGTCAATTTGTATATTCACCGTATTAGTAATAACCTCCATATTTGTTTCTTGATAACCACTTCAGATGCAGCTCAAGGAAGAATATTTATAATCATTTCTTTATCATTTCCTTTACGTAATAATCACCATATTAATAATTTTGCACTGCAGACACGGTAGTTCTTCCACCTTAGTGTCTTGGTCTGATTGCATTTCCACGAAGAAATGATCATAAATGTTCTTCCTGGAGCTGCGTCACCCCGCAGCAGTCTGTAATGGACTGGCCTGAGGTCTTGCTACAAACAAGCAGCTGCTGGAAGAGAATAGGTGAGTTGTGTTTAGTCTCTTTGCTAAAGAAATCAGGCAAAGTTAAAAAGATATTTGGTGGCTAGTGCTATGGCTGGGACCCTATATGTACTGTTGATGAAGTTAGGTGCTGTTCTGAGCATTATTTGTGGTTATAGAGTGGCGCTTTTGTTGAGGTTTGTTTATGGCTCCTCAGACCACTGTGTATTGCTATCTGCGGTCAGCAACATTCATCTCTCGAGGGGGTTTCTAACTCGGTGATGCGACGTGTTTGACCCTAAATTAATTTTGCGCCGTTATATCCCTTTAAATGTGAGTTACACACGTACTCATTTTAACTTTCAAAGAAGCATTGCCCTCCCCCAAAAAAACAAACAAACAAAAAAGAAACTCACAAAAAAAATGTGACGACAGTGATGCACAGCCACATCACTGAAAAATAAAAAAGCTAATTGCATCTAAAATCTACCTGGGGACTCGACTTCTGCACCTCCACCACTAATCTATTTTATATTACACTCTTAACAAAGCAGGTTTTAATACAAATAAGTGACATTACATAAGAGTTACCATGTGAGTTGGATCAAACAGAGCTGCATGTGTTAATAGGTTACCCTTCAGAAGTATAATATCACTATATGAAGATCAGCCTGTGTTTGTCTTGGGAACATTCAGATCTGCACAGACTGTTATCCACTCATGTTGATGCTCTAATGGACAGCAATGGCAAATGTGACTTTTTCTTATCAGAGGTCTTGAGTAACAACATGAGTTTGCATCTTTCTGGACTTGTTTACTGCACTCTGGGCTTTAATGTGCAATCCCCACGCTGAGACACTCCTATCCACAGACACATAGCACAGAGTGGGGACTAATACGCAGATGCTGCTGCTGGTCGAAGTTAGCCTACATCATCCTCTTGCACGTGAATAACAGCTTGTGCTCTGAGTGCTGTGATCCTTCAGATGAATGCTGTCATCCATTTCTAACTGCACGCGATTTAATTAGACACAAAGCCGTCTAAGTGTGAGTGCGCGAGGATACTGGGGCTGAATGAAGTCCAGGTCACAACAGGTGCAGCTTTAGCTTTAGTGCTTTTCATTTCTCCGGACCTTAAGGTGTTTAATGTGGTCATTTGTTCCGTGCACCTGCGCGCACTGAGGCCTGAGCGCAGGAGCTTTGCGTTAAATGCCACTGTGCTGACATTAAAAAAACACAACAAGAGCGGCTTTGAAACCCTGCTGAGGTCGGGTTACTTACTCAGCGTATCCGGTGGCCCACGGTAATCTCCTGGTTTCCTTCAGGATGAGGATGGGCCGGGCTATATGGTCCGCGGAGCACTCAATTTCATCCGCGGACAATCCAAGAAACTGCGGTCTCATGTAGGGAAATTTCAGTGGCAGTTCGGAACCATTGCTGCCCCCTCCGCCCGAACCGCCCCCGGTCATGATTCCGCCCATGAACCCGGCTACGGCGGACTTGACCCGGGTGAGCATGTTGTTGGCGCGCCGCGGCGGGTTGTCCGTCGGCCGGTGCGCGGCGCCGCGGCTGCCTTTTCCCGGATTCCCCCCCAGGTCGGCCGCGCTGGTCGAAGACAGGCTCGATGGAGACAAGAGGCGGAGGAGGAAGAGGAGGAGGAGACCTCAAATGATCACAGCTTCATTCATTGAGGATGGAGAAGACAGGCGCGGCCAGAGGGGGAACAACAAAAACAGCAAAGATGCTTTAGCTGAGAGGCTGCACAGCTCCATGGAGAGTCATTGATAACCGCTCCACTGTCGTGAACGCGGAAATACACAGAGATTAACTGGTCATGTGACGCAACCGTGGACGCACACTGCAAAAAATGCGCACGTTGATGTCCACTGAATATTAAAGATAAATAATTATAAATGTGTGTGAATGGTGAGAAGAAAATATATGTCTGTCTTCTTCAAGGTCTTGACCATTTTATTATAACAGTCAGTTGTCATTTTAGATAGCTGGTTTACTTCCAGAACCGCTTCATTGCATTCAGATGAACCTTAGCCCACAATTAAACAAGAATAGCAGTGTTTTTTTAATGTGTGAAATACTCACTCAAGGTTTGGTAGGCTGGATGACTGTGATGGTATCAAGTATTTCCTGAAGTGCAGGGAGGGCTGAAATGGATCATTCTTAAGAGAGCAGCTGCAGCATGAGGAGCTCACAGCTGCTGACTGGACTGAAGGTTGAAGGTAAGTCTTTCTTCATTATACCAACATTTAAAACATAGCTATGTTAAAATAACCAGCGATCATAATGTGACTGTTTGGAAATCACTTAGTGAACTGTTCTGGGTATTTTAGTGGAAAAAAAAAAGTTATGTTAAAGTTCAGGGAGCACAGAGAAGAAATTAGGTTCTGTTGAAAATCTACGTGTCAAATATTAAAGAGTGACGAATAATTTTCCCAATCGAGTTTATCTAATGGATATGCTGATATACAAACAGTTTTTACGTTTTACATTTAGTGAAGGTTCGCTGTTCAAAACTTAGACTAGACCAAATTTAATCATTTTTTATCAGATGAGAGGAGTCCTTCATTCATATTGTTTTATTCAGAGGACTTACTTCAGAAATTGAACATTTTGCTTTAAGAGTCTCATTTTACAATTTTAAAAACCTAACCCTAACCCTGACCCTAAACCTAACCCTAACTTTACAATAACAATCTAAGTAATGTTTATAGGTGGTTTATACACAACTTATTAATCATTTGCAAAGTATTACAAACATCAGTTACAACCTTATAATAACCATCTAAGTGATGTTTATAGATGGATTAAAAACCAAATATTAACCATCTACAAAGTGCTATTGGCAAACATTTAAATCTAGATGCTTTACAACCAATATTTAAACCTTCAATAAATAGTCCAGTAATAATTGATGAAAATTATTGAACATAATTTCATTGCTTGTTAATAGTAAAGTAACTGTCAACTTACATCAATAAACTATTTGCCACTTATAATTGGTCTGTATGTTGTTTTTAAATTATGATTAAACATTAATAAACTATCTATTTAGCATTTATAAATTATGGTTATTGTAAAGTGTTACCTAAACAACTTACAAAATTCAGCCCTCCATTGTAAACTTGAAAAAAGATGGATAGATAGATAGATAGATAGATAGATAGATAGATACACACATACATACATGTGTATATAGATATAGGTAGATATATGTCTACTATCAGGAACTTTCAGCTTGCGCCCCCTACAGATGAGAGAATCTTTGCTTATCTTGTCCTCTACCTGCTTAAGTAGCGTCTCCTTACTGTGGACCATTGGATGAGCCTTTTTTTGTGAAGATTCAAGGTTAAAGTGTAAAAACAGGGATTTTCTCCTCAGTAGCTTCACTGCCCCCTCACACTAGATTCAGACCTTTAAAATAGCTGTTTAAAATTCACCAATGTTGTCAGTGATGGGTCTGCTTTTGGATATCATGAAGGCCTCTATACGCATTCCAGTCTGTTACATAGATGTAAAAAAAACTCCTTGTTTAGATTATCCTAAATTTTGGATTTTAAACAACAGTTTACACAGAGTCTATAATTCTCTTGGACTTGTTTTTGAAGCCTACATTTAGACCTGCAGACATGGGAGATTATCCCTGTTTCAATGGCTCACTGTACCAACAGACTTGATAGCTCACTTTAAAGGCCATCAGTGAATATGTGATAGTGGTTGATAAAACAGAGACTAATCTAGAGAAAAGTCATGGCAGTGGGGTAAACAGTTCAGCACTGTAGTACACACTAAATCCCAGTAGATAGAGCCCTCACACAAAGACAGATACAGGTGTTCAGTCCTGTACAGCACTAACCATACCTTATAAAGTCCTGCTGTGGTTCAGATCTGTCCAACAGCACAGGCACAAAATATTACATTCAGTTGTGCTTCAAATAAATATCTTTTTTACCCTGTGAGTGTTTTTAAATCGTGGACACAGTCAACACCTGGTCAAAGTGCCAAATGGGGACATACACACTGCCTGTTGTTTGGCTGATATTGGTGATTTGATTTAATCAGGCTCCGTCTATGAGGGTGTTTGTCGTCTGCATGCATCTAACAGGTGTAGTATGATGACAGTGGTAACATTGCTGCTCTATTTATAGACACAGGTCGAACTAGGTCAGAACAACATTGCACATAGTTTAGTATTTTCTAAGGACATAAAACTCAGATGATGCTGTTTTACATTCAATGGAAACATTTTTTTTTTCATGACCATGAAATAATCAGTTTCATTTCCAGTATGTAAGTGCACAGTGTCCTCAACCCTTTTATGGTCTTGCACTTTGATGTAATTGCACCACACAGAATTTAAAAGAAGTGCTGCACTTCTAGGAAATGCTGCACCTGAAGGCTATCTGACTTGTAATGGCCCATTGGACTTGTCATGATCCCCGAGATATATCAGGCCCTACGTGTTAGTGCATGCAACACAGCTCCTGATATATCATGCATTTACTATCTACTACTGTTGAATGCAATTCATTACTTGCAGGTCTCCCTGCAGATGATCCAGAACACAGCTGCCTCCAGTTGCTTCTCACGTCAAATTCAAAACTTGGCTATCTGTTCACATTACAGAAACAAAAACAGCTCCTTCCCACCTGGGTCACTTTATTCAGGCCCAGACTCCCTTCCGCCTGCAATGCTCTGCCAATGAAAGGCACCCAGATCTCCCATCACAACAGTCCCTTGAGATTATTACGGAAGTGTTTTTTCTTAAATTGTAAATCTTCTCTGTCCTATTACCAGCAGGGAGTTGCCTCAAGACATTCTTTTTTGTTGCTTTGTGTACAACGCCTCTCTGTAACAGAATGCTCTGCCTCAGACGTTACCAGTTGTTCTTGTTGCTGCAAGACGAGGAAAATAACTAGGCTGTCAAGATTGTTGTGAGAATTGTCCGTGTTTGACCTGCTGTAGTTATCCCAGGTCAAAAGTGATACAAATACATTTTAACATGGAAAGTGCTTGCAAAGGGAATCAGGCTATCAGACTGTAATGCTTCACTTTAAATATGAAAGTAACGGAGATGTGATAATGGGAGCGCTAATGATACACTGGGACACCAGTGCCAAGATGTTGGGGAAACAGAGAGACATTACAAAGGACTAGTGATGGCAGAGCTTTGTCACAGCGCCAATGCAGACCCACAGGACTAAAGAGTTAATACCAGCTAAGAATTCTGCCCTGCCTTGCGGTTTAAGTAAATTTCAGGATGTTGATTTGTTTTTTGGCCAGCATTTGCTAGTTTTATCTCACGTCACTGCTTTAACAGTGTTGTTTCTGCTAAAGCCGGATGCTGTCTTCAGAGGAAGACTGAATTTAGCCTCCAGTTGCTGAAGCTCATATGCTACAAATAAAAGACAGTCATTATTCTTCAGCAAAACAAAGTCATGTGTTCATATTATGTGTCACAGACAGTCCTCCAAGCTGCTCGTAACCTGGCAGTAGCCGTACATGTAGGACGTGCAGTAGCATGCAGCTGAAAGGCCAAGAGGAAGTGTTCTGTACATAATCATTTTGGAGTTAAATGTCAGGGTTAAACCTGGCCAATTATGACTACCCGATGCCTCAGGTAAAAGAATTTTTGTTGTTGAGGGATCAGCCAAAAGTTGGGAAACTTGATCTACTCATGAGCATTTTAAAAAAACTGGAATAGATATACCAGGAAACTTCTGAGTTCACAATGTAGTTGTGTTTTTGCACATAGTGGAACTTCTTTGCTCCAAGGTTTTCAAAAGGGTTTTACAGGGTGAACACATCATAGTGAATATCATGCTTGTATCAAGTTACAGTTCAGTTGTATCCACCTTGAACCTCACAGATGAAAGGATAAAAAGGTTTTCTGATAAGGACAGTTTCCCCTGAAATTGTGCTTTTAGTACAAACTGATGCAGTAGGGAAAAAAAAAAACATTGTGAAATTTTTCCTCTTTCAGGAAATTTTGATAAGGTGTCACTGCTTTTACATGTTTGTGTTTGTGTCTGACACATTCACACCTACTCCACTCAGTGACTGAGTGTTTTTCAAGTGTGACGTGTGTGGTGATAATTAAAATGACAAGGAGAAGGAAAGAGGATGTGCAGATTGGCTTTAGGAAATGCTGCTGAGGAGGATACAGTTGTGCTTCTCAAAGTACATCCACAACCCAGTAGCCCCGCCTCCACTGTGTATTTAAACCCACTCTTTTCAGCTGCTTGTGTTTCATTTTGTGTGCTTGGTTCTGCCCCAGCATACATCACATTAGCTATCATCTCATTTAAAGGACAAATCTAGCTGTCAACACATCCTACTGGGCGGTGACCTCCAGAAGAGCCACATCTGTGACAAATACAAGAGAAGCAGACTACAGGACCAGTGGAAGAAGTCCAGTGTTGAAGGGTGAAGATGATCCTGCTTGTGGCCTTACTGATGTCTTCATGGTGTTTGGGTCTGAGTGGAGCTGCAGCGCTTGAGAGGATAGACAAATGTGGCACCAGGTGTTCTAAGGTAAACCTTTACCCTCAAAAGGAAGTCCAGATAATCTTTGAGATAATACAGCTGTGTCCTATGTTAAACTCCAGCTATTTCCTCCTGCTGACGCTGCCTTGAATGCTATAAATTGCAGTGTTTCCTAAATATGAATCACACTCATGTCTGTCATAATCCTGTGCTTCTACTACAACCACCTGCCCAGCTTCAACTGCTAATACTACTAATCTCAGTTTAGGGTGACAGGGCTTTGGAGGTAAACCACAAGCCACAGCACGGGTTTTCTCAGAAGGCTGTCCAACAGGAGTTGATCAGTTTAATTAGCTGCTGTAATGCCAATCCCTCACACTGAATAACCCACCTGTTGACTCACTGTAACACACATTATGCAATGGTGAATATATACATTTACGTCAAGGGTTTGCATTGCGCAAGCATCTGGTGTTGCATGATGGCATATTTTCTACTCACATGATCATTGATTCAAACATGAGGAAACTAATAGCAACAAATTTAGTTGGGCGGAGGGTGGATAGGTGAGCTCTTACTATCTTAAAATGTTTACTGGCTTCTGAACAGACTCATGAATTCTATTTATAAATTCTGTTCTTTGTGTTCACAATTAGGACACATTTCTTTCTATTTCCTTCTTTCTACTAGAGTATGGTGGTGTGCATCAACTATCGGTGCTGAAAAAATATAAGCTAATTCCTCTGGTAAAGGTGTAGAAACTGAAATATTTGTCACATGGCTTGTAGTTTGCAATCAAGACTGCACTTAAAGCTCCAGTGAGGAACTTTTAGTTTGTATTAATTTTGGCGCCCCCTGTGGATAAAGCAGTCTTTGCTTATCAGAAAATGCAAAACAAAAATCACCATCATGGTCTTGCTTGCTTCTGAAAATGATAAAAGACATTAATAAAAAGTTTCAGTTTATTTCTTAGAAGTCAAAGTAATACTCACAGGAGCTTTAATATTGCTGATGCCGAAAAATGCTTTTTCAATGATTGTTATTTCTGTCTGATATGTTAGTTTTAGTATTTGCTTGATGTAAACACAATTAAGACTTTGGACCAACACTTTGGAACAATACCAAACTTGGGATCATAACAACTGTGCGTCAGTATTAACTAGGTTGGGTTTCCTATGAGAGCAATGAGGATATGAAAGTCTAATGACTGTCAGGGAATTCCCTTCTACTTTTGAGCAGAATTATGAACGAGCTACACCAAAGGGTCACAGAAACGAGTAACACCCTGTTTAACATGGTTGCCTTTGTTTTCCCTCTCTCCCCACAGGGCATCCGCTGCAAGACCAAGCCACACTGTGAGTACAAACACACAAGATAGTCACATCTGCACTCATGCATGCAGGTTAGACAGGGCGTAATGCAGAAAATAGCTCACCTCATGACTCATCGTGATGAACAACAAGTGATGTCTCCAGCAGATGATGTCTGCGTTAAACAATTTTGTTCCGTAAAACAACACTTATAGTAGTTTCCAAGGCAGGCTTCAAATTGAAGCACAAAAATCATATTTTTTGACACACCCATCCCAGCGAGGAACCTTCCACAAATAACTTCCTGTCAAGAGCTTGATTTGTTGTTCCACTGAAGCCAGAAAAGCATCTTATAGTACATGTTTACTGATGTCAAACTGAGCCGAGCTCAATATAAAACTAGGACGCTGTCATACTGTTTTTCTTATGCCTACTGTAGCTTAGTCAGGGCTGCAATATGACTGATGAAATACATTTCTGTGCTGTCATTGTTAAGTTATTTCTACACTTTTATGGATGACTTATGATTGCTGTCATTGTTAAAAACCCTGATTTGGTATCTAAAAGTATCTCAGCCTGAAAAATAGTGAGAAACTGGAAACAAGCTAAGCTAACATTAGCTGCAACTTGTCTCCACTGTCCTCAGCCCACTGAAGGACATCAAAACACCTTACATTTACTGGGAATTTTCACCTTGTTTTCACAGGTAGATAAAATAGAGAGCTGTCACTGAAATATTCCACTATATGAGCTGGTGATATAACTCAGGCAGCTAGGGCTGTTTTTGGGAGAAAAAAAAACAAAAAACTTGTGTTGCAGATATGCAAGCGACCCTTCTGCTTTTAGTTTGGAACAATTGAAAAGAAAAATAGCAAAATGCGAAATGTGCATGGGCTAAGAACCCTTAAGAGGAAGTATGTTGTTCTTCTTTATCAATGACAGGTGAAAACAAGCAGAGCTAAACAGGTTACCTCTTCTCTCCCATAGAAACTCACACAGAGTGTTAACTTACACTGACTATAATTCCATGCATAAAAAGATAATTAGAACATAAAAGCAATGTTAACAGTCCTTAGTGCAACTCTAAAAGATATAGACCCATGAGTATATCTATACCTATAAACACTAAATGCACATTTTTTCTGGCCCCATCTTCTTCAGATTTCTTTCAACCTCCATGCCAGAACCCTGGTGAGGGTCTCAACGTCTCCATCTTCCAAAACGTCAGCCTCTCCACGGTCATGAGGTGTGAGGGGAGACAGAAATGTTCGCTACACCTTCGAATCAAAACTGCATTACAACTTGCCGGTAAGAATTAATTTAAGCATGACTACTTCTTTTAACAGCAAATAGTTGAGATTGTTTGAGGATTTTATTCATGACTCATTCGTTTTTTAAACAGTTGGGTTATGAAATGAGCATAATTTGGGGCATTATTTGACTCACAGGCATGTGGCCATTAGCAATGAGGGTAAAGCCCTGCTTGAATTCCACCACGGCCCGTGACTAGGATGACTCAAAGTTGGGATGAGTCAGCATTTCCAATATTGCATCTGATATTAAAAGACTTGAATCTCTGCTTCAGGAATCAATGGGTAATTTCACTAAAACTATGTGAATATGTAGAACCTCACAAGCTTAGCAATGCCTTAGATGGCAGCTTCTTCCTGTTCTTTTGTACAATTCTCTGTAACTGACCTTCAAACTCATGGTTGTTCTGACTCAGTTTATTCAAATAGACGAGGAAGTTTCGGTTCTTAACGATTTGACATTGTCAGGCTAACATGGCTGTGGCTCAAGATCCTCAATCATAAATGATGACATTTTAAGGAAGGAAGTGTCATTTACAAAACCAGACTCTTTCCATGACAACTCTTCTGCTTTTTGAAAAATAAATACATCACTCTGTTTTTTCTGTTCCTAATCTGCACAAAGAGTTGATAAGGTTATGGCTAAACACCATATCACTTATCAGCTGCAGACTTACACGAAAACACTGGATGTTATTCACTGTCCAAGTTGGAGTAGGGGGAAATCCCTCTCACCCTGTCTGAACCAATATTCACTCAGCCAAACTCCTCTTCCTGTATGAATCCTGCACAAATGCCGACTCATGACCAAATGGGTCACTCATTTTCAAGTGACTTACCAACTGGCTAACAGCTACTGTTTGATAACTTCTGCAAGCCATGTAAACTCAAGTTAACTTTTAACTTTTGACTTTTATATTTTCTTCCCCAGAGTCAATCCGTGGTCTGTCCATCTGCACCGTCACTGCAGGGATGATGTCCAACTGCGAAATCAGCAGCTTTAAAAAAGCATCACATCAGTTAAAGGTTGGCATTGTTAAGAAGTGGTGGCCTCGCTGGGAATAATTTAAATTTGGTAATTTGATATGGAGTATAACCTGGACAGACGTGACAGTTTTTACTGCATTTTTTATCTTCTGTAGGTGGAAGTTGAGAACGATTGTGCTGAAATTTCTCCGAGCCAGCATGTGAAAATAACAGTGAAAACTGTGCCGAGCTACTGTGGCATAACCTGGACTGGCACTTACAAAGCCCCGGGTAAGCACATGTCGTGGTTATACAGACACAAACTCAATGACACATGACCGGCAGGTAATGAGTGATAAAGTCAGTCAATAACAGTGTGTAAGCTTTAAATGCATCCTTTTATGGGAAAAGATATAACTCAGTTGACTTGTTAGAAAATGAGAGCCTGTGTTAATGATGTACGAGTCACTCATGCAGGTTATCTAACATTTATGATTACTTTTGGATGGTTGCCATGTTTAAAACTGTATAACTTTTTTTTCCCTGCAGACTGCAGCAATATTGATTTGCAAAGAAATGTCCCAGAATGCATCAGTAAGTCAATTTTTTTGCAACTTATTGAGACAATGCATTGACAAGTTCACCCTCGAGTATAAAAAGCTAAAAGTTTCAAGTATTATAACCTTTTTTTAGCCTTTAAAAATCATTAATGGTCAGAAAGCTCAAGGCAATTAAATAAGATTGTAACTCTCCTCAACAATTGATCCTTTTTACAAGCCAAAAAATAAATAACTGACAAGAAAAATAAAAGACAGGAGCTTGGAGAAACAAATATGAATAGTTTCAGCCTTCTTTTTCCATAAATCTGTCTTCATGTCGGAAGCTGATCTTGCAGGTTAACGATTTTGTACTAACCTCACCCTCTGTCTCCACCAGCTGGGAGGCTGTCGTACAAAGTAATTCCAGAGAAGAAGGAGCTGAGGGTCAATGTATCAGACATGCTAGAGGATCACGACTACCACCTCCGTCTGTGCAAAAAAGACTTCATCTGCGCTGGAACAGGAGCGCACACACTGGTTGGTCCCACTGTTTAATGAAAATGAGTCAATTTCTGCAGATACCGCTACAACGCAGGTGTATGAGGATGAGTAAACGTTGCATGTAAGGGTGAAGATAAATGTGAAAAAAAAAAAAAAAGAAATTTCTGGTTACCTTGAATTATTAAAAGTGTCTGGGTGCCATAAAGGTTTGTTTTTCTTCTAGATTAAGAAAGAGGAACCTGTAAAGAGTGCCACCTTTTCATTCCCACAGCCTCTTCCCTGCCTCTGCATAGAGGTAAGTTCCCAAACCTCCAAGCACTATTAATATCCCGTATCTATTACTAATAATTTCCACAGAGGAATTTGATCTTTTGTCTCTCATGCGTTTATTTGTCACAGGGTTGGTCAGCTGTAACTGACGCCCTCAGAGTTCAGGTCTGCCCCTTCAAGGACCGTGAGTCACTCTAAGTCACTTCCATATAGTGAGCAGATTTCCCACAGCAAACTGAGAACTGAGCATAATCTGAAACAAGCCTGACCTCTCCTCCCTACAGGCATGGAGGAGTTGTGGGTTGGCATTAACTTTGACCCTCTCCGGGAGACGTTGTCATGGGAGCCAGCTTGTCCAGTCACAGCAGTGGTTAGGTTGTGTCAGATAAGAGATGATGGGGTCTGTGTGGATCTGCCTCGTGCCTCCCAGAATGTGAGCAGAGCAAAGGTATGACTCAAAAATGTTGTCACTTCACTTTCGCTGTACGTTTACTGCCTGTGAGCCAAATGCAGCCAAGATAACACACATACTTCTGTATGTACACCAGAAAGGTCATCCAGATCAAATTGAATGGAAAGCAATAAACTGCAATATAACTGTCTGCTTTAGTCAGAGTAATTATTTTATTATATTGGTTTTTCTTTAAAAGTTTTCACAGACTCATACCAGAGCTATCTAAACAACTGAGTCAGTTAGTGAGCATTGGCGAGGCAGGGCTAAGGCCACATTCCTGGGAATCCTTAAACTACTCTGAGACCGGTTTTTAATCAGACACTGTTGCTCGATCAAACCATGAGTGACGTCAGAGAAGGAATTCCCTGTTATAAAACAGTGGCCCTGGCAGTCTTATCTTGAAACTGAAACCAGCAGACTAAGGAAAAAAGAATCAAGTCTGAATCATAAGAAAGCATGAATATATATATTTATATAGATAAACATAGGGTTCTGTTCAGTCGTTGTAGTTGTAGTCTTACTACTTGCACACTGCTCTGTCTGTTAATTTAATTTCTTTAATTGTTTATTCTCTTAATCTCTGTTTTTAGGTTTCCTTTACTAAAGTGGATCCTCATCCTCAACTCTGCATGAAGGTAAAGGTCATTTTCCCTCTTCGGCCTTTTAGGACTGTCATAGTGGAGAAACAATACAGCCAACATAAAGGGTGTCATTGTTAGCTTACAGCTAGTTTACGAAGTCACTGTTGTCTCTGTTTTCATTAGTGTTCAGTGCTGGTCCACTATTAAAGCTCGGTTTTTGGGAACAGTTTGACAGAACTGGACTCTTAAATGTTTTTTTTAAGAGCAAAATAGAAATATTTACAACACTTACATCTTTGTTAATGAAGCTACAACCTTCAGCTCATCAGCTAAACTTTACTAAACAGTTGGAATCAGGGACTTCTTTCCCCTCAGTTTTGTCTGATAATTGAGTCTATCATTTATCATCTCTCGGCGCATGTTCAAGCAAGGCTACAGCATCAGTGATGGTTTATGAGGAGGTGTTATAGAGCCTAAGGATGATGACTTTTGCTAACTTGTGGTGAATCAAGAAACCAGCAAAGAGGTGGAGATAGGCCACAATGTTGCCTCCAGACCACCTGCCATAATATGCCTACCTGCCTCTCAAATCAGACATTCTTCTGAATATGCCTAATCATGCACAACTCCTTCATAACATCAGATTAGCAATATTTAAATTAAATTAAAAATTAGGTCAAGAGACAAATATCTTTTTTGCTATTCTGGAAAGCACAAGTATGTTTTGCACAGCTTGAAATAATTAAAATTGAGGTCAAAATGTACATTTGTATATCAGAGACTTCTCTGGTACAAAAGGGTAAACTCTGTTTGACGCTGTAACTGCAGCCTTTTTTCATTCCTGTATATCCTGGTTCACAACAAAAGCTCCTTAATAGAACTATTCACTGAAGGCAGTTTAGGAAGGGATCTTACACAAATGTCACATTTTAACCATCCTGTCTTAGAGTTAATACTCTTCATCAGCTTTTTTATTACACTTGGAAGAAGATTGTTGAAAATTGCTTTGCTTTCTTCAGTTCACTACAGGCTCTCAGTCCTGGACCAGATGCCCCTTTGCTGACTCAAGATTTCAAGGTAACATGAGCATACAAATTATTATCCTCAAGTTATGGCACTGCTAGTCTCTGACAATAAATCTACCTCAGTGATATTTAAGGGCTACATTTGAATCAAATCATGTAGATAATAACAGATATTGTGTAATGTGGCGCATTTGATGTAGTCATCACACTAATAAGTGATCATTTCCAGCATGGGAGCTTGCTGAGACCAAACGTGAGGGTCACAAAAGCGTGGAGATGTCCTCACGGATCACTGCAAACTTTTCTGTTGAGCTTTGTGTAAAACCTGAAGGATCTGACGAGTGCAAAGTCTCAGAAACAAGCATCATACATGTGGTGAGTATCACACACTGTGAGCCAAGGGGAGAATGGTGGCACAGCAGATCCCAGATCAGATTATCCTTCTCTTTTTTTGTGAAGAACTTTTTATAGAAGCACAGTGAATACAGCAACATCCATACCATTTTTTAAAAAGATAATACCCCCCACCCACCTCCCACCCCCTTGGCAGCATCCCTCCCTCCCCTCCCAGGTCCCCCCTGGTCCCCTACAGTACATTATAGTGAGTGGTGTCCCTTTGTTCACAACCCAAGAAGCTTATCCTTTATCTGTGAAGCTGCATCTAACCACATCTCCAAAGTGGAGGCTTTAGCATTATTAATCCATGCAGTAGACAACTCAAGTAACACTATAGTGTGAAAATAAATTAACCATTTCCTAGAACTAAGATCATGAGGTGGTAGCCATCTTTGCACCAGGAGTTTTTTGGCAGCTATGAGGCCGCTCAGCAATAGTTTACGCTGTTTCTTACTTATATGTATTTGAAAATCATCTTTAAGGAGAAGTAAAATTGGATTGCATGTTAAAGCAGTACTTAGTAATTCAGATAAGACTTTGGACACCTGGCCCCAAAAAGGCCTGGACAGAGGGACATTCCCACATCATGTGTTTATAACTTTATATTGCTTTAAGTTGGCACATGGTACAGCTTGGACTTGGTATCAGTTTCATGCGAAACCTAGTGACATGTGAATAATAGGGTCTGTGGCTCCTTTTGGTATTTTTATGATAGTACTGGACAGCACTGTGTAACACAGTACTCCTAAATATGCCATAAATCCTTAGTTAACCTCAGCTACAGCCTGTTCCTGGTCCATTGCTGGTGAACAACAATTTTCTTCCAGAATGACACAACTTCAAACACTTTTTTTGTAATCAATCATTCAGGCCGTCTGGGATAATAACTCATTTTAGCTAATATCCCGTGTACCTGTGCCCCATGAGATGTGCTTCAACACGTTTCTGGCGTTGTTGAAAGAATACACTCAGTTCTGTGCATGTTTCTGCGCTGACTCTAAGCTATTATCTATCATCAATAAATTATACCCCTCTTGTGGTACTACTGAAAAGCGGAATGCCTGAAAGCACATAAAGAGACAATAAAACCAAAACAGAAACCATGAAGTTTCCAAAACACCAGCCTGCTCACGTTTCTTAGTTGATTTCTTCCTTGTCTGTGTTTCTCAGGAGAAAAATAAAGCTGTGGGCTTAACTTTGAAAGGAAAACTATGCAACACTTGTATCCAGGTAGGTTTATCTCCAGATACTTGTAAGAAAGACCTACCACAGAGGCATTGAGATTAGGACAGATAATGACTTGGATGTTGTATTTTGTATTTTGAAAGGTCAAGAGGCTGCACATAGACTTTGGTGCCACAGTCACGCACTGTTTCCAGGATTGCAGTGAGTATAACCCTTTTGACAACCACTCCCACATTATTCAGAATTGGAAATGGTTTTTTCAATTAAAAATATTTATTGTTCCAACAAGCCACATGTTGACTCCCATCCAGTTTCTAATGGAGTACTTTCAAAAGTTCCTCTAAAGTTTGCCCTGAGTGGTTTCTTGGCATCATTACGGAAAAATAAGAGTGTCATTAACTGTACACAAACTTAGTTTGCAATGACGGATGCAGCCTGTATGTATAAACACACAGGATCCAAACAATTACAGTATCTTCCTTGCACTGCTTTCTCAGCTTTAATTCGAACTGTAGTTTCTCCTGAGTTCAACAGAGAACTATGCACCCAACGTATCACCCTTTAAAAATCTGCGAAACACTGTTAATTTGGCAGTTTTTGTAAAATGTTAGATCTTTAGTATCCAGCCATTCAACAGGAAGCTGGAACCGGTGAAGAACCCAGCATACAAACACTTTTAAACTTACTCAGACACGTTTGATACCCTAGCATCAACTTCAAGTGTTGAAAAATGAAGCCAATGCAAAAACTGCCGTTCTTTAAGTGTCCACTTGAGGCTGTTTCCAAAAGCAGACCTCATTGTCAACAATGTATGGACTTGTGTTTATTTATGCTAAAGCTGTTAGTTTGACAGCACTCAAAAACTCCCCCGGTATCATTTGTCTTTGGATTCAGTCTTATATTTGTTGAAAATAACTCAGCGTTTGAACCAGTGATCATCACTGTCACTTCTCCATCATGGACCAATCAGAATCAGAGGAGGGACCTTTGGTGTCAGTGTTGTAAACAATAATGGCAGAGGTCCTGACAGAGGAGTAACGAGTCTCTCCTTCATTGTCAAGGTGCAATTTTTAGGTCTAGAGCTGCTGCTGAGGCTTCAACATGACCTCATGTAATACATTTCTGTGTTTTCACAATACATTTAAAATGTAACTGTATTAAAAGGTAATTGAACTGAGGCAAATATAAGGCATACAGAGCATTTCAAATGAAACTTCACAGTCATTATTGCCAGAAGAGCTTCAAGTACATGGCGACGGCATGCGTCAGTGTTAATACCAACGTGAAAAAAGGTGTCTAATGACAAGGGACCTGAAAATGCTCATTTTAGAAGCCAAATGGACATCTTCTGGTAAAAACAAAACCAATGGCATTAGTCAGCATGGCTCATTTCATTCTTTATGACAACTTGATTACACCAAGGTTAAGGATTATGTACATTCAGGAAGACTGACAGACAGGGAACTGTTGTAGCTGAGAGCCCACCTTAACTCTGCCTCTTGGCTGATTTCTGAAGTAGTAAAAAGTTAGCATTAGCTGAGCTTTAAAACTCTTGAACTCTTTGATACAAAAAAAAAATGTTTGCTCTCCACCCCTCCAAGCCGAATTGTTTCAACGCTTCTTCTGGCAACAAAACAGCAGAAAAAAATAAAAAAATAAAATAAAATGCACTAAAATAAAATAAATATTTTTTTTTGTGAACACTCAGGTTTACTTTACCAGAGTCATGTTTTTTTTAAATAAAAAAATGGTACTGATATTTCACTAACATGAAATATGTTTGCCATGAATCATTTGTTGAGTCATTTGGTCCTTTTCCGTTGGACTTTGACAAACTTTGATTTTTGGATAGAGAAACATTTTCACCTAAGCCAAACTAAAACACTGTGGAAATTCTTTAAAGTCATTTTTCTATTGCTCAGGCTTTTATGTGAAAAGAGTAGGAGTGCAAAAACAGTGACTATAAACTCCTCCACTGCTTCCTAGTTTACTCAACCCCTTTTCTTCCACAGATAAAACATCGCCCCTCAGCCTTGGCATCTCCAGGCAGGCCTCCAAGCCCCTCAGATGGGTTGTCATTACTGCTGGCATCTGTCTTTCTTGCATCATAATTGTCACCCTGTCACTCCATGTAATGTTAACAGGTTGGTAAATTTACTCTTTCATGCCTGGGCTTGTTTTCTTTATTGTCACTCCTTTGTGTTGTGAAATGAAAGGGAACAATTTCAGTTTCTGACAAACAGAGGCAGGAGTCATTATAAAAGCTTAAATGCTGAATACCTGCCTCAGGGAACAAACTATGATTAATGGTCTCCGCTTCTTTAAACGACTACCGTTAAAGCTCAGGGTTTCTTTCTCACTGGTATCAGATCTTTTCAGACCATGATGGGAACATTTCTGCATTTTAAGCTAGAAAAACAACTTAGCTTTTGTTGAGTCATGTACTTTTATGCATTAAAATGTTTGCCACTATGTCAAACCCAAGAGGTGCACCATTTGGTTCCAGTCAGTGATAAATCTGAACCTTTTAGCTTCATGTGCTGCTCTCCTGAAAATGTCTTTACCCGGGGGGACTGCATGTAACAACACAGCAAGCCTTGATTTAAACACACTTTAACCTGCCACTCTGTCATTTCTGAGGCTGTTTAATGACCTACATAGTCTACTTAGGTCACCCTGAAAGTGACTCATGCAATACCTCAGTGTGAAATATGTTTTGGTCTATGTCAGGGCTGGGCTGTCTGGAAAATGTCCGGAGTAGATTTGGGAAACTGTCTGTCCTTTACGGGAATGAGAGCACTAGATTACACAACAAGCAAAGACAGAAGTCAGGCAGGTGTTTGGATAATTGCAGTTCATTAGACGTATAATGATGATGTATCATGTAACATGAAGTATGAATAGAATTTCCCTTTGGGGGTCAAAAAGGTTCTTAAGTATACCAACCAAACCTCAGGTTAGTAATGCTTCCATTCATGAGATGAAGTACGGTGTGAACATCATATCAGTTTGAGCCACTTAGAAAGGATTTCACTGAAAATAAAATAAGACTACCCCAAGGTTATATGCTCTACAGGACACTGGCACTGACACTTTATCACGATATCTACAGCAATAAAAACAACTTTGTTACCTAACTCAACTTGACTTCCTTAATGGTGACCTGAATTGCAGCGTCGTTCATTTGTAGAAAAACTTACATCCGTTTATCAAACTGTTTCCCCCTTACCTGAATCCCTGTGTGTTTAATTTTAGTGTATCAGAAGAGGAAACAAAAACGGGATGCAGGCTATACCTCTGAAAAGCAAACAGGTAAGAACATGATTTTTCTTTTCGCTGACATTAAACCTGATGAGATTCCTTTAATATGCACCTGAAACCTAAAGATTATTCCTTTTTTGAATAGATGTCGCCCCCGAATGTGTGATCTCTGCTTTTCAAACTCAAGCCCTTGTACCTGATTCGCCTCCATGTTGGAACACAGAGAAGGCCATCCTAATCTCTGATTGACCGCAGGACAGTTCTTGGATCAAGAATATTAGATTTGATGCACAGTATAGAACTTAGAAAATGTTACACACAAATAGTTCTCTGTTGAATGCAGTGTTTTACATAAGGGCAGACATTTCAAAAGTTATGTTTATGTTATTGTTTGATTGCTTAACTGTACTATTTCAAAGTTACTGGCTATTGATGTGATTTTGTCTTTGGAGGTATAAGTCACTGTGTATTTTCTCATTTTTTAAAGTTACAAGTCTCTTGCATCCTGCAGCTAAACATTCATAAGTAGAGTTATATTTTGAATAAAAAATGAAACACTTCCTTTAAAAAAAAAAGTTTTTGTGTGTTCTGTGCAGACATAATCCCACTGAGCAATAGACGACTATTAGACGTCTAGTATTTCTTTTTAGACTTAATTTTAACCGTCTAGATTCTGTGTATTTTCAGACTGAATTTAGACGTTGCACTTTAACCCGTTATACGATAACTATTTATTTAAAAAAGAAACAGTGCCTTGCATAACTGATCTCCAAGTTCTTAACCAAAATAATTATGATAGCCGTTGAGCAATATACAGTGTAGTATAGATATAGCCCAGATTTAGACTTGGTCTAGACTTTGTTTACATTTTAGACCCATGATAGCCTGATTTTAGACCAGTCGTCTAGGCTACATTAGACCTCTTTTAGTCCAAAAAATGCTCAGTGGGAAAGAACATTATATACATGAAAACTGGACTTGTGAAAACATGACTGATCATGATCTAACACCTATTCTTACCCAAAGCCTTACTAATCTGGTCTTCTCAGACATTACGTCGAACTGCATTTGCAAAGTGTCCACACCCTGAAAGAGCCTCCAACCAGAGATTATTACCGCAAGGGTCTCCTCTGGATTTCCACAGAACAGTTTCCAAGAAATGAGAAATGAGTTCCCACACTTTGTTTACTCACTTGTTCAGACTAGCCAGAAATGCTGTTTATTTTGAGTCTTTGAAGTGGACACCCTTTCCTCATGTTTGGCATATTTCCCCTCCCTGACACACTCACACAACTTCAAACTAAAGTAGCGGCAAAAATTCAAGATGAAATTCTGCTGTTTCCTCCTTGTCAAGCATTTTTCTGGGTCGTCACATTCTTTAAATTGACAGCATTTTTCTGTTTTATTTTTCTTATAAAACCTCCTTCATATCAGAGGATGACGTAATACACAGACTGTAAAAGACTTAACAGGTGAAGAAACAAGTTGGCAGCTAGTGAGGAACTTATTTACTCAGCACAGGTTTTTGTAAATAACTAAAACATTCGTTTTTTTTTTTAGCTCAATTTTCACAAGTTTTGGGATTCTGAGTGGAATGTGGAAAAACCTGAGTCTGGGCAGCCTGTGCACATCTTTACAACTACTGTTTGTCCTGAGTTGTTGAGTGAAAATAAAAAAGATGATTCATACTCATCATCTTTGTGCAGGTGGCTGACTGTGTTTTTTCCTGAAATTAAAAACGGTTTTCATGTAAAATAATATCTTTACTCTCTTAAAGCTCCTAGGAGAAGTGTTTAATTGGTAGTAGCATGACTAACCCCATATCAAGCCCAGTATCAGTTTCTTTGACAGCCAAAGGCCATTGGACTGTTAGTTATTCATTGGTATTAGCTTTCCTGAAATCCTGACTTGGAAAGCAGCCGGACATCCTGGTCACCTCCAGCAACATCAAGAGGAGTGAACATCACTCCCTTCCTGCTGTTATCATTTCCCCTAACATTTTAATGTGACATGCACATCTACCTCTGTGTGGGAACCAGAGCGCTTTGCTTTACATAGGCAAATGCTACAGAAAACAGGACACTGTATCGGCTAACAAACAGAGCCCTTTCTATGAAGAAACTGACGCAGGAGCCTTGCATGTTTAAACAAATACTCAACCCCTTAGTTCATGCAGGCTGTTACACATGAGGAACTTTTACTGTAAAACTCTAAATAGGACAAGTTTTTGGTACGGGTGCAGTGGAACAAATTTCCTTGTTAGATTAGTTTTGAATGCACATGATGCATGACTGTTTTCCCTGCTTGTCTTTCTCATCTCTGTCTTCCTGCAAAACGTTGACACAGTTGGCTATTCAGCAAGGTTTCTGCCATGAATGATTCTTTTGTGTCACCAAGTGCTTAGTCATGATGAAAATGTTAGATCCCGGCTATGTAAAAGTAGAGGAAATGAGAAAGATCTACACCCCCACTGAGCATTTTTGGTCTAAAAGCGGTCTAATAGACATCTAAATGAAGCCCAGACAACTGGTCTGAAATCAGGCTACCACAGGTCTAAAAATGAAAGTTTTTTAGACGTCTAAATTTAGACCAAGTCTAAATCTGGGCTATATCTAAACTACACTGTATATTGCTCCACTGCTGTTATAATTATTTTGGTTAAGTACTTGGAGATCAGTTATGCAAATCACAGTTTCTTTTTGAAATAAATAGTTATCGAATAATGGGTTAAAGTGCAACGTCTAAATTCTGTCTAAAAATACACAGAATCTAGACGGTTGAAATTAGGCCTAAAAAGAAATACCAGACATCTGATAGCTGTCTATTGCTCAGTGGGCCATGTACGTCCAAATGTCCCTTAATATTATTAACTGTGATCAGGTCTATGTAAAGTAATCTTACTCATACCTGACATGACTCACAGTAGATGCTGATTCAAACATGAGACAAGAGAATAAAATAAAGGCCTGTTCTAAAAATAGCTAATGAAGGTGCAGGAATAAGGAAATAGATCAGCAGTCTATTTTTATCTCTAATCATGGGACTGAGAGTACACGAAGTTTGTGATTTATGTTCCTTTCCCTCAACCTGCTCCCACACAGGCTATGCTTCCTCATAGATAAAATTGAATGTTTTTCCATAAATCATAAAACATGTCCTTGTATATTTGGATAAACTGTTTATGACATTTACCTGGCTTTACACCCCTTATTATGACTCACAAAAATTGAGGAAATAAAGGTGTGAAGTCAGCTGATAATTGCTGTGTGTATTTTCATGCTGACAAGGCAAAAAACATGGTATCATGGCAGGTATCAGGAGTGCTTCAATAAAAAAGCGATCCAAGATCTTAAACTAATGCTACGTCCATATTTATTATATTTACAATATTTTCCATATTGTTGCCTTTCTTGAAAAAGGTTGTCTCACCTGCTTTTGTAGTCTATCATGGTCTCACATGCATGTAGTTTTAACCTGCTCAGAATGTGGGACTGCAGTTGTTATTTCTTCAACTTAGACGGATGCAGCTCACAAATAAGTGGGAAATAATGTCCCTCAAAAGTCCAAATGTTCTCCCAAATTTACATCAAAAACAGAAACTTGTGGAATTATTACAAAAAACTAAAATATTTCAAGACTTGCTGTTTGAATCTTGATCATTACAGCTTACAAAGATAAGAAATGCACTGTCTCTAAACAAGAGAAGTCCAGGTCCTTGTCAGTTCTGACAGTCCTGAAAAAACTCTAATCAGCAGATGAACTCTGAACCCCCGCAGGTTTACTGAGCCTTGATTCTCTCAGTCTGGTTCAGTCTGCTGACCTGACAGTTGTCCAGAGGACCATCATTGACCTTCTTCATAAGGAGGATCAGCCACAGAGGGTCTGTCTGTTCACAGAGTCTTTACGAAGCAGATTCATGAGAGTTGACTGAAGGACAAAGTAAGAAGGGAAAAGAGGACTGGTAAACAGGCCTAGAGAAGACTGTCAAGCAAAGCAGAATCAAGAACTTAGAGGGGCGTCACAAGGACTGGACTGAGGCTGGAGTCAGAGCATCAAGAGCTTCTACACACAGATGAGTCCCGGAAATGGACTACAAGGGTTTGTGCTGTCAAGACCCACCTGAACCAGAGACAACGTCATCAGAATCTCACCTAGACTGAGAAGAAAAAGAACTGGACTGTTGCTCCAGTTTCAGATGAAAGTCAATTCACTTGGATATAGAGGTCCCAGAGTCTGGAGGAGGATTGGATGGGACCAGAAACCAAGGTGCTTGAGGTCCAGCGTGAAGTTTCCACAGTGTATGATGGTTTGGGGTGTCATCTGCTGCTATTGGTCTGTTGTGGTTTATCAAGTCAATGTGGTTTAAAGTCAACCAAGATATTTAAGAGACCTCCAAAACTACCAGAAACTGGTTTGCTGACTATGGTATTACTGTGTTTGATAGTCCAGCCAACTGGTCTGACCTAAACCCAAAGGATCTCTGTATTATCATTGAGACAAAGAAGAGAGACACCAGAGCAAAAACACAAACGGGCTGCAGGTGCTATTAGAGAGACCTGGACTTCACTGACACCCCAGCAGAGACAATGACTGACTAACTCCATGACACCTCACATTGATGCAGGAGTTCATGTAAAAGGAGCTCTGACCGATAACAGAGAGCACAAATGAACAGAATTTCCCCAATGGTCCACATTTCTGTGTTATCAATCCTTTCTTTTAGATAGGTGTTTTGAAATATTCTGATGTTTTGAGATCGTGGATTTTGTGGATCCACGATGGATCTCTCTGTGTGATGAATCCAGACTATATGGATAATTCACTTTCTGGATTAAATTACTGGATAAAAATGACTTTAATCAGGACATTCAATTTGTTTGTGCTGCACCTGTGTGTTCTTCAATATATGTGTTAAACCTGCTGAGGCCTCTCTTCATGACAGAAGTTAAACTATGTCATTTGCATTGCTGAATAAACTAAATAAATAGATAATTGATGTGGGGCAGAGATATCAAAAAGTGTCACATTTTCCGAGTAACTAAATATCTCCTGATCTTTTCCTCTCTGGCGATGTTATGTCGGGAGATTAGATCACGAACACTCCGTGATTTAATCTTCAATTACCTAACCTTTCCTTATTGGGAGCGCAATATTTCCGTTACACCAGCTACATCTGCTGTTACCTCCTCAGCATGAGAAACTTAAAAGCTTCTGAAAAATCTTCCTCACTTCCTCCATTTTTAACCTTGGGGGCTCTCTTTGTGTAACTTTTGTCTGAACAAAGTTCTACTCTCAACTGTTTGGAAAAATTCTTTGAAACTGTCATGGTTGGAAAGATTTTTTGAAAAATGTGTCACCTGGAGGTGTGACAGGAAGGACACTTAACAAACCCTGTAAATCAAGTCAGGTGAGAGGAGTGAGTGACATGATTGAAGTCTCTTGATATTATTA